CCAATTTTTTTTTTTTTTTTTTTAGTTTTTTAGTTTTTCCGTTTTTTCACTAATTTTATAGAAGAGAGTCTACTGAAGATGATGATGTATCCACTATGTAATTATCATGATCACAAAAACTCGAAACAAATTTTTATGTCAAAATTTTTCTGCTGAGGAGGCGCTGAATTTCTTGGGAATTCACTGCAAAAGTACTATAAAAGTACTGATTTTTGGCCAGCTTGTTTTAGTAGACATCCTGGTTTAACATTTTTCGGCGTTGCAAAATGTTCGTGAAAGGCCTGAAGGCTCATACGGCGTCTTTCCTTAGCACGGCAGTGAGTATGGTCGCAACCAAGTTGCATCATTTCTTACTCTAACGGCATAAATCAAGGCACGAACCTGTAGCTCCTGCAAGGGATGTTAAGTGAGGAAAACTTCAGAGCGAGCAGCTCGTCAGGTGCGAAGTCTTACAGCCAGTCCTGGTTAGAAACTTCCGGCACGAGAGTCAAGATCCTCCGACGATTTTTCACTTAAACAAAAAATTAATGCTCAAAATTAATAAAAATCGAGAACGTGCGAACGGTTGAACGAAAATTAGAACAGAAATTTGAGTCAATCGGCGAGCAGCGAGTTCGTTTTCAGCAGGTTGGCAACATTAAGTAAACAATCAAAATCAAAGCAAATCAAACAGATACGTATGATCAATGTGAGGTTCGTTAGCACAAGACACCACGAGTGCTTACTAGAGACGACAACTTTCTAGACTGCTAATCAGCCTCAGCCGTCACATGGACCGAAAATGTTGTAGTATTTGTAGTCGAGCGGAACTGATAAATTTTATTTTTTCCGCCGGATTCGAGGGGCGCACGGATGTTGTTTGCGCCCTGATGGCAACGGCGGCCCAAGTTAGAGTTACTACTATTTCGAGTCGTATCCTAGCAACAGAAATACTCCTTAGCTTGCCGAAGCGGCAGGTCTCGAATCTGTCGCAAAAATGCAAAATTCTGCCGTGCTTAGGAAAAACGCCGTATGAACTATCAGGCGTCGCCAAATTTCCTTTTAATAAAACACGAATTTCTTTCCTGGTAAACTTATGAATATTTTCCCTCAAATTTTTCAGACAATCTTGTTCGCTTCGTTAGGCTAAAAATTGAAATTTACCGAGATTTTTTACCTAATCCATGCAATATATCGCATGCCAGTTCGACCACGTCACTTGAGCTTGACAAAGCACCTTAAATTCGCACACGGTCCAAATTTTTCGTAAGGATGGACTTAAATTCATTAAGAAATGAATCATTTTTCCAGAAATTTTCGAGGAAGACCCCTTGAAACAATTTGAGGTGGACTCGGGCCCCTCTTAAAAAGTGGGGGCTAAGCTAGGCTACCCCCAGAAGATTGTTCTAACTATACACCTACGCTGACACTAGTTTCATTTAATGAGAGCTCCTATTAACGCGCTCTCTCATTTCCTCAGTATAATACATCATCGCCTATTACAGTGATACTTTCCCGAAACTCTTAAGAATCTGTGGTTGACCCATGAAACAAGGGTAACGTCCCAAGTAGCATTTTTCAACGGAAAAATCGCGATATTTTGCGATTTTATCGGCAATGAAATCGCTGGGATCATCAACATCTGAGCGATTATCCTCGATCTTGATGCAATATAATCGCGATTTTGTTGATCGGCAATTTATCGCGATATTATCCAAACAAAAATCGCGATATATGGCGCTTTAATCTCGATTTTCTTGACGAAAATTGATCGCGATTTTATCGACGAAAATTGATGGCGATTTTATCGAACCAAAAAATGCGATGCATAGCAATTTAATGGCCATAAATCCCAATTTTTCATTCGATAATATTGCGATAAATTGCCGCCGATATAATCGCGATTATTAACCGATATAATCGCAATTAATCGCGATCACTGCTATTTGGGGTCGTTGAATTAGAGCATTCGATACCAACAAAGGCTCACGTCACGGGCTCAGGGGAAGACCATTTGAGAAACAGATTATTGAATAACGGCGGAATTTCCCGAGGTTGCAGCCACGCGCCAGGAGTTGCTGTCATGAGCTTCACGAAGGGCTGATAAGTAGACCATACTCGGAACTCCCGATGAGAGGATAATTTAAAATTGATTACTCCAGTCAGGAAGAAAGCAATCATTTAGACATCTAGCAATGACTTCTAGGAATCGTTTGCGACCGTACTTTAATCTTAAAAGTAAGAGCATCTCTCTAATCTTTTTTCGTCGAATACATTGACTAACATCATGCATAATTTCGCCTTGCGTCAGTCGCCATACCAGTGTACCGTTAGGGTAGAAAATCACATAGTTAGAAATCTCGGAGTGCAATCTGGATGCATTTCACTCCCCCCAAAAAATCAGAGGGACATGAGTGCGGAGCTGAATCACTTCCTCTCACGGGTTTAACACCGCTTTTGTGGTGCTGATATCACTCCTTATTTAAGTATCTCTCTGATTTTTTAGAGCTAAATAGGCTCCGAGGTGTGATGCACGCCGGATATCATGCGAAATTCGTAATCGATACACCAACAACTTAAAACGGGACTAAGGCCTCATGATAAAACATTGTTTTTCATTCATAACAAAGGGAACGCGATTCACTCATCAATTGGCTACTCAATAATTTCAAAATTTGATTTCGGAGGCATTGTCTCTAAAAATATTCACAGTACAGCAATCACACCATCATTTCTCCCTCTATGACACATGGATTGCATTTTTCAAAAAGGAACCAAGAGCATTCCAATGTTGCTAGGAGTGTGCAACTTACATTCTGCGCTGAAATCATGAAAAAATTAAATTTGCAAAGGTAATTTTCGGTTTGAATTTATAGGGTATTGGGAGTAAAGATAAACGTTATTCGGGTGATCAGATCTATTTGCAAGCAGTGGCGTGGCGTGAATTGCGATATATCGATTGTTTTGCCATTTAAACGTATGGTAAAGAATCGATTATTAAGGTGTTCGCTGCGAACACCCTGTTTATCGATCCTTTTCCATAGGTTTAAGTGGCATAACAATCGATATATCGCAAAGCACGCCACGCCACTGTTTGCAAGGTGAAAAAAGTTGCACAATCTTAGCGACGTTGGAGCGTGCTCGTGGTTCCTTTTTACAAAATTCAATCCACATGCGACACGTCCAATAACTTTTACTCGATTCTCCCTCAGAAAACAATTTTGATATAGACATTAAGCTGAGTTGCAAAAGTTACAATGTAGCCCCTTCCGCACTCATATCTGAATCGCTGAAAAACCGGAGCACAGTGGATCGAGTAAATGAGAGTGGTCGGACATGATTTAAAAACTCAAAAAGCGTAGATATATCTTCATTAATACAAAATTTTGATGTTTCAAAAGTAGTTTCATTGGTTCCCTCATGTAATTTTCTACAAGAAGCACCAATCTGCATAAAAATTGTGACGAGATAAACGTAGTTTTTTACAAATTTTGTCAAACGATCTTAAGTCGGGCTTTTCCCAAAGACACGTTCCACTGTGCGGAGTGAGAATCGCCTTCAACTCGATGGATACAATTTGAGCGACTCAGGAGTTGAAATAGTTGTATCGCGCATTTTATATATTTTATAGTATGTAGCTTGTCTGAAAGATGAGTGACTTTCGTTGTATAATCTGCAAATTTTTGATGAACTTTGAAGCGAAACTTCCGATAACTTTTACTCAATTCCTCCCGCAGAACATCGTTCCCTTATTCTGCGGGGAAATAAAAAATTAGCATTAGGATAAAAAAATGAACTCTACACAGAGGGCAATTTCAACCCAAAAGTAATACAGGAAGTAAAACATAAAATAACCCTAGCCTTCGTTTGACAATCTCAAGAGAAAATGCCAGCTAATTATTTTGAAGAAATTTACTAAAAGAGGTGCATACAAACGTCGCAAGCGGAGGAATGCATTTTCCCAGTCCCTCTATATTGTTTTCTGCGCTAAAGTCACCGCCAAGGCCAACTGTACCAAAATCAACACAAAATTTGTGTTGTTTTGTGTTTCACTTCCTATGCTAACCGAAAGTAACACAAGAACACAAATATTTTTATCGGCGTCGTGAGTCTCGCACTGACACTCATCAAAGTTTATTTTCTAACTCAAATGCTAATTTTTGGGATGTTCAGCCTCAACTTCTCCGCGGAATAGTGACTGTGCGCCATTCTTCCATATTGTTACTTGTTTCGTTTACTTAGTGCACTTAGTATGTAATTAAATGTATGTGTGTCATATCGATGGGACAAGCCAAAACATGCATATATCCAGTCAACAATGCATATCTTCACTTTTTTTTTTCTTTTTTTTTTCTTTTTTTTTCTTTTTTTTTTAAAATGTGAGCCATCCCTTCAACCAACAGTTTTTCTTGAAAATCTCTAAGAAAGTTCTTCACTCATTCGACTAAATATAATCTCAGAAAAGTTCAAGGATAAGATTTTTCACTTTTTTCAAAGCTTTCGAATACAAAACTAAATCTTTCCACCTCTTTTCTTCGCGTCAACGAAGAGCCAGAACTCAAGAAAATCCAGTGGCGCGGCGTGCTTTACGATGTATCGATTTATCTATCATTTAAACCTATAGAAAAGGATCGATAAACAGGGTGTTCGCAACGAACACTTTAATAATCGATTGTTTACCGCACCTTCAAATGGGGGAAATATCGAAAATCGATCATTCACTCCTCGCCTTTGAGTGAATCTCTTTAAGTTTGTTTTGCTTTTGGCCATTCCTATTTTAATTGCGTCGAATTGAAGTGAAGCTGTGAGCTCTCTATCCGGAACAGATTAACCATGGATGGACAATACTTGAAGATAAAAAGTGACTAACAAGTGCAGTGATAATATCTCAAGGTTGAATGCCGTCCAGCATAAGCATATATCGATGACTATAAATGTGGAAACTGCGTAGGTACTCGATAATGCAGTGTTTCAAAATTTTCGCTCCTTTTCTTATTATTTCGGATGGATACGATCTATTTGCATAGCTTCAAAAAAGGCAGGAAACATAATCAGCGATCACGTTAAATAGTTTTTAATAAGAAATTAAGAAAAATTGTTGGTCTATAACGTTGCATATCTTGATACGCGGTTCCCAAAATTTACCATCGGTATGCTGAGATCTGGAGCAGAATAAATGTATCCTTAAGACAAGAAAGAAACACTAAGAAATTTTCTGTAAGTTAATTCACGGATAACAAGAACAAGGCAGTAATATATGAATAACTTGTCCCTAGATTTTTTTTTTTTTTTTTTTTAGTTTTCTTTACATGCACCGGTACATGGATGAAAAGAAGAAGTAAACAAATCTGAGATGTGCGAAACCAATCAATGAATGTTCAATTATTTTGTTAATACCGTGCGGAGTTTTGCTTATCCACGGCTCGGTTATCCGCGATTTGAACGGCTTTTTGTTTTTCAATGTAAATTGTCTCAAACCTCCGTCAGAAATTGGTCCACAAATGAAGTTTTCATACTTTTTTAATTAGATAACATTATTTTACCTAATCTTGACAAATAATTATAATCATATCTACTACGTTACAATACGCACGTGACAATGAGTGTCTTTATGATTCAATTAAAATACAACAGGTATGTACCTAAATCTAGCCGCGTTGCATAGCTTTTGATTATCCCCGATTTTCGATAGTTCGTGATAGCTCCAGTCCCAACCACAGAGAATAATCGAGACTACACTAATAAAAATGTTCAAAAAATAAAAATATATAAATAAAAAACTTAATTTTCAAAGCATTAACAGCACTAGAGAGGCCTCTTGACTACGAGGTAAAACATTTAAAAAGAAATATCTTCCCCTAAAAATTACAACCTGTCAAATAATTGCAACCAACCAATGCTTTTTACATACTACCCATCATAATCTCTCATTCGAATAAGTTTTTATTGATAAAAACATATGGCACAAGTACCTGCTAGAACTATCCACGTCCAAATAGGATATTTCAGAATTCAACGGAAACACACCACACTTCCGGCAAGATAATTCACAAGCCCGAAATAAAATCCTTCTGAGATTGAAAAACCACCCAAGAGAGCGTCATTAAGATTATAATCGGACTAAATTGATAGAACCGTCACCAATCACCAACCAGTCAGAACTAAGAGTAGATCTGGTCATCTGCTTTGTAATCACGGGTCAATCTTACCAACGGTCATCAAATTCGAGTGCTCAAGAAGGGTGATATCATTAATATTCGTGCAGGGTGGCGGCCAGTGGCGAAGCGTGAATGATCGATTATTGATATTTCCCCATTTGAGGATGTGGCAAAGAATCGATTAGTAGGTGTTCGATACGAACACCCTGTTTATCGATCTTTTTCGATGGGTTACATGACAAATCATTCGATATATCGCAAAGCACGCCTTGCCAGTGGTGGCGGCGTCGTTGAAAACGAATACTTCGAGCACGGGCCAACTCGCTTGTAGAATTGCTGATGGGAGATTCTGATTTCTTAGGAGGTTCTCATATAGCTCTAATTATCAGATCACATTGAGATCGAGACAAACCAGATTAAGACAGTGTTGCCGATTATGGACAAGGGTATAATTTTCGTTTTCAGACTAGATTCAGATGAATTTTGTTTGTCATCGATTATGCATCCTGCATCTTTTTTATCGATAACTGCTCGGCGATAGTTTTTATTCGTATCGTGCCGTGTCCTTTTTGTCATGATTCACTGTCGGTGGCGCTCAGTGGATCGAGTCAATTAGAGAGGTCGGACATGAAATTTTTGACGAAAACTGCAAATGTTTGTGTTTATTATGTCGCATTTTACATTTCAAGGGGTTCTTGAAGTTGAAAATTTCCTGAGGATACCAATAGAACCACTTATAGAATCTCTAAGTTTATTATAGACGGAGTTATAAGCGTTTAAAGTTTCCAAATTTTGTCCTATTGACTCGATCCACCACGTGGCGCGTGGCGCCTAGTGCGCCACGCGATGTAAAACAGTTATCAGTTTTTTGCAAAATTATCACTAAATTATCCTCCCCCATCATCTCAAACAGAATGCGTCATGGATATTACATACAATGATGCTCTTTCTCGAGAGAAAAAAAAACAGTGGAGATTTTGAAACGTTGCACTCGAGTTTTACGTTTTATTTTAATGAGCTTTCGGCCGTTGACCGCGAACGAAGCGATGGTGCATTGTCGCAGTCCGTGACGCCGCCGCAGGAGTTCAAATAAGCACCACGCGCCTTCAATGTGTCGGCTATGCATCACAGACGACCATCAAGCAGGAATAGTTGCATCTCAGCAATAAGTTACCTGTGCGAACCAAATTGAAGGCGCCGTAAAGTTTGTCTTAAATGAGGCTCTCCGCGGCACTCGGGCTCTTTTTCTTTTTAAAGTTGAACTTCTTTTTCTTCTTTTCTTGATCTTTTTCTTTTATTCTTTTCAGGTATGGACGGCGCTTTGTGAGGTCGGGTGGCTTGTACTCTTTAAAGCGCAAGTACTATGTATCATCCTTTTTCTGCCGCACATGCGCGCCCAGACTATATTGACACATGTGGAAGCGTTGGTTTGTTTCCTATACAACCAATCGCAAACTTTCAATTCTCATACAGAGATAAACAATTTTAGCATTAAGAAATGCGCCTGTTTCGTAAAACAAAGAAATTTGAATTGAAGTAAAATCGAAAACTATCATAATGTTAAATATTTCATGTATACAGGGTGGCCCAGACCCACCGTAACAGGTCTTTTTTTCGGTTCATTTGAGTCGCACGAAGTCCAGGATCGCGGGGATGAATAGGGAATCAACGCTAAGGAATTCGAATTTCATGGTCCCAGAGCCCCCCTGGCGTCCCTTGGGGCGTAAAAGGGGGGTCCGTACTTCAAAAGTCAGGGTTTGTGTCAAAATTTTGAAATTATTTCATCGGAATCAGAACGTAAGGAAATTTTTAACTTAAATCGACACCAAGAAATCCAAAATCGGCCCATCCGTGTCCAAAATACCAACCCCTAAAGTTGGGAGACAGAGCCCCCTTTCAAAAAAATTCAAGTTCGTCAAATTGACGTGGAGACTCGGAAAAAATGTGTATTCATGGGTAATCGACCCCAAGAAATCCGAATTTGATGGTCCCGTTGTCTTCAGAGACTTTTCTGATGGGGCACAGGGGGAGTCTGAACTTTTAAATTTAACCGGTGTGGAGGTTACCCCTGTGCCCCATCAGAAAAGTCTCTGAGGACAACGGGATCCTCAAATTCGGATTCCTTGGGGTCGATTACCCACGAAAACACATTTTTTCCGAGTCTCCACGTCAATTTGACGAACTTGAATTTTTTTGAAAGGGGGCTCTGTCTCCCAACTTTAGGGGTCGGTATTTTGGACACGGATGGGCCGATTTTGGATTTCTTGGTGTCGATTTAAGTTAAAAATTTCCGTACGTTCTGATTCCGATGAAATAATTTCAAAATTTTGACATAAACCCTGACTTTTGAAGTACGGACCCCCCTTTTACGCCTCAAGGGGCGCCAGGAGGGCTCTGGGACCATGAAATTCGGATTCCTTGGAGTCGATTACCTACGCATCCCCGCGATCCTGGACTTCGTGCGACCCAAATTAACCGAAAAAAAGACCTGATACGGTATGTCTAGGCCACCCTGTATATTAGTCCAAATTGCGGCTGCATGCCTCAATTTGTGTCGGCAATCTATAGAATTTTAAAGTGATAAACTTGGTAGTACGTAAAGAGGAACACATTTTTCTTCCCAGCCATGCCATGCCATTCTCTGAGGAAGGCGTCATATCGACGATGGAGCTGCAGGAATGCGTATCTCGGCTTGCGGCGTCGCTGACTTCCAGTCATGTATACTTATTTTTTACAAAAGAAGATATATGAAACGTATTTTCTTGAGAATGTCGGTGATTTTTCTTCTCTACGCGAAGACTATGCTGTGAAAAGTCCAAGCAATGATGTTGGTTTGGCCTCCCTTTAAGAAGTAAAATAGCCTCAGCCTCAGCCTGATTCAGGATATTTCGTTGTTCTCTAGACGAAATGGACCGAGTTTAACAGAAAGGAACCAAGCCACATCTGCTATTGCCAAATTGAACTGGGCAATTTAATTTTTTACGAGAGATCGTTTGTGCGGATTCCTTTGAAATTTTTAAGGAATTTGCTTCATATTAGGGAGAATTTTCACTGAAATTTGCACGAAAATCCGCACAACCGTTTTCATGAAAAAAATTAACTTGCCCGATTAAATTTGGCAATAACTGATGTGGCTTGGTTCCTTTTGTTCAACGCGGTCCAAATAATGTAGCTCTACTTCAACGTTGCAAAATTTCCACTCGAAAATATAAGTTTGAACAGAAAATTGCCTTACATGAATAAAATTTGGAACAGAAATTGCTCTGTCTTATTTCTGCAATAATTGGACCTCTAGACGCGCACCCGATTTTACTAAGCTACCAAATTAACGTGAGAGAGAAAGAAGAAATTCAATTTCAGAATAACCACTTGAAAATGTAATTGATATGTTAGATCCAATGCAAATGAAATCTACGGTGTTGTGCGGCATTTTGCATTGAGCGGTAGAATTTCATAAAAATTGGCGCGCGCGCGGGAACCGATACTGGCCAATGTGAACGCGTGATTTACTTCCAAGCGTGATGTGAGGCCACCCATTGGCTAGCGCAATTTCCCCCTGAGAGAATGATTCCCTCCCGTCTATTATTTCCCCTCCGCAACGCAAACGACCTTCACGGAATGAGGTCACGTGATCATACGTCATCATTACCCCTTCACAACAAAAACAAACGAAATCAAAACAAAATGCCTGTGTATTTGTAGTATCACTGTTAAGTTCAAGGTTGAGACTTCTCTGATCGTTTTTCTCTTGGAATGTGTGAAATTTTCTCTCGATTCAGTGTATTTTAACATCAATTGATTGCAAGCAGGAATCGTGCACGATGGAGATAGACGAATCTTTCCTAGGAACCCCAGACTTCGATGATATGGTGAGTGAGTTGGCCCAGAAACTGCGACGCATTTCGCCGTTTCCGAAGCCTGACTCGGGAGACCACGTTTCTTTTCCTCGACTAAACTTTTCCCGTATTTACTCTTTTATCTTTATCGATTACTTGTGTCTAAGATTGGAATTTGATCCCTGTCCCTGTTACTTATTTTGTGATTACGAACTTTTAAATCCAATCGTCTGAAAATCTCTGCGGTGTTTTCATTGCTGCATGACAGTATGCATTTTTACTCCTTGTTCGTGTGAAATTTTGCCATTCTCAATCATCTCGATGCCATGAATGCCCAATTTTTGGCTAAACCAAACTAAATATCATGCTTAATTTAGCCCTCAAGTTCCTGCAATCGTCTCTGATGTAGTACAATAAGTACTCACATCAGTTAAGTTTATCGGTGTATAATTTCTCTTCGTAAGCAACTACACTGTCTCCATCCCAAGGCTAATAAAGGAGGGTGGTCGCATTTCGAGTTGAGCCGCCATTTAAAAGGCCATGACGCGCAGAGGATACATGCTTTGCCATGCAATCAGGATGTACCCGAAAAGTTCCCGATGCCAAGTGACGTCAAGAAGGTACGAAATGCGACTACCATTCTTTATCTGCCTTGCCTCCATCCAGTAGCAGTTCACAAAGAGCTGAGCTAAATATGATCGTCGGTGGATATGTTAAACAGTGAGTTATTTTTGACAGCTGGAAGTAAACAAATGCCAACTTATCTGATGCTAAATAAACTCTGTTTCATTCCTGAAACAGCATCGCTAAATTTATTATGACTCTGATTGTGCTATTCGTAGTGTTAATTAAGCTTTGTACAAGTATTACCTGACTTGCACAAATTTATATTGGGAGAAGTGTATTCTTGAACTCCTATTGATCATGGACCAATGTATCAAAATGGCGACAAATGGACCTCCCACTTCTGATTCTGTTGATCCGAAGAATAAAATGCTGTTATATTGTCAGGACTACCATTCATTATGATAATGCGAGTTGGCTAAAAGGTTTCTGAAGGGTAATTTTCTCGCTTCAATTTTTTGTAGAATACCCACAATATACAGCACCTGACGAGGGTGAAACCCTTATACCGTGTATTTCGTTTCCTGTGTTTAAAAATCTTCATTCCCATTTTAGTTTTTTAAAGGGGAAAAAATCAGCACCATACCTTGAGCTTTTCACAGTATTTTCCTCGCGCAGAGGAGAAAAGTCACGGAAATGTTTAGGAATAGATGCTGATTACTTTTTCATGTGAAAAAATATGTACGACAAGAAGTCTGCTACGACGCAAAGCAAGATACATGGTTTTGGAGTTTCACCGTCGATGAGTAAAAAGTTGTTATACCTTTAGCATTTAAGTATTTGTTGACATGAGTTTTGGTTTATACCTATTGCAGGCTCAAGACGTCAAAGAGAGTTCAAGACGAGGTCGCAAACCTGGTAGGAAGGCTGCGGAAAAACTGGATATGAAGGCTAAACTTGGTAAGTTATGAAACTTCAGTTTGTACATTTTCAAAGTTCCTCCCGAAAGTTAAACTCCGTAATTTGCACAACTGCAGAAGTTTTTCACTATCATGACACGCCAAACGCTAGAATCTTTAATCCGTATGATTTTATGCCACATGGAGCAAGAAGGAAGTTAAAATTTAATAAGAAAGTTCTTCCTCTATCCATAAGCATGATTAGATTATTATTCTTACCTTTCCTGCAGAATAAAACTGTAGTATACAGTTATATAGTTAATGGCATAACTAATTATTCACTCCTTTCTTTTTCTTTTTCAGAGCGCAGCAGACAAAGTGCCAAAGAGTGCAGAGCCAGGAAAAAGCTGAGGTATCAATATCTTGAGGATCTAGTTGCTGAGAGAGAGAAAGCAGTTTTTGCTCTGAGGCAAGAGCTTGAAAAGGTATCTTCCCAATCCACGGTATCATCTTTGGCTAGTTTTGGCAAAATTTCATTTGCCTTTAAAATTAGCAGAGCTAAAATTCATTTATCTAATCAAGCAAGTTCATTAGTAACCAATTAAGGAAGCTACAGGCCAATAGTTAAAATTTTGTGTTGGCTAGAAAGATTAAAACTAAGCTGAAAGAAGCTCTGTGATTGGTCAGTCATATCAGTTGAGTTTTTCTGATGTCCCTTTATTGGACTGGATAATAAACCACTAAGTAAGGTACGGAATCAAGTAATCTGATATGTATTCCCTCTTCAAAATTTCACTCGAGACACAATTGGTACACCAAAAATCACTAAAAACTTTTCCTAATTAAGATATCAATGTTTTCATTCAGCGCTGGTTATGAAAAATTTGAATGTCACTTATAAGAAAAACCAGAAGTTACTTGAATCCATTTGTGGTTCACAATGGTTTTGGTAGGTTCCTTAATGAAGCAGTGTTCCTGCCCTGTCTAGTGTTGCTCAGAGCGTCCACAGTGTGTAACAGCTAGGTGAATCGCGGAGATTAATGTTGCTGTTGTTTCATACCACTGATAAGGTGAAACCTTATTATCTTGGTTAGGAGATACTTTTATTAATTTTTGTTGAAAAATCGTGTTCCATGTGAAATTTCAATGAGAAATCATAAATTATAATGCTTCTATTAGCACATTATTTAATGGTTCTTTTAGCTGCAGGAGCTTCCAAAATGAGTGTAAGACGTACTCAGGTGCTTAGGTTCATTAATGGTATCACTTAATGTGTATCGCAATTTCATTGAAACATTGTATTTGGAGGATTAATTTGGTCCTGGAAAATCAGGTCCGATAAAATCCTTCATCAAAGAATATTATGGATAGTTAATTTTAGCAATGGAAAATCTTGCATACTAACTTTTTGATTTGTGTACCTCGATCATAACAAAAGAGTTGCCAAGTTGTAGTAAGAACAGTTTCTTTAATATTTGCTGCAGGTAAAAAGCTTTTATGAGTGACAGAAATTTTACAAGTTCTCCAGAAATGATATTTCAATTTTACTATCAATTACCGCTAAACCAAAACTACAATGCACTCAAAATAATCTAGTAAAAATAGTTGAATAAATTATTCTTTACCTTATGTAACTTATTTTCTTATGTTTTTTCAGTACCGGATATGGATTCATGAAATCAGTGAAGGGAAGATACCTGAAGGTTTTCATCTTTTCATCGAAGAAATGGGCTGCATAAAGCATGAAAGCCACTGAGTTCCTGTACTTGTTGTTTACTTATCAGTGTTGAATGCATGAGAATCCGGAAATGACAGAAGGATAGAGGTAAACACATTTATATTTTAAGGGGGGAAAAAGTCATTGTCTATTACATTATTTAATTTTCCAAATGTCCTCAGTATTTTGCCTCATAAACCATTTCTTTAAAAGAAATTTGAAATCAATGAGCACTCTACTTTACCTGGATCTTTTTTGCATCAAAAAGATTATCCTTTTTCAAGAGGTGTCTATTTCTTTTTTGCCAATAAATCGAAGCGATATGGAACAAAATAAGCATTTTTATACAATAAAGTATTCAGAAACTATGAAATACTTTTTGTGCTAAGGAACCATCATTTCTGACCTATTCATACGCAGGTAAATTAATGGCACATTTAGTATTTCCAAAGTGAAGCAGAAACAATGCTTCCTTTTTGAAAATTATTGTCAACGTAATTTTTATTAACTTGAAAACTTTTCAACGTTTTACTTTTTAATAAATTATCAGATGTGTCTGAAAAATGAAATCACTTCTACCAGACCATTCAGGAGACCTACTTCTAATCAATGTAAGTTGTTCAAGAGACACTGTCAATGAACCTATCTTTGATGTACACACAAGTTGCATCATTGCCCAAAGTAGTCAAAGTCTTTCAAGTACAAGAAAAAAAGAAAATAACCCTTTTCTTACTCAGGCTTTCCTCGAACCTATTAAAAATGATTCTTTTAGGCAGTCAGTAAGATGACATGATGTACATTTTAGGACCCTGCAAGATGGCTTTAGGATTATCCTAAGGTTACTTCAAAGAGATTTTAAAGAAGAAATGCTATTGTAAAATTTTCTGACAATGAGGCAACAAAGTACAGTGGAATGTGTGGCTTCTTTAATAAAAATTTGCATATTAGTACTCATTGGTTGTGTCCAAACTTAACTGAAGTAATACGTTGTTTGAAATTACAGCAAATCAAGTTTCAGGGATGCAGAAACTTCTCGACCACTTGGTCAGCAAGTTCCTTATACAAGAATGGTGAAAACCAGTTTTAAAAATCGGAGGCAACAGCATAAAAGTTTTCTTATTTTTCTTAAAATCTCACCAACTTGGAAAAAAGCAAAAAAAAATCTTATTATGAAGGTCTTGGGGGAAAATAAGGACCATCTTGGAAAGAGGCCAAGAATTTTCTGCATCCCTTGCAGGTTTGACACTATATGTTCCTTGATGTGTTGAAAAATTGTAACCCAAAGTTTAAAAGGGTATTTTATTAATTCGTGTTCTCGTGCAATCGGAGTAATTTCTAACTAGCGTCTCCCAAAGCTAACTGTCGAACAAATATGCTTTGATATCGGGAAAGCTCGTAACTACCTCTAAGTATATCTGTCCAATCATTTGTGTTTTTTATGCTCTGAAAATATTTAACATATTAATGTCTTAACTACTGGATAATCTAGTGGATAAATTCCTTAAATACTCTTGTACTGATTTATTGCCACCAAATCCCACCTCAAAAATTTTAAGTTTCACAACATAAAAAGTACCTTACCTGTAAAAAACTTACAGAATAGAAAGTCTGGATTATCTAAGGTAACTCTTTGCTTAACCTGTTTGCACCTGAATAGCCATAATTCTACGTAATCAAACCTGCTAGGCTACGACTTACAAAGTCTATTAGAGCTGTGATGTATCAGGTCCATGAGTAATTTTTACATCTTCTCTATTTTCGTATGTGATTTATCAATAGTTTTTGTTACTTATTGTTTATGTGTATATTTAAGTTTACCAATATTTCATAGTATAAGTACCATACTTTGCTGTTAAAGTTGTAATTTTGTGTTAATAAATCTGAATTTTTTTTTTACGTCTTAGCCTTCAATTTCACTTAATCCAAGTCTTCCTTTAAAAAATGGAATAATTAGAGCTAGTATTCTCAAAGATTGCTTGAAAGTACAACTGAGCTTTTTATTTTAATGCTTTGTTCTTTAGCAGAGGTGCTTTAGCATTTTAAAATTACATGAAACAAAACAAGCTGACATGTTTTCACCTGTGGAAGAAATATAAAGGCAAATAACTACATTAAAAAGTAAAGTAAGTACCGAAGTATCCCGATGAGCCAGTCTCCTCAGTATTTGTTTCAAAGAATATCCTCCAAGTCCGTGACAAATTCTCCTCTCTAAAATAGTCAAGAAACGCTTTTGTCCAAATAATTTCATGTCTTTGACCAGGGCAAAAATTATTTACCTACCTGTATAATATTTGCAATCCCATAACACCAGTAGCACAGCGGGATGAACTTATCCGGAAATGTTGAAATAAAGTTGCAATTTAATACAATAAAATTGTAATTTTATTCACCTTAAAAATGCAATATTTTAACATCATTTAGTCACCTTAAATGCCGCTTTTGAACTACCGGTTAAATGAGATCCATTCATAAAAGAGATGGGCAATTTGCGATGGAAAAAAGAATAGTTTATTCCAATTTTATTGCAATAAATTTCAAAAGGAGGAGTCCCTTCCATTAGTTGACAGGCAACATACACAACAATCCTACGTAGTAGTAATGATTTTACTATGCAATCGCAATCAGTAGCAACCAGTGCTACTCGAGCACTCGGCTATCTTGCCCAAGACGTTCTGATTCGACGTAAACGATCAGTATTGATCAGTAATGTCTAACATAGTCGGTGGTTTGTTGGTTGATCCACTGGACGAAAGATGGAATGTTGACGTAGACGCCCGGAGTTTGAGAGTTTCCGCAGCCGATCCCCCACGCTACGAGCCCCGCCAAATAAAACTGACCCCTCCCACGCTCACACACCAGTGGAGATCCTCCATCGCCCTAAATAAAAAAGAAAAAAAAGGAGACATAAAAAACAATGAAAAAGATTTGACAAAAATTGGACTTCCTCCAGGGCCAGATTAAGGGGTTTTTTAAAAAATTTAGGGGGCGGAAAATTTTGCAATTTTTTTAAATGCAGGTACAAAAACATCGGATTCAGAGAAAAATTACAAACAAGAAAAGGTGACAAAATCTCTCATTTCCTGAGCGAGTTCATTAATTTCTAATTTTGTCGTATTTCGGTGAAAGACTGCGCACCTTTAATTAGTTGAGTTGAGAGAGAAACCAGAAACCAAACACGTAATTTGGCCTGGAGCGCGGCGTGGCGCAAAGAGAAATTGATGGCGAGGACTTGAGATGAAAAGGAGAAGCCCTCGACGCAGCGGTCGGCATGTAACACATATTAGCGCCTACGAGACTGCATGAATACTTCACGCATTGCGTCAGACACAGCACGGTCAACAACGGTCGGTGATCAGTGCGGCACGGCGGCGGAAGTTAAAATTATTAATCCACATTTATGTTTGTTCTTTCTTAATTTTTTAGTTCATTTCTTACAAATGAAAGGCCTTGTCCTCACAGAGATAGGTTTACGGAACTGAACGTTCGCGCGAAGTTCCGTGAACGTGAACTTTTGCTAGTAGTGTTGACAGGGCTTACGCAAAAAATGCGTCCAACACGAGTGAACGTGTCTTATGCACCCTTCTCCCTTCGGCATGTTCACTTGATGGTTTTTATTGATGTTTCAAAATGAATGAGAAGAGGGCGGCAAAATACAGGCGGCCCATGGGCGGCAAGTAGGTACCTAAATCCGGCCATGACTTCCTCCCTATTCAACATAGTGGATTCACTCTAAATGCTGCAAGTTATGTCGTTTCAACATATCGATGGCTGATATGCGACATGAAGGAAAACCTCCATCACGGTGGTTCAAAATCTCCAACCTTAGTTCATTCTTTCGATTATGAAAAAGTCAACTTTACATCTCGAAATTAATACAGAATATTCTACCAACAGAGAAAAAAGTAAACGAAGTTTTCAAGAAATCACGTTGACTAGTTTTGTAAGAAAAAAATAGGTATAGGATGACTGGATGCCAAGTACAACGTCGCAAACAAAGATACGTAGTTTTCTCACTTGAGCAATTGACATATGCTCAAAAGTCTCTTTGGTTTTTCGGTATTTTATTAAGTTTGGTTTTTCTCTGAAAGTGTATCACAAAAAAGTGACTTTCCTCGACCAGAAATTTAATTAAGGGCGGAAATGGACGATCAATCGATAAGATACTCTTTGGTACAGGAGGATATATGAAAACATAGCACTCGTCCATAATATCATTCCCTTTATGAAACTTCGGACTTTTAAGATTAGGTACACGAGTTAAGGTCTTACAGATCTTGAAGTTCAGATGCAATTTATTCACTTAAACCTTCCACATCCGTGACACAGAGGTCACCCATGTACTGGTACTGCCTACAACCTAGACTTTAAAAGCTCAAGCCTTGACTAGTTTTTCCCATGCTGCGCCTTTACTTTTCGTGACACGCAACGTAACCTACAGCAAAGTTTGATTAAGTAGTGGTATCACACTGCTGTGCCATTGCTTAACAAAGTAGGTATCTTACACCCATTATTTTCAAATATTCCTGTTTACTTTAATACCCGCACAGAGCAGGGCCGGAAAAGGGGGCGGCAAATTTTGCAATTTTTTTGTAGGTATACAAAAAATCGGATTCAGAAAAAAAAATTATCAATAAGAAAAGGAAACAAAATCTCTTTTTCCTGAGAGTATAGTAATTTCTAATTTCGTCGTTTTTCGGTGATACAAGAGACAGCATCTTTAATTAGTCGAGTTAAGAGAGGAACTAAACACGCAATTTGGCCTGGAGAGGCGCGGCGCAGAGAGCAATGATGCCGAGGACTTGAGATGAAAAGGACAAGCCCTCGGCGCGGCGGTCAGCATGTAACACATATCAGCGCCTACAAGACTGCATGAATACTTCAATCATTGCGCCAAACACAGTGCGGTCACGCGGTCAGGAGCGGTTGGCGTTAAACGCATAGCGCCTACAAGACTGCAGGAATACTTCACGCATTCCGCCGAACACAGTGCGATCAGCGCGGCGCGGCGGAAGTAAAAATTATTAAACCACATGTATGTTTGTTCTTTCATAAGTTTTTGGTTCATTTCTTATAAATGGAGGATCTTGTCCACACAAAGATAGGTTTACGGGACTTAACTTTCGCTTCAAGTTCTGGGAAATTTTGCTAGTAGTGCTGACAGGGCTTTCGCAAAAAAATGTATCCAACACGAGTAGGTAAACGCGTCTTATGCACCCCTCCCCCTCCAGCACGTTCACTTGATGGCTTTTATTGATGTTTCATAACGAATGGGAAGGGGGCGGCAAAATACAGGCGGCAAGTAAGTAAATCCGGCCCTGGCACAGAGCACACAATCCTTTAAACGTTTGAAAAATAATAAATGTTCGTGGTAGATGAGAAACTTACGGAGCATGCATCTTTATCCTTTTCACCGCCTGCACAGAGGAAGTTATAGCTGTCGAAGCGGAAGAAAGGCCCAAGCCTGGTTTGACGGAGTAATCGCTCACACTCGGTGCTACTTAAAACGGTGACGTCCACCTCTTTTTGGATGGATTGGTAGCCGCTTCCTGAACCGTAACCACTCTTCCCCCATCCAGAAACCCAGCATCTGCGAACATGATCATGTCGGATTTCTGCGGTATAATGTATAGGTACTTCACTTAAAAAAAACAGGCGGTCCAATAAGTGGATGCTTCAACGAAATAAGTGATGGGCTCTCGTTGACGAATTTTTCAAGAAGTTAAGTCGTCGTCCCCGTTCCCGTTAGACTAATCTCGAAAAGTTGCATTATTATTTGGTTACAATTCTACTAGAAAAGATAGTTAAAAAAAAAAAAAAAAAAATGACGAAACTGGTACGTTTTAAAGAGACAAATCGTAATAAAGTAATTAATTTTTTTTAAAAAACTTTTTCGGGTATTCTATCAGTAAAAATTTACGCAAAATAAAATTTACATTTAAAAAGTGTCCAAAAACTCTTAAAAGATCCACTGTATAGTTATTAAACGCTTACAATGTTGAAAGAATTTTTGAAAAATTAGACTCTTTTTAGACCCTTTTACGTAAATTTTATCCTACGTTTTTACTTTAAAAAATGCAAAAAAAAGTTTCCAGAGTACGATTCTTAACAGGAGTTTTAAGGTGTTTCGAAAAATGCGACGAAAAGTTTGGACGGGTTGAAATACCTCTCTCCGACGGATGAGTCATACGCTCGTGGCAAACAAACGGTGTTGATGTTCGGTGTGGTATCGTCAATAACTGCAGGGGCCGATAACTTAAGGACAGCCACGTCATTCTGCAAACCATTCTGCTCAAATTGCGGGTGGATCGTCACAACACTGATCTCTCGTTCCACGGGTGGAAAAGTCTCCCTGTTAGTCATAGCATCCCACTCGCCCAACCGCACTTTCAAAGCATTCGTCCTTAACACGAAAAAAAAAAAAATACTTAAAATTATAGAGAGTCTAGGAATTTTTTTAGTTCACACCTTAAAAAGTTCACTTTCAAATTAAGGTCTTTACGTAGAAACATTATGAGTTTTGAAAAGTTAAAGTTTGCTTACCCGGCGAATGGAAGCAATTTGTGGGCGACTGTAACTACATACTGCGGATCAACCAAAGCTCCACTTCCAACATATACATTCGATTTTGTCAAAATTAATACTTGCCACGGGTATGCGCCATACGGAGCCTGTAAAAGATTTCAAAATATAATAAGTCAATGAAAAAACGATTGAATTTAGTTAGGTGCATGCCAATCTCTACAGTTTTGCCTGATGGGAGCGTTGGCAGCCAGGAGAATTTAAGAAGAGCAATCGTTGGACTGAGAGGGAAAATAGAAATTCAATTTAGCTCTTTTTTTCTAGCCTTACGTTTAAGTCTTCGAGAATAACGCCGTGTGTTATTCATAACTCTCGTATAAATGAACCTGTTGTCTTTCAGACTTCAGGAGAACTCAAATGCATTCGGTAACCGAGAAATAATTTAAGTTATTTTTTCTAGCCTTGCGTTTAAGTCTCTGAGAATGACGCCGCTTAGGGAGATGTCACTCATGCTATTTGCACAGATGAATCTAAGGCCTGTGAAAGTTGTTGGCACTGCTTCACCAAAATGCCCCAATGTCATTATTATCGTGACTAATTCTACGTACGCGCCTTACATCCACTGTCAAAATTATGTGTCAATAACTGTACAATAGTATCCTCACCTGGCCTATGCTTCTTGCGAAGTTATTTGTTGGTAGGTAGTTCAATAATCGGGTCCCACATTCTTGCTTGTTGTTCCAACAACAATACACATAACCTGGGCTGCAGTATTTACTTGCTGGGGGCTGAAATGTATATCTTAACAATGTGAATGAACATAAAAGCAATTATCGCTATTTTTTCAACTCCGGAGAGGGACAATTTTTTGTGCACATTATTTTAATGGTTGATTCATTTAATCGTAATAGTATTGATTGAGGCTAGTCAGTATGCCTTTTTAAAGTCGGAAAGTATACAAAGTACAATAAAAATAAAATTCTACACAAATTGATTGCGATAGACGGCTAAAAAATTCCAACTTATCGTAAAAATCTACAGATAAATATACAATATTCGTAAATTGTCTCCAAAATCAGTTACAAACGAGCAGACGTTTTGCTTCATCACGGGGTACAATATTGACAATTATTCTTGAACTAAAGCTTAGGATCCATGTTAAAAATCAAAGTTCATATGATTTTCCTTCGTTATGAAAGTTTTAGGATTAGAGGGGCTTGATTCTATCAACCACATTATTGGTGTTCCATAAGAGTTCTTACTTAATCTTGATGATAACAAATAATACTAGAGAATCCCAATTAAGTGATAGTTCCTCTGAGTAGTGATAAAATTACCGACTTAATGGTAAAATTATCAGTCCACGAAGAATAATAGCAGTACCTATTATTGATTATGATCAGTATCAATTGAGCGTTCATGCGGAGTATCATGGTCATTTTGATCAGTCTTTTTGCGGAGTACTATTTTGTATGGAATTTATTATACTGGGCATTACTATGAGAAATTTTCATTCGCAAATTGCGTTAATTTGTTAAAATATTTGCGACGTCACAAAGCGAGACACGTAATCTCATTACTGTACTATCAACTTGAATTAATTTACCGTCACAATCCGAACATCCAGTTGTCCTGACGAGAGGTCTGACGATGACTGTTGGCACAAATAAGCTGGTTGGCAATAACAATTCTTGTTTCCATCATAGCCTGAAAGGAAAAAGTTTAAAAGGACCGTCTCTTTGGCTCATTGAAAAAAACGCAAAGCGATCTGATAAATTAAACCATATCGCAAATGAAGTGAGTTAGGGTTGAATTCACAATTGCTGCTTAAATTTTAATGGTCATAAGATTTGCATTCTTTAGGGAGGCTTAACGTCGAAGGAACAATTATGAACATCACTCTAAGGCTTTAGAGGCACGTTGGTATTTTCGTGCGGCACGACTCGCAGTAGATAGTAACGCCTCATAATGTAGCTATTCCTTGCTCCTTGGCTGCTCACGTTGCATACACGAAAAATTGAAGGCGCTTTCACTTACCCACGCAGCTACGCAAATGCATGATTAATGGTTGTTAAACTCAAAAATCATGCATATTGAAGCTAAACACAGAATAAAATGTAAAATATGCAACACATAATGAAAATACTGAACTTGATGGAAAACAAAAACGATGCCATTTTTGGTTTCACTCATAGTTTTGCATTTAATTTCAAAATTCATTGAATATTTTCGTTATTCTGCCGTAAACACCATTTAAGGGGCTTGGAGGACAAAGCGCATAAGTGCAGTTTTTGCTGTTTCGAGAAATTTGTGTGTGAAGTTTCGAAATTACGAGAGCGAGAGACACAATAGCCCGAATGTAGACAACAATAAAAACACACTAAAATACAAAAACAAATTGGTATACAAGGCTAGAGGAGACATAAAACGACCAGGACGTTTCGGGCCAATTACATGCCCATTCTCCACTGGAACAGAAGCTAAAAAATGTAAAAATTAAAACGAGAAAATGAGCATGCGCAACAGCAACAGCAACAAGCAACACCCCTACCTCGGTCAGTTGCATGCTCATTTTCTCGTTTTAATTTTTACACTTTTTAGCTAGGTACAGAAGCTAGGTACTTACATTTTTTTACAGAAGCTTTAAAACGAGAAAATGAGCATGCAACACCCCTACCTCGGTCGGTTGCATGCTCATTTTCTCGTTTTAATTTTTACATTTTTTAGCTTCTGCTTCAGTTGAGAATGGGCATGTAATTGGCCCGAAACGTCCTGGTTGTTTTATGTCTCCTCTAGCCTTGTATACCCATTTGTTTTTGTATTTTAGTGTGTTTTTATTGTTTCGAAATTACATGGATCTTTATGGTGGAAAGAAAGTTCAAACCGACTTTTTGATGCTTGAAAATTGGAATTTGGTAGCGAATTCTTCACAGATTATGCAGTAAGATTAGTTTTACTTGAAATCATCGATATCTCAATAATTTAAAAAATTGCACTTATGCGCCTTGTCCTCCAATTCCCTCAATTATTTTCGACTTTTGGGTCAATATGTGGTCTTATTCTCCAACTTTCCTCAGTCTTCTGTGACTCTTTCCCCTGACTCCCCAAGAGTATTTGGACCGCGTTAAACAGAAAAGAACCAAGCCACATCAGCTATTGCCTTTAATCGGGCAATTTAATTTTTTACATGAAAACGGTTGTGCGGATTTTCGTGCAAATTTTAGTGAATTTTTTCCATAATACAAAGCAAATTCCTTAAAATTTTCAAGGGAATCCGCACGAACGTTCTCTCGTAAAAAATAAAATTTCCCTGTTAAATTTGGCAATAGCTGATGTGGCTTTGTTCCTTTCTGTTTAACGCGGTCCATTTTTGACTGTCGCCATCCTGTCAAATTCCAGTTGGGGAAGAAGGAGAGTAACTTACGCTGCTCTAGTAATAGCGATTGAACGGGACGCACCGAATTTCTGGCGGGACGCCCTGTCGTTGGGGGAGACGGCGACGTCGAAGATGATGCGGAAGAGGGATCCGATGAGGGAGGTGGTGTCCTCCTCGGGGAGGAACGCCGTGATGGCGGCAACCCGCCAGACGCCGATGAGGAGCCACGCGGACACGGACGACCGCGACACCGCTCCACCGGAGACTCGCATTTTCGGCCGACTGCCGAGTCGCCCGCCGCCGGGAATCCACCGGGAATTTTAAGCAGGCCTTGGTCGGGCTCCCCAGCCGGGAGCTTCCGCCCGACAAACGGGAACAATCAGTCTTCGAGAAACTGATCGCTTACTCATACGCGCACAGTGGGATTCCTAGGCAGGAGCAAGACACGGCTAAAAAAGAAAATTGATTTTTTTTTTTTTTTTTTTTAAAGTTTTTTGAGGTCTTTAATCTATTTGAGGATTCTGCAACAAAATAGACATGGTTGTGTACCTATGTTCATAGGCGAATCCAAGAGGAAAATAGGAGCTACGCCGCCCCCCCCCCCTTAGAGTACCTATATTGAGAGAGTATGGCCACTGGGCCCCATGGAGAGGCTTAGGACCCAAAAATGGCGGTGCGTTGTTTTGGTTTTTGTGGATGGGAGGGGGTCATTGCCAACTTTTGACGGTTTTCACCAACCGCACTTGCTGCCAACCTTACTACTTCTAAGATAATTTTTCTCAAAAATTGCACACGATTAGCCATAAAAATATGTAAAGAAGTCGCAAAAGTGCATTTTGATAAATTCCTCGTTACGATCAGCAAAGAAAACTACATTTTGAGTTATTTTGCATTACATTAATTTATGGCGTCCGCCATTTTTGGGTCCTAAGGGCTCCATTCAGCCTAAGATGGCTGAGCCAATCAGATGTGGTAACACCAGTGGCCATACTCTCTCAATATAGGTACTCTACCTCCCCACCCCCCCCTCATTGACCCGAAAAACCTGGGAACCCGGAAATGCCACTAAGGGGTATTCCACACCCCCCTGACTCTCCTGGTGGATATGGAGGGAAGGAGGGGGAGTAAACAAACTTCATATCAGTTTTCTTTAGAAGAAAATAAATTAATAAATGAGGGCCTTGAAGGACAGTGCGCATAAGTGCAGTTTTTGAAAAAAATTGAGATTATTCATGAGCTCAGCTAAAACTAGTTTGATACTATATTCTGTAAAAAATTCACAACTAAAATCCAGTTTAAACTTCCTCTCTGCTACAAGGATCCATTTAAACTCGGAACTTTAAACACGTATTTCTTGAAATGGCGAAAACTGCACTTATGCGCCTTGTCCTCCAGGCCCCTCAAATCATGACTTGCGACGTTCCAGTCCAAGATGTGACGTTGTAAAAAATGAGAGATATCTTTAGCTAAAGTACCTATCCGATAATTCATTCTATTTTCATCTTCAGACTGTGTCCAGGGCTCACCCGGTTTTGTTCCACTGAGTGTTGCGTGCTTCAAGAAAAGCGAATTGGTCTCGGTGTCAGTCCGTTTTCGCGGTAATCGGAATAAGTGGATAAATTGCGAGGATATGCCCTTGAAGTACTCAAAATTGACCTATGCGCAAAATACTATGCAGATATGAGATCCTCCTATTCAAGATAGATCATTGAATAGAATTTCGCGAACACGCCAAGCACTTTTTTAAGGTTTTTTGTGAATTTCTGAAGCTCCCACTCAAACCTTCAAACAATTTTTACCTTCTCTTGGATTTCACGGTATTGCGACGCTTCCAGTCCTTATGTTACACGAACAGAGCTGAGTACGTAGTATGGACCGAACGTAGAATCATACCGCGTGTAATGTAATGTCCTTTACGGAATCGGACCCTTGTCTCCTTCGATGGGTAAACAGAATACCTTTATAGAGAGACCACTTAGGGACACAGACAAATGGCAGGGACTCTGGACTGCAGGGGGTTGATGCTGACCGTTGACGGTTATTACCCTGGGAAAAGGAGGCCATCGGGCTGATTATTGAAAGTGATAGACAAAGCATTAGACAAAGAGGACAAAGAGAAAATTTAATTCTACCCTGAAAAAAATGGTCGTCCATACTGCTTGGGAAATCTAAGGTGTGAACTGCTCGCATATACGGTCTGGCTTTCACGACTAGGGCATAGATGTGCCGTAAGCAAGTCGTGTATGGAAAAGCATGTGTTTGAACTTACCGTTCATACGGTATGGACGCTGGGTTCATACGGTATGGACGCTGGGTTCATACGGTATGGACGCTGGGTCCATACGATGGAAGACGCTGGGTCCACACGGTATGGACTCAGAGTACATACTCTTCGTATGTAATATTTGTTCATACTAAAATGGACTCTATCTCTATTCGGCATATATCTAGGTCGGCATCAAATTTTTCACAGTCCGTATGTGGACCCGACCCATAATTCATGAAGCGTGAGTGCACACATTATTTTCAGTGTATAACAACCACCCGTTTCAACTAATAGGATCGCTCCATTTGCCCTTCGTCTTCTTCGTCCAACGCTTTTCCTATCAATTTTAATAATTAGCGCCCAGGCCGATCCCAGGAAACTTTTCTAGCTATGCTCATGCATGCTAATAAAAACTCTTTTTTTTGTAATTTTAAATCATCTGCAAACAACGAACGCCATTTGTTTTGGATTTTAAGAGGTCCATACTTATAAGGAGCGGCGATTCTCAGAAGTTCACAACTTTGTTATTCCTAGCAGGGCCGGATTAAGGGGGTGGCCACATGGGCCGCGGCCCATGGCGGCAAATCTATAGGGGGCGGCTTTTGAAATTTTTTTAAATGTAGGTATAGAAAATTCGAATTTAGAAAAAAAAATTACGAACGAGAAAAGGCGACAAAATCTCTAATTTTCTGAGAGTATAGAAATTTCTACCTTTGTCGTCTATCAGTGATACAAGAGACAGCACCTTTAATTAGTCGAGTTAAGAGAGAAACTAAACACGCAATTTGGCCTGGAACGGGCGCGACTCAGAGAGAAACGATGACGAGGACTTGAGATGAAAAGGAGAAGCCCTCGGCACGGCGATCGGCATGTAACACATATTAGCCCCTACATGATTGCACAAATACTTCACGCATTGCGGCAAACACAGTGCGATCAGCGTGAAACGTATAGCGCCTACAAGACTGCGTAAATACTTCACGCAGTGCGTCAAACACATTGCGTTCAGCAGCGGTCGGCGAGAAACTCATAACGCCTACAAGACAGTCGGAATACTTCACGCATTGCGCCAAACACGGTGCGGTCTGCGCGGCGCGGCGGCAGAAGTTAAAATCATTAATCCACATTTATGTCTGTTCTTTCATAATTTTTTCGTTCATTTCTTATGAATGGAAGACCTTGTCAACACAGAGATAGATTTACGAGACTTAACTTTCGCGCAACGTTCCGTGAACTTTTGCTAGTAGTGTTGACAGGGCTTTCCCAAAAAAATGTGTTCAACACAAGTGAACGCGTCTTATGCACCCCTCCCCCGCTGGCACGTTCATTTGATGGTTTTTATTGATGTTCCAAAACGAATAAGAATAAGGGGGCGGCAAAATACAGGCGGCCCACGGGCGGCAAGTAGGTAGGTAAATCCGGCCCTGATTCCTAGTCCATTTATCGATTGTATCGATTTATGGTGAAGCAGCTTGCCTCGGCTAAAATCGATGGATTTAATGGATTTAAATGAATGACAATTAATGAAAAACAGCATTGCCAACTTGCAAAATTGCCACTGGGCATATGATCGCCGAGTCATTAAGAAATGGAGCCTTTGGTGTCTTTGTTCGTACTTTCACCATGCACAAACGCACTTTTCAAATAATTGCGGTCCCATTTTGTGCATTTTTTCCTCTTTCGTTTACGTACACCGAATAACTGCCTCAAAATGACGTGATGTTTAAAAGATACAGCTCGACTTTCGACCAGTTCCACAAACTGCGGTCCGACCGGGATTGCGTGTGTTTATGCGCGACTCATCCGTGGAATATTAATAAGTAAAAATTGGAGGTTCGTAATTACAGCTTCATTATCTTCATTGTGTCTTCGTGGCAACGTCATCGCAAGGCTGCCCGATCTCACGGAAATCACCGAGATTGAATGGCGAGTCGTGACGGCAATCTCGAACACTTGACAACGTGGATCGTCTGTCATTCGGTTGAGGAGAGATCGTTTCTTTCTCTGATTGGAAATGCAAAACCACTTACTTGATGTACTTTTTCTCCATGTTTTCAGCCGAAACGAAACGAGTAATTCACATGTTTGGCATTTCTAGGTTTTGTCAGTCTGTATCTTCAGTTTCCTCAGACTAAAAAAACGCAACCTTAGTATGCGACACTGCTGATTCTTTATTATATTTTATCTTTTCAAATTGAAAATCAATGCTTAGTTAAGATTAAAAATGAGTAATTTATTTATCCTTTAAAAAAAGTTCTTATTTATTTTATGGGTGCGTGTGTTTGGGGAAGCAACTTTTTTATCTAAAAACTAAGCGCGATAAATTTAGTTTTTTCTCCAGGAATTAAGTGCATAAATTGGAGCGCGGATTTTGAAACAGCGCAATCAAGATTCCGATGTGTGTTGCGCACCGGTGGGCAAAATCCTTAACTCCTCGCAGATAAGTTGATAGGTTTTTTCGAAGGATCCTCCCTGCCACCTACGCTATAGAGATCTTTTATACAGAAAATTAACGGATGTTCCTGGCAGAGATTTTGAGAGCTTAATTTTGAAAGCGTAAATATAAATGAAATGAAATAAAATAAAATTTGAAAACCATAACCTTGCAAATAGCCTTATTAGCTTTATATAGCCTGTTTGCCTTCTTTGCAAGATTTTAGTTTATTTTACTTATATTTCGCCTTGCTCATTGCAAACACGTTTGAAATAAATATAGATCACCCGAAATTATTTCAATCAAATATTTTTACGAGGTAATGAAAAAGGGATGAGACATTTTTCGAAATGTAAACAATTATATCGCTGGTTAAACTGAAAAAACTAAACTATTCACCTTGGTTCGCGACGTAGCACACTTCCCAACATCCTATTAAATGTGTCTTTTATAAAGGATACTAATCATCGTAATTGGATCGCATTCCGTGTGATTTTTCCTCACCCTTTCGAGAACATTTTTTGAAAATGTCGTGTAAAATGTCCTATACCTATTGTTTTATAAAATAAAAATGGGACAGAAATTTTGAACACTCGGACACGTGTTTTTGTGGTTTCACAGTCGAAATTTTCTTTATAAAGAGACATTTTCCCTAATTAGTCATTATATGCTTTTTTGAAACATCGAAAGTTGAAGTACGGTTTTTTTTAAAAGTAGTCGCTGAAACCTCTCAGTATTTTAAATGCCAACTCTCTGGGGCAAAGCATAAGTCCCGTAAGAAAAAACCTTTATGTCATTATCTTATTATCGACAGAGAAGAATGAAAGGGACGTCGCCCCTTCAATACCTGGAGCGATAACTATTCGGGCACGATTGTCGCGGAATTGCATACTCGTCATTTTTGAAGGGACTCCACCGCAACGCGGAGCGAGCGGCCAGTGAATTAAAGATGTATGATTACCCCATTAACAGTGCGGTATTTTTTTGCTTGACTTTGCCTCCGATTGTCGAGAGGTGGATGACGTGAGAAAATTGGAGAGAGAGAGAGTGGGGGAAAAAAAAACTTTATTTCAGTCGCAATTGAAATTTCAAAGTATGTCTTCCATAACAAGATAATAAAACTATCCTTGAGGTTCATGTCCACATCCTTCACGTTGAGAAAGACCGGAAGATATTTCATTTGGTTGCGTGGTACGGGGAAGCAACGTAACCTCCATCGACCAATAGAGAGATTCCATTGATCATCGATGACTTGTCACTCAGGAGAAACATAACCGCGTCTGCTACCTCATCGACCTCTGAAAGAGTGACAGAAGAACAATATAATAAGCCCGTAAAGTGGATAGTGTCATATCGTGAAAGGAGATCGAGCTTCCAAAAATCAGGCTTGAAAAAGCATATTTTAAGCTGTGCTTTTTTTCTTTTCTTTCTATCAAAATAGAATTTCAATAATTAGCTCTGGCATTAGAATAATAAACACTCAGCTAGAATCGGTAGACATAGTGAATTTCAATTCCAAAATCTCTATCAGAATTTGAATGCATTTAAGTTGGAGAGACAGGTTCTGGTTTGTTTTCAGCGACAAAGTCAGACACCTTTCACTGGATTCTTGGCTTACAGGTGGGAACTTATACTTTCTGGATACCGCTACTCAACATTCGAGAATACCTATATTGATGAAAGTGTTGAAAATTGCCGCGATACCACAGTAAAATCTTTAATCGTCTTCGGAAATATTTCTTAGCGCAACTACTGCTTATCAGAAGGACACCTAATCTGTCATGCTAAGGAAGTAAGGAAGAACGCCCTATGAGCCTTCAGGCGTTGCCAAACTTCCTGTGACAAATCACTAATTTTCAGGAAAGTTTGTGAATATTTTTCTTCCGATTTCTCAGATAATTGTGTTCAGAATATGCTCTGAATTTCCTTAAATTTTCAAGGAAAATAATTCATAACTTTCCTCGAAAATAAACATTTCTTCAGAGGTTGTTTGGCAATAACTCTCGAATGTTCATACGGCGTTCTTCCTTACCCTGGTAAAAATTGGCAGTAGAATCTGTGTTCCAAAATACCATAGACCTACGGCCGGCTGTAAGATTTCCAATAGCTTCTATAGCCGGCTACATAATTTCTTATAGCCTTTCATAGCCGATGGCGACTAAGCAACAGCCTGGCGATAAAGTGTATGCTGAACGTTACTAATTACGGATGCTATAGGACTTAGTGAGTTTTTGGACTAACGCTCTCCTTTTGGGCAGTAATATCTATATTTATTTTGCGAGGAAAGCTCCGTACTTTTGAAGGATGCCTGCCATTTCTAACATGTTGGAGCGCCTTCAATTTCGTATGATACTGTGCAATACCTCTGGTGTGAAATAGTTGCTTCAAGCGCCGTGGTACGCTGCGGCGCCGCGCGGCGGGCGGGTAGCCAGCGCGAAACGCGCATTGGCGCCTTCAAACCTAACAGGGATACTTCGCGCATTGCGCAATGCGTGAAGTATCCCTGTTAAGTTTGTAGGCGCCAGTTTGCCGCCGCTCCGCTTTGTGTTAGGCTCTAATATTTAATCTCGTGGAGTCAGCGTTTTTCAACTCATGACTTCGAAATGTTTGCACACTCTGTATGAATTATTCTCCTCTTAATTGATGAAAACAAATATGTAGTAAAGGAAAATAATATGTGCGTTTTGTAAATATTATGGTGGTTCCGAGCAAACTTACGGATTTACAAACCACACGAATTTCTACACAATTTCTTATAGCCTTTTATAGCCGATGGCGAAAAAGCAACAGCCAGGCGATAAAGTGTAAAGCCCGGCGATAGGAACTATAGCCCGGCTGTATAATTTTGTATCGCTTCGTGTAGCCCGGCCGTATGATTTTTTCCACTTTCTACAGCCAGCTATATGATTTTCTATCGCCTTCTTTAGTCGGCTTTAAGTACTCCTATGGTATTTTGAAACGCAACTCCTATCGCCAATTTTTACCAGGGTAGCACGGCAGTATAGTATTCTAGAAGTTGTGCTATTCTTTTATGAAACTTACCAGCGAATCGGCCAAGCGGAATCCGCTGCAAAGCAGGTTCCCCTCTGGAGGGCTCCGACCACCAGTTGGCACCCATTTTAGTTAGGACAATCGTCGGATTGACGCTGTTGGTGCGGACGTTGTATTTGCCCAGTTCCAGCGCCATCACCCGCGTCACACCATCCAATGCCGCCTTCGTGCTACAGTAAATCGTATGATCCTCGTGGCCCTTCTACAATTGAAAACGATACTCAATTTTAAAATAAACCGTTTTAAAATTCCAACGTGAACCTTTGAAACAAATGAAGTAAGGGCAGCACTTTTCAACAAAGAGGAACTAAGATACATCAGTCAGCGGAAGACTACCTCGGCAAAATAGTCCTTTTAAAAGAAAATTACGACTGGCCGAATCATTTTAAAATAAGTTGAAGGTCTTTATTGTCTCGGAATTGTTCGAAAGTACTTACATCTAAAGTACTTCAGATGTAAGAACTGAAGTCTCAGATGTGTGATCCGAACCTCGACAGCTAGACCTAAAGTGTTCAGATGCTCAATCCGAAAACTTCAGAGATCCATATGACCTAAACTTCGGGTCCCACGCACGCGGTTTTTTTCTCCGTGTATGTTCATCTTCCTGAGTGAACTTACCATTGCCGACTGCGATGAAACGTTGACTATGCTGCCGTTCCTCCGCTCAACCATCCCTTTCGCGACGACTTGTGCGACATTGATTGCTGCTTTCACGTTTACACCGAATGATCTTTAGAATGCAACAAAGGAAAATTATGATGAGTAAAACTAGTTTGATGGATTATACGAGGAGCTTGGAGGACAAGGCGATTAAGTGCAGTTTCTGAAAAACTTGAATATTAGTAATTTTAAATAAAACTAGTCCTGAAATATACTTAGTCTGTAAAAAAAATCACCAATAAAATACAATTTATAAGCATCAAAATGTGAGTTTGAACTTTCTTTCTGCCATAAGGCTCGGAATTTTGGGACTCTGATCACGTAAGTATAAATGACAGAAAGTTCACTTTTGCGTCTTGCCTTCAAAGCCCCTCATGTATGAGAGTAAAAGGATATTCATATACATTACTCAGAAAGCTTGAGGATCCAAATAACACAGTTCCATGAAAATTTTGAAATATGGTTGCAATTTGAAACAAAAGTAGGTATTAAATTTTTTTACCATGACATTGCAATATTTTTATATAATTTATTTCGGAAATCCCAATTTAAACGATTAATTAAATGAGATCCATGTCTTAGGAATTTAAGCAATTTTCAGTTCGACAAAATATTTCAACGCCTCTTTAAATTTTACTGCAGTAAATGTCAATAAGAAGGGCCCCTTCAATTATTAGATAGGCAACATGCACGATAATCTGATACAATAAACTAGTTTTACCGTGCCATTGTCTCATTTTTTTGCAACCTGCAATGCTGCTGGGGTGGGGATTTCAAATCGTTTAGACACACGTAATGGAAAAAGTGTTGTTGGTCTTGGACTTTAATCTCATCAGTGGCGTGGCGTGAATAATCGATTATCGATATCTCGCAATTTGAAGCTATGGTGAAGAATCGATTACCAAGGTGTCCGCTGCGAACACCCTGATAATCGATCTTATTTCATAGGTTTAAATGACACCACAATCGATATATCGCAATTCACGCCACGCCACTGCAATCTGAATCATAGAAGAGAGCGTGCTGCGGTGCTTCTTCTGATGTCTTATTTCTCCCAAAACCCTTAGAATCCTCACAATACTTTCGGTAAAACAATGCTGAAAGTCTTTCCTCAAACTTGAAATCTCCTGGGCATATTCTTATAGTCTAGGAGAAATTCACGGGAAGTTTAAAAGGATCATTTACATGTTCCTTTTAAACGTTCCGTTTAGTTCTTTGTGAGAAAAATACCAACATTAGACACAATTAATATACACGAGAGGGCGTTAGGTGACTCTTAGTTAAAGCTGTCTCAATAGTGTTCCATAAAGTGTATACATTTTTTATCCGTTTGTCTTCTTTAAAGTATGATGCTCACTTGTCAAAATCATCCTCGGTTATGTCGAAGAAGTGGTTGATCTTCGCTATGGCTGCGTTGTTCACCAATCCATCCACCGGGCCAATATTTTCCAGTGCCCTCCTTGTCTCGGCCCAACCATCCAAGTCCACCACTATTGGCTCGATATTCGGGTTCTCCTGTGCAAGTTCTTGGAGGGGACCTCGCGTTCTCGACAAAGCCAAAACTTTCGCCCCGCTCTTGGCCAGCCTCAAACATATGCCCCTTCCAATGCCTTTCAACGTAAAATTGGTCAGTTAAAAAATGATCGAAACACGATCTCACGCAGAAATCAGACAAATTTTGGACAAAAATTACCAAAGTTCGTTCTCGTAAAAAACAGATAGTTTGAGTCACTGTTCCAATCTTGGAATAGAGTTACGTTCCTTCGCGCGGGTAACGACAAATTATGGGATATTACGAGGGAGGCAGCTGACCGTTATTTCCTGAAAATACTTCCTAAAAGAAGAATCGGACATCAAATCGAAAAAAATGAGTGTCAGCACTGCCGAAAAAAGGAGCGGCGTAATCAGGCCTCGTTTTTTGACTTTTCTTCAAAATCTCAGCGACTCTTCATTAGCAGCATAGAGCGGAACATAGCGAGGTCACATCTCACGCTATGCCATCGCGCCTTCAATTTTGCGTATTATGCAACACGGACGTCCACCAAGGGCAAATAGTTATATCTCTGAGCTGTCGTCGACGCGTGCTGATGTGTGTCTTATTTTTTTAAATTCGAGAAAAAGGTTAAGTTTGCCAAAGGTTAGGCTGTGCTATTACGTATCCAAATTTATAATCATTTTGAAAAAAAAGAAAAAGTAATATGTTTAGGTGCCTCTCAAGCGCCCCAAAGGGCTCACGTCTAAAATTGTATATTTCGGCGCCAGTTGCGTCGTGCCGGGGAATTTTTGTTTCACGACAACCTCTAGAAATCCCAAACCGCGTCTAATTGACCCAACTATCTCTTCTGAAGAAGTTGCATGGCGAGTGTGGAGAGGAATGTGAGAAAGCGCTAGTACGTCATCGAAAATGTGAAAATTACAAAATAAAGTATTTCTCACCTTCAAAAACATGGATATAACATAGGTATTACTTCAAAAACGATGAAATCATAATGTATGAAAATACGGGTCAACGGACTCGGGACTTTCGTATAAAAACAGTCTTGGGCATCTAAGGGTTAAACTTTCGATAATCGGCCCGCTAGACTAAATTAGCCTGTTTTTCCCATGGGCGGTCCCGTATACACAATTAGGCTCTACTTTTTTCTACACATACACTTTTCTTTTTTTTCCTGTCACAGGTGTATTACGCTACTTTTCTCATGGATTGCAGAGGATTTTCTTGATGAAGAAAATCTTCATAAGTGTAAATCTACAAGATTCAAGAAATGAGATTGTAAAAGTAAAGTCACCTTGTCCTGCGCCAGTGACGAGGATAGTTTTTCCCTCAAAATTGAACTCCATCACTTATATCTGTTAAATCTGAAAACTAAAAAAATTTTATTGATTAGAATTAAGTTGGTTTAAACTAATCTTTCGGCGATTTTAAAATAAACAACATTTTAAGGTGATTCAAGAAATTCCAAGCGTTTCCTTTCGAGGCCCGTAACGTCTCAGGCTCATCAGTGTGATTAAATCAACCCGGAGCAGCGCGGTGACTCGGTGAGTCGTCAATAGAGCAAAATATCAAAACGCCTTCAATTTTTTGACTATGCAATATAAGAAGCTGATGAGCTGGAATAGTTACATAGCGGTGCCGTATAAGGCGTTATCATCGACGAACGTTCCGCTAGAGCATCCGCCCGCCCGGATTTTAGCCAATGATATTGTTCTCTTTCAGTCATTTGTAAAAAAATAAAAATGTAAACATCTTATGATTTCCTTTTTCCGACATGCAATGATTACAGCGCGGTACCTCTGATCACTCATTTGCACGAAAGGAAAAATCAAATGCATTTTTTACAATCATAACGAATACTTCGTCATAATGTAGACTGAATAATGTCAGGCGACGGCGGAGGTTGAATCATCGCATGTCGATTGTGACGTTCCAAAATCTTTACAGTTTTATTTTTAGTAATTTATTTATAAATAATCTTTAATGAATTGATAACATTTATAGGCTGAGTTTTTCACAGAATACTCCGTATCGAAAAAATTGCAATAAATGTGGGATCAGTCCTCAAAATGACGTTCAACAGTTTCTCTTCAGAAAAATTAAATTCGGCAAGAAATTTGCAATTTTCAACATTCACTATCGATGACAATGTCGAAAATTCGAAACATTATGAAAACTGTAAAGCTACACTCAAACGATACCTTAGACCCTCTACCAATAAACCTTTATGACGAATCAATTTATGGGGTTTCTTTAATAAAGGTGGTAAAAAGCATTTCCCTTTGAACCAGATGTATACACTGAGGGCACCGCCAAATATAATTACAGCCAATGTCAAAGGAGACTGACTGTAGGACCTGTGTAAACGACACCGATGTCAGTCTCGAATCATGACTCTCGATCAGTGTCCGATCAGTGCTTTTAAAAATCGAGGTCAGTGCTGATGAGCCTTGAGATCAGTGCCCATGAGCATTGAACTGACACTGGTTAAGACTGACGCCGGGGTTGTTTTTACGTATTTACACTGGTCTCAGTATTTTTTGACACTGGCTCGAGGGTTATTTGGCGCTGACCTCAGTGTCAGAACTGTCCGCATAAAGACAAGTGCATGCCACTATAACAATTGGACCAAGTTCATCAGAAAGTAACCAACCCACATCAAGTTGAAACTGAGAAAATAAGAGGTTTGAAGTTTTATTCCTCCATAAGACTCAATATGTAGAATGTAAAATTTAATCTATCTTTTTACTAACTAATCTTTTTCTTTCGACTTGAAGTTTTTGGCAGGAGAAAATATGCAACTAGAGGAACTCAAAAACATTCTTAACTCAATTTCTTCGAAAATGTGGGTTGGTTCCTTTCTGATGGACTCGGTCAAATTCTCACTAAATTCGAACTTTGAAATTGGAAAGATGCAGAAATAAGGGGTCGTCACACGATATCGCATCCTGCCAGAGGCTCTTAAGAGTGAAAATATCATCAAATTCATTTATTATCTCAAAACTATTGCATGCTGATGGTTAAATCAGAGAAACACTTATTTCGATCGCGGTATTTCGGAATCCCCACTCTTAAGTATCATACTTTTTAATATTTACAGAGGAGCGAACCAACCTCGCCCAGACGCTGCAGAAATTCTAGTTGGCAAATTCCTTGATTTTCACTGTTGAAAAGAGTTAATGCAGTTTAGACAGTTTCACTAACTGGACACAGAGACACTCCAAAACTCACAGTACCTCAGCTAACACTACTGGCGCGTCGAGGCTCCCCACGACAATTTCAAAATGAGAGCCAATTTTTTCTGGGCAATTTAGACAATTAGGAAAAATCCGAACTCTTAAACGTGTCGTGAAACGGGAAGGGGTCGCTCTGGATGTATCAAATTGAAAGGTACATCTATCATTCTACAAGAATTAAACTTTGTGCGCCATTTGTGTGTATACAATTATCCATTTCGGCTGTCTAATCATTTGCTTCACTAGAAACGTGAGAGGGGAAAAATTGTACCCATGTATCGCGAGGAAAGTTCCTGACCATTTTCCTGGTGGCTATTGCACTAGCTCAGCTCCAAATGAATACGTATAGTATATATGTACCCTTATAGAAGAAAATTATCACTCGTAGGTATTTAAAATTGCGACATTGGAGGTCTCCACTCATCCCACAAAAAAAAAAAATTACACAAAATTGCGAGTGAAAATTTTGATTGTTTTTTCTTGAAGAAAGTATATCATAATCAAAGATTTTTATACATTGCCATTGAAGTACGTATTTTTCACATTAAGCCGCGAAGCGGCTTCAGCCGGTATTAAGCGGCAGCAGCGAAGTGTCGAACTTCAATTAAACTTCGACCATACCTATTAGACACGAAAGAAATCATGCTCAGGACATCACGATATCAAAAATGAAATAGGAAAGATACTCACACCTTACGCCTGTATGCGACCATTCGTGCCTGTGAGATATTTGTGTGGTGTACAGAAAAAATCAAAAGCACTCTGCCATTTTGAATCCTCGCGGCAAAGCTCGCCGTTGGCGCCGCAGGTGAAGCGGCGAGTGCCTGGACAGTCAAAACGCCTGCACTTCTGTGCGTATGCAACGCGGACATCCAAGGAGTCCGAATAGTTGCATTCGATCAGGAGTTAAAACTAATTTCGTCGCATTGGGCGATTTGTTTGTTTCATTCGCACCGTAACTTAATTCCAGCGTTGCCTATTGTGCCAATAAAGTAAACCACTACTGATTTTTATCGCGACATTGCCAATTTTCCGGATAATGGTTTGATTGTTTAAATATATCACAACGGTGCCGTCCTAAAATGTGGGCTGTAACCCCTACCTTCTCTGATCTAAAAACGACGAATGCGGCAAAGTTATTTCATATATCCCTCCTGAAATGTGGGCTGCGTTTAGAACATTCTGCATAAATTTCGAGGTATGAAAATGGCATAATTCTCACCGATAAAAAAAAAAAAAAAAAAAAAAAAAAAAAAAAAAAACCGAAAAAACGCTGCAATGGAGGCCCACTGGTTTCGCACTTTTGGTCATCGATTGCAAACACCAAGAATGAACGTAAAATTGCAGGGACAATTCCATTAAGTCTTCGTGATCGCTATTACGGAAATTTTGTGCACACGCGTCTTCGAGAGAGAATACCCAGCCCAATTTTCTCAGAAACTATTTAATGATACCTGTTACGTTCATGATGGATGATTAAATCATAGTAGTTATATTTTCTATTTATAGCCGCGTTGATGATCGTTTAGAAGATTGTCCGTTACAGCGGCTAAAAAAAGCACCAAATTGAGATTGAGAGCAAGGGGGTAAGCCACAATTAACCGTTGGTGATGGGTGGGTATCCGTGCGATTATGAATTCTTTTCCAGTTCAATATTGATAATTCTCACAGGGCCGTTCGAGCATTTACGTGAGCTTTTTGAGGGAGAGGGTGTCTGAGCGTGCTTTGCGGCGGAGGGAGTTATAAGTCCAGTATTCTCTTAGACAAAAAATGTAAGATTGAAAAGAGAATTTTCGGCCATTTTTTGGGCTAAGCTGCCTCCGTTGTTTTGAAAAAATCAGACCCGTTTTACGTAATTCAAAAGGGTAATGAGAGGTTGTCCGACGAGTGTCTTGACAGGAGGGGAAAGGGGAAGGGGGGGGGGTTAAAAAGAAACGAAGCATATTGAACAAAAATATGAGCGAGATAAATAGCAGAAGTTGCTGCTCTCTTCTACACTCGCAAAAACATTGGCCCGACGTGTTTTTACGTCTGTGTGTGTCCACGTGACCGAAATTTGTCGCAACTCGAGAGCGATGGCGATTTAATGTGTTTCACTACTCTGCCGTGCTAAGGAAGAACGCCGTGAGAACCTTCAGACGTTGCCGAATTTCCATTGATGGAACAGGAATTTCCTGGTAAATTTATGAATATTTTCCTTCCAATTTGCCAGATAATATTGTTTACATTTTTACCTAAAGTTCCTGAAAATTTCGAGGAAAAATATTCATAACTTTCCTAAAAAATGAACATTTTATCGAGGGAAATTTGGCAACTCTCGAATGTTCATACGGCGTTTTTCCTTAGCATGGCAGTACTACACTCGCAAACGAACGAGCCTCGCGATCAAACGTGCGTGAGTCTGCACGTGGTCCTTTGATAGCCGAAAAAGGCCGCTTTGAACGCCGTGTGCGAGACAGAAAGTGACGGTGACAAGTTTTGGTCACGTGCACACCCTCACAGACGTAAAAACACACGACCAATGCTCTTTTTAGCGGGTGTGGTAGCGAGGCTTACAATACTGCCGTGCTAATGGAAGAACATCGCATGAACATTCGAGAATTGCCAAATTTCCTTCGATGAAATGTTTACTTTGAAGGATTAATGTTATGAATATTTTTCTTTGAAATTTTCAGGAGCTCTAGGCGAAATCTCGAACAAAATTATCTGAAAAATTGGAAGAAAAATATTCAAAAGTTTACGCGGAAATTGGTGTCATATCAAAGGAAATTTGGCAACGCCTGAAGGTTCATACGACGTTTTTCCTCAGCACGGCGGAATACCGCTATCTCGCTGGCACTCACTCTCTAAGAGGATGGACGTTCATGGCTGAATTTCCATGACATACTCATGGTGGGTTTTTGAAAATAGTTTTATGCAAAATAGTCGCAATGTCCAGATTAGGCTTCCAGAGGTCATTGCATTAATTTCTAGTAATGGCTTCTACACTGTGGCCTTTGGATTTATGCAGTATCATTGCTAAGACATTGGCAATACAATGCAATGAAACATTGTATCGGAATAAAACAATCTCAGTGTTGCTGCCTGACCAGGAATGTTTACATGCCCACCAGCCAAGCAGGGTGATGATAGAAGGCTATAATGGACACCTCACTTACTCCTACATCAGAAGACACTCTGGCTCAAAATTTAAAAGTCATTACATGGTATAATTTTTTTTTTTTCTTTTCTTTTTCTTTTTTTTTTGAGAGGAGAGGCAGGTCTGAAAGTTGACTCGCTACTATAATGATTTCTCCTGTTCTCGACAGATGAAAATTGCACAAGCTTCTTGACTGCTGAATTTTCTTCTTCTTTTTTCTCTTTTGTTTTCACATTCTGAAAAGATGACATAAAGTAAGTTTCCGATAAAAGTTTAAATGTAACTTCACTAGATTTTTCTATGCCAATTTTCAATGTGCATTTAGTGCTTTAACAGAAATGATGTTCAAATACAGCATTTTTCTTAATTTAGCCAATTGATCCTCATTTTACTGAATTCATTCTGTGTGATTATGGTACTAAAAGAGCAAGGGGTAAAGTAAAGGTTTTAAAACAAAAATAAACCCAGGCTTCGGCTTAAAATATATAATTTTTCAAAAATTCTTCAAAAAATAAATACATCTACAAAACAAAAAAAATAATTGTTGATGAAAAAATAAATGATTATTATTTAAAAAGGAGTTTTTCTTGAGACAGACTGAAGGAAAGTACCACCTCTACTTCTGACCGTGCAGCTCATGATAGTTTTTGAATGAGTATTGTAACAATCAATTATGCAAACTATTTAAAGTTGCCAAATTTATATCATGTAGATCTGATACACTATAAATATGTGTAAATAATTTGGTTGTCTGTACTCAGTTTGATTAGAAAAAAAAAAAAAAAATCGATGTAATGATTTAATCAACTGAATGACGGCACAATTAAATCTCAATCTTGGCCAATCAAAATCTTTCTTCATTTTTGGAACTTCAACACAATGAATTTGAAGCGGATCTCATTAATCTAGACTTGATCCAAATAAATTAAAAACTAAGATGGAGAAAATTGATTCACACCAAGCTTAACATTAGTCTTATAGAACCTTAATGAGTAATCAATTCACTGTGATAAGAATGGTTACTTTGGGACTAAAAAATATTCCAAAATTTCAAGTGTAGGCAGACATAAGGCACCTTGTATTTGAACTTGCTTCCTTTCATCCTACGATAAAATTTACTTGTTGCATTGATAAAAATAACCGGTGGTAATACAATTTATTGAAATCATGAATTAATGCTGCTATAATATGAAATTAGTGTAAGTGCACATGAAACGGTCCATTATCAAATAAAGATAAGTTTAAATACATATTTTGTTTGCAGACAACTTGCAAAAGGAAATTTACGAGATCTTGATCAAGATCAAACGTGCAATTTGTATGTAAAGTAATTCAGATCCATCATTAAAATTTCAATAAATGTTTGATTATTACCCATCATCGAGATAATTAATAATATCTCTCATGATCATGGTTTTTTGAGTAGTAATCACATATAGCAAAATTGAACCAATATTTTCTTAAGGGCCCCAGCGCCAAGTTTCAAGGAAAATGGGCATATCTAAGCCATTTAGCATTTGCTCAATCTTGTGAACTTAACTAACAAATATTTCTGAAGGATACGTACTAAGACTTAGCTCAAAAGGTTGAATGTCCGCCAAATAGCACCCTTTTTCTGTTTCTCTTCAGACTCCGATTTTAGCACTTCGACCCTTCAAAAAATATTGATTCTGTTAAAAGATATAACTTAAATACTAAACTGACAGCTTTCAATGCTTCATTATTTATGTTAGAATTTGGTACAAAAAATGTTACAACAAATTTCACACTGAGGAAACAAAAAGGGGGCTTTTACAGTTCATAAAATTAATGATGCTGTCAAAAACTTCAAAATTTAAGATGGATATCAAAAACTTTAAAATTTATGATGGATATCAAAAAATTTAAAATGCGGTTAGACATATATGACCTAGGAAAACCTACAACGTTTTCACAACTGAACATCCTATTTGAGTATCATTACATCAAAATTTGTGATTACAAGACAAACGCAACTTGCATCTTTTGCCTCTGATGACAAATCAATTACCTAGGTACGATACAAGGGTATTGTGCGGCGCAAGCTGTTCTATTTTATTCCTGAGCAACTATTCAAACTATAAGTATCATAATTAAATCTTTGGAAAGAAACTAATCTTAACTACCTAGTATAATATTCATCTTAAATTGAAAACATAGTGTTTTTTTTTTCTTTTTACTCTTGAAGCTTGCAAATTTTCTAGGACTCTGATGAGAAAAAAATACATAAAGCACAAAGAGAACTAAATGATCAATACATAAAACTACATCCAATATCCATTAAGACTATACATTATGATGAACGGCTGAATGTGAAACTAATAAGCCAGAAATTCTTTGAGATGAATGATTTCTGCAAAATTCCCAATTTTTTGCAATTCCATTTAATCCAAACATTTAAACAAGCAAGAGGAACAATTTTTATTTTATTTCTGATAGGCACAAAAAATACTTCAACAAAATTAAAATTAGTTATGAAGATTGATCACAAGTATCGCATTTACATGTGAAAAGTACTACGTATAGAGTTGAGATAAAGTACTGTAAAAGTACCAAAACTTAAGTTTTTTCCACTGTCGAAATGATCGGAAAACAAAACTAGATAAACACAGGTTAGTAAAATGCTTAAATTATAGTGAGACACCCTGCATAATTTTACAATTTAAGGTAAAATGGTTCAAATATTAATGTTGCCCAAAAACTGCTTCGCCAGAAGAGTCTAGAAATTCAACAAATCCATTAAAAACAGGAAGGCTGGTTAAAATAATACACAGATAATTATGAGATATTAAGGTTATTAAAAATTGCGTCAAACTGAGAATGAAACAAGACAAAAAACATGAAAAGGTTTAAAATTAATTCGGCTGATAAGGATAGATTTGTTAAAAACGCCTCCTAATCCCTCAGGGAAAAAAGCATAGTAAATAAAAATGAGAAAAAAAATGACGGGGACATAAAGTTGGTAATGTTAGCCATGATGTGAGAGGAAAAGCTGCTAACCTGGAAAGCTTTCAAGATTTTGATTACTCTCAAAGCTATAACTTATGATCAATCATCTAGAAAATCGCCCATTGACCCATCAGAGTACACTGACATTTCATCTTGAGACATTGACCTTGACGATTGAATTTTCGTTAAACGAGCATTAGATTCCTGGATATATTTCTTCAGCCCTTTAGGATCTTGCAACATAAGTTTCGGACCTATATTTTGAGAATTTGCTGAGGTTCTACCTTTCTTCAAGACGCGTTCATTTAGCCTGCAAACAAGGTTTCAGAAATTTAAAAAAATGCTTACAAAATAATTTTACCTCTTTCATAAATGAATTTCCGTAGGAAGAGGGACCTTGATGCCAAAAAAACTTAGAATGAGTACGGAATATAGAGTAACACTACATACAAGGAGGTTGCTGCTGGGTAATCTGCCATGAAATGTTACATCAAACTTATAGAGCAAAAAAAGGAGGTGTTTGCATTTCGAGCATCTTGGAATTTTTTTGATGATGTAGGTCAGTGCGGCGACTTTTATCATCGATTTTCTTGGAAATGGTGTAGTTTATAGAAAAAATGCATTCTACATTAAGTGTTTAACTCAAGTAAGTTGAACAGTGCCACAAATCGAAGCCGGAAGAATGCAGGAAAAATTGAGTTAAACCTTATACCTTGGACCTTGAACCTTGAACCCTGAGCAATGCACCGTTCCTCAACTCTTCGAATGAGGAGCCCTTCACGAGCTTTTCCATTGTTTTATTGTTTATTCGAGTCACTCAGGTAGAATCCCACACCTCGACGTTTCTAGCGGAAACGACATATCTCTCACACTATTAACATTGGGGACTTAAGTGACATGAGCTTTAAAAGCTCTACAACAGTTCGGGGTTTCATAATTTTTTGCACATCTACATCTACTACAGATGACATACATGTAAAGATCATCCTTATCGGTCCGGCAGTTCGTCAGAAATAGTGCTTCCAAGATTTTGCTTGTAGCTGTATAATATAGATGATTTATTGGCTATCTTTGAGGATACTAAAGCATTGCAAAATTATTTACCCTATTCAAAATACCAAAGAGGGTTTCCAGTCCTACAATCGCTATTTCGGCAAAATTTCCTCCGAACAATAAGTTATTTTTTCTAAAACGGCAACATATGCTCTTCAGAATGCAAGTATGTAATGTTAAATTTTACACTCTCACACAAGAGGAAATTCGAAAAAATCAGAGAGGATACAACTTTGAAAAACGATCATAACCTTGACAAAAGGATGCTGAAATTTAAAGATTGTTAAATAGCATAACTGAAGAAATGCACCAATGGTTCAATGCCGAAAATACGTATCTCAATTGCAACATTTAAATATCTCCAACTATAATTTGTTTTCTTCAAGGAAAACTAATGTTTCCTTGCATTTTTGTACCATTATTTTCGGATAAGTGAAGAAAATTATATAATGTATAGAACATTTCTAGGTTCATAAAAGTTCCGTTTGTAAAAAGTTCCATTCGTACAATTTACACATACAAATTGGTCATCTTTTGCATGAAGAAATGTATCTTGTCTATGCTGTTTCAGTGTTTTATGTTTTCATGGGAGAACCTTCCAGCAACCAGCAAATCAATTTTAAAAATTGCAGTCTTTTCTAACAAGAGAAAAGAAAAATCACAAGAAATTTCAGGCTAATTCATGCAACGATTCTCCTATGAACAAATAAAATGTAAGTAAGCAAAACAGAAACAGCAGAATCGAAATATGTTCCTCTGTACCAGAGTCAACGAATTGTGCACTTATCATCTTTCTCCACTTGATGTTTGAAGGTGACAAAATATGTTATGGTACAGTCTGGCAAAACTGATGACAGGATTTGAGTGAAAAATGAGAGGAACGTTAATTAATAACTTGAAATTTGTTAAAAAAATTAATTGTTTTAAAGATTTTCAAGAGGACGAAATTGAGGTATTTACAAAGGATAAAACATCAAGTTCGGTTGTGAAATTTAAAAACAAAATTAAATTAAAATACCTTTTCACGGGCTTTTTGGTTCGTTCCATCTCTTCACTTTTTTTCTCGCTATTTGGTAACACATTCAGGAAATACGATGTAGGAGGTGTAACTTGACTATTTATAATGTTCGAGTCTTTCATCTTTTTGATGTTATTGAGAGTTTTTCCAGGAGATACAATCTGAAGGTAAAAATGATACATTGATTTAGTAACTAATTTCAAAGTCTGATCATTTCCTTTAAAGAGAACAGAATGAGCCACTAGACACGGTACAACATTAAGCACCAAAATTTTTGTTTCCTCATTAAAATTTTACGTACAGTACAATGGACGCATTAGAACTTTCAAAATCAAACTCAAAAAGTGAGGAAATAATGGTTATTGTATACATTAATTTACACTTCTTGGTTGAAGAAAAAATTGAGTCAACTCAAGCCAAATGGAGTTCTCAAGTAATTTCGGAAAATTTTAGAGAAATCAAGAGAAAGTAAGGAAAATCGGGTGGTGAGAGAACAGGACGATATTTTTCATGCACCATAATAATCTGATCAAAATTTTTGAATGTAAGGAATTGAAGAGTCTACTTATCTCATTTTTTCTCCAGGAAGTTAGTGGATTTTTTCCATCTCATACTGAAAATAAAACATTCCATTTGGTCTTGTATAAACGGTTTTCCATTTTTCTATGGTGTTTTTGGGGGGAAAAGAGTGAAGAACTTCTTATCATTTTTCATGACTGAAATTGTTAAAAAAGTGGGGTTTTACAGGGTTAAAATCCTAAAAATTTTCTGGGGGACGCCCCCCAGACCCCCTAATGAGAAGTTTGTCCCCCCCCCCAGAACTTTATCCTACATACGCCACTGATTCCAATGCTCAATTTAACTTTTGTTTATTACGGTTCTTTAATGTTCGGGAAATTGGAATTTACTGTTTATAATATAAACCTAAATGTTTATTTCTCACCTAAGAGCTAATTTTGGAAGTTTATGACATGTTTAACGTGTTTTGAGAGATGTGTTGCATGAGATTTTTTTGAGAAACCATGTGCTGCAGCGTTTAATTTCTTACTATGTCAAGTGATCCATTTTCATTTAATAATTCCATAGCATTGTACATGCATTGATTGCTAAACTCTTCAGATTCAAGTTCAAGTAGCTTTCATAAAACCAATCTATACTCTTTCTAAAAAAATTCTAAAAAATTGATTTGGAGTTTTCATTTGCAATAATCTGAAAAAATTTCAGAGGGAAATTTGATTCTACATTCTACGAACAAATAATTGATGAGTCAAATTATAATTGAGTCACTATGAATTATTTCCTCAATTAATCAATCGAAAATCAGTTAGAAATAGAGAACTGATAAGTAAAACAACATGTTTACCTGGTAAGAGACATTGCTATTGTCTGCAAAATTAGATTTGCTCCTCTCTGTTTCAAGAAGACTGCCATCATTCTCTGCAAAAAAGAGAGCAGAGTGCATTAAGAATAGATCGTTACGTAAGTACACAGAAGAAAAAGGAATTGGAAAAAATAATATTGGCTTCCAGTGAAAATTGGGGACAGAGCTGAACAGGTATCTTGTTTACAATGTGTGACTTTTCTCCTGTAACAAAGGTGATGCTTCAGTGAGATAAAAAAATCTGCAGTAACCAAACATTTTTCTGGCGAGAGAAAAACATCTCTCCACAACATTTTTCAGTTATATTCAGTCAGGAATCTAAAATTTTTACACTTAATTTCTGCACTTGTAACAACAGAGCCACATACTATTGAGTGACAGTTTTATCATGCCTAAAACACAGACTGTCACTCTCAAAATAGGATCATGTGCGGTAATGCATTGATTATTCCCTCATCACTTATGCGGCGGTCCAGTTATCCGGTACATTAATAGCAAGCATTTAAGCGTTATTTTTCTATTTTTTTTTTCTTTTTCATTTTTTCCATACACATTTAATTTGGTTTTATGTGTTCTATGGTTAGGGTTCTATGATTTGTGCAACTCAACCTCTTAATTTGCTCTCAAAATTAGGCAAACTTACCATCTGAATATTTAGGGGATGTTTTTCTCTTCCGCTTGGCTTGGCTGACTTCAACTGAAGAATTGAGACTCGATTCTTCAACTAATTGTGGTTGCTGGCGAGACTTCACTTTGGGCCTGAGTACAGCTATTGAGTGGCTTGTTGAGGTGCCTGATGATCGGTCTGCCAAATAACCAGGAGATGGTTTTGGCGGATGGTGGTGGCGACGTTTTTTGCCTCTGGCTTCAACAGGAGAGTTTTCACTTGAGTCTATTGCAGAGCTGCTTTGCACCTGTTCAGCTGGATAAAAAAATTGTTAGGCTTCAGATACAGTCTTTGAGTCGAGCAACAAGTTAGTCTCAAGTGCCACTAAGTCAAGTTTTCATAATTGACAAAAAATGATGAAAAAATAAAAATAATGTATAATTCAGTTTAAAACCTACTTTGGTTTCCTCAGCAACACTGAACCAAAGTTCAAATTTTCTTCACAATCTTCATGAAACCTGAATTGTTCATCAAAGCAAAAATGATATTCTGCCACTATAGTCCTGAGTTATTTTTCACCATCGTAGTCAGGAACACAAAATGATATTTTCAGGAAGATTTTTAAGCCGTCCACTCCAAAGTGTTGAAAAGTTTACATGAAAATTTTTTTCGACAAAATGAATAATTCATAATAAGAAGTTTTGTGACACTTAAATATTTTTAAGGAGTTCGTCTTAAGTAAATAAGTCAGAATGAGACAGAGTAGACCACAATATGAAAACTTGGAGACAGCCATTGCTTGTGACCTTTTTGTTGGCAATGATCACCAAATAAGGTTGACACATTGGCCTGTGAAATGGAGAAGAAAAAATGAAAGAAAACAAACCATATAGATGCTCCTTGTGTTTTCTCGGCATTTTGTGAGGATCAGGCTTTAAAGGTTTGCTAACTTGCACAGGAATTCGGGCAATTTTGATGATAGGCTTAACAGAGGGCCTGCTCAAAGTATGTTTCAGAGTAACAGACTGCCTACTGACAGAGGGGCGAGATGGTTTCGAGGTCGGCCTCTTTACTGGACTTGCCCGCTTAGTAATTTTTGCATCACTCTTCATTCTTGATTCTCCTGCGTTATATGAATCATCTTCCAACATTTTACTACGCTCCTCATTTGCAGCTGAAATCGAAAAAAATAATAGAAAAAAATTACATTAGATTTTTAGACTAATTCAGGATTTGTGCGGACAAATCATAATAAAAATCAAGGATTTTAGGCACACTATCCACTGACTGTCATCTGAAAATTCAAAGATTTTCACAGATTTTGCCACAGTTTGAAGCAAGTTTTCCAGAATTTCAAGGAAATTTGAGGCAAAAAAGTTGGAAACTTCTTTTTCTTGTATTTTTATCCCACCCAACCGAAATAGCTAAGGCGGAGCTAATAAGAGGCTCAAACAAATCCACACACACTTGATTAAGTGGACTAAAATAAATTCAAGGGCGCAAGTTTCAATCAGATTGGCAATATAAGCACACATCACAGTCTATTCAAAATTCAAGCAAGGCTGGTATGTAATGAAAAACCAAATTAAGAGAGCTTAGGGCCAACTCAAGAAAAATGACGAAAAATAGCTCCGAAACTCCAGATGGCAAGTTTAAATCAAAAAGGGTACACACAGCACAGCCCATTACATTCGAAATTCTAGTGAAACCAGCATGCAGAAGAAAGTAAAAATACGAGTGATTATAACGGCACCAACAAGAATGAGCACTTGTGTCATAAATAATTTTTGAAAACTGAACAGAATGCTACATTGACCATTGAGAATCTTTCATTTCTTATAGAGGCTTCTGGATCAACCATACAATTTATTTCTTGGGTGACTTCAAGCATCTACTGACTGGTTTTTCAAACTTAAGCCTAACACTTTCTTTAATTTACCCCGGAATGGCATTGCTTCTGTCACCAAGGTTTTATCTTGATCAATGAGTACAGCAAACATGCTGGAGACTCCAAAAGGATGATAGTTTGTCTCCTTCTGTTTGAAATCTCCTCATCGTTTTCGACCTGTTCAGCTGCAGTTCAGTGACGCCTTGCAGTTTAAAATTTGTCCATTCCTGCAGCCGTACGGCAAAAGGCTAAGAACCCTGGTTACTATGTGCAAAAGCACAGCGATCGACTCCCAACATCATTGTGACAAGATTAGATCTGGAATATTTTTTGAGTTTTTGGCAAGAACTAGTCTGTTACTGTCACCGACTGACAAGAAGCTTGTTTGATTTGCCGCGTCTACATTATTTCAAAAGAAAAATACATTGTTAATGAGGGAATTTTGACCAAAATGACAATTATCATTATTAAATCTAAAAAGTCTTTTATTAGAGATACATCCAGTTTTTACTGTTATTCAAATCGCCCACCTCCTAGATTTTTCAATTAAATAAAGGAATTAGAATTAGAAGAATTAGCGCTCAGTAAGGACTGCATGCAAGATGAGAGATCACCAAGGTTTCTTTGGCTCTTTGAACTTCCAAGAGAAGTTTGAAGTGTGAGCCAGGCCTACAAACATTTTGGTGAAACATCCATGGGTCATAGATATCAAAGTCCTAACTTACAGAATATTGTACCGAGAAGCTCTGCAAGGGCTTGTTTTAAAGCTAGTGAATTATTCTTTAAGGCTGTATCAGTCATAGTTTGCAAGCTTGTCTGCTTGTAAAATTTTCAGTAGCACTACTTTTGAGCCAACCTATATGGATGTCAGAATATTAATTTGAACTACATTTTTAAGCGTTCCAGTAGGGCTCGCTTTTTGAAATCACTCGGATGTACCAAAGTACAGCACACAGATCAACCAATGCTATTCAACGGGTCGTCCAAATACTTTTTTCCTCGCACCCGTTTCTTTGTCTTTGAACCATTACACTGTCAAGCCCTGATGGTTTTTTACCAAAAAATCTAATGAACAGCTAATTGGAAACCCTTAAGAACATTTTTCTGTCAAAACCGTATTATTCAATTTGACAGAAACCTCATAGGAGCTTTCTTACGCTCGGAGGACTCAACTCTAGAACCTTCTTTCCCGCTAAAACTCTATAGCCAATGAGCGTCTTGCACTGTAAGTGCAATCTGTGATGAGCCTCGTGACTCATTATACTATGTGCTAACCATGGCCCCTGCCGAAATCCACTTAAACCACTACAGTTATCTCGCAATATAGCTTTGGGTGTCTGGTTTTGAGCAAGGCAATATTGCTTCTTCTTCTTCTCTTCTGCCTTCTGACAAACAGGGTCACGGCCCTAGTCAGAAGGCAGAAGAGAAGAAGAAGAAGCAATAAAAGACGGCGAGGCGATTAACCGATTAACCATTCACCGTGATGCCAGGATCCACCAAATTTTCTCAAAAATTGTTTTCCGTCTATTTAGCAAGTTTTTCTTTACTTTCCGTTGAAGTACAAATAAAAAGAGACCTCATTTGTACAAATCGGCCGAATAGGAGAGAAGTTACAGTTCGAAATCCAAAGAGATTAACTGAACGCGATTTCGATGCACGGCAGTTCGCCCAAATCACGGTCGTGCGCAAATGCCGCATATCAGCTTAAAATCAAGATAATTGGACGGAATCTTTAAAATTAATTTACATTCAACGTTCATGAATCAATATTTTCTCCCAAATTTAGCAAAAAGTACCAATTGATGCAAAAAGCAAAGACGTAAAAATAAGAGGTATTTGTCCAACATTTCAGTTATTCGGCACGCTTTTCCAACATACTCATGTTGGATTTTTTCTTCTTGTTTTTAATTATCCAGAGTAATGAAAGGTAATAAAAAAATCTATGTTGTGGCTTACGTCTTTTTCCTGCAGGTCTGACAGAACCCCAAAATTTGGCCATCTTCCTCCAGTGGACAGGAATTCCAGATCCTCTCTTTAGATAAAGGCTGGTGACCATTCTCGGGACACCTTGGAAGCAGAAAGAAAAATAAATGAGAAAAAAAGGGGAGGGGAAAAATCACACAGGAATAACTACAAATAAGAATTTGAATTTGTTGTACAGAAATACATTCACCGACTGAAGCAAATGAGCAGAACAGCAAACCTTCCAACACTCTCCTATGATTGACGTAGGCTATAATGGCGCACCTTTGTTCTTATGGTATGGTCAAGACATTGTTTTGTGTGGAAAAGAATACGTGAAAAATGAATTTCCAGCGCGAAGCCCACTGTTCAAGGCTGGGAAGATGAATTGACATTGCAAATAGCCAACTTAACTGTCAAACAGACCTAAACCATATTTACAAATATACTTGTCATAACAAATTGAGTTTTATAGTAATATGTGCTAATAGGTGAAAGCAGAGGCAAACTGATTTAAATTTTATTCACATCATATTGGCACTGAGCAGCAAAAACATTGCTTTCAGATGCAAAGATATATTTTTGTTGAGAGTTGTAAGGGACTTCTGCAACAGATCAAATTCACTCTTTATTTGAGCTGGACTGGTTTTGTCATGAAAAATTCCCTTGCACTTGGGAGGAAAGTGTATTGCGACATTTCAGATGGAAGTCAGCCATCTTCTCTCCACCAATAACAAAAAGTGCCATGTGTGTCTTGTGACGATCAATGTCTATGGCATCAAAGGCGGCAAACAGTCTCACTCTGATCTCATTTCCAGCATATTGGCACTTTATAACAGCTCAAAATACTGTGTTCATACATGCTTCAACTTGAAGTTGCAATCAAAATCCACTCCTGGACAGACTCTTTCCTAATCTGAAAATTTGTTCTGTCGCTAAGGAAGTATTCTCATCACCTCGGATTAAGGTCATCATGTAAAGTCAAGTGACAAATGCAAACAGCCGAGAACAAATTCAAATGGTAGTAATTTAAAATATTTGCATCATTCATTAGCATTGGTCATAATATTTGTACATTTTTTTACCTTTTTCAAAATTATTTTACAGTACTCAAATATGTATTTGCAAATAATTTTGCTCACTTTCCAAAATTCAATGCCTGCACAGCACAGCCCTAAATAAGTTATATCATTATTTTTTACCATACACGATTTATTTAAAATCTGGTGAATTGTTGTGAGCAATACAATTATTTGTAAATAATGTAAGTAAGCACAAAACATATCAATGCCCAAAGTGTGACACTACATGTCCTCGAAATTAAGGGTTTTGACTTGATAACGCTACCATGAAACAGAGGTCACCGTACAGCTATCTACTCAAATGATATTACTGCTTAAAACGCACAAGAAATGGTTTAAAATGATGAAAATTAAACACATATTTGAGGACTTAATGTGGTAAACATGTATCAATGTATAGACTCATTATTAACCATTTTAAAACGACTTTTGTCAAAATTCACAAGAATAATTGTGTATTTTAATTAATAAATCCTGAAAAACACTCCCCGCCTGCAATTCTTCCACAAGCCGCCGTGTTTAAAAATGCCACATGGTTCACACTATTGGCGAGCAGACAGCTAAGAATGCACCATTTAAGGATTGACTTCAGCAGCATAGCAACTCTTAAGTACTCTATGGTTACATTGTATCAACACAAATATGATGAAAAAGTGCTTACTATTATTAGGATTTTGGAAAGTTCCTTGTAGTTCATATGTTCTACCATCTTTGGTTTTAATACAGAACTCTCCAAGACGAGACTTAATTGAGGGAGTTGTAAGCTCCATGTTAGTATTACCAAATTCACATTTTCTGAAAAATGAAAAGGAAAAAAACTTTCACAAATATCTGGACAGAATGATAGGCTGCTTACTGAATACATCAATGGTGAAATTTGCAAAAATGGGTACTTCAGTTGCGGTGTTTCTAAATCTTCAATCCCACTTCATTTTTTTAAGGAGATTGAACCACTATCATGAATAGGAAATTTCCCAGAATATTCTTAACATAGAGAAGATAAAATGACCGAAGTTTTAAAAAATAACTTCTGATAGTTTTCTCTTTAGAAAATTAAGTATGATATGAAATCTGAAACGCCGCAAACCAAGATATGCATTTTGGCAGTTTCAAGATTGACATGTATTTATCATCAAGACTAAAATCAGAAGGAGAGAAATTATATGAAAAAATTAGAATCATTGCAGGAATTGGCATGAAAAATCTGACAGGGGTTTCCATGGTTTCTTCATTTTTCAAATCCCGGACTTGTCCTTAACTTATCCTGAATTTTTCAGGCTCAAAAATGTCCAAATTCTCTGACTTTACCTGACTTTGAATAAAACTTCCGCTTGGATTTTTCCTTTGATTGCGATGACTTTTACAGGACTCTGGATGATATTTTCAATTACAGAGATTTAAACTGTAGAAACATTTTTTATCAAGTTATTCACACTCTCTTGAATATCATTGGTTGGAATTGCAAGGTCAATGCACAATTTGCAAAATTCTCTTGACTTTTCCTACAAATTCTCTGTCTCTTTCAGATTGCCCTTAATTCCCTGACTACCCCAAACCATCCAGATATTCTGGACAGCCAGAAATTTTGTCTGTACAAGCTCATAAAATGTTCAGGATCTAACAAGGAAACTGAAAGGACAAAGTGAATATTCCAAAAACATTATTCACATAAAATTACTCTTTCTTCAAACAAGTATATCCATAGTGTAAATCAAATGTCATGGATAGGACCTGAGTAAACCATGAAAATTTTCTTAAATCAAACCAACCGCATAAAAGTGCATGGATCTACCTTATAAGGTAACACTTAATGCAAACATTATCTTTCTCACTTTTATAACAAACGAATAGTGTGAGAACTAAATTCATCTCTGAAAAAAAAAAAATACAGAGCCACATCAAACTTCACCAACCCTGACTAAAAATTTCTAATAGAAAGAAAACTGGCGTTACATTAGCCGACTCACTTGGCAATAAGACCTCGAATCAGCAATTCGTGTTCGTCAGAGGCTATTTTCTTTCCTAGGATCAAAGTCCAGTTTTTCAATGTGATGGTGTTGTCTTCGGAGACGCGTCCTTGAGAGGTGGTCCGATTCACTGTGCTGTTCATAGTGCTGTTCATTATTTTGTTCATCGTGAGATTCTGGGTAATGGGAGACGTTTTGACAGACTCCTTCAGTGGTGAAGATTTTGCAACAGGAATTGGGGGTTGCTCCGAAGATCTTTTGAGAACAACAACTGGGTTTAGCTGAGATTGGGCTGGGTTTGCTGGGCGAGCAAAAGAAAATTCTCCACCCTTCTGAGATCCTGAAAGGTAATAAGTTAAGTTACACTTCTACTTGTTTAGGCAAAGGAAAATTCTCAAAAAATATCCTCACTGAGTTAAGTAAAAATCCGTACCCTTCGATCTCTGCATTCAAATCCTACGGTGAAAATATTGGTCTTAGAAGAAAAAACAGGGCACAAGTTAATTAGAAAGTTAGAAAAAAACACTCAACTGACTGGTGGTAAGACTAGGTTTGAACATGGATCAATATTTGATGGGTAACAGTTAATCGAGCATGGAAGGTATCACACTTGAACTCACTACTGGAGTAAAATGATGGACAGTTTTTAATGGTGACCCTTTCACTGATGACTACTGGATGTTATAAAAATATGAACCAATGGGTTAATTGAGGAGCTTGGAGGACAAGGCGCATGAGTGCAGTTTTTGATAAAATTGAGATATTAATGATTTCAAGTAAAACTAGTCTTAATGCATATTATAATGTGAACGATTCACTCGAAATTGCAATTTTTAAGCATCAAAAAGTCAGCTTGAACTTTCTTTCCACTGTAGGAATCCATGCACATTCAACTTCAAACTTGTATTTCTCGAAATAACAAAAACTGTACTAATGCACTTTGTTCTCCACGTCCCTTGATTATTTCTACATCATTGTGTATCTCAAAGAGTTAACGTATTTTAAAATTCTTCGACTAAGTAGTTGATTTAGATGACCAAGCACCAAAATATTTGACAAACTACAATGCATACAAAAACTTATACCTCCAACGTTTGAAAGAGGATTCTCCATGGACTGAGAGTACCTTCCAACTTGCGAAGAGTCTGATCCTGAGCAAAAAAATTAAAGTTCCATAAACACTTGCTTAGTTTTCATAAATCAATTTCATGAAAAAATCGCCCGGGCAGCGCAAGAACAGTTGCTTTTACTTAGTCGAAAAAAAGTTAAGCAGTGCCACTCATCAGCGGCCCAATTTTGCAATATTTTGGAGCCGATTGTAATGGAAAAAATTGAAATGACCCAACTGGTTCATAAATCTGGGATTCTTCTATCCCTTGGATTATGTAGTAATCTTCCTTTCTGATGTGAAAAAATTACTGCAAGCAATTATAGCTTAGCACACAAATCACTTTCGCCCTTCCCTATATGCCAATAAGGTCTTTACCTCTAGATTCACATATTTTAAAAAGAACTCTCTACCCTTAAGAGCAATGACAAAGAATACTAATATTTAGTTATTCCAGACCGACTTAAACCAAGAAGATTCTTTGATTACAAAATTCATATTGAATTTGTAACTATTTATTCATTATTATGAAAGGTGTCAAATTTAGACTGAAATTCTTCAATGGCTTTTTAACAAACATGCAATATTATGTTACAACATAATAGAGCTGTTACAAGATCCAAGAATTGCCACAAAAATAGGTATTACAAAGGGAAATTTTAATGAGAGGCACATTTCCAGCCTAACCTAACCTAACCTGATAAAAAATTGCTTCTTGGACTGAAACATAAGCTGAAAGTTGATGCCATAAAAAAGGATGTTTCTTATTGGCTTGAAGCTTGCAACCTAATATAAAAAGACAACTAACTAATGGTTTCGACTACCTTGAATCCCATGCAACATAACCACCATAGAGATTCAGATCACAAACAAACAATTTCTCCTAGACAAAATGAAAGAAAAAAAAACAAATAAATATTTACTTAAAACCCCGAGTTTACTGCAAGCTTGATCAAGATGCCTAAATTTTCTTTTCAATGAAGATCTGAGAGTGAATAAACAGTCAAGGTTGAAAGGATACACAGTGGTTAATTCCTCTTGTGATATTATGTTATCTGTTGGCGCGATATTTTTTCTGTTAGAAACAAGACTGACTTTTCATCTACTTCTAGAGTTTTATTTTCCAAGTGAAAGATGAGATGAAAAACAGCAAAATGCGAGCACACTCATTTTTTATGCATTTTCCGAAAATGAATTTTAAAAAAGTTGCGCAACAGCCCCATTCAAAGTACTTAATAAACTAAGATGCATGAAAAAAAAGTTACCTCTGACCGACAAATTACAATTAATTGTGGAATTCATCATGCTCTGTAACAGAGAGAGAAATGATTTAAAAAAAATTAGTTAGGAGAGAGCTCAACAATTTAACAACGCATGAGCTGAATCAGTGAGTTTAAAAACATCTCAATTAAGAGAAAAAACAAACAAAATAACTAACAAAACTGACTACATTCAGGGTTTTTCAAGGGTTTCAGAATGTTTTTGATGCAATAGAGACAATAGAGACTCTAACTGGCAATGGGTCAGTTGCGCTAGTTACAGAATTGAGTTTAAATGGCTTGAGCTTATGGATCAGCAAGAGTAAACATAATCTGTCTGAACACCAACTTTCTATTTCCGTAATTAACATAGTTCTCGTCTATCACACATAAGGTATGACATCATATGGGTTTCTCCAACCATGGTTTCATCTGTGTTTTACGTCAAGCAGTCATTGCAAATGTGTGGATTACTGATAGATGAAACTAAGGTTAACAAAATCACTGTATGCTCTTCGGCATTGGATGATATCATACGCTGTGATTTTTAATCAGCAATGTGTCCGTAAAAATTGACATAAAAGTTGGCATTTGAATAGATTTCATAATTTTTGCCAATCTATAAGTACACTTAAACTATCAAAACCGAATATGTGACTGGTGCAACTGCCCCTTTGGAGAGAATATTTAGACCTTCTTGGACTAATATGGGCGTAACTCAATATTCTAACGATGCGCTACTTTTGAATTGATCGAATTTCTTTGATGTAAACCTTGTGTAAGGTCTGCAAATGTATTCTAAAATATAAAAAAAAATCTAATATAGAAAACGTTAGTATCAAAAACTAAGTATTTTTGAGTGGAATACAAACCGCGCAATATTGGTTAGTAGAACACCGAAAAACGGATTGTATGATCCAAAATGAAATAATACCTAGAAACATTTGATGAATCATCAAGGAAGAAATGAGTGAATGAATCTTATTCAATTTTGATTCAAGTTATTTGTACTTAATTTCACAATAAAGAACTACTATTTCTGGTTCATCCATAGGACACCTATCTACTCAGGGAAACTTACGACACATATATTGTTTCTAAAATTAACCAGAAATAGTACATCTTCATAGCAAAATGTAGTCTATTTGATGAAGTGCAAAGAGTGACGATTCAAAAGTGACACACTTACAGTTTGCATGAAAAGCTCATTCATTGATGGATCATGGGCACTCATAACGAAGTGGCGGATACTTGAAAGCTTCTTCATGATGAAGTTGTAGTAGATTTCAGCTTTTGCCTAAAAGAGAGGTTTCAAATAAAAAAACGATAGAAAAATAAACAAACTTGGTTGGCAAAAGTGAAAAATTGAATAGAAATAACACAGCAATTGCAAAAATACATGTTTATACAAACTATTGGAATAAAAATTGAATAAAATAGATAGTAAGAACTTGTAATTAATTCAAGGTAATGCAGAAAAATACTTGGTCATGTACACAGCAGAAAAATTTTGATGCAAAATCTACATTTAAGCCCTAGGAAATGTTCTTATTTTCGGAATTTCTTCATCTCCTGGTTTTTTCAAACAACGATGGGATAGAGGTTCAAAGTTGAAAACCTCTTTGGAGGACTTTGCCTCCTAACTTTTTCATAAATCAAGATGACAACATGCAGTTACCTAGCACACGCCACTAACAAATTAAATAAGCTTCTGAACAAGTGTATATGATGCATACTTGTCTCCTCTAAAAATTACAATTTACACTAAATAAGTTTACGCACTTTCAGGACTGGAAAGAGAATCAGTTGCTTTCAGTTTGGCATTGCGAGTAAATTCAAGAACCATGGACCTTCTTTCGCACACTAAGTTGCGCCAACTTCTTGGGCAAGGACTCTAACTTTGAGTTAAGATAAGTATGCTAGAGTTGAGTACAATCGTTCACAAGTTTACTTAAATTAAAAGTTAGTTGTGCAAATCATGTGCCTATATCTTGTTTTGTTAAAAGAATGTGAGAATTTTAAAAAATTGTGTAAAAAAATACCTAACTTAATTGGCTAAAATGTACATAGTATGCAAAAATAGATAACGTTGCTTAAAGATATCATCGGCTAAGTTGTCATATGTTCACTTTCCGTTTGCAAGTGACCGCAATGGCATCAAATGGCGACCGAGGGTTGACCACAACTTATCCGTGAGCAATACCACTGCCGCCATGGTTCACCCTTAACTTCTATTGGATAATTGCAATGCAGTCGCTTGCAAATGAAAAGTAGACAAATGCTAAATTCGCTTCATTTTCTCTACAAAATAGCTTACGAGGACTAATCCCATTCAGTTTACAGCTTATCATCCGTGAGAAGGGCAACGCACATCCCCTGTAATCCAAATTACTTCCATCTGTGACATCTGGAGAGTAATTCTCCGTTTCCCCAATTTTCCTCTTGGATCTTTCCATTTCTCTCACTACCTTATTTTAAAGCCCAAACAGATTTAGGTGCTGCCATTGATCACACCCATATACCGTGTAATCTCTCATTACCTTGAAAAATGTAATTTGACTGGTGACACCTCTAAAATGAAACTGAGTGATAAAAGGTAACTCACAGGGATATGTTTCTCTATTTCTTGACAAGCGCTCTGTGTTTCCATTAACACTTGTTTCTTCTTTCTCTGATGGTAATGGTAATCCACTGGTTTTGGGGGCAGTTTGAAAATTGGCTCTGGTTGACTGAAGTTCTGGGTTTGGCAGCTGAAGTTGCCATTTGGCATGTTGTCAATGTTGTCATCACGGTTAACTTGATTCAGGTTGAAACTTGAAGGTTGAGACTGCTGATTAGCTTCCATTTGACCTGACTGACAACTAAAATTACTTTCAGAGACATTATCAGTGACAACTTCATTCAGAATTGGATTATCTGTTTGGAGCCGGCTCGTGACGTTTTTGAGAAATTTTGCTTCCAAATTTGCCGGCCTGGAATTTTCCTTCGCAGCCATCGCCTCTCTCAAAGCAGCATCTGGATCAAATAGATCAAATCTGAGGATATCTTGCGGCATATCCTCTGCCATTATGAAGTAGTTAAAAACTTACAGAAAGATATCACTTACAATAATAGCCTCCATACTCTATGCTCCAAAGTGGGAAAAAGGGGAAACAAATGGTGGGAAAGATACATATAACATACTTGACTTTATATTATCACTTTCATTCATGTCATCAAGGTGTCATCAAAAAAGTAACCTCACAAAACCTTTCGCCTGCACAATTCCCGCCAAATTCTGTGATGTGATCCGAGATGACGTCAAGAAAGATTTTCAAGATGGTCCACGGCTGGACAGCCCCTCCACTCACTTCTTCCACCGAGGCGATTGTGATGTAAACATAAACACCATACAAACGTTATTTCAAAAGTTCTACAGTAATTTTTAAGTTAAAACTATGAAGTATCTAGGCATTTCTCTTGGGATATTTTTATCTCTCATCGCAGAAGGTATCTTTATTCATAATCTAAAAATTAAATCCTTTTATTCGAGTCATACTTTGCACGAAATTGTCGCATAACCTCTTAGGGGGTGTGGTCTGGTATTCAGGATTTTAGCTTTATTTGCATGGTATTGCACCAAAATTTATGAGATCATCCCCCTATTCCTTTGCTGTTTCTTTCTCTCATCGAGCAGAGCTAAAATGTGCTGTCGAAGTAAACCTGTCTGATTCCGTTTGGTTTTTCCGTTTCCAAATGCAACCCAATGGTCCCATCAACCTCCTGAGATCGTTAAGCGTTTGGTAGAAACGTTAGACCTCATATGTAAACAAGCAAGTCATTGGGTAATTTTAACGGAATCCAACAATGCTGACTGTTTGGAAACGGGTAATTCCGTTTCCAAACAGTCCCCAACAGTATACTTCGACAATGCATCTCTGCTCTAAAATTCTAGATTGCCCGATAGTTGAAAAGAGGTCTAATGGAGTCTGTCCTTATTAGGGAAAATTAAGATCTGTCTTGTGTTGCTAGAGCCCGTCTCAGACTACCTTTCCTCTTTTGCTGTATGCGCAGGAAAGGGAAATTCATACAACAACAGTGGTAAAGTAATCTGAGACAGGCTCTAGAATCTTGGTCTATTTTGCAATTTTCTCTTCAGTGGGGCTCTATGTATCCACGAACTGCATTGTCCTGGTAATCAACAGTTTGAAGTGGTGCAACAGGGTTTGAAGAGGAAATGTTTTGCTATCTGACGTTAACTTGGTGGCTTGAAGATAGCACTTAACCATCAACAATTTATCACCTTCTGGCCAGAGTATGACAAACGCCACTTTGCCAACTTTTCAGGAGACACAGAAAACTGACTTGCGACCGCATAAGATGGAGTTTAGGCTTGAAACTTTGAATACTGATCCAGCACAACCTCCTGCCTTGAATTTTAATAAAATTCTAGTTTGTCTTAGAAACTAATAACCTTGATTTTTTTCCAAAAAACGAGGACTGTAAAGGTGATTTGTCAAGCTCTCTTACGCACTCAAATTGGCATGTGATACATCACATGCCAGTTTTATGCCTTCAGAGAAGTTTACAAATCACTTTAACACTGAGTTCAACAATTGAATTTCAGTAATAAATAATATTTCAATCCAGGACTGAAATCTTTGAGGATCGACAGGGCAGTTTCTTATAAATCCTCTAAGTTTACTTTCTTGGGTATTTTAACACTATCATTAGGTACTTACAACCAAGTCGACTAACTGTAAGTAAAGCGGATAATAATCACTTAGTTGTCAATGATGGTTCATCAGTAGTTGTCATAAATGCCATTAATATTCATTCAGATAAATTTGCAAGTATCATCACTGCAATTTATGACCCTTATACATTTGTTTTTAATCTTAGTCTTAACTGGTTTCCTGCATTTTTCATTTTATTTTTAAGTATTACCGAATTTCGGTGCTGAAAGCCTTCTTTTGTTTTAATTTTTCCTTGAGTTTCATGGTCAAGAAAAGGAGAATGAGGTTTGTAAGTTACCACAATTGCAAGTAATTGGCAGAACATTTAAACTGATTCTGAACAGCCAACTTGTATTGATTTTGGTTCCCCCTGCAAACAGGTCACTTGTGTTTTTGGAGCCAATTTTAGCCTATAAATTTGTTTGATACCTACTTACTTTGATTCCATCTCTCATTTGTAATATTTTTCATTTATTTGTTGCAGGGCTCAGTCTTCTGTGCTACCAATGTGTGTCAACTCACCCAGGCTGTGGCACGCCATTCAAATGGGTTTGGTACCCATCAAAATCGTGTCCTGAAGAAAATGACGTTTGTGTAAAAATTATTGAGAAGAAAGGAGGTAATTCACTTTTTATTATTGCTATTTTTCCTGAATGTTAGAATGAGTGTTCATTTGAGTTACAAAGCAAAAAAAACTTAAAAACTTAAAAAACTTATCATCCTATTAAAATGTTGTAAAGACAACAGTATGTACAATTATTAATTCTGAGCGTGCAGTGTGTCCCCCAGCCAATGGACTCCTGTCCATCGACCCACAGGATCAATTGCTTTGCCTTTGATGCACAACTCGCTTTTCAAGCTGCTCTACGTAGGCAGGGTCCTAAAATCAGGCAATAAACTTAAATTGAATTAATGATTGGATCAAAGAATCCATGCGAAACATGTTTATGCTCTCTCAGAATGTATCAGAAGACCTGCCATCTTGATTCCTGCATTTACACTCAATGCTAAACTGAAGACAGCTGATGTTATCCTTTATTTCCTGATTCAATTAGTTTGGACTGAAAGTCCAGAAACCTAGCTTTTATTGGTGTGGAATTTGTAACTGATTACTCTGTGCTTTGCTCTCTCAGTAACTGTTCCAAAAATTTTAAGTTACATCATTCTTCAGTTTATATTTTATCTGTTGGTCCATTCTGTCCCAGAACTCATGAGTTAGGGGATAATTGAATTAGTTAAAATGTTACGAACTTTCGAATCTTTAATTCAGATCTTAAATTCAACTAGGTACAATTGTTTAGTTAAAACTTGGCAAATTATTCCCAAAACTTGTTCTTTGTGTTGATTTTGTATTTTTCCTCACTCGGCTACTCTATCACATAAATCAATGTGGGTATTCACACATGCTTGAATGTAACTCAAATATTGCAACTACTATTATCAGATTTTGACAAAGCAATCAGTGACCCATTTGTAATCATTTGTTTAAATTATTCACTGATTGATCTTGTCTGGGAATTGTTTTCAGTCACGGAAGTAATAACCAGAGATTGCTTGAGCTCTGTGGTTGGATTACGAACAGACATACCCGCTGACCGTTATGAAGGTTGCAGGCCTGCAGCTTTTGATCCTCGTCTGGCTAATTATGTCAATAACTCCATCAAAGAACTTGATATCAAAAGGTAGACCCAAAACTTGATATCTAAATTTCTCTCCCTCATGGAATGGACTTCATTTTGCAACAAGGAATAACTATTCCTCACTCATCTGTCAAAGCACCCATCTGCGCAGGGATACTAATGGCATATATTAATGATTAAAGTGGGAAACCACATATTTCCTTTGCGGTGTCTCAAAATTTCCGCTCTTATTTTATCTTCTAGAATATTTTTATTTTAGAGAATCAAGGTAACTTTTTAACTTGAAATTTACACAGAATACTCAGCTAATAGAGTGTTAGGAAATGACCCGAATCCCCAGATAAAACCATCATTTTTATGGGAAGTTGGGAACGTCGGGATGAGTTATGACTCGAGGCAAGAAATGCTGACTTTGAAGTGAAGTGTGCATGTGCGCTGCACACTTGCGCATTCTAGTCCAGGCCCCTGGTTTCAACTGCCCGAGCAATCTAGTTTTGGTTGTTTTGTTTGCAAGCACAGGATGACTGATCTGCCGAGCTCACAAACGCTCATTTGAGCCTCCCCCCCCCCCTTGTCTCTCTAGTTGAGGTCCTGGTTGAGTGACGCTCTCTAATCAGAAAAACATTTTATCATTGGTCTGTCCAACTGAATTGAGTTTAGTGATTCTACCCCCCCCCCCCTTAGTCTCTTGCTGTTGACAGCCTTTCCAAGGGATACTCTCCTACCATCGCCTGTCTTCCCGAGGGACCCCTTTCCCCCTTTTTCTTGCTGGAGGCCCCCTTTCCTCAAGGAACATCCTAGCACATTTCAAGAGAAGAAAAATCAGAGAAGTTTTCAAGAAATCATGTTAAATCACTTTCCTCAAGAAAGTATAAAGTATTATGGGAAGTCTGCAACGTTGCAAACAACGATATTTGGTTTTGCTCCATGGCCATCAATATGTTATTTCTAAACTGAACCGAAAGTAGCAGTTCCTAATTGCAAAATGTAGTCCAGCTGAGGGCTGATTTCTAAGCAAATTTTACACTGTTCTATTTCAGTGCAAGAGGAAGCCAACAGCAGATAGGTTATTGCATTTATTTATGTTTTTTAGTTTGCAAATTATTTAATTTGTTATAACAAAAGATGATCAAAAAGTACATCCAAAGTTTTTTGCAGATTCAATCTGTTAAAATTTTCTCGCGAAGGACTTCCGCAATACCAAGAAATTTGGTGCCTGCTAAATTTCTAGATTTTTTAACATAATGTTCCTTATGATCTTTCAAGTAAGATGAGCATTTAAAATCGAGATGAGATAATCGGGTCTAAAAAGTCCATTTTTCGGCAATTCTACCCGCGATATCACACAAAGATGTGGCTCTGTCACAGATCCAGAGCCTTTTGCCTTGAACTGAGTCGACGTACCATCTCATCCTAATTGTTACTAGTTGTCCTACTAATTGTTAACGATCAATGCTTTTTGTCAAGGAATAGGAAGCATTTGATGTTTAATAGATTATTTAACACAAAGACATCTTAAAGCCAATCGCGATCTACCTTCAAAGAGAAGTTAAAATAGAGGACTTAGTCTCACTTCATAAACAGAGGTTCTGAAAAGTGCTCAAAAACTCCACAAGTAATTCTTAGAAAGTGCTCAATTTTTCATTACTAAAGCTGCCTAAATTATGTTCATTTCAGTGATTGTACATTTATCATGGTTACTAATTGATGTTTTGTTTTCTCTGTAGGGATTACTATGACTCAACAACATGGTGTTTTTGTTACTTTGACCACTGGTGCAATTCATCATCGTCTGTAGTATCCTCGGTGTCTTTCATGACACTGTGTCTACTTCTAATTTACTTGAAGCAAATAGTTCTTTAAATATCCAAAAGTTGGATCTGATAAATGTTTTGATTTTTTCTGCACTGTTCCCATAAAAATCAAAGAGATCTGATGTCACCCTTCGACAGAACACTATCATGAAGCTTAGACTGCAAAAGAATCTCATTAGAGTTGATCCTCTTGAATCATCGATGCTAAAACGTTAATTTAAGTTCTTTTTTTACCTTTTTACTTCCACATACCATGTTAATATTCTTTTTATATCCTGTCAGTCTATGTTTGCCTTACCATGAAAGTGTCCTCTTCCATTATTTAAGATGGATCTATAGTGGCATAAAATTATTTAGGGTAACTATAGCCGGAGTAAGCAAACAAAAGAAAAACCTCAAACACATATTGTGAAAATACTGGTTTCACCTCAAATTTTTGACAAAAAGGGGATTCATTATGCCTAGACGCGCAATTTAGCTGTTTCTTTCTAAAAAATATATTTTTTAAACCCTATATTGAAGCTAAAAGTGTGCAAACGTGGATATCAACTGTTTAACTCTACTAATAGAATGCAATTTATTTATGAAATCAATTCTTTGGAAAGACGTAGCTCAAGAGTTGTGTTTTCAATCTGTTTTTTGCTAAAAATTTAAAGTAAAATCAGTAATTTTGCAAAATTAGTTTGATATCTTGACGTTGGTTGGTTTCTGATGTGGATTTATGAGTAATTTTGGGTTGATATTCTGATTCAGCCTCAGAACAACTGAAAAGTTGTGAAATTTTACCTTTTCACATTCCCTAATACCATTACAATAAAAAGCAAAACGTCCATATATCTGAATTTTATTACTTTTAGACAATGGTAAGCCTCTTATTTTTAAAAGAGGAGTTATTAATTTACTAAGTTTTTGTAAAATGAGACAATTAGTGGGGGAAACGAACAATATGCACAAATTTATTTTAAGCTTTGAAAAAAAATCCATGTTTTGCTCACAGTCAGTTATTCAAAAATCATTTTCATCCCAAAACTGGCTAATCCATTTTTTACCAGAAAAATTTTTTGAGCGAAATAGCACAGATTTAACTTTTTGAAATCCATCTCTAAATCGGACAACATTTAGCAATAAGGAGCTATCATTTCTGACTCATCTATAGAAGTACCCATCTGCATAGGGAAACTAACAACACATACGTTGTTTCTAACATGATTGCAAAATGTAGTTCAATTCATCTGAATTAGTAGTAATCATAATCTTAATCTATGTAGAAAACTATGACTGACGAAGTATTATCATGCAAAATGAAAAGAAATGTAATATTATTATGAAAAGAACTATTCTATGGAGTTGGAAAAGAAGTGCTTGTGTGAAAGAGAAAGAATTCCTTTGGTAGGAGACTGTTTGCTCTAAGGCGTTAATCTATCTGATCTTTGAAAGTTTATTTTAACTCAGCTCTTTGTTTTGTGACTGAATTTGTAGTTGTATATAATGTAATTTATTTGTGAGATGTCCTGAAAAACCGTTCTTCACCTCTTGGAGGAACTTTGTTGCACAGTGAAAATAAGAAAAGAGAGTTGAACTTTAAATGTTTTCTTCGTTGTTTTATGAAGCCAAAATGTAAGAAGTACTTCAGCGAATGTTTAAAAAATTTCCCACTTACAATTTCATGACCAAAATACATTGAAATATGCAATCCTTAAATATATACTCATAAAATAATTAGGAGGGCTGAAAATAAATAAAAGGTAAACATTGTAAAGTACTGAATGTGTTCCTCCTCTTAAAATGGCCGTTTAATGTTTCAAACACAAATCCCTTTTGTACCCCCAGTTTCTTTAAGCTATATGTAGAATGGATCACTAGTACTAATACTGAATTGTATTTTGACTGTCGACCAAAATTGAGATCTGTCCAAGAGTTCTTACATTCAGCAATAACAGAGACTTTGTCCCACAAAATTGTGGTGAATGTGCCATCTAACACCATAGTACTCTCTACGGTTACCTTCAACTTGGGTTTATTAATTAGTAAAAGCACAAATTTTCTCCGGTTGTTCTAGCTACGTCACTGTCAAAAACTGTACGCATTAGCTTGGGATGAAGTCAGTAGCTGGGTTTCCCAAAGGGCGCTATGCCCATAATTATTGAATGGAGAAATATAGTGTTAGAACAGATCTATCTATTTTTGGTGTTTCTTTAAGTTTCCATCTCCAGATTACAATTATGTTTTTAATTAGCACAATTGACCCATCACCTCCTTAATGCAGTAGCAATGATCCAAATCATCTTTGGGAGAGTAAGGCGGTTTTTTTCAGAATTTGCCACATTAATTTATAATTCCTAAAAAAAATAATAAAATAAGTAAAGTAAAAAAAAAAACAAATAAAATTTTAACTTGTTGCATGGATGTATATACTCACAAGATCAAACGACTGTTAATTCTACCTATTGAATTTCTCTTTTGTATAAGATGGTGATTAGTTCATTTGTATCATTGTAACTCCACTTAATTCTTTAAGAGAGCTGAGTACTCTTGTAAGGTTTAGTGTATGAGCACTAGTCATATAGACATAAAATGACTCATCATCAGCAATTGGTTATCTCTTATACTTGAGTCAAATTATGTTGCATTACCTCAGTTTTAGTTATTCGGGAGAAAATGTTGACTCAAGTCTGAAAGGCAACCAGCTTGTGTCTACAGCCAAAGGAGGCGAAGATTCAGAGCGTGAAACTTTGCCCTTTACGCAATTTTCACCGAAATTTACGAAATTAATAAGAGTAAGGCTCATCCTTTTGTACATTTTTCCACCTTGAGCAGCCAATTTAAAATTGTAAATATTGTTTCAAGTATTACGGAATCCGTCCATTTCACCTGTTCTTTTATTCATCCATTTCATTATTTTTACTGCTAAGTGCCTTTTTTAATGATTTTTTTTTAAAATTTTACCATCGTTCATAATTTATTTAAAGCATTTACAGCTTTGCTGCAATTCTGCAATCCTCTTATCCGTCCATTTCATTATTTGTACTGCTGAGTGTCTTTTTTAATAATTTTTTTTTAAAATTTTTTCATCATTTATAATTTATTAAAAACATTTCCAGCTTTACTGCAATCCTCTTTTCTCAAGTATGAATTACAAAAGTTTATTGCAGATTTTAGTTCTAAAACAAGTGTCTCACTATTATGCAACTCAGTGAGTCAGTTGATTATCATCAGTTTGTCATCTCCCGAACAAAGGAACGTATCTTATGTGTGCTGTTTCAGTGTTCCTACGATCATTTTATTTTTTCATGGGTGAGCCATCGCACGAATTTCTATGAAAATTTAAAAATATTTTCATACACAAATGAAGGAAGATTCATGCGGTAGTTCTACTGTGAAAGAACAAAATGTTAGGGATAAATACTGAAACAGTGTAATGGAGATTCGTTCCTTCATCACTCGAGATGAAGAGTTGTGCCATCAATTCTTATTTTCATACAAAAAGTGAACATTCGAGTTAATTGAAGATTGAAGATTCTTTGTTGAAGAGAGGTTAATGAAATTTTTGTTGCTTAAAGTGTTTTTTGTATAATTTTATGGAGGAAATTGAATGCAGCTCTTCAGTTCAAAATTCTTTTTCTGGCCTGATGAAAAACTTACATCTAATCTTCAAGGGGAGAAGAAAGGAAAACGATGAGATAAAAGTTTAAACATATTTTCTTTTTTTTGTAAAACTCAAACAAAGAACATGAAGGAAATAACATGATGTAGGGAAAAGCAAATGTAAGAGGCTATTGTTTAATTTTTTTCTTTGTGCGTGTATTCGCAAAGTTGAGGGGGAAAAATCAATTACGGCCAAGAAAAGGTAGGGTGCAAAATCCTCCTTGGAATGAAAAAAATACAAAATTCAAAAAGTGAAAAAAGTAAATGAATAGAGGCTTAACTACCTGCTAAATTGAAAATCAGGTGTATCAACTTTTGTTCATACCAGTAATGAGAATGTTCTCCATTCTCTATAACAATACATATAAGAAATACGTATTACATAAGTAATCAACAATTTAAACAAAGCATTATCCTAAAATTTAATGTACATTCTTGCCTCCTATAAGAAGCATTAAAATCACAAGACATTTTTTCCAAAGACTAAAATCTAAAACATTGACTAGAGGAAAAAAGACAATTACTCTGGCGACAAGGAAATGCAACGCAAAGGAAAGTGACATCGCAGAAAGACTGAAAACCCAGAGCATCTCTCCAGGTAGTCTGAGCCTAGCTGTCTGCCACATATACCTAAAAAAGCATAGTAAAGTCATGAGGGACAGCAAAACCTGAAAAACCAGTGGAGGTTTCAGGAGTTCCCTCCCAAAACTTTGCTGACGCACTATTGATGAAAGAATTAAGTGACATTTTCAAAAGAAATTCAGATGTTGGTCATTTTTAGTGAAGCTTATCTGAGGGCATACTTGGTGAGGAAACGGAATACCGGAATAGAGAATTTTCAGGTGTCTTAGATTTTGCGAATTTCATCTTTCAAATGATACTGCTAGGGAAACTGAGTAGGAGGATATCCTTGGTTTCTAAATTGGACAATTATTGGAGAAAATATGACAAAATAACCTAACCTGCTAAAGTACATGGGTTCAAATGGAAAATGCTGCCAGATGACGTCACAAGGCGGAAAATTTTCTCACTTTTAAATCTATTTTTCTCCAATTTCCCATGTCAGAAAAAAATTATGAAAAATACTGCGAACTCAGCTCATTAGGCACTCTCAGATGAAGCAATAAAATTTTTGTGTGCAAATTCCCCATTCACTCATTTAACTTAATATTTGAGTATCCAGTTAATGTACATTATAATTTTCCGTGTAATTGCTCCACTTTTGACTCACTTTTGAAATCACAAGAATGTCTCTTAGCTCCTTGATCCGTAAAATCCGCCATGTGCACTGTGGGCAACCTACAAGATTCATGACACAGATGAACGTTCAAACGTGCACAGACAACACAAATATTGATGAACGAGCTGATCATACGATATGCGATGCACGTTATCATCATAAATTAGTCCACATTTTACCAACCTCAGAACTTCTGACGATGATCAATGACAGTATTACTATTTACTTTCGATTTTTTAGATAATTTGATTCTGATGTCATGATATCTACGGTAGATTTTGTTATTAGAACCAAAACAACACAGATGACATAGTTTAAAATCCTAAGCAATTGACTCTGATGAGATTCTTTGAGGAATACTCTACTTCTTAAAGGTTTGAAAGAGGTAAACAATAACCATCATAAGACATGATTCTCAGAAAATATTCTCCAAATACCACATATTTCTCAGAGACATAAATCAAACACTAAAGCGGCTATTTATAAAAAGTAAAAAAATTGTACTGTAATAAAATTATTGAGCAAGCTGTGAATAAAGTCTCAAAAGCTTAAGAATGTACCGATGAACATACAAAAAGAGAGGCATGCAAGGAATCAATTCTGATTTTAGACAAATTGAAAGGTTTAGTTTTTCATGTATTTTATATTGTGACAACCATAAAAAAGTATTTTGAATTGCTATCGATAAAAGAATGAAGTTGATTTGGCAAACAAATATTTTCTAGTATGAATTACTTGTAGCTAAACATCCCCCCCCCCCCCACAACAGGCCTAAAAATCCTTCAATCTCCTAAATTTGCAACTTTAATACATGGAAACACTCATTTTGATCCAAAAATGATTCAACAAAAATCCAAATGGCTCAATTTCACTGTTACAAATGTGATAAGAGGGAAATTTGGAGTTTTTTAACTTGGTCTTTGAAACGCCTTCACTCCCTACCCTATTCACTTACATACATGCCCGTCAAAAAAATTATTCCTGGAACTGGTAAGATGGAGAAAGTGTGCGGACTTGAATCTGAACTCTTCCAGGCTCAATTTCAGCCTCTATCACCTTTTTTCTGGAAAAAATCATACTTAATGTGTGACAGAGTAAAAAATAAATTCAAATAGGAGAGAAACCAGTTATGCTGAAACTCAAAGTTGCGGCAAGGCAAATAAATTCAAATGAATAAAAAATGTGTTTTGATTTTTTTCTGCTGTTTTAAGACATCAAAATCTTCCTACATATTTTTCAACAAGTATAAAATCGCTTTTGAAATGTACTTTAAAGTACAAGAGACTCAAAATTGCCTTTGAATCGCAAATGGTGTTGCGCACAATGGTAAAAAATTAAAATTATGGTGAAATCATTATTTTGGACTACTATGATACAAATTAAAAATTGACTCCTTGACGAGTGAATATGTGCCCTTTTTATTATTGAATGTTTGTTTTGTTTTTTTCTTGTTGTTTTTTTTTCTTTGCTACTTTTACGATTTGAGAAGGGGCTCTTATTCATGAAAAGGTACCCATTTTAAAATCAGCCAAACTTTTGCTGGCTTCCATCATCTTTTAAAATTACAATGGAAGACACAAAATTCACAGAATAAATCTCCCTGGTAAAATCCAAAACTAAAAGTAACAGAACCAACGACTCAATTTCACAATGAATGGCATGTGAATGAAGTGCCCTATTCCTGCCCAGGTATTAAGATGAAATGAGGTTTAGAGAGAGAGGCAATCTAGGATAAAAGGATGACTTTCTTGTTGTTGTACCGCCATAAATTTCAAAGTTTAGATAAATATAACAAAATACCAAAGACTAATGAATGGAGGCATTATTTAAGATAAGATGGAACATCTGACCTAAAATAGCAAGACTAAATAAGTTCAGCCAAGTTCCCCAAAAAAATAAAAATCTTCAAAATCTACCTTGGTACATTCATGACAAAAGAAATTGAAATAAAAAATTGACAGTTATTTTTGGATTTGTCGCCAGGAACTTATCATCAAAAATAATCACATGCATCTTGAGAGATCATTCAATATTTTAAACCAATGACAAAATTGACTTTAACCTCACCAGACCAAAATTGAGATTAAACTCAAGTTGCATTACTTTAATTTCATACAGTGGGTCCTTTCCTACACTTCAGTGTCTTATGCTTGCCCCTCCATAGACGACCACAGTTTTAAACAGTCCTGCGTATCGGTGGCACGTGTGCACTTGCAATCTAGTTTTGGCTGTCTTTTCGATCATCCTATCGTTACCTATAGTTACCTGTGGCTGGCAGGGGCTATGGCTGACCGTTTGTTCCTGGCACACGCAAGCAGTCGTTGCCATAACTAGGTTTTCTGTCGGCTTTCAGAGCAAAATAAAAAGTTTTTACTGCCTCTGTTCAAAACGCATTTTTATTCTAAAAATGTGAGTATTTCAATTTAAGGTTGGTCTTCTTTAGAGACTATTTGTTGGCTCAGCACTGGCTGCAAAGGGTAAGAATACTAATTTCAACATGAAGTTATTTTCAAACTTTCATTCAGTTTTAGAGTTCAATTAGCACCTCAAGAGGCGGGCTATTCGAACAAATTGATTTTTCTTCATTTCTATTTCTTTTCCATCTCTATAGTACAGCACAATTTCAGTGACCGGTAAAATTTACTTCATGGAAAATATCAACATGCTGAGCAGCAGTAAATTATTGATGAGTTTTTATTAGCAGCAAGAATGATAATAGATTGAAAAATTAAGACTGAATTCAAATTAAAACTGGGTTTGACTTCAAACATTACATTATAGTTACATTATAGTTTTGTACCTAACTACCCATCTGCCTTACATCAAAATTTTGTCTGGTGAGGAGAAAGTCGTATTTTTCAGAACTTATTACATACATTAAAAATAAAAATTGCCTGCTTGCAGAGCAAATGCTGAATGACAAATGGCACAAACATTCATGGCTCAATTGCAAATGCAGTTTTAGCTCACAACTCTAGTGAGAACGGTGAAATTTTTGAGAACATAATAATAAAACTTATCTGTGGACATTTTGGGGATTCCCTATACTTTTGCTCTCCAGAGATGATGATGTGATTTCTTCTCCTGCCTCCGTACCTTGTTCAATAGTCCTTTTTAAAACGTCGCCAACAATACTATTTGCATAGGAGCTAAGTTCCTTGGACAGCAATGGTAGGGTTGAGGGTCGGACGGAAGGTGCTGCTTTTTGGTACGGAAATTTGGCCTCTTCGGCTGGTGTGTGCACAGCCACTATGTCAGTTTGCGTGGATGTTGCATTTGATGATACAGAGGGGCTCACACACCTAAGAACTTCTTGCATTGCCTCCTGAAGCTGCTGCACCTGTAGCACAAAGAACATGATTGTTTTTCCATGAAAGTAAAATATGTTACAAAGTACTACAGGTTCACATTTATTAATGAGCTAAAATTCTTCTAAAAAATCACGCTTCCTCATCTCCTGTTAAATGCCATGCCAGGACACCCAACTAGATCATGAATGGATGGTATTAAAAAAGGTAAAGAGCAAATTTACATAGTGTTATACTTGTATCTTTTGTTTCCGTTTTTCTAAGGAAAAGAAATAGAGCGCCATGTTATTTCTCTGACTGAGATCCAGTGAAAAATGCACTTTTCTTCAAAAGTGAAGTAAAAATTGCAATTTTCATTCATTTTTTATCTTAATCTAAAACGTTATAGTCTTAAGAAATATGCAAGTGCAGTCTGAAAACTTGAATTATATAATTTATTCTAAATCGTCATCACACACATCAAAATCTAAGGAAATTAAAAAAGAAAAGCCAGTAGAGTGCCAATGAAGAACATTTATGATTTTTTTATTTACAGATGCCTTTGTAGAAATTCAACATAAATTCAAGAGTTCCACATAAAAACTCTATTCCACTTTTCACTCATTTTATTACTCTCTAAAAGTCCTTAATAACGCTCAGAAATAAGGAAAACCCAGTTCCTTTCACAACAAACTACGTTTAACATAATCCAGAGATGATAATTACACCGCAGGTTGAACCGATATATATCAAAACAAGGCATACTTAGTATAAGGAATTTCAACTACTTGACATAAATACATACTTGCGCATTTAGTTTTGTGCATGTTTCAGCAAGCTCTTCTACATTGCCCTGTTTTGCACTTGTTGGCTCATCAGATTTCAACTGAGTTCCAGGTTCTAAACTTGTTATCTGAACAAATGAAGAGAAAGAGTAAGGTTTAAAGTCACCATTTAGCAACATCATATTTCACGAAAGAGATCAAATCTGCACATGCGCCCATAGGCGCATGATACCATATTCACAACTTTTTCACTTGTTTCATACTATTCACAGAAGCTTCTATCAATTGAATCAGTGAGAATAAAAACACACCAACTCGGCATTTTCTCGATTTTTACTTTAATTATTACAGTTAAGTATTGCTAGTGGGTAGACCAATTCATACGTAAAAGGAAATTTCGATCAAAAGTGCTGAAAAGAGGGCAGGAAAAAGACAGTGAGAATGAAATCACACCAACTCGCCGTGCGCTCTCAAGGGGTAGGGATCAGCTAATGAGACATTATAAGTTTTGTCATCTAAGAAGACAATTCTTAGAGGACAAATACCATTAACTAAAATATTAGCCTGAAAATTCTTTTAAAAAGAAAGGGATATTCTATACCTTCATTAAAATAACAATTTTAGGTCATTTTAAAACACGACTCCTCATGTAATTTGAGAATTTCATTTTTCTGTAATATGAACTTCCTACAACCAAATTCTACAAAAAATGTTGACTCACAAGCCAAGTAGTGTAAATACTTCAAAATAAAACACAAAAAAGAAGTGCCTGAAAGTCAGTGAGAATGAAAGCACATCGATTTGGCAACTTCAAAATGCCCAATTTTCGGCCATTAAATACGGCGTATCTATTTAAACTTGAGCCTTAAAAATGTCATCAAATACTCGTTCTTTGACACCAAAAAGCTTTTTCTCAAGCTAACTCCTTCACCAACTGTACAGTTTTTTGTGCCTCTTGAAAATTTTCATTTTTTGGAGTTGGCATATTTTCGTTCTCACTGGTTTAATTATATACTAAGATGGCATGAAAATTTGAATTAAAAAAATCGCACTCACAATCACACACTCGTAGGGGGTGCACCTCCCCCCCCCCCTTCGCCCAAAAAAGTGAGATAGAAAAAGCGAACAAAGTCGGAGGGTAGGAGCGAAGAAAAGGAAAAAGAATGCTTAGATTTAGTAATTAATCATGGCCAAATTGACTCAAACTGCATATTAGATGCTTTAAAATTTTGACAATTTTTTGAAGAGAGCCTCCCTTACGCTGCCCCTCCCCCTCCTGTTCAAAGTGTCTGGATCAGCCTATGGATTTAACGATAACTAGCCAGTGACCTCCAAATAAAAGTTTAATAAAAAAGCAAGAAAACGTAGATACCTTTTTCCAAAGAGCATTCATTGCCTGCATTTGTAGCACTTGTAAACGATGCTCATTGTTCAAAGCTGCCCTAGTGGCTTCCATATCATCCGACAGTTTTCTGGAATACAGAAAGCAAGCATTACAGTAATTTTTGTTTTTACCTTGGAAGAGGGAGCACTTTCGGTAGGCCGTATCTCTGAGAGGCTACTGGCTAAAGTCAGCAATACACTATTAGATTTTTAAAGAGATTAGTAAAAAAAAAAAAAAATATAGAAAAGTAAACTGAATTGAGACACAATATAGGATTAGGCTTTTGGATCAATACATTATTATTGTTGACATAACATTAACTTGCCTGCTGTAATTGTGTTAATCACATTCAGCACACCAAACATTTTCATTCAATATTTTTTTTGAAGTTCAGCCTTCTTAGGATATCTATGATTATAAGGCAAATATCAAGAGTAAATAGTAATAAAACGATGCCTCAATTCTTGTAGTTATGGAGGTTGTAATTACAGAGGATGCACTTGGTGTTCCTTGCAACATCTAATTCTGAAAGCAGCCAAACGAATGGCCCCTCTGTTACGGTAAATGATCTTTATAAAGTGTTATGTACAAGAGGTGTTGATTGCTGGGAGTGATAACAGTATTCAGCTTGCTGATATAAGTGCCAGATACACCTGCAAGCTAGAGCAACTTGAGCATCTTGAGCGGTGAGTAGGCCTGTGGCCATGTTTTGCAATCTTCATAGCCGATCGGGTTGCAACTTGCCGCCCGTAACTTGCTCAAAGTAGGATCTGATCCTACTTTCCGCGTCTGGACGCGCGTCTAACAAGCAGTGTATGTGGCGCTTCAGTGTTGCCCTCAAAAATCTTCTGATCATTCAAATGGTCTTGAAGACCGATTTTCACTATCATAGAGCATTATGCTTTTCATTATGGCATCATAAAACTTGTTGATGTAGGAAGTCAATCACTCGAAATGATACGCATTCAAGATTTGTCATCACAATAGGATTAGTTAAATAATTCTGTGATAAACTTATTGTTGAGTGATTTGATTCTTATGATAAAAAAAATTTAAAGGTAGAATTTCCTCAAATACAATTCAAAGGTTTCAAAAGAAAAGTGTTTGTGAACAAAAATGTTCTACATAAACACAAAAATCATTTTAACAAAAGTGAATGTTACAACTCACTTGATGTACTGATGCATTCTCATGTTCTGAATCTGCTGATAAACATTTGCCACTCTCTTGTCGAGCATTCTGGTTTGATAACCCCGCCACATTTTCTGAATACATGTAGCAGCAGAATCAGCATCTAGTAGCAGACATGAAAATTATTTATGAATTGATGACAGAATGTACCAAGTTCAAAACAATTTTAACCAAAAGCTATTCTACTTATAAGGGCTGTCAAGAAATAATGGCAGAAATGAATGTTTGACTGACCAGTGAGGAATGATTACTTTTGGTCCGTTATGAAATAAATGAATTTTGCATTAGTTTCTAGAAATATGCAGAAGTTGAAATTCTTTTGTACTATCTATACTCGACACTTTTCAATTCCAGGTTTTGTCAAACTTACCAGCGCACCAGAAATAGGGCATAACTTAATCTCCACCGGGAAAATTATAGGATGTGAAAAAATGGAGTAAAATAGTATGGAATTCCTGTTTGGACAGAGAGCAGAATTTAAAAATCTCCAAGAATCGACTAAGATTTTTACTTTACGTTTTGACCAATAGATGTCTGGGTCACCCTTTACAAAAAGCTGACCTCCCAATTCAAAACTTTCGGTAGATTTGTCTCAAAATTGCGATGCAAGATTCCATCTTGCCTCGGAGACATCGATTCTTTTAATCTGTTAATGCTCTTTGGCTGAAACAATCAGCAGTATCGAATTATTTTCTTTATAAAGTGATGTATTTATTTCAGTTTTAATGTTTTGAAATTTGGGAGTCTTTGATTATAATGAATCACTAATTTTGTTCTATTCTCTGTGATGATGATTTCTTTGCGCATTTATATTAATTTAATAACAGTCTGGTACCTTGGTTATGCTTCTTATCCTTCTTTTCCAGCGCCTTACTACGTATCAGCGACAGCTTGTTGTGGTTCATTCCTGAACTTGCCTCTGCTAGAGAGTTGCTTTTACTCCAAGAACTTCTCCTGGATGTGAGCTTCTCAGAGCTTACGTCACTGGTGGTTGAAACATCACACTTTTCAGACGCTTCGTCTGCCACACTCTCTTGCTCAATTTTTGAACCATTAGAGTTGCTATGTTCACTCAATTTTTTTACTCTTAGTAGACTCGGCGGAAGCACTGGAGGCGTTGCAACAAGAGGACTGTTGAGGGACTCTGGAACGGGCAATAATGTTGTTGCAGCTGGTAAGGGTCCTGCTGTTTTTGGTGTAGGTGCACCGGGACACGGCAGCGGACTCATACTTGTATTTGGACAGTTGATGCTTCTGGACAGATTGTTCTCTGCATGAATAAAAACAAATAAAAATGCAGTTCTGAAAACATGAAGGGCATATAAAGCAGGAAGAAGACTTCTTTAGAAGTCATATTTCACCAATGAGTAAATCACTCCTCTGAAGAAAATAACGACTATGTCAACATGAGTACCCAAGACTTAAATGCTAAGACTAACTCAGCAATGGAACTGTAGAAATATGCATCTTGGTGGCAATTTTTAAAAAACTCCGCTCCAATTTTATATTATCCAAGAAAAACACAGTGACATAATTACTTGAAATTTCGTTGAATTTCATTGAATATTCGTTGCACCGAGAATAAAATTAGGGACGTTTTCAAGAGATGAAATTGTTTGTTTCTTCATTCAAAAAGTAAAGTATGAAACGAATTTTTCAACATCGCAAATCGAGATCCGCATTCCTGCAAATGCACTGTTGAAATGCTCACTAGCTCTTGTGATAGAAATTGCATCCAAAATGTAAAATACAAAATCTTAGATAAAGCTCTTGATTTCTTGAGGCAGACAACGGAATACATGGGATCGCTCACAAGAAAAAGCCCTTTGTCCTTAAAGGCAAATTTTTTTAACGGCGGGATCCTTAGAAAATTGGATTGAGAAACTGCCTTTGGAATTTTCATTTTCCTACAAAAAATGCTCTTTAGGATTCTAAATAGTAAATCGAGATGGATATATTTATTTTGATGCCAATAGAGGGCACAAAGTTATAATTCAATTTGATACTTCTGAACTCCAAATATTAAAGATAAAAGCTGAATGTTGACTACATTCAGAACTACAATTTTTGGACCGCTAACTTCAAACTGTTATAATAACAGACTGGTATGCATTCTTTAGCATAGTTTGAGACGAAAAGTTCCTATGTCATTCATTTTACACAATAGTAATGATTATTAGCATTAGGATTCCTTCTCTTGTTTGAGTTCCTTGGTTTCCTTCTCTTGTTGTTGAAAGTTCCTTGGTTTCCTTCTCTTGTTGTTGAAAGTTTTCTTGTATGTGACTCTGTAGTCACATACAAGAAAACTTTCAACAGAACAAGATGTAAGTGGCTCTGCGGCTTCACATTTTCTATACTTTAAATGGTTGCAAAAATTCTGATTTCATTATTATAATAGTTTTGTTCGAAAATCCTTGCAAGAGTAACAAAATAGATTAACATGTACATGGTCTCTTTCAGGTAGCAAAATTTTTCCGAAATAATGATCCCAAATAATAGTTTATGAGAGGTCTTGGAGGGAAACAGTAAGATCTCAGTTTCTGAAAAAACACACCTGCCTCCTTAAAACACGCTAGTATATCCTCAGATCCAGAGACTTGCATTGTCGAGCTAGTTAACAACGAGGGATCCAAACTCCTTGTCATTAGAAAGTCAGTTGAGGGGGGCCGACTTTTGTTCACCTTCTTGTTGCGAGGGGCTGAAAAAAATAAAACAAAAGAGCAATAAAGATTTTGCAGGACTACTGTGATTTATTTTTCTAGGTACCTGAGGCTTAGTTGACTGGCACATAAATGCGTCTACTTTAACATACTTGGATACTAATTAACTTTCTCTGTTTACGACGTTACAGACTCCCCGCCATACTTCATTTTTCTTTTGAAAAGCTAGTCAACATACTTTCTTGTAAACTCCCTTGCTTTTTCTGCTCTATAAGCAGAATATTCTGCATAACTTTCAAGGTGGGAAGTTGGCATGTTTTTCTTCGAACAAATAAAATAGGAGCGGAAATTTTGAGATACAGCAATGGAGATACGTCATTTCGCACTTTCGCCATCAATATAATGACTGTATCACCAATGAAGGTTTTTTTTTACACTAGATTGCTTTTACATTTTCGGTTAGCCTACGGTTAAAACTCACCAGGTTGTTCTTGCTTTAGCTGCTGCTGATGTTGTTGAGCTTTGAGTAAGATTAAGCGAAGTTTGCGATCCTGCTCCGTGACAAGCTTCTGACTTGCTGATGGACACGTTTCACAAAGGTATTGAACAAGTGCTGTATGCTCACCAATGTGAAACTGGCGGCCTCGACCTTGCGAATAAAGCCACTCTGCTTTGAGCCTGATAAAATAAGGTAATATTCAAAAACTAAATGAAATAGAAATATACGATTCAATCACTGTGGAATATATTAGTATACACAGAATACATCTAAGATCTTTTATTATGTACCTGTGGAGTACGTCAACTGGGGAAAAGGGTTGCAAAAAATTTATAATCTCAGGATCCGAGGATTGTGGCATATAAGAGACAAATCGTAGACATGAGGAAATTTTTACAAGTAATATTCTTTTTTCTCTCTTTCAATAAACTGGAAAATTGGGAAGATTCAACATTATTCTTGAGAGGAAAAAACATTTTGAGCTTTTGGCACCCCAGCTGAACTGTTGCTGATGTTACTAATTATTGCTTTAAACAGACCTCTTTATCCTAGACATGGCGTCATTTCACCAAAACCTTGAAAGAGGGGGGAAGGACGGCGGCGGCAAATGACTTTATTTTTCTTCTTTTTTTTTGCTCGTCAAAATAACATGATACTAAATTTAACCTCTAATACTTCAAAAAAATTTAGCTTCTCTTACACTATGATTTTAAACCTACGAATAAAAGTTTTAAAAAAATCTAGTTTCCAGCAAATTTGATAAATTTTGCTTGTTTTTTGATAAAGGCCTTCTGAAACACAAGAAGCAGGGGCAGTTCCCCTCTCCCCCTCCCAAATGATGCCACTGATCCTAGAATTATGTTTCAATCTCAAAGTTACTTTTCCTGTGCACACATTTTAACACTTGAGTGGAACCAGCAAAACAGATCTGTCAACTGGCAGTCGATACCCGAGCACAAAATGAGTCACCAACAACCTGTGGCAGAAAAAAATGAGCTAAGGATTTGAGAATGTTTGGAATGTCCCAAAAGAGTTAAATGCATGTAATATTTAACCACTAAACTTCTTGTCTTCCACAGGTCGATACTCAAGCATAATTTGTAAAGCATCTTCGTTGAATGAGAACCCCCAGGCAAAAAGAGTTATGAAAACTATGAAAATGAAGAGGAAAAACTTTGAAATGAAAAAAGAAAAACAGATGGATTACCTTTCAAGATCATTCACAGGTGTTCCATCAATCCCTGTGAGAGAAAGGCACCAATTAATGACAAATGAACGGTAATCAAAATCACTGAAAAGTTTTAGTTAAGGAAAAAATATTAAGTTTTCTTCACTTATCAGAAGAAATTACTTAAACCTCTTAAAACCTTGACACTTAAAACCTCCAAACCTTTTACCTTACCTTCCTAACCTTACAAATTAACTAAATCCAATTAATGGCTGCATGTAAGAAGCGGTGGAAACAGGTGGTTGCAACGAACAAAGGTGGTAAGTACTAGACTAACTAACGGCAACGGAGGAGAGACTTTTAGTCAGTCTATCATTTCCCCCTTCAGTCTATAGCAAGCACTCGCTTCAACCAGTGGGATTGCTCCAAACTCCCTATGTCATTGTCTATTGCTATGTCTATCAATTTCAATAATCAGCCCACAGATTTTTTGTTTCAGTCAAGTTTTTTCATGGTTTAATTTTAGTCAAACTTCATCTTCAGGTGCTTAGGTTGCAATGAGAAAAAGAAGAATTGTTGTAATTAGCAAAGAAAATTCTTTATCTGAAGGTAGAAAACGTTCTTTGATAAGTGATTAAAGGATACACTTGGTTGTGTGACTTCATGACACAAGGGTTTTCTGCTATAGAGAATGCAGAGAGATGGTCTAACTGTGCTAAATGAGAGACTTCATTCAAGTCTAGAATATCGTTGTGTGCAAGGGTGAGAGCTGTAATGCTGGACGGCAAGTAGAGTTCACAATGGCGGAGATTCGTAATACGATTCTTTTCTAAATGCAGCTCCTGAAATTCAATGATGAATATGATTATGATTGAAAAGATAATGAAAATATGATTGATAAACAAGGTGAAAGACGAGGAAAGTACCAAATTAATTAAAATGGGAATTGCTAAACTTAAAAAAAACCCTCAATCTTCCCTTATTTATTTATTCATCCATGCATCATTTTGGGAGGTCTACCACCCTCCCATCTTTACAGGTGACAAATAATATACTGGTAGCTGTGCGACTAACACGCTATCACCACTAAAGAGGGAGGGTAGCAGACCCTCCGAGATGACACACTGATAAAGAAATAGGTGAGGAGAGTTTAAATTTTTTACATTTAGCAAATCCCATTTTAGGTAAAATATCCTTAAAAAGTGAGGTTTGTTCGCTTAAATTACAACAGATGTAGGTTAAGAGTTTTTTTAAACTCAGCCAACTTTGATTTCTCTCCTCCTACAGGGTAAAAATACATTACAGGGTAACAGACTTTGTCATAAAATTTCTGTTACCCTTGAGCTGTAGCTCTGATGCCCGTGAAATAAAAACTAGAAGATTATCAATTTTCTTATTAGATAACTGAAATAAAATTTCAGAGGAGATTTTGAAATATAAAATAAAATTTTAGAGGAGATTTTGAAATATAAAATAAACTTCCACGTCTTGAAAAAAAAAAAAAAAAAATTATTATACCGTTCAATAATTTATATCATATAACAGCTTCAATTTGAAGTTAAACAAAGATATTGAGACACATCATGATTTTTTTAAAAATTAAAGAATCCAAAATATGAATTTGGTACATTCATGAAAAATGAGGAGTAAATCAATGTTCAGCAATTTTCAATTCCAATGCAACTTTTCCACTTACAAAAAAAAAAAAGATGACAGAATAAAGCCTTATGTAATCCAACAGCAATGTGCCCTCTCACACTGCAGTCTACTTTATCATATTTTAAGAATTATCTACAGCGTAAACAGGAACAAAAGGAACGGACATACCTTCAGTTTTGTCAGATGAAAAATATTTGAAATATGAGCTATATTATTTTCAGACAGGTTCAAGTATTCTAGCTGGCGATTATTGTGCAAGTGTTCTATAGCCTGAGAATTAGAAAACCACAAGAGAAAAATTGTTATTAACTTCGTTAAATTAATTTCACCCGTAGGCAATAACAGTCATTCACATATCACGCAACATGTATTTGATGCAGTCTACAAACCTTCGGCTATTATGGAAACCAAATAAATTACTGGGTAAAACAACAAGGAAAATTATTTGGGTAGACTAAGGACTCAGATCAAACCCCTGAACGCTAGATGCTGATACTAAAACAACTCTTCTAAGAAAAAACTGAGAGTTGCCCATTTTGACGATACTGTTACAGATATTGAAACCTGATTTGTGAGGAATTGCATAATACTTCTTTAGCTTTCGAACGTACTCTTAATGGGAATTTGGGAAAAAATTATTTTTCTGAGGAGCTTATGGCAACAAGAGGCAAAAACTCCAGAATTTTCCATTCAATTTTCACTGTCCAGCTCCACTCAGTGAAGACACAGCAAAACTTACTAAATGCAGGATACAAATTGTTCACCTATCAAGAAAATTATATTATTAATGATAGTATTGATGATAATTATTTATGATGATTAATTCATGATGTACCTAGAGTTATACAACATTCAGTAGTGAGCATATTTACTAACACCTATCCACCTGAACAAAAAAAGCATCGAATATAATCATACTTGTATTTTGAAACAATTTGCTCAATTTGGATGACTTATAATGGCTATATAATATTACAAAATAGTCTGTTGTAAATGCTCGGCTTGCTGGTAAGTAGTTCATGAGTTAAATTATGAAGAAAAACTTACCTTTATATGGTTGGAAGATAAGTTGAGATACTGCAACCTGATAAGATCTTTTAAGCCCTCAATGTTTAAAATATTGTTATGGGACAGATCTAATTTCACTAAATTCTTGAGTTTCAGTACAGGTGACATTCTTAAAACCTCATTGTGAGATGCATTTAGCTGGAATGAAATAAAAACAAAGGTATGTAATAACAGTGTAAATTGAATGCGAGGAGTTAAATGCGGAGTACCTATAGGGAAAATCAAAAGATTGGAGAAATACATTTTTCTCTATTGCATCTATCTCTTTTATAGCAAGTATGTTGAGCTACAAAACTTCTCTTGCTCGACACTGATCAAGTATACAAGCGAGTAATGTATTCCACTAAGTACTGTTTCAAGGTTCTTTATGTTTACAATATATCAAGTTACTGTAAAAATAATGACTAAGTAGATGGGGCAGAGCTGTAAACTCATGTATTGTATTTAAATGAAGTGATCAGAAAATTTTTTTTTACATTTGATAAAAGAATGTCTCTTATAAGTTTTTCAATAGAGAAAATATTAATAATTTTTACAAAATCATAGCGAATGGAAATGTGCAGCCTTTTGCTCTAACGACCATACACACATATGTTTAGGTATCATTTGCAGCATTTTGCCCTATTCATAAGGAAAAAACCGTACTTCCAAAATTAGGAGAAGAAAATTCATAAAGATTTTGCAAATAATTCTAAAATTCTGGAAAGTAAGCCACCCTGTAGGTGAGGTCTCCAGTTAATATTTTACCACGTTGCTAAAATTTGAATGTGATACGGCAGCCAAGGAATAATGGAAATGGAGAAGTGTGGCCTTACACTCCAATCTAACCTACCCTTGCTTATAATATGTCTAATCTTTCATTTAACTTCAGATTCGTTGTTGCGATCCCTTCACACAGAAGGGAAAAAATTTAACCTCGGCACCTTTTGACAGAATTAGAACCGAGGAATGCCAAAATGACCGATAGAGAATTCTGAATAAGAGAGAATGGAAATTGAACTTCTGAGGGAATTTTTGTATTTTTTTCCAAACAGACCGTCGGGCTCACTATTCTAATATATCAAATTAATTCACTAAATAATTGAAACTTACCTCTCTTACGTCAACATAATACTCCAGGTTGTCTAATCTGGGCAACTCATTTTTGTGGAGGTCTAAAACAAAGACTTGGGCTTTTCTTGACTCGGGTGGTGGAATTTTTTTCAGACTTTTGCAAGACAGATTCAATACAGATGGATCTGAAAAGAAAATATATTCATGTATTGCTTAATTGAATAATATAGAAAAGCATTCTATTCCCGGTAACTACCTACATTGATTCATTTCTTGAAGAATTGAGAGCACAATAGGAGGCTGAACATCAATGGTCGATGGTTTCCTTTGATTTAGTTGAGGTTTTTTCCAATTTCTCAGGCATGATTCTATAATTCCATTCTGCCATTATTTAATTATAACTTTAAACCCCTCGATATTGCCTGGATATGCTTTGTCTAGTGGAGTGGTATTGTAGTAAGTGGCTATTCTGATGAATGACATATTTATTTTGACCGAGTATTAAGAGAATAAGGAAAATTCTGCATGTTGAGGAAAGCTTTTACCAGATCCTGCGTTTGTCTCATCATACTTCACTCCTTCGTGTTCTGATGAAGACATGATATCGTTTTCCACAAATTAGTGTTGCATGATAGGATCATATTATCATCCTCCATAGCTACTCTTTGCTATTCTCTTGCTTTAAAAATAGTTTCTGACATTTGGGAATAGGGAATTACAATTAAAAAATCCCTTTGCGTTCTAGTGAGTCCTCGGTTCAAGAGAAATATCATCTGGAAGGATCAGTCCCTGGATAGTATCTCAGAATTGACTTCTTGTTAACCATATTACGTCAGCTCATGCTGAGCAATTTTCAGGCACAATTATCAGCTTTGTGTACAAAAATTTATTATTTATTAGGAGGGTGTAATGAGTTTCCAACAATTTGATAGCATCACTATCATCCATCAGCATCTTTCAGAGCACATCATGTCATAAATTAAAACAAAATTAACCTCTGAAACCGTGGATCTTTAATTGCAATGCCAAAGTTAACACGGGTACAAGGCTGTGTTGATGATTTAATGATAAAGCAAATAACACATCCCAGATACATATACTCGTAAGGCGAGAGGATAATTCAACCCTAAGTTACGAGCATCTACCTAGATACTGTAATGTTTAAAAAGATAAATCAGAAGGCACAAACTAATGGTGAAAAGAAAGAGCAATGACTCACCACTCATTGTATTGAATACAGAAAACTGTTGAGGGAAATAAAGATAATAAGTACTATATTATTCAAAAATTACTAGGGAAATGGATGCTTATCACTCAGTTCACTCACGCATGTCAAGAGCGTAAACAATCTTTTGCCGCTGTGGTGTTCACCATTCATCGATGATCAGCCAGCAACCATCCACGACAATGTGACCCAGCTGGGATCTAACTGGGATTTATTAATCAGTGAGAACAATTTCAAAATTATCGAAAATTTTAAGAACTTTTCTATCCACTTATCCTCAAAGAATAAGATGGATAATTTTACAGGTATAAAATGTTATCTCAAGTGGCCAATTTTAGCTTCCTTCCACTTAGGAAAACAACAATTTCAAAAGTCGCGGTAACAATTTCGCTGTTGATGACGCTTTTGATGGCAGACAAAAATGGCGGCTTTCTTTTCTACATCAAACATGCTTTATGTCATATTTTGACCAATTCTAAGCCAATTTTCCGACAGACGCGCCGTGAGATAACGAAAATAGTGGGAAATTCAAAGAATTTTCAATGTTTTAATTTTGTTTGTGAATTTTAAAATGTCAAGTTTAGTTTCTGCTCAGCTGTTAAAAACATGGGAGAAACAAGGCAAAGCAGAATTGTAAGTAAACTCATCGCATATTCGAATGTTTTGCTCAAGCTGTGCAGCAACAGCTCTCACCTCTGTAGCCTATTTTTCACTCTGTTCCTGAAATTCTGTCTGCGTTGTTTATTTTACCACCCACATTCATTTATATAAACTCAATTGGAACATCTGCAAGCATGACATTAATGTAACTCTTGACTACTCAAACCGCGTCTCTTGAGCAGTCAGTTCCAGCCGCTGAGATCCTCTCGGCAGGGGACTAACCTACTGAATTTGTTCTACAGTACAGACACTTGGAATACTCTCTCTGTTATTTACTGAAAAAATCAGCATTTCGCAAGAAATTTTGGTATTTACGTATTTAATCCAGCCATTTAAAAATTTCACGTGATACTTATTTTGGCACCGAGGTCTACACGTAACCAGGCAACAACTTTTTTGTTTGAAAACAATTCCCTTTATAGAGCTTTTTTATTCAAACCGCAGAGGTCTCGATAAGCCGAGTCACTTTTTCTTCCAGTCCACTGCTGCGCACCATAGGAACATTTGGCATTGCACTATCGAGATGGCTGTCTAGCGGTCATGTGAGATCCTAACCTTAAAGCGAACCACCACTTAAGGGCTTTTTTTTTATCCAAACCACAGCGGACCACAACAGAATGCATCACTCTTTTATCCCATTCCATTGGCGCGTTCCATGTGTTCCAGTGGAACGCTTGGACCACTCTTCCGAGGTAGTTTAAGGTTGGTTCAGGCTGGTTGAACCAGCCCGATCCGCTACTATCGCGTTCCACGGGAAAAAAAAAGCCCTTCAATAACCTAAGGTGTTGCATTTCACGGACAATAAAGAACCTGTAGCAAACAGGCACCTAAACTTAAATGTTTCAAATTTCTTTGGCTGCCTTTTAAATCAGAATTGTAGGAAATCATAGGTTTTGCCTTCTTTTTTGATAGTTGACGATGACCAGCGAATTGTATCTACCTTAATATACCAATACTAGAGTTCGTGCCAACCAAGTTAATATACTTTGAGACTACAATCGAAGATCATTCATCATGCTTCTTGTAGTTTCTTTCCATGGGAAAATTACATCAGGCGCTCTTCTGTGCAGGGGTGCAGAAACTTCCAAGGGTTCCCCCAGAATAAATTTAGGTTCCCCCCTTTTTAAGTTTTCGCAGAAATTTGCCCGACATACAAAGTAACAGGGTCGACAGTTTGGTTCCCCCTAAGTAGCGCACTCAACAGTCAAGTTCCCCCTGAACCCTTGAAAAAAAAAGTTCAAGTTCCCATGAAATGCTTCGATAAGTCGTTCTCATTACATTTTCTTTTTTTTGCAGTCTCAAAGAGTTCAAACATTTGGTGAAATCTGTAAATGACACTAGTCCTACTTTCTCAGAAAATGGTAAGTATACTTTTCTTTTCTAAAATACCTATGGCCAATGAGCACCATAAAAGAGGCAAAAAAGTACATAAAGTTAAATCCAAATGGCACCGATAATTTTAGGATCTTTTAAATAAGAGAATGGGAAGATTTGTCATGTTTTCAAGTTTTTCCTGGGATCAAAAACAATTCCTAATTTCTAAAAGGTTTTTTTGTATTGATCATGGAATCCACTAGTGGTACTCCATTTGTTGTTGTTTAAGGTGATTCGACGGTTGCCATTTTTTGTGTCAGAGCGACGTGCGATATATTGCATCAATTCATTCCATAATTTTGGCAACTTGTCATTTTTTTCGAATTTCGAGATCGCACTTCTGTTGTCATGAGACTAAAGAATTCATTTTCCAAATTTGACAAAGAATTTCAATGTATTTAAAGCAGGGCTTTTTCAGAGGAAAAATATTGCATTCGATACTGATATCGAAACTGCACTCGAATGCGATATTTTTCCTCTGAAAAAACACAGTCTTTAATACGTTAAATTTCTTTGTCAAATTTGGTACATGAATTCTTTAGTCTCATGATAATAAAAGTGCGATCTCAAAATTAAAAAAAAAGGACAAGTAGTCAAAATTATGGAATGAATTCATGCGATATATCGCCTGTCGCTCTGACACAAAAAATGGCAACCGTCGAATCACTTTAAGAATATAGTATCCTTAGATCAGCAGTTTGTTGTCATTATTTTTTATTTGAAGGCTAGCTTTCACCACTGGTGAAATGTATCAAAGAATCTTATGGTCAGCTCCGAGTGCTATTCAGAGTGATCTATCAGCGGTGGGTTTGACAGTCATAAAGTTATCACCGAGAATGCTGTTCGGTTTTTGGTATCTATTCATTCTGATTTATTGATTGTCACTCGAAAAAATCATTAAGTCCTGGACTATGGTTGGCTGACCAATTTTATGGCTGCATAGCCTTGTGACATAGCTAAAAACAAACCAGAAGACTCAGGGATTTTTTTTTCCATGCACAAGGGTGGATTTATAAGTTTACCCATTTAATATCTCCAAAACTATTTATGTTGGAAAAAAAACCAGACTAATTTTAGAACGACCATATTATCAGCTTTTTAACAAGCTATAGGTTTTAAAATTTGGTGCATGTAGTACGAAATAAAGACAGATTTTCCTCACCTACCTTATGTCCAAACAAGCCCACTTTTTTTACGTTAACTTTTTTTCCGTGTTGGTTCAATGGCTTTAATTCCTGTGGGGTCTACAGCAAACTTTCGATGAATTGAAATGAAAGGGTTGTTTTGGAGATGAGCATGGTATGATTTAGATAGAAGGGGGAGTTGAAGAGTAAAAAAGAATTCGCAGAATTGTTAGAAGAATTAAGCTTTCACCATTTTGACACCTTAAAGCCTATTAAGGTGAATTCCTAACCCAAGAGACTGAGTCATGGAAAGCAGATACAGGGATTATAAGGGAAGAGAAATCTGGACTTCTTACTTCTTCACAGGCGTACACTTATGCTTTCTCTTAAACCCAACAGCATGGCAAAAGTGGGCTCATTCGGACATGAGTTGGGTGTTAAAAATCTGTCATTACTTTGCACAAAGTGTACCAAATTTTGAAACTCATATCTTGTTAGAAAGCTGAAGATATGGTCGTTCTAAAACGGGTCTGGTTCTTTTTCTAATATTTCTAATTATAGAAATATTAAAAGGGTAAACTTACTTAAAATCCACCCTTATATGTTTTTAACAGGGAATTTTTGAGAGAGAGAGCTGCCACTTTGTCAAGGTGCCTGATTTGGTCTAAATATCACTTAAAAGCATTTCATCAAGATCTAAGATTGTACGCCACATGGTTGGTAGAATTGGCAAGCAATGACCCGTTCGTGATCAAGAAAAAAGTAAATCAGTATTTGCATTTTTGTAAATTGACCGTAGCTTTCTTAGTGGATTTCTTATGGAAAATATTTACAGATTTGGCAACAGCCAATTAAAAAATGTTGGTTTCTACCAGAGAATCTACCAAAGCCAAGTACAAAAAAGCCAGGTTCTCAAATAGATATTGCATTTCCCTTTTTCTTTGATTGGCTGTTACTAGCAATCTGTAATGTTTGCAAGAAATTAATTAAACTCTGGTCTCACAGCAACTATGTACTATGAAACGTAATCCTGCCATTCTAGAATAATTCGTGTAAATTTTCAGAAAGTATGCCGTATCTAGAGCAGCTAAAGTCCCTGTGCCCTTTTTTCAGGTGTTGTCAGGAGCATCTATGATGTCATCGCAAGCGGTGCGAAGGGTCTCCTTAAGAAAGAATGGATTGTTGCAACATTGGCTGAAATTCACACATACCACCCTGATATGCCCAACACAATTTTGGATGTTATCAACTTACTTGACTCACAGACAACCAGTGGAGAGAATGCGACTGAAGAGCGTAGCAACCTTGCCTACATTGTTAAAGAGTGCGAGAAACTATTCTCCGACAAGTTGCTCAAAGAGCGGCTTGAGATCGATTCGCTCCAGGAGATGAAAGTGCTAAACAATCGTAACTTTTACACAAAATTCATCAAAGTCAAAACCAAGCTTTATTACAAGCAGCGGAAATTCAACCTCTTCCGCGAAGAAAGTGAAGGCTACGCAAAATTAATAACAGAGCTCAATCAGGAGGATTCCAGCGTCAACGCAATGTATAGTTTAGAGACAATCAAGTCATTAATAGGTTTGTAAATTAGTTTCCAAGTTTGTTTGTCTGGTCGTGAAGTTGATGTCATGAATTGAAGTGGATCCAAGTGGACTGACAGAGTAAAACCTTAAGGAATCGACCTTCCATTTAATGACTTTTTGATAAAACGACAAATGTTGCTTCTCCTGTCGGAATCCTCATGCTATTGATTTTTTCTAAGTAAGATTGTCACAGTAAGATTGGATTAGATTTAACAAGGATTTTGTTAGCTGGTGACTGATGAAAAGGCTGTATATTACAGAAAACTTAAAAAATATCCCAGATCTAACCTTGTCTCAATAATGGTAGGAATTTAATATTCCTAACATCATTCCTTGGAAAATTCAGGAACAGACTAATCACTATGTTTCCATTAATAGCCACATCAAATTATGCAACAGCATGCTACAAAATAGCGACATGTATACTCGGCATTGCATACCCCCTTGAAAACTGCAGGAGTTGACTCTAAATGACAGTAGCCATGAATTCAAACATGTTTCAGTATAAAGGTGACCTCATATTTGCAAAAGAATTCTGTAAAAACGTCCCAAGGTACATAAGTTTTTCTGCTACAATGCATTGTTTCCAAAAAATGTAAAATGGCGTTTACGGCGTTTTTGCATTGCATGGCAGAACACAACAGTGAATAAGTTAAGGCATTGAATCTACCTAAATCAGCATATGTGGCCATATTCACAGAGAAACTAAAAGAAGAGGTTATTGGTTTGAAATTCATTTCAAGTGACGTAATGACAGACTCAAGTGTGCCAAGGAATCTATCAAAACTTGATTAAGGTCTAAAGACCAACAAAAATCGATGTTTGGCAAAAGTAATCCTCTTTTGACCCCATGAGTTGTATCCTACGCCAGTATGATTGATTTCATCAGTTCGAAAATGTGCTTGTTTAAAGATTGTTCTTTGTTTTATGAGTAGGCTTCCTTGTAAGTAATTTTTTCACAAAATCTTATCTCTGTTCACAGGTTGTTTTAATTTAGATCCAAACAGAGTCCTGGACGTAATTTTGGACTCATTCGAGTGTCATCCTCATAAAACAAGCTTCTTTGTCCCACTACTCAAAGCCTACATGCCCGATAAGAAAATACTAAGTGAAGTTCTAGGTTTTAAGTTCAATTTTTTTCAAAGCGGCTCTGAAGTAACTCCAAAGTCTTTGTACACCCTAACTGCTGTTATGCTTCAACATGATATCATTGGAGTCGATGATATTTATCCTTGGGTAAGTTAGTTCTTCTAACTTTGTCAAATTCTTCTTATAAAACCGATTAAAATTGAGCACCTCACATTAGTAAATCCAAAATACTTGATTTTTGTATGCAACAAAACTTTTTTTAGAGATGGATTTGGATGGACTAGCAGAAAATAATAGCATTGTCCAATTGCAAATTTTAATGTTCCATCACTGCCCGTCATAATAAAACTTTACTAATGTTATCCATCTTGTCAATGCTTTCCATAGTTCACTTTATCTTGGTCTGAAGAATGCTACACAAAATTTGGCTAAAAAATTCTTATTTAATCTCGCGCTCTGAAAAAATCTGCAATGCAGCGAATCTAGGTGAAAATGTCACTACTTTCACCAGCAATACACACAAATTCTTTCCTTTGATTTTGTCTGTTAACTTTTTTTATCATATATTAAATTTTTCTTTTCTTTTTCAAAATTATAGCTTGTGCCTGATGATGTCTCAATCAAAAAAGATTGGGAGAAAAAAATAAAAGACGCAAAAGAATATGTCCGCAGACTGAATGTCGTGTCTTTGCAAGAAGCTGGCAAAGAAATAATTGAAGAAAAAGAAGATGAACAAGCAAAGGTAATTATCATTGTGACTAAGTGGTTTTCTGAGAACTGCAGAGTATTTACTTTGTTCTTAAAGTTAGTTCAAAGGCATGCGAGCAGAGTTGAAACTGAATACCAGTGATAGTGCTTCAACTAGTGATATTGTTTAACGTTAAAATTTTTCCATGATGCAGTTTTGTCCCAACTTGCTAAATCTTATTTTTCTTTTACCTCAGAAAACTAAAGCATCAGCTCATCTGCACAGAGCCATAAAAAGGGTATCTTCTTAAATTCCTGAGGGAAAAAGGGTTTTTAAAATGGAAGTATCAATTAAAAAATTGGAAAGCCTAGAACTGTTTGCATCCCTGCCAGTAGCTCTTCAAAGTATGAGTGATTTTTTATGCATGTGTGTGTCTGTCCCAAAGTTTCCTGGGAAAATAGATTGTAAATGGGAATTCCTGGGAATCAGAAAAGTCCTATTCATATGCTTACCTTTGGGATACCTTGTGGAAATAATGATCAAAATATCTTTCTAATTTATCCTGAAAAATTCTGAGAACGGACCAGTGGGCTGATGGATTTTTTATCTTGTTTGAAATATGTCTGTGCAGGCTGTTCACAGTCGCTCAATCAAAACTTTTTTATTGGCATGATTCCCCTCTTATGATTTTATATTATCTAACAAGTAATTCTCCATTTTTGTCTTCCAGTATGAGGCTAACCAGAAATTTGGTTTATGTGAAGCTCTTTTAAAAATCGGGAACTGGTCAAGCGCATCTTACTTGATCGAAAAACTACCCAAGTTCTGTATGATGGAGCAGCCTCCCATAGCAATCGCTCAGTGTAAATTGTTGCACTCGCTGATAGAGCCCCTGTACAAGAACCACACTACCCTTGGTCCAAAACTCATCCGCAAAACCGTGCCTCCTCCTGAGAGTCCTCTAGCTCCTAAACCGGTGGAAACGTTCCTAGATTTGCGAACAGACGTCATTCCAATGTTCCTTACATTGGGGCCATCCTTACACTTTGATCCTGTTCTCCTCTGCAAACTACTCCGTGTACTCAAAGCAGCGTTAGCTGCTGCTGGGGTAAAGGAGCACCAGCCTCCAACTGCATCAGACTCTTTGTACTATGACACCATATCTTTATTGGATGTTGTTGTACTGCCCACTCTATCGTACTTGGAAGCTAACTGTTGTGTATCGGAAGAGATCTGGAATATTGTTAAAATGTATCCCTACCAAATAAGGTCAGTCAACCTCTTGTTTGGTTTGTTTTAATTAAAGCATGCAAACCTTTACACATTCACTGCCTCTGCATTCTTACACAGGTTACAGCTTTGTACTACAGAAGTCACCAGTGACTGTCTCAAAAAAGTGCAATATTATAAGCTATTATGTAGTCCTGGGATTGTTTTCCTATAGATCCTCTCAGAATTTCAAGGTGAAAACATGCTTGCACAATTCCAATCCCAAGACTGTGACAATGAGTTTCATGCCAGTAGCTTTTATGAAGGCTTGACATAATATATAACACTCATCTACTTTTAAACTGACCAGTACAGCACAATTTTTGGTGATTCAATAAATTTCAATGGGCCGCTAGATAAGATTTAAGCTAGAAAAAGATGTATGTGTCCGCTTCAAAATCTTACATAGTAAATATCGCACACAACAAAAAGTACGATAATCAACTTCTGAGTGAGATATCAACTATCATTTTAACACAGATCAAATGAAAGTTAGATTATACCAACGACGTCATTCATATCTTTGCCATTTAACCAAGGTTAATGGTGAACAATAATATCTTGTTTATAAGGTGTTTTTCTCATTAAATTTTAAAGAGGAAACATTAAATGAAGTGTTTTAATTCATACCTTGTCCAGAGGTCTATTATTCAGCTTCACCCTCAGTTTTGCTCTCATTTATTTCAGGTATGCTCTGTACAGTCGCTGGAAGAACGAAACCTTCCTGAATCATGCAAAGCTGATTCGTATTCGAGGAGAAGCTCAAAAAAGAAGCAAAACCATCATGAAACGAGTGAGCAAAGAGACGGTGAAACAAGTTGGAAGGCTAATAGGAAAACTAACGCATTATTGTCCTGGATATTTCTTCGACTATGTCCTAGGGCTAATTCAGACTTATGACAATCTGATCGGGCCAGTTGTTGACTCACTGAAATTCCTGTCAAGCATGTCGTATGATGTGTTAGGCCAGTGTTTGATTGAGTCACTAGCAAGTGCTGATAGGACCCGGCTCAAGCATGACCATATGTCCATTTCACTTTGGCTTCAATCTTTGGCAACATTCTGCGGTGCCATCTTCAAAAAATATACAATTGAACTGACAGGCCTGCTCCAGTATCTTGCTAATGAGCTGAAAATGGAAAAAAGGTTCGATATGATTATCTTTTTCTCAAAATGTTTTGCATTAAGAGTTTCAATAGTTCTTCCCCACATGAGAATTTTTTATGATTGTCTGATCTGACGTGTCAGTTATATGAGAAAGAGGTTTTTATTTTTAAGTCCAAATGAGTGAAACTGACAATATTTATAGTCTTGTGGTCGTCTTTTGTGTAAAGGAATGTATCTTGATTGCGCTGTTTCAGTATTTCTCACTAACATTTTCTTTTTTTACAGGACTGTCACATGAATTTTCCTGAAATTTCTGATGATTTCTCTTTACACTTGCAAGAAAAGACACTTAAATTTTCAGACAATTCGTTTGATGGTTCTCTCATAAATCAGAAAGTTTGTAGAAATACTGAAACATCGCAAACAAGATATTTTCCTTAGTACAGGAGACGACAAATTGACTGCTCTCAAGGGTAACTGAACAATTAAAAAAATCTATCAACTTCAATAAATCATTGTCCACTCGCAGTTGCTGAACCAAATTGAGAGACGAAAGCGAAAGTATCAATTTTAATTCTGAGCGAAAACAGGCTGTAAAACCTAGAAGTGTAGTACACATTTTATTACCGAGAAGATGCATTGCGACACACGCAAGTTAGTAAAACTTCTCCAATTTTTTTCCTACCCTTGTATTTTCAATATTTGTTTTCTTTCATTCTTTGTAACTGAATTTTAACTCGCAAGGTGATTGAGTGTTTACTCCATTTGATCACCAACCTCTGCAAAAAAGCTCACCAGTTAATGCTATGGTGCTCGTAGGACTCTTCACTCATATTTCTGGAGAGTCTTAATATTTCTAAAGTCTTATTGATTCAATGGAATATCTCTCTTTTTTGTCAGAAATAATTAAGGTTTCTGTCTTTTAGTTTGGATTTGCTGATCATGAATGAAATCGTTCAGAAAATGGCTGGTATCGAAACAATAGAAGAAATGACCAATGAACAGCTTGAAGCAATGGCAGGTGGAGACCTTCTGAAAGGAGAGGTAAGCTATTTACTTTCATTCAATAAATTAGCCTTGTTTTATATGTTATTTACTATTGTATTTACCCTTGTGTTGCATACTTTCTAATTTTTTTTTTCCACATAAAAATGGGGGAAAAACTCAGAAACGGTTCGACAGTATTTTTAGTGAAAATTATGTACGATCAACTGTCTCTCATTGGAAAGAAGGAGGGAGGGTCAACTCAGAATATAATTCTAAGCACTTTATGTAAAATGAATTTTTCATAAACGACACCATTTCCAAGATAATCAATGATTAACAATGATTAAAACTGTCCATACCAACTGTCATTGTCAAAATCCAAGATTCCCAAAATGCGACCACCTCCTTTTCTTTCTATGCTCATCCCCAACCTGTGATCAAATGGATCATCCTAACGCGTAGCTCTAGCATTACAAATATAAAACAAGCAGTGAACTCCAACACAATGTGTTGATAAGGCGCGTCATTAACTCGCACATATCAACCCCTTTAGTTTTCATTTACAGAGATTTCAAAATAGGCAAACAGCATAAAAAGAGAATTCACGATCCAACACTGCGAGGTCAAAGACGCACCTTGACGAGACCGTGTATTGTGAAAGTAGAAAGCTATTCGATCGAATTTAAGTTTTTTGATCTGCCTCAAGCAAAATCTTATCAGATTCTTGAAGAAAAGTGCTACGGAATAATTTAAGCGAAGAAAGGAAAAATTCTGTCGAACTCCTAGAAGATAAAGTCGATTTAAAGGTATTTTGGGGCTAAAATACCCAAATCACCGGTAGTAAAAATCCCGTTATATTATTGAAAAGAAATTGACTCGATATAAATGCAATTGCATTAAATACGTCTTGATTTTGTTATTTTAAACGTCTTTCCATGCAAAGAAGTTCAACCATGTCGTTGCTTTATTCATTCATGAATTGAAAGTAAGCAATCTACATCCCGAAAATCTACTGATTTGCCGTAAAAAATTGCAGAAACTTGATATACCAGGTCGATGCACCCACTCGTTGAATTTACCAACCAATTTTGTGAGTGCAAATGTGTAAGAATCAATATGCTATAGTCATTTTGGGTGCATTTATTTTTCATGAAACAATAATAATTTCAATCCCGAAAAACCATCAATTTTCCGTATAAAATCGAAAAAATCAAAATATGTCAACTCCCCGACGTGAAAATTAGATTCTACGTATGTAAAATGTAAATACTTATGTATCGATATGCTGAACAGAACTATGTGTGGACAGTCAGAAGCCCGCGGCAACATTAATTCAACAGAAAAACTGTAAAAATTAGATAGGATTTTAGCCGCTTTGCCCGCCTCTCCTCGCTACTTACAACAAACCGTTCTTATACTCATCTCAAAATTTTTCTCAGAGCTTTGGGTTATTATCAGCTTCCATTTAAACTCCGGTTCGATGGCCGAATCGGCTGCCAAAAAAGCAAGCCACTGTTGAGGGGTTCTATGAGAAATTCGTGATATTATCGGCTCTCAGGAAATCACCCCATGGCTAAAATTGGTGGTATAAATGTTTAAGTGCTTAAAATAATCGTATTCAAGAAACTAAGGAATTAAACTATGGAGTCAATTTCTTTTTAATAATATAACGAATTTACTACCGGTGATTTAGCTATTATAGCCCCAGAATACTTTTAAAGCGCCTTTGCGTTCCAGAATCTCGACGGAATTTTTTTTTTTTTTTTTTTTGCTTAAACGATTCAAGAAACATTGTAGTTAAAAATATAAAGATTTTTCGATTTGGACGTATGAAAAATGTTTAACTCGTTCAGGCACACCGTGTATTGTATGGAGTACTGCTGTTATTCGACCGTTGTCTTCAGGTCAAAATTCTTACAAAGAAGCCCCTTGCAAGAGGCAAATTTTTTGTAATTTCTCCCAGTTTTTTCAGCGTTAGGTATATAAATGAATTGTTTGTCAAATTTTGAGGTCAATTATATTTAATTGTAATTTATACTTTCTTTTTTTCCCCTTCATTTTATTTTTCGTATCGAGGAGTCGAGGTTTTGTTGATTTCTTCGGATTTCGATTACTGTAACTTCTCTTCTATTCGGCCGATTTTTATGAATGAGGTCTCTTTTTATTTGTGTTTTAACGGAGAGTAAGGAAAAAATTGCTAAATACATGCGAAACAATTTTTTTTGAAAATTGGATGAATCCTAGCGTGACGGTGAAATGGTTAATGAAGCGTGAGTAATTGGGGTACGGGTATCGGCCGCGTTGGGACCCAAGGCCCATTGTTCTTCGTGACGCCGACGCAGTGATCAGGAGCGTGGGGACGAGAGGGCTTAGTGGACTCCTGTATGAGCCACGTTTAGCAAATGGTCTAATGAGTCTCGAGGCTCATCACAGATTGCACTTACCACTATCCTGGTGGCCCCGGCTATCAGAGCAAGGAGTACCAACTTTTGAAAAGGATAACAGTGTTGTGGAGATATGTCAAAGCAACGTTGTGAACAAAACGGAGTGAGTGAAATTCTCATTCAAGGAGTGCCGAACTGGTCAGCCATCCTCGAATCAGTTCGCTTGCTTCCGCTTATATATGCATATTTTAAATCAGCGCGCCCCATTCTAAGGTTTTTTTAAAAAAAACCAAGAAACGTAGACTCTTGGTATTCATTACACATAAACTAGCGAGCCCCAGAATGAGAAACAAATTTTAATCATTATTATTGACGGATTAGTAAACTTTTTACACGCTTTGGAAAATCTCAGAAGTTCGCGGTAGTCACTTTTCGGTAAGGAACTAGGGGACTCGGTTATTGTATCGAGGGGGGGGTCGAAACGATCGCAAAGGCGGTATACTACGTATACGCGCCAATTGTCAATACTCTGATTGTCATCTTTAGTTTTACCTAGCTGTGCTCCATGAGTAGTCTATGTTCTGTTAAACCCTGGCTGAAGGTTTTAACCCCATGAGAAACAGCAAATTCAAATTGAAAGGCCAGATTAATAAATTATGAGATCAGTAAAGATCAGTAATGAAATCTTTAAAATTCATAAGACACCCCGAGAATTCTCCTTAGTGTCCAAGACCTCCATGGATGTATCAAAATGCCCCAGATTATGAGGGTTAGAGCGTCTTTGTTCTCCAAGAAGTATTGCAAATATTTTGCACTTTTAAGTTCAATAAGGTAGCTTCTAAATTTCTTTTAGTATTGAAACCTGAGGTAAACTCTTCATTGGTGTTTGATTATTTTGTAACTTGAATCTTTTTTTCCATGATGTGTCATGTTATCGGGTTCTGCTTTTTGTCGCAACAGGGTGGTTACTTTAGCCAAGTGAGGAACACAAAAAAATCATCTCAGCGCCTAAAGGAGGCTCTAGCTCAAGATAACCTTGCTGTATCCTTGTGTTTATTGATGGCTCAACAAAGATACTGCGTCATTTATAAAGAAACGGAAAAAAGTCACCTGAAGTTGGTCGGAAAACTTTATGATCAAGTAAGTTTCATCATGTGCTTCAAACAAACTTCCCCTCGCCCCATAAAAAAATAAATAATGAGAAAACAAAAATCTTAGAGTCAGCAAAAGTCATCTTTTTTCGTAAGCTCTCAAGGTTTTGAAATAAAAGTGTTTTAAAAATGTTCGAGTCTATAGTAGTGTTAATATGAATAGTGACAGGGGTCGCAAAACCAGCAAACTCTCTTCTCATTTCCTATCAAACAATCTCTAATTCATCCTTACATTTTGTTTTTTCAGTGTCAAGATACTCTAGTTCAATACGGAACATTCTTGGGCTCAACATTATCCATGGACGAATATGTGACCCGGTTGCCATCCATTCACTCACTCTTGTCTGAGTACCATATTCATACAGATGTTGCATTCTTTCTAGCCAGACCCATGTTTACCCATGCCATCAATTTGAAGTACGACTCTCTAAGAAAAGCGGATCCAAATTGTAAAAAATTATCTACCGTCCAAAAGCAACAAAAATACTGTGAGGCTGTGACTGAAGTTATGAGTCCAATTGCTCAGTCAGTACGACCGCTTCACATGGCCAAAATCTGGGAAGACATCTCGCCGCAGTTCTTGGTGACGTTCTGGTCACTCACAATGTACGACTTGTTTGTTCCAGTCAACGCTTATCAACGGGAAATCAACAAAATCAAGCAAACCTCGCTTAGCCTAGAGAATTCCAAAGACCTGGTTCCTAGCAAATTGAAAAAAGAACAAGAAAAACACCTGGTGCTGGTAGAAAAATTACAAGATGAAAGGAAAAAACAACAGGAACATGTTGAGAGAGTAATGGCACGATTGAAAGAGGAAAAGGACTCATGGTTTCCTACGAGGTCCCCAAAATCTACTAAAAATGAAACTATTACACAGTTTTTGCAGTTATGTCTCTTCCCTCGCTGTGTATTCACAATGGTTGACGCTCTGTACTGCTCAAAATTTGTTCACACCCTACACATTCTCAGGACGAACAATTTCTCCACTTTACTGTGTTTCGATCGATTATTCTGTGATATTACCTACACTGTAACTTCATGCACTGAAAACGAAGCCAACCGCTACGGGAATTTCTTGTGTGCTATTTTGGAAATAGTAATGCGGTGGCATTCAGCGCAAGAAATTTTCGAAAAAGAATGTGCAACCTTCCCAGGTTTCATCACCAAATTTAGAGTCAGTAATCAATTCTCAGATTCAAGTGATCATCTTGGTTATGAAAATTACCGGCATGTCTGTCACAAGTGGCACTATAAAATCACCAAGGCAATGTTAGTTTGTTTAGAATCGAAAGACTATGTTCAAACTCGAAATGCGCTCATCGTACTGATCAAAATTTTACCTCATTACCCTGTGATACCCAAACTATCCCAGTTCCTTGAGAAAAGGATTGAGAAAGTGAAGGAGGATGAGAAAAGCCGACGGCAAGATCTATTCACTCTAGCAACCAGTTACAGCGGCCAGTTGAAAGCAAAAGCACCACAATTGATCAAAGAAAGTGATTTCCATCAGGTTGTGGAAGTAAAGGTAAGAGATTTTTGCCTTAATTTTTGAATTCTTTCTTGTAACTTTTCTGTTTTCTTCTCTGTTACGTTTTCTAAATTATTTTCTCTGATGGATACAACTCACAGCAATTTTAGTTTAATCTTCTTTAAAACAATTTCTTACAGTTTAGATCTAAATAAAAAAATGGCCTAAGGCAACCTTCTATCTAGCCGTTAAGTGTGTTTTGACACTGTTAGTACGCAAGTTGTCTAGTTTTCACTTTTTTTACTAATAGAGGGTCGTACCCTAGCTCAGCTGGGTCATACCAGTCGGGCAACTTAAGTAAAACATTTCTTTTTGATTTGTAGTGACAGCAAGCCTAATCTTAGCTTACGAAGGCCTTTGCTAGGGGCATCAAGCCTTAGAGAACACTTGCCAGTGGCTTGGCTGGGCCCCTAATACTTAAATGCTTATCATCTAATGAAATAATAAAGTGTCTCCAGAAATACACCAAGGGGAAACTGTGAAAAATCGTTGGAAATTATCTTGACTGGACCACTAGACAAGGTACGAATTTCAGCATTCTGATACATGTTTCTTAACCAAAATTTCACGTAAAACACGATGCACACAACGAAAATTACCATAATCACATCCTTACGAAGATATTCAATAATTCTTGATGCGTGAATTCAAACCACCCGCTCATGAAAACTCAATGCTCTACGTGATTTATATCGCGCGTTAAACGTTTATCATGACAGTCTCTGAGATATAAAAATCTGGCAACCTCAATCTTGACGCTTTGGCTCAGTTGTAGCAAATTACTTATAGTGTGAAAAGCACACGGTGGGAAATGAATATTGCTTGATTGAGAAGCTTACTGAAACCGTTGTAGTGCGCGATTTGACTCACGTAGAGCTTTGAGTTTCTTGTGAGCGGGCAGTGCAAATTCCTCGTGACCAATGTGAAATAAGAACGTCAATATCTTCGTTAGGAGTTGGCTTCAGTAATTTTCGTTGCACGAATCGTGTTCTACATGAAATTTTGGGTAAGAAACAAGTATTAGAATGCTTAAATTCGTACCTTGTCTAGTGGTCCATTACTAAGCCACATTTTTGAGGTAACAGTGAAAAGAGCATTCCTGAACAAAACATGTCAACAAAGTTTAGAAATCCCTCTCAGGCAATCCAATAGCAGCAAAACGCAGACCTTTCTAAACCGCTCCTTTTTCCAGTAAAGAAGATTGTTTCACTCCTACACACTACATCCCTAAAGAAACATTTAAATTATTTTTACCTAAAGTGCTGAGTATCACAATACTGACTCTAACAATATCATTGCTTGCCACCATTCTTTGAAGTAACATGAGAAAGACCAATGGCAGGGTTCATCTTTTGACTTTAAGTATTTTTAGAAAAACCCTACTGCTCTTAGTCAATGCAATGTCATCACTGTCTAAGTAAAAGATTGAAGTTGACCTAAGAAAGGAGAGAACAACAGTTCTTCTCATGTAAAAATCGATTTTCTCATTGACTGCAAGATTTAAGAGAAAATATTCGGTCAACCCTCCAAGTAGACTTTCATTTTATTGTTGTTATTCTACCTGTTTCTTTGGAAAATATGTAGCTGGTTTGACCTCCATGTATGGCTGCAATTTTTCTTGCCATTATTGACATTATTTTTTAACCAGCCCATTGTTTCTCTCTTAACTTAAATTTCATGGAGGAATCAATGTCCTTACTCTCTTTTTACAGCCAGCTAAGACTGAGCCAGCAGAAACGGCGCCAGGTGATTCCACAACCTCCGGAACATCGAACTCGCAAGCACCAAGTTCCTCAGTTAAAGTTAATGGAGAAACTAATTCAGGTAACTCATTTTTAACTTCTTTCATGTATCATAGTAATATCTCAATTCCCAATAGCATGGAGCTCAATCAAATTCACCAGCCGCATTGGTGTAAAAATGTTGAGCCATGAAAAAAGGGTCTTGAATATCAATTCAGAATCAGTTTTTTTTTTTTTTTTTTTTTTTTTTTTTTTGTTTGGCAAACCACACTAAGCTATTCAGCACGAAAATAATTGCCATTAACACGGAAAAACCAGTATTACATGGAAACAGCCTGAGAATTTTTTGGTACTGAAGATGGTCAAGAAATGAGTCAGTTGTGCTGGTCTTAGAATTGAGTTTTTATGGTACTATCAAACAGATAAGTAAAACATTATAAGATCATTCAAATGCCAAGTTTCCACTTCTATATCAATGGATATATCACTCACCGAAAACACTGTGTACAACGTCATCCACCGCGGTAGTGCATACCATAGTTTCTTCCACCTAGGATTCCTCTGTGTTACACGTCCAGCAAGCAAAGCAAATGTTCGTATCATAGATTGATGAAACCGAGGTGGAAGAAAGCATGGTATGCACTACTGCAGTGGATGATGTCTTACATGGTGTTTTTCAATGAGCGATATCTCCGTTAACATTTGCCAAACTGTGCGTTTGAATAGATCTTATTGAATTTTGCCAATATATATATCTGTGACAAGCGCAACTGACCCGTACTGGCAAAAATGGAAATGTCAGAGAAGCAATTCCTAACCACATATCCATCCCTCGCAAAAACCTCTTAGAATCAATTTTGGGCAACAATTGTTCGTATCGTAGGACAACCTTAGTTTTTCAGAGTTAAAATTTTGACTTTTAGTTGATCAGTCAGTATCTTTTTTCTCATTTTTTTCCCAAAAATTATATTTTGAAGCTCTTGCAAAAGGAATCAAATATTTTTTAAACCAGGTCTTTTAAGTTGATGCTGATCACATTTTTTATTCTATTTCCCTCGACTTTTAGATACTCTTGAAAAATAAATCTGTTTGGTTCCCAGTATTTATCAGAGTTTAACTATGTAATCTTACTCTTTCTCACTCAACAGATAAAGATGTTGTGATAGTATCTAGTTCCTCATCTGGTAAAGAGCGGAGAACTCTAAATCGGGCTGCTGATGTACAGCCTATCCTCACAGTGCCGTCCTCAAATAATACATCGTAAGTCTCAACCTTTCACTCAACTGTTTTATTGCTCAAAATTAGTATCATATATTGATTGATTGAATCGGTTATTATTTACTTAGCTGACAAAAAAGAGCTATAATACTTGCTTACTAATCAGTCCTACAGCCCCTTGTTGGCCTTGGTCTCCTCTACCATGCCTGGCCTTATTATTCTATCTTCGGCTTTTTAACTCCAGCCATCCTTTCAATGTGACCATGCTATTATATCCTCTGTTACTTCGTGCTCTATTTCAACTCATTTTTTTTTGGGGGGGGGGGGGTTGCTTTATTGTTGAATTCCACTTGAAGACACCGCACCAAGAACAGCCTATAACTGGAAACCGCGTTTTGAGAAATACGCATTTAAAGTTTTGTTTTTGATGTACTGCGCAGACTTTTCTATGCAGGTACCCTGTTTTGGTGTTTTTGGGTGACCTAACCCTTCTATTGAAGGATGCCGGGTAGATTTTGCGATACATTTTGGGTTTTCTTTCTAATATATTTAATTTAAAAAAGCGGTTTATAGGCCATTATTACGCCTAACAGTCATTTTGGTGGCAATATGAAGTATGAATCATTTTAATCACGCATGATTAACGCAAAATGAAAGAATATCGATAGTGAGTAAAGAAAGGGGTAACTAGCACCTTATAGGCCCTTAAGTTTATAGGCCCGTATTACGCCCAACAGTCATTTTGGTGGCAATATGCGAAGTATACATTTTTGGAGGAATGGATAGTTTGAGAGGAGAATAAATTATTTCAATAGCTCGTTTTTCTGAAATAAAAACAAATCTTTATAAAATGAAATCAAAAAATAAAATAATTCAATCGCCGATGCCCGCGAACCGAGAATGATAAGGCCGCGCGTATAGGTCGTTCTTGCACCCATCGATCCAAAGGCCTGACTTAACTCGGAAAAAAAAGGTTTTTCGACCTCTAGCCGTTACCTATCTATATTCTATCGCTACCACAGCATAGTCTGGGGTACGTAGAATCCGAAAGCAGATGGGCGTAACAAAGACCTATACGCCTATAGGCTGTTCTTGGTGCGGTGCCCTCAATTCTTCCGAGGCTCTTTCTGAGGATTTGAAGCAAGGGTTTTATTTACATAGTAGGATTACTAGCCCTAAGCACAACTCTCCTCCTTTACCTGGGCCTGGGACCAGTTAGTGATAAATACCCCCCCCCCCTCTTTCCCTCAGGCGGAGTTGCTGTAATACTGGATTCTCATGAAACTCTTCTTCTTGACACGCTGGCTGTTGCCGCACTCAATTTTTCCCTCTGAACCCTCCTTTTTAGATTAAAAAATCCTTGTTAGGTCTCTTAAGAATTAGTTTTGGCCATTTTGAAAAATAACCCATAGCTGTGTATAAAAATGGAATCAAAACAATTCACTACCAATATTATTTCAAGCTGGTGTAGAGGTCAATTTAGAGGACCACTTCACAAACATGTCTAATTGGGCAAGGGAAATGAGCTCATTAAGTTTAAAGCCAGAAGTAACACTATGTCTGATAATTCTGACTATAAGTGAAGCAGCATTTTGAAATGTTGGACTTTGTCTTGCTTACGAACGGGTAAACGTGAATCATCAGATGCTGAGGAAGCTTCTAAAGTATGTAATTTTGATTTTCTTAATGTAAGTAGTGTCTAATATCTAATCGTGATTTTTTTTTTGGCAGAGGTTCAAAAGAGAGATCTCGTGAAGAGGCTTTAAAAGAAATCAAAGCGGAAAAACTCCTGAAGAAGGAGGAAAAGCGAGAAGACTCGGAGAGACGTGTGCGAGAGAAGAAAGCTGCTGATGAGCGATCTAGTCCTTCATGGGAATCGTCAAATAGGGTGAGCTACTTTAACTTCACAAAATTGAATCAACCTTTTCAAATTGATTGGCGCCAATGTCAAGCGAAGAATAGACACTCTCCTGCTCAATTTTTGCTTAATAATTTCCTTTGTGGGAGAAAATGGTGCTATAAAAATGAATCGCATAGTTGGCTCATTATCGCTAATGCAAGGACAACTTTTCACCTAGGAAACTCTGATGAATTTTTAGGATTGTAATAAAACGAATTTTTCGTTTTGACTGACACTCAATTGTAAGAAACCATCAATTAATGCAAGGGGAAACGGTAGTACGCAATTTTTGTCATTCCTATTGCCGATTTTTACAAGCATGGTAAAATATTGAAAATTCAGATGATGTCAGGACTACTAGCATATTTGTTGAACTGTGAAAAATATTTTAAATGACATAAGTTGGACTTTTATCAGCAATAAAAAATCCAATATAAGGGCATTTTTCTGTAAAAGATCACATTTCATCAGTAATTTTGTGCTCTCTACCCTCATAGTATTTGGAACAAGCTTTCTAAAATTTAGTATAATTTTATTTCAGTTCTTCATTAATTTGTAAAGATAATTTTTCATTTATGGTATTTTATAATTTTCTTAATTCCATTTTTGCAACAACTATCGGACTAAAAGTTTGAACTTACTAACAATTGCAGGAGGAATCAAGTCGTCAGAGCTCAATGCAATTCTCGAAAGACGATTTATCAATAACACGGAAATACCATGATAGCAATCATTACTACACTGGGAGCAGTTCGCAGCCGCAAGTTGTTGATGAACGGGAACTGAGCAGTATTTCTAATTCCAGTGGTGGATCTCTGCATAGGCATAGTCCAGAACCTGACAGAGGTAAGTGTCGTACTCTTTTTTTTTTCAACATCGTCTCAACATCGTGAAACATCCGTTATTTCTCAGGCACTTCATTTTGGTAGTTTTACTAAATTTCGTCTCTAACCCTTCCGTTAACACTGCTGGGAGAAGAAATTGCTGTTAACCATATCTGAGAATTCTCATTTTACATCACATGCTTGAATTTTCCACTTTAGTTTTCATGCCCCTCCATAAAATTTAGCTAGTACCAAATGCTATCTGTCAGGGAAAATAGACACTACATTTACGTCACATTTTCGATATTGAGCTACAGCCACAGCAATAGATTCCTATCCTAGCAGTAGAAGAGTCAACCTCACAATTTCTCAATAAATAAACAGCCCCTAATTTTTTACCTTAAACTGGGCAGCAATATTGTGAAGTCTCGAATAAAATATACGCAGAACAAATTAACTCATTGTGCATCAATGTCTCCCTTAGTTACAGTTATCATCATGGAAGTTAAATGATTTTAATGTCCATTCATCATGATTTTGGAATTGGGAAAATTAAAAACTATATCGAGCCATCTAGACTCTTTAAAGGAGAAACCCATTTTGTCTGAGGCCTTCAAGCTTGCACAACAGAAATTAAAATTATGTCTCCTGGCCTCTAGTAGCAGATAATTCAAGCTTCCAATCAAAACTGATCAACTTTGCATCCTTAATGTGCTCCATAGAAGCCTCTCCTATCCGTACATGCAAAGTACTTTTGAATTGAAGCACACACAAATGAGGCTTTTCAGCTTTAACTTGAAAAACAGCAGCCAATACATTTAAAAAAACTATGATCATTTCATGGATAATGGCCAGCACTAAACTTTGATTTAATTTTTGTTTCAGATTTGAAGCGGCGAAAAGTCGAAAGCAGCTCTTCATCGAAGGTAAGAATCCCGGCCTTCTAGCATCTCGCACTAATTTGATGAGGTTTAACATCTTCTCGAAGAAGCGTGCCTTGTCTAGTCATTCTTACGTCTGCAAAGAGAGCCAAAGAAAACGCCAGCAGTCAACCTAATTCTTTTCACCTCCTTTACTAGATGATTCAGCAGAGCCTCTGTAGGGATAATAAAATTCAGTCTTCAACGTCGCGTCCTTCACCTCTCTTCTTTTTTAGTTTTGCTGGTAGGTGCTCACATGGGAATTTCCTCGTATTTTTGCCCAGCGGAACTCAAATAAGAAAGTGAATATTAGAAAAACTCATCATTCACTCCATAGTTTATCATTATATTAGTTAGTTTTGGAGTTTTGTATCTCAGTTCCCTGTGTCACTCAGTACTACATTATGGTCTGAAAATCTCACTGGCAAGCCTGTATCCTGTGGTTTTTGAATGAACTCCCAATCTGCAACTTTGAACAAGGATCATCAACAATCGGGTGATCTCATGAAAACCAGCCATTTTCTCCAGATCTCACAGCTGATGAAAATCATGGTTCTCTCACGATAGCTTTAGATTTCACTGGAATATTTGAACGTTTAAACAGTCACCAAGTGTCACCAAAATTTTGCTCTGATAAAGAAATTGAACAAACTACCACCTTTCACTACCTCTTGAAACTATTAATCGATCCTGATGCATCAGCCTCATTTCATATTTTTGAAAGAACAAATAATCAAAAACTGAAAATGTCAGAAAGCAGAATTTTTTTCAACGGTGAATCAATGGAAGCCTAGTAGACCAACAGAAGACCAATAGAGACCAAGAAAAGAAGACCAATTAAGTTCCTGCAAACTAACTTGTGATGATTGTTCGCCGAGGACTCAACAAGATCTCATCTAGCCAAAAATCATACAGACTTGAAAAGTAGGAAGAAAAGTGTTAGAGCTATTCTCTTATCGTGCTTTTTATGAGTCACTCTGAACTAAATTTTGAACATGAATTTTGACTTATTCAGTTATGTATCCCTCTATTTTTGGTGCATTGATGCATTTGACTGTTTGTAAATGACCATAAACAAGTCTTATTTTTCAAAGGAAGCATAGTTCCCCAGAATTTTGTTGCCTTTTAATTTTTCATTTCTGATTAATATACAATTCATAAAAGCTCTTTTGAATTTTATATCCTCAGTTTAAGAGAGCACTTGAGTTTGTCGATTTTTTCTCCATTGGTTTTTTTCATTATTTTTCTTTTTAACCGTTTTGAGACAAGATTCTTCTTTTTCTCTTTTATTTTCCTCAGTTTAAGAGAGCACTTAAGTTTGTCGATTTATTCTCCATTTGTTTTTTTCATTATTTTTCTTTTTAACTGTTTTGAGACAAGATTCTTCTTTTTCTCTTTTATTTTCTTTTGAAACAGAACAATATTATTATCATTGGTAATGTTTTCAAAATATGCATCCTGGTAGAAATGAAAGTAAAATTACTTTTTCCTTGCCTTTGTTCTTTTCTGCTTCTTAATTTTTTACTTCTACTTTACCTTTTCTCTTTCAACTGCACTTTATTTTACAACTGGGAACGTATGTGCCATTAGTTTTCATATGGAGATAAAAGGTGCTTTTGATAGCCAATGAATAAAGTCTTTAATTGCAGAGTGTTGTCAAATTCCAAGATCGAGAGCACTTCACCAAGCTTTTTACCTATATTTACTTCTCTCAGTTACTTAGAGTGCCTTTTCAGTCGTAGACATAGTGTGAAACTCATCTACAAACAATTTTGTGCCCCTCTCTGTAATGAATTTTAGTTGTTTCTGCATAACTTAATACTGTACCTTTTTCTAATGATAATTTTTTCCTAATCTTACTCTCAAAGAGTCAAATAATTACTTACTGTCTATTTACCTTTTGATTGATTATTAATATATTTCAAATGCCGTTCACCTCTTGTTTAAACACCAGTGTGAGAAAAATATTGCCTTTCACTGTTTTTGGATACTAGCAATTTCCGTAGTTACAAGGTAACTATAAACATGAAGACTTTTTCTTGAATTTTTTTGTGCTTTTCATGGTAAAATTTATTTTAATGCTTTTTTCTGCTCTCATTCACAAAATATTGACTAGGCGGTGGACAATTTTTTAATTGAACCTGACAATAGGCAACTTATTTAGAGAAGCAAGTGAGGCATCAAAATTTTACGTAGTTTGTCTCCCTAAATAATTTTTTCTTTTCTTTTTTTTAAGAAATCCTCTTTTTTGTTACATCTATACTTGGTAAAAAGTTGAATCAAGTCCTAATCAGACCTAGCAGATTTTTACGCCAGCCTTTGAACTGGGGATTTAACTTGCTGTACAGGCATACCTGTGAGAGAGCCGCTCCTACAATCATCAAGCTTTACTTAAATTTTGTCTGACGTTTTCGTTTAGATTTTCAATTTATTCTCCTTGATCCCCATGTTATTTTGGGAAGTTCATTCACAAATTTCTGTGTTTTGCTCTCATTCAAAAATTATTGAACTTATAAAAAAAAAAATCTATTTTTTACTGCAGATTAGGCTTAGTATCTGTTTCAATTCAAGCCTAAGTTTTTTTCAAAATTTGACCAATATTGTCGGATTTGCAAAGTGCATGTAAAGAAGGATTTTTTTTTTTTTTTTTTTTTTTTTTTTTTTTTTTTTTTTTAGTCTTCTTTAAATGAAATCAAAATGCGCAGGATTTCCTAGATGACCCTTGCAGTTTATGTTAGGCTCCACACCTTGATTATTCCGCGGTTTCCATCCTCATTTTAAATTATTCAAGTACATCTGCTTATGTAGTTTGTTCTATAATGCGCTACATCCTACAAAGCCTCTTGCTCTTTTCAATATAGTAAAAAAAATTCAAAGAAAATAAAATTGTAAAGCTCAAAGTGATAGAAGTCTTTTCTTACATCAGGAAGTAGACCCAGACTGTTGGAGCAACCAAATACCAACCACTAGTCTTTTCATTTCAATTTGAAAAAATTCATTCACCCTCTATTTCATATTCTGTAACTTCCTTGTTCTTTTCTTGATCTCAGAAACGTAAATTTGCAGTCAAAATTAGTTGAGATTATCTCGAAGTCAGTTTCTCATGAAGATTTTTAGTTATTTTTTTTTACTTATTCATTTTAAATGTACATTATAATCAGCTCTGATTAATGCTTCAGTTGTGTTTCTCAATTATAATGCTGGAGATGTCAATTTATAACCTACTTAGCTCTCATTAAGTTCAGTTCCTGTTCAATATTTAACCTTACTCCAATTGTTCCTGTTTTTTTTTGTTTCTTAATTTGTATGTTATAATTTAAGTTTTTGTTTATCATCTCAGCCTTTGATGGAACACCACTATTTTCTAAGAGAACCCATGAGTCGTTTCCTTTCTTTCTTAGGTGAATAGCTTTTCACTTTACTGTGATATCTCTTTCCTAAATGTCTTAATTATTCACGAAAACTTCTGTCAGGTTTAGGGTTGTTTACATTGAGGAAACTTTCGTTTTGTCTTCTTTTTTTGAGGAAACTTTTCGTCATGTGTTGCCTTTCAAATGAGAAAAAAGTGTTCAAAATTATTGTAAAAATGTATCCGTTTAATCCGAAGAATCCCAAATGCAAATTATATCCCTCATTATTGTTTTTTAACAACGTAAAAATTTTCCCTGTTTCAACAAAAAATCAGCCCAACGCCGCTCACCATTAAAAAAATGATTTACAAATCAAATCAAAACTCTATTCTAATTATCTTCTCTATAAAGTTAAAATGAAAAATTATAGCACAAAAGCTGTGTAATTTACCGTTTGCTGTCATGATGTACATACTTTATGTCCTTGAAAAACAAGAAGGTCCAGTCAATCAAGAATGTTTGAAAAGATCACACCATTGTGTGCATTAGGATGAGCTAACTGTGGCGCTGTTGGCATTCTTTGGTCTCACCATCCTTGATCCATCCAGTCCAGAATTACCCTGTACCAAGTTTCAGTCAAATTGGATTGTAGCTAGCAGTTTTTTACATACATTTGCTTTAAAAACGCTTCTCGTGGGGGGAGGAGGGGGGGGGCTATTTTCAATCGGACTATGTTAAAGGTGCAAAAAATGCTCAATCATGTGTCTGCCCGGGTGCGTGAAAATGTCGGGAGGTTTTTAAAAATGTGTAAGTAGGGACAATTTTTAAAGGTCAAGAGTCGAAAATCGAAGGAAACAAGAAGAAAAAAGTCTTTACGATTGAGATGGGAAGGAAATTTTGTGGAAACCAGGCGGATTGGCACAGGAAACTTGGATAATTCTGCACCCCTGATCTGTGATGGAAAATAAACAAAAGCATTTTCAGAAATTGATGTAAAAAAGTATGCTAACGCTCCCATCCACACTGGAAAAGAAATTTACTCTTCCCTTTAGCTGTAAAGTGCCTGGATAGGGTTTATGGAGGAAGAAAAAAGGGTAAATAAATAGAATAAGTACCATGAAATTACACAGGTCTGCGTCAACAAATCCTCAACAAGTGATAGTTGACTTTTACGTTTTTTTTTGGCGCAGAGTCCAATGATGTTAATAGTTTTTCTTGATCACAGCAGAATTTTCCGGAAAATCAAGCTCCCCCCCCCCTATTCCATCCATGGAGACAGGTTTTCTTGAGAAAACTCAATTTGCCCGAAATCTTTTCGACAATTGGGATAAATTAATTCTCAATCAATTCTGATACTTGTCATCAAAACATTTATGGACAGCCTCATCCTGCATGCCTTAGAATTTTTCCTTGCTATTCTTGTGAGTAATGTTGGTCGGATGAATTTGTCTGCCCATTTATCCCTGTATCAGTGATTTTAAGGCCAAAAGAAATGGTTAAACGTACTCAAATAGATGTTTAAAGAGACTCGCTCCTCCTTTTTTTTGCCTCTGAATTCAAAGATGGTCTTGTTTTATTTTGTCACGTATTAGTTACTAGTATAACAGTTTTTTTTAAAAGGAAAAAGACTTGTCTTTCAAGCTTAGAATACATGTGAAAACATCTATGTACAGGCATGGGTTGATATGATCCAATTTGGCTGAAACTTGAGTAAGGTCTATTTTGATCTAATGAAGCAAATTTTAGTATCAAGACTCCAAAAAATATGTACTAAAACCCTTTCTTTGATCAGGCGATCGAAGTGTGCATGTAGCTCTGAAAGTAAATCTATCACCGAAAATATTCACACAAAAAACTAGAACACACACTTGGAATAATTGTTTCTGATGAACAGTGTGTTATAAAACTTTCGCAAAATTTTATTTTAAATGACCTACTGCATAATGAATAATCTGTTCGAAAACTTTTCATTCAAATCCCACTGTACTGTACCTTATCCATAAATCAATTTCAACTTTATCTTTGAATTCATGGTCAAAAATGCAGCCAGTTGCTCTCTATTGTGACCATTCTTCACTCCCAGGCCTATGAGAACTCAGTAATCTATTCGTTCATGTAGTTCTTAAAATTTTAGATTCAGCATCATTTTACCGTGGCTTTTATGCCACTCGTGGACAAGCAAGGAGCTAAGTTCTCATGACAGAAACTTAATTCCTATAACCTAATACGTCACAACTTATATACCGAACTAATCCTTCCATGCCTAGCAAAAGAATGAGGCCTTGCCGTAAGTGCTCAGTCTTACGTGCTCCTGATTTCAAGTGCTACTTCTCTTGAATTCGAATGAAACTTCTAAGGCAATCAAAAACCCTAAAATCACGTGATCAATAGTCCATAAGTTACAAATGCATCAACTAACTAATATTAGACAACCAAGATTTCTAATCCTTTGTTTTCTTTATCGGGAACTACGTGATTGACTTACTTACTTTCTTTTTCGCCCGATGAATGTAAATTCATCGGGCGAAAAAGATAGTAAGTAAGTCAACCAAGATTTCATTTGTACATGACGAAGTTTTAAGCCTCTAAAATGATTTAAAGATACCAGTTGGATCAAATCTCTCTACATCTCAAGTTGCTCCGAAGGTTGCTCAAGAAAACTAAGCTGTTTTCTTAATTTTATTACTCACAAGTAGTTCTGAGCCCTGAGTTATGAAATTAGGAAGGAACTATTAATCAGGATCGTGGTCTGCTGTCACTTACAGTGAATTTAATTGGCGGTTAAGAGCTATGTCTAAAATTTTTTCCTTACCCTTTGTTAAATATCCCCTCGCGAGCCTTGTCTCACAGCTTTATCAAATCAGATTTTATCCTTCCCTCATATTATTACAACATGGACTTAATTGTCTCACACATTTGAAGGTAATGAAGCATTGCCTCTCTTTAGAAATGAATCTAGACTCCACTGTAAGTTTTTCAGAACCAATTTTTTTTCTGTTAAACTGAAATCTTCAGTTCCAGCAGTAGACAATAAATCTGAAGTGATTATTTTTTATCATGCAGTAAATAAAGACTTTATCAGAAGACCAAAACAAGGAACGTCAAGCCGCTAAGCCATCTTATTATCCTAAACAAAACTTTACCAAGGCGGTGAGTGTTTTCACCTGATTAAAATTAAATCGTCTGTAAAGTTTTTTGGAAGCCAAATCATTCCAACTTGCATTATCTTACCTGCATCCCACTAAAGACTTGAAATGAGTTTTGATTGGATGACAAATCTTGGCACTGTTTTTCTTGTTAACTTCAAAACTACGAGGAAAAGATACTTATCACAGTACTCTCTCTCACTATGACAGAAATCTCTCTGTAGCGAAGAAATCGTCGGGTCCGCATGCCTCCATATTTTTACAGAGCTCTGTTCATTATAACATAAATTTGGCCTTAACGAGAAATCTTTCTGCCCACCGCTGATTCATCATAGAGAAAAAGAGAGAGAGAGAGAGAGAGAGAGAGTAGGTATTGTATTTCTTTTTTTGAAAGAACTTGATTTTCCACTCCGTTGTCGGTAGTATTGTCATTATCTCAATATATTTTACAGTAGAACCAAGGTCATCCGCGGTTCGGATCATCCATGGCTGTCTGGAGTCCTAATATTTTGTTTCCTCGGATAAAAAAGGATGAAAGAGGTGGTCATACGAATAATAACATTCAAAGTTTCTTCATGAAGTGATTGTATTCGGAAAAGTAAGATCGATCATTGTATTACTCAAGTTGACTGTATATACTTATCACTGCACCAATTTCAAGTCTATTTTACTAACAATAAAAAAAAAAAAACACCAATTTAAAAAAAAAAACTTGGACGATTTATACTGTACTGTTTTGGCCACTGTTTTATAAGATTGGACTATCCGCGGTTCTTCATTATCCACGGCACCTCTGATCGCAATTACGGCAGATGACAGAAGTTCAACTGTACTTTCATTTTGCCTTTTGTGGCTTTGATCTTCCATAACATAGGAGTTCTTCATCAACCAGCCCTCCGCATCAGGTTGCAGTCTTGAATATTTAAGTATGAGTTCTGAGAATGCTCATTCGTTTCATTGTGTTAACTAATTTGCACCTTTTGATTATCGTTTACGCAGAGTTACAAAGTAGAGGAGCAACCAAAACATATTGAGTCTCTGATAACACTCGACAAGAAAGAAAGGAGGGATAAGTCTTCAAAGAAAACATCCAAGTCTTCTGATGGAGGTGATTCAGCCAGAAAACCAGATAAGCGAGATAGGAAATCTCGAAAACGGGTATGTTAACCCTTCATTTTAGCAGTCGTTATCCTTGCTTATGTTCCAGCTTTCAAATAGCTAATAGCTTTTAAATAGTTGATCAGTTCAGAAATTCTTCAATGGGAAATTTTAATACACAAGATTTGAATGTTAGTCAGAAAGAAAAAAAATTAAGTTGTAAATCCCCAAGATCAGTTCATAACTGCTCAGTCAAAGCTGCTACAGGGGTTTCCTGAACTTAATACAATTGATCATAAACGACCCCAAACTTGCCTAACAAAGATTTAAAGGAAGTGTAAATTAGTGATTGTTATAAGGTTATCAGTTTTTTATTGGAACATACTCAAATCTCCTAGTAATGAACTCAAGTATCAAACAAGGTGAAATTATCACTATTAAGTATGTAACCACTGATGTCTCTCCATGCATTCCTCCCCAGGCTTACTTAGGCTACACTGATTGCTCCAAATCTGTCTTTCGGATGTATAACTATACAATTTTAAAAAAAAAAAAAGAAGGAAAATCCGAACCTCTCTTACAATATCAACAATAATGTACAGTTTCTGCAAGCAAGTTACGCAACTTAAGTAACTTTAATCTCCACTTTAATCAGAAATTAAATAGGAAGCATGAGGATTAAAGCAAGTAGATCAGAATATCTACAATATAGATGTATTTTTCAGCATATTGTGAAGAAAATGGTTTTCTAATCTGAAACGCCTCTGTTCCTTCTTTTAGGGTCAAGCAGATGAGATCATAGTCCTAACAGATCAGCAAAAGAGGAGAAAAGATGATACCAAAGGTAAAAAAATCTACTTTTGTTGTTTCATATTTCAGCGAGAAGATGCAATCTGTACTGGAAGCATGACATCATTTGTTTTAAGTACATTTTATGATACTGTATATCACTGCATTTTTATACATTTTTCTCAGTTTTCCTTCTGCAGGAAAGACTGCGTACGGAATACCGAGAAATTTGGCGCTGACTAAATTTCGAAACTTTTTGATAGGTATGATGTTCCTTACGAGCTTTTAAAATCGAACTTTCTATGAGTCAGTCTCGACAAAAGGAGGGCTCAATGTGAATTTTTCCGAATCTTTACTTGCAATAAGGATATTTTGCAACACCTTATTGGTGATTGAAGAGACCTTTTCTTTCCTCGCAAACCAGGAAGATAAGATGGACAAAAATAATCAAATTCCTGCAAACGCTAAGAGCATGCGGCATAGCGTCCACTGTCCACCCTCACATAGCTGTGAAAGCCACCTCAGGGTCTCGCCCTTTTGGAGATCAACACAAAGAAAGTTTGATTATAAAAGATTAGTAAGCTTAATTGACTGTAATGAACATCATATCAAAAAATATCGAAATTTTGCCAGCGCCGAATTTCTCGGTATCTTCTGCGTAGTCCTCTCTTTAAGAATTAGTAAAAATTAAGTCTTCTAGTCTTCTTGGCTGAATGGACTTCAGCGGACCTGCAGGTTAACAGTTTGTAGCATTGGCTAATCTAGTAATGTCATCAAAGATGAACGGCGTTGACAACAGCCATTTTGTAACACAGTTCACCAGTCCTGAGAAAATGGAGCTTGCTAGTAGCATACAGATTTTAGATAGTCCCTCTCCTTTTCTTCTATACTAATTATTACCACACTCCGTTGTTCGGAATAATTACTAAGTTAGATTTTCTAAATGAAGGGACCATGTGAAGTAGCTTACTCCAAAGATTTAGAAATGTAGTTAGTATTTTTGTCCTTAGAAGTATAGGGCTGTTTTATCGAGTAAACTACTTGCAGCAAGAGGGGTCGGAGCTTGTCCTACGAAGTCTTACGAGAGGGAGGGGGTCAAGCCCAGCTCTACGTGAGCCTCTTACTGTAAATAAATATTTATTTTTCAACAAAAATAATTTTTTCAGTTATTTTTCAGGCTGTCTCGTGGTCATATTTTTGAAGGAGGGGGGGAGGTCAAAAAGTCGGCAAATATGTCTCTCCTGACTGCTTGAATGGCCCCTTTTTTGTTTGTACTTTTGCAGGATTTAAATTGAGTAATTAAATTGAAGCTTGATTTATACATTATTAATCTTTGACTATCTAAATGATGAGCAAAATAATGAATCCTTTTTATCGGTATTTTTTCCAGCAGGGTCGTCTAAAATGAATAGTCATCAGAATGGAGAGCCTATTGAAGTTATCGGTGATAAACGTTTTGTAAATGTAAGTAACTTTTTTCTTCTGTCTCTCCTTTTTTTCCTTTTCTTTTATCACTAGATAGAATTGGGTCCAAATTATTTTCTGTAACCGAGGGACACATCATCATTTTGCCGACACAAGGACATCACTAGACTTTCAGATGAGCCTTCTTTATCATATCACTCCATGCTTCTCAGGGCTTATATGAAGATGGAGTTGTACCCTTACGTCAGAGGAATGATGATATACTTACCTTTACGGAAGTGAAATGTGCATCTCGCATCATATTATACATTTTCAAAATTAAAAAAAATTGTGTCAATTTTTTTTTTTTATGACTGATCGGAAGTAAATTAAACATAAACTTTAAATGAAAGAAACCCAATCAAAGTCTCTTAATTTGTACATTTTAACAGTTTTTTTGCTTGCCAACTCCTAGTGAAAGGTCATTATTGGAAGAGAGATCATAATTTATCTAACTGATTGGTTACTAATGGCCCAGTTGCTCCAGTCACGAAATTGTGTTTTCTTGCCAATCCGCAAAAATTGATGAGATCGGTTCAAACACCAAAGATTGACAGCAATACATATATCACCCTTTGATAAACACTATGATTGTCACTGACGTAGAAAAGCATTCTATGGTTTTTCCCATGTTGGTTTTAATTGTGATGTATATTGCATGACCAGTTGGAATGTTTTTATCATTGATTGAAAAACCATGCTGCCATTTGCAGTGATTTTTGAAGTACAATACCTCCATTAATATTTCATATAGAAACTTCACGGTCGCAATTATTTTTGGCTGATAAATAAAATTCAATAAGTAAATTATATTTTGCAATTAACTCAAAATAATGAAGGACAGTCTATTCATTTTCTTGAGGAAGATTATTTTAATGTCAAAAGTTCAACTTATATTCTTACTTGAAGGGTTGACTAGAGCAATGTTTAATGCTTAGTAAAGAAGGAAATCATGAGTCAATTCCTAATTTAAAATCTCTCTTTGCAAGAAATTTTAACCTTTTTAAGTTATTCTATGAATTTTCTTGATTGTTTCAGGACAAGTATGAAAGTGATCGAAGTCGGGACAGAGACCGAGACTCAAAATCTAAACAATATCCTTTTTATATGCACTGACCGTATTTTCATCTCCTTGGTTGCAACAAAATTTTTTTGGAAGTTGACAGTTTTCTTATTCGAATTGACTTCTCATGATTTAACTGATATTTCCTAAATGGGCCAGTGGCATCCAATTTCTATTGTTTATAAGATTCGCCCGTATGAGGGCTTGGCCTTAGTGCCTAGCACAAACAGCCACTGACAAGTTGGATGCTGAAGATCTAGAGTGGTTTAGGTGTTTTATATATCCGTGCGGTGCACTTTAATAATTATTGGTGGAAGTGAAAGTTCTTGAAAAAGGAGGGGGTATCACTTCACTGATTCACTTCACTGATAATCGATGTATTAAGACGCTTAGATAACTATTTTGTTGGAGCGGAGGAACTTGCTGAGCATAATGTAGTTTTCCTTAGAGGTGTTGCTCAAAATTAGAGCAGAGTTCGTAGGCAGAGAGTAGTTAGATTTAACGTGTTGGTTGAAAAAGTCCTGAAGGTTGTTCAAGTGTTGACATTGGAGGAGGATGTGATCCAGGGTTCCTACTTCGCCACACCTGCATAAATCTGAGTCCTTAAGGTTAATTCTTTTCATGTGGGCAGGAAAGACTCCATGCCCTAGGCGAATTCGTGAAATTGTGTTAGTGACGTCTTTAGGTAGCCAAATATTTGCGAACCAGGGGGTAGTGGAGACTATGTCTTGTATTCCGTATAAGCGTGCGCCCTTAGTTTGGGCTGATTTGGTCCATTCTGTTTGCCAGTCACTCATCATCATTCTGTGGATGACAGGGAGGAAGTTGGAGTAATGGATTTTCTCTTTACGGAGATCTATGTCTTGTATTCCGTATAAGCGTGCGCCCTTAGTTTGGGCTGATTTGGTCCATTCTGTTTGCCAGTCACTCATCATCATTCTGTGGATGACAGGGAGGAAGTTGGAGTAATGGATTTTCTCTTTACGGAGATCAGTAGCTTTTGTTAGGTCCTTTGTAAGTTTATCAGCCTCTTCATTACCAGAGATGTTTTCGTGGCCTGGAGTCCAAATCAGAATTATCTTTGGGTGGAGAAGCAGGAAGTTTCTAATGTCTAGTAAGTCCTGATTGTCTGTAGGTTTTCGGACATTAGAGATTGCTTGGATGGCTCCCATGGAGTCAGTGCAGATGGCAGCTTCTTGAATCCTAGATTCATTGAGGAAGACGGTGGCGTCGAATAATGCTCGGATTTCTGCATTGAGGATAGTTAAATGTTTGTTAAGAAGGAGAGAGCGCTGGAGATTTAGGTTTGGGCTATAAACCCCTGCTGATGTGTAGTCCTTTGTTTTAGAGCCATCCGTATAGATAAAACTGATGCTTTTGTTTTCTTGGATGAATTCTTTAAAGCGCTGGACTGTGTCAAGATCTTCCTTTTTCGCAATGGGGAGTTGGAGGTTGATGGCTGAGTTGTGACAATAAGAACGAAAGAAATATGAGCGGCTGTTTGCTGCCTCAACTTGAGTAGTCAAGTGGCTAATAGTCTTAAGTCTTTGTAGGAGGAGAGGGGTATTTTGCCTTACGACTGGGGAATTGTCCGCAACCAGTTGCTCCAGTTTCATCATAGTTTGCTTCTTAGAAGGGAGGTTGAAGTTGAAGTTTTTGAGGATAAATTTATCGGTTATATACCCAGCTCGGAATGCAATAGGAGGGATGCCGCTTTCTACATACATTGCATTGGTAGGGGTAGATCGTAGGAAGCCGAAGATTCTTCTGACGCACTGGTTAATAATTACTGAAAGGCGCTCAGCAGTTTTCTTATTATAATAAAATTGGATGCCAAAGTCTGTAATGGAGTAGATGAGGCCGTTGAAGAGGATTTTAGAGTAAGACGGGTGGGTGCCCCATTTGACCCCTGAAAGCATCTTGACCAGATTGGTGTTGCGGGCCAGTTTAGAGGAAATATGGGTAACATGGGCATGCCACGTGAACTTCCTGTCATATACAAGGCCTAGGTAGATCAGCTCATTTACTTGTGGGATTATGGAATTATTAATCATAATAGGAGTGATCTGCAAATTTCTTCTTCTGGAGAAGGTTATTGTTTTAGACTTGGCGGTGGAGACTGGGAGATTTAGGATTTCAAGGCCTCTATGGAGGGAGTTGAGATCTTCTTGGAGTAGGGCTGAGGAAATCTGATCATTCTTACTTCTAATGTATACAAGGATGTCATCTGCAAATTCTAAGATTTTGGAGTGGCGGAGTTTCTTATGTAGGCTGCTGGTGTAGATTAGGTACAAAAGGGGGCTAAGGACTGAACCTTGGGCGAAGCCTAGACATGAGGTCCTTGGTCCGTGTTCTGTTTTATTGAAGTGAACGTACACCGTTTTTCGCCCAAATAGGAGATAGACACTATTGATGATGCGTTGATTAAATTTCATACGTTTCATTATTTTTATAAGGGTTGGGATATGAACGGCATCATATGCCCCTTCTACATCCAGTAGAACAACTTTGAGTTCTTCTTTGTTGGCTAAAGCCTCCAGGATCTCTCGGTTGAGGATGTTGTGATTGTCGAAAAGAGAGTGATGCTTCCTAAAACCAAACTGATGGGGAGATAGGAGGTCATATCTTTCAACATGCTCTTCGACAAAGTGTCTGAGAATTTTCTCATAAGTTTTTCTAACGATGGATAGCAATGCGATCGGGCGGTAGGATGTTGGTTCTCCTTCTGGCTTATTGGGTTTTTTTATCGGCTTGATAATCACTTCGTTCCATTCTTCAGGAGGGTTGCCTTCATTTATCACTTTTTGGAACACTTCATACAAGTATGTCTTTGCACTGGTAGGAAGCGTTTTCAGGAGTTTGGCTGTAATTCTATCTTTGCCAGGTGTTCTTTTAGCCATAGTCTGTAGGGTGTGGTTAAAGAACTGATAGGAAAAAAGTAATGGTTGCTCGTTTTCACAGTCGAAGGATGGGGGGGCTTCGTCAACATAGACAGGAGTGAGTTTATTTTGGAATGCTGGGATCCAGTTATCATCCAGACTTCTTACTGGATCTTTTGCCAGTCGTTGAGTTTTGAGTTTTGCCCAGAGTTCGTTGAGGGGAGTGTTGCTATTGAGGGATGAGCAGTATTTAGCCCAGCTCTCTCTTTTAGCCTCTCGGACGGCATGTTTAAATTTATTGCAGTTGGCTCTATACAACATGAGATCTTCATATAGACCGGTCTGTTTGTACTTTTTGAGGGATTGGTCTCTGATGTTTTTAGCTTTTTGGCATTTGACGGACCACCATCGCTCATGTTTGGCAATTTGGTGAGGCGGAGCGTGGGGCTTGGGTTGATAAGTAGTTTTTGCGGACTCCAATGATGATTTGATGACATTGGCCCACTTGTAGTACGACTTGTCACTGGTTTCATCGATAGAAGAGAATTGGTTATCTACAATTTTTGTGAATTTTCTCCAGTTGATAGTAGTGATGGGAGAAGGTGTCACTGGGTCACTGGAACGATTAGGGCTGATGTTGAGTGAAATGGTGACTTTTATTGGGAGGTGGTCGCTGCCCATAGGGATGTTGAGAACATCCATGTTGGATGTAGAAGCCAGAGAGTTGCTGACTACAATCAGATCTGTGAAGCTGGGTTCTTGAGAGGGTGGAGTAATTCTGGTGGGGGTGGGGTTGATGGAGTTACAAACAAAGAAACCATGGTCGTTAAATATATTCATGAGATGGTCACCTTTCCTGTCGGCGTTTGGGTAGCCCCAGGTAGGATGCTGGGAATTGAAGTCTCCAGAGATTATAACATCTTTGCCTGAAAGCTTGTCTAAGATGGCGTTGAGAGGATCGAAGTTTCCTTTGTATTTGGTCGTGGCATAAACGTTGATAAGGAAAACGGACTTCTTCCTGTCTACTTTATCCATTATTTTGATGGTGAGGACTTGAACGTCGGTGACATCAAGGGACTTATGGCTTAGTTCTGGGACTTCAGCGAAGGCCCAGAAATTCTTGGCCCCTGAAAGAAGGCCTCCCCAGCCATCTGATCTATGTTGCTGGTACGTAATATATGTTTTAGTTTTGATTTGATCAGCTGGTTTAAGCCAGGTCTCTGAGAGTAGGAAGATGTCAGGTTGAAGGGATCGGAGTAGATCATTCAGGTCAAATCCATTTGCTCGAAGGCTGTGAATATTCCATGACAATAAATTTAGGGTTGTTGTCATTGTAGGAGCGGGATTTATAAGGTTAAAGTATTATAGTGTTTGCAGAGTTTTGAGTAGTTGAGTAATTAAGAGTAGAGGATTAGATAGTTTGGATTAAATTATTAGAAAGTTACCTTTGGGTAGTGTATAAATTGGTGGGTCACTGATCAGATTTATGCTGGTCATTAACTAATACGTTGAAATCGTTATCTTTAAAGGTATCTTCACAGTGTTTGTCTGAGTTACTTAATTGCTGGGGTGTAGGGCTTCCTAGTGGTGGACTGGGAGGAGAGAAATCCGTGTCCATCATGTTCAAGGAGGCATCGACTTGGGAGCCTACAAATAGAAGGCCTTCCGCACTATTGTGAGTCTCATTTACTGAAATCTGTTGTAGATTAGCTTCTTCTTCGTCACTTTGCTTTTTGGGAGTAACAGAAGTTGTTGCGTCTTTTAGTTTCAGGCGGTTCACCCATTCTGTGGGGAATTCTTCATTATTACGTTTCTTTTTTCTCATAGCTTTCGTTGAAATGGAGCTATTGTTGGTCTTTTTCCTGTTGGCGGCAGGGGAGGCATCTGGGTTTGAGGGCTTCAAGGGGGGAAAGCACTCCTCCTGAAGGGTAGTAAATCGATTCCTTGTCACTGTCTTAGGTAGATTCCTTGTGACTGAAGCTGCAGATCTGCGGATGCCGAACTTATAATTGTCGCTGTACGAATCTCTCATACTGAGCGCTTCTTTATAGCTGACATTGGATTCGGCCATAATCCCATTTACTTTAAGGGACTGTTTTCTAGTTGGGCAGTTGATGTCAGTGGGTTGGTGGCTCCCCTGGCAGTTAATGCACTTAGGGGATTTCTCTGGGCACTCATCGGATTCGTGAGCTGGTCTTCCGCACTGTTCGCACCTTTTTTTACCTTTGCAAAACTTTTGGAGGTGCCCGTAGTGGAAACAGTTGTAGCACTGGGTACCTCTATTGATGTAGAGATCAACATGGGCTATGTAGTAGTCTAGCTTCACCGTTTCAGGGAGGGTGTTTGATAGAAAGGTTATGGTGACTAGTGGTAGCGGGACTTTTCGGTGTTCGGACTTATTGAATCTGTACATCCTCTTAATTTCGTAAACTTCAAAGTCAGTTTCTAGCATGTCGCTGATTTCATCCTCTGTGTACTCGGTAGGGATGTCCTTGAGGACACCTTTCTTCAGAACCTTGTATTTGGGGATGAAAACAGTATATTTGGAGCGGTCCAGCTTGTGATTGGCTAGGAAGCTGTTGGCATCGTACCTGGTCTTGAAAGAGACCTGCGACGTGCTCCTATTGACTTTAGTAACATGCTCAACTCCTTGTACTTCGGATCTCCGGAGGATGGAGGAAAGCTGGAGAGGATGGATATGTGGAATCCGATCCGCTGAGGGATTTTTGGCGATGTGGAGGATGAACGGAGCGGAGCACTTGTCGTTGTAAAACAACACACGCGGGGAACTAGGATGATTCACTGGGGTCGACGAAGTATCCGGCACTGGTTGTTGAGAGGATTGACTGGTGGTAGGCTTGTCCATCTGAAAAATTTGTTGGGTCGAGTTTACGCTAGTCGAACTTTGGTGTGAACCCAACCGGATGGAGGGCCGATGATGATTTTTGTCGATCTATGTAAGATTGAAAATCTCGTTCTGAGTACTTTAAAAGAGGCGACGCCATCTTGGAGACGCGGTAAGGCACAAGTCACAAGACACACTTCACTAATAAAACACTCAAAGGGGGGAATTAAACCAGGGAAATAAAGTTATCCGAAGGGAGATTCCACCAATAATTATTATAGAAGCAAACTTAACACCATTTATGGCTATTAGTTGCACTAATCCAATAAAATACCGATGAAGGGAGAGCGGATAGGTTTCTCGAGAGCGAGATCGACGCGGACTGATCCAATTTCTAAATCATTTTCTAAAAGAATGCAGTAAACAAGTCCACTAGGAATTTTTTAGATTTTTTTTAACCCGGAATGGTAAAAAAAAACCCCATTTTGAAACTGCCGACAATAGGACCCATTTGAAATAATATTTCTGGCCGGCTTTAATGACATAGCCAGATGGGGGAAACGGCGTTTGCTGATTGGCTAAACTTAACTCCAGCACAGAATTTATAGGCTACACCAACAGAAGGTTCCCTCCAATTTACTCCAATGTATCGCATTTGTACTTTCCAGGTCATTGCATTGTTGCTAAATAAATACATTCAAGTAGGAAAATGGGAGTAGGAAAGAATGCATACTGGCAAATTAACTGACAATGTCGAAGGCCCAGGCAAAAGCCAATTTGTACACAATACTTTCTAGGAGAAAAGGAACGAAAAAATCAAGAGAGAAAGTAACTGATGTGAATCCAAATCAGGAAAAACCATGCTACTGCAAAAAAGCAAAATCCTAATACTGAAGACCAAGAAAACTTGGAGGAAACTGTGGCGATAAACTTCAAAGTTTTTTATCCTCTTAAAATCAGTAATAAGTGTAATTTGGAAGATATTCATTGTTTCGGGTGCTCGAACATCTGATATCCTTGAGAAAGGTTAATTGAGAGGTGTGCAACCGATGAAGGTTTAAGGGACAGTTGGTTTAATGAGGAGAAGCGCCAAGGTTCAAAGTACTTTACTGACCACAGGGTGGTCTTGTGCATTACAGTCCCTGTATGGAGCTTCGGCTAATCTGGGACCAGTGAGGGAAAGTGCCCGTCAGTTAAAGCTCTCGGCATCAAAAGTGCATGAGATGAGAATTCGATTTTCTTCAAGTTTAAAGCAGTAGAGCCGTTCTTTTGCAACAGTTAGTTGTGTGTTGTTGACATGTGCTTCAATTGATTGAGTCTTCTACTAATAGTAAGCTTTTCTCAACGGCGAATTTTCTGTTAGGGACCATTCCTAATACAAGTAACGTTCTAGGGGGAGGAGGGGTCAAGAAGAGTGTTCTGCTATTTTATTTCTTTATTTATTTTTTCGACCATAATAGGGACCCATGTCACAAGAGCTTTTAAGGAGGATCCAAAATTAGCGTTACATAGTGTATGAATGACTCATAAGACTACCAATAAAAATATTGCTCTTTGATCAGTACGATAGATGAGTCAACCCATTGTTGCACTGCTTGCACTCACCATTTTATGCGTTGCATGGTTAATTCTGACTTGAGCTTTTCAGTCAGTGATGAACAAAATTTGCCGTTGTTGCTCTGTATGCATCACGGATAAACCATGGTAGACAAAACAATGTTGCTGCATTGGATTATGACATTCAGTATGTCGTTTAAAGAGCAATTAGTCTGATCTCCTCTCATTGTGGGTACAGAATTTTGGGAACAGAAAATTTAAGGAAAACTTATTGTTTCCAAGTTATTTACGAGATTTAGTCATCAAAATATGACTCTCTTAAGTGCACTGCTTTAGACATCTTACTCATGCAGTGAAATCAAGAATAAATTTTACTAAAATGTGTACTATGTTTTCCTTAACCCCAAGCACTACCCGGAGATCCAGTGAAAGCAAACGGAGGATATGAGATCAGAATGTAGAATTTCTACCAGGATTCAGTACAGCAGGAAGATTAAGAGATACCTACTTCATTTTGCGAAATTCGTAGTATCTCTGGAAATTAGTAGAATTAGCAGAAAGCTTGGTGCTTTGAAGACTCAATTTTAGTAAAAACAAATAAAATATGGATGACATCAATTAAATTTTTTCATTTTTATAATTTGTGTGTTCGGAAAAAACAAAGTGCTCAAATTCAGCCTCTCTGGAAATATCTACTCTTTTGCATTTCCCAAGTACTCCATCAAGAATATCTGAAATTTTAGATCCCCGAAACTTTAAACATTTGTCTATAATTTTATATAATAATTGTTAAATAACTCAAGAAGCACAGCTAAAATGAAAAATGCAAAGTGTTCTTTATTTTAAATTGTTACATTTATGCCCGTGCTTTCTTGGTTACTTTAAAGCATTTCATGATAAAACTTTGTACAAAAATACAGAGCATACTGCAGAATAACTGAAGTCTTGAAGATTCTAAGAAGAACGTTTAAAATTTAGCAGTATCAATGTAATTAATCTATGATCTAATCTGCAACCTGTTCTCCATTATCCTCTACTTTAAGATTGTTGTAAGCTTTGGTTTTCTCTACTGCAGTGACTTAGCTGAATCTTTAAGTAATACTGATGTGAATGTTGATGGCGTAAAGGTTGCTAAGAAGCTAGTTCGTGCAGATTGGCTGAATCTGAACAATATATTTTTGTCCTGACACTCCAGAAGCTCGATTATTGGATCTATGTTGATACACCAAGATAAGACATAGCTCTATCTTAAGCATTCAATATATCACACTTTGCTTGTTTTTTTCGTATCGACGTAGATTCAATAATCCAACCCCTATCCCCTTCAAATTTCACTCCCATTATTAAATTTGCAATTTTGATACTTAGTTGTATTTATATGAAATTAGTCCATCTCTAATGGATTCTTTCTGTAGATAGACTTGTTTTCTAAAAAGGAATTAGGAACAAGGAAATGGATACGAGAAATTTTTTGCTCCATTGTTCCTCATCGAGTTTTAACCAGTTTTTGACAATATGTTACCTTTGTAATAGTTTTACTTTCCTGGAAAAAGTCATTTAGTTTATGTCTCTTAGTTTTTTTTTTAATTTTACTGTACTTCCCTTGGGATTTCATTTTCTCAAATGTCTTAACCAAGTCCAAATTATCGTAAATAATTGAGTTTTTTAATAGAGGCGCTATATGTGTAGAGAGCGTTTCTTGATAAATTGTCTTCAAAGACAATACAATTTGGAAGTCAAAACATTCATACAATTTTACATTGCAGTGCTTGCTGTCACAATTTGGTAAAAAAAAACCAAATTTTTGGCAATGAACCTAACTAGGTGGTTATCTGAGAACTGAATGGAACAGAATCGCAAAGCCTGATCGGGGAAATACTCTTGCCTCCACTAAATCCAACAATTTCCCTCTCACATTTGTTTCATTTGTCAAGGAGCCAAGGCACTGTCACTTCAGAGGAGGCTCAGAATTTTCTGCATGCTACCTCAGACCTAACTCCATGGAATAAAATTGAGCCGGATATATTACATGAACCAATCATCTGGTTCTTTTTGTGCTAACTTTATTGGATGGATTATATTTACAAAGTAATTTTACCTGCACCTCACTACCTCAGTTTCTCTAGAATCAGAAAATAACCTTTTGTGGCATGTTGCGGGAGGGTATTCTAGGCTTCAAAGATAGATTTACTTTTAAAGACCGCTTTTTACTTTTGAGACCTCAATCCTATTTTCTCATTTGTTCTATTTCTTGTAAATATTTGTCCATTAAAGTAGTTTCATCAGGCTGACGGTGGAAAGTCAAACTTGTAAGTGGGAAAATTGAACAGATCAATGAAGTGTTTTGGAAAAACAATAATGTAAGTAATGAAACCTGTCCCTCTCCAAGGATGATGTACATATGATGATGTAATTTATTTTTTCTAATCAGTTGCATTTTTGTCCATTTTCTATGTTCAATGTACAAATTAAAAGAAGTGATTGTCAATATTTTTCAGTTTTTCCTACTTTTTTCATCTTGAATCCAACTACCAAGATAATTCATGAAGCGAAGGAGTGCATTGACAGTACTGGAAAAAGGTTTCAACTTGCTCTACTATAATGCAAGCATCTCATAAGGATCTAAATGTAACTTTTGTACACTTTGCGACAACTCACACTCGCTCTGAGGCGTGATCCAAAGCCAATATGACACAGGATGGTTGTAACTCGTTTTATCGCTCCAAATGTCGTTAGCCTTTTTTCTACTGTCACTTAATGAATTCTTAAAAAACTGTAATTACACTTCTGCAAGACGCTATTAGTAAGCTGTGGTCTCAATTATTTTGTTCTTTTAAACGACTTGATCCCTGAGCAAACATTTCAAAAGAAAAATTGAGACCTTTTTTAACATATGCAATGGAATTAACTTGAATGAGATTAAAAACACATTAATATCCAGTCAGAAGCTAAGAATTTGATTGCATTGACAGTATGATTACCAATTCTCGACACTGAACCATTGCTGTAAACATTTCCTGACTCGAATCCACGTTTCGAAAATACAGCTTGTAGTGCAGTTCAAAAAATACTTTTAATTTGATCGACTGTAAACGGTTGTGGCTATTGTGTCTTTTCTTTATTTTAGAGGTCTAAGAGCGCCAAACAATTCAATGCAAGAAGCTTGTTCAAAAAGTAGTGTGCCTCCATGTTCATAAAATGATTAAAAATTAGATTGCTTACTGAATTAAAAACGGATTTGAAGACGAAGTGTTCCTAATCTTTGGGGAATACACTCCAAATGGCAAGAAATAATAATTCACATTTCTCACATAGTTCACACATTCTCACGTAGTTCTCCACATTCCTCATATAGTTTTACCAATTGGTTAACTGGCAGCGCCCTACCCTCATATCAGACCGAACTACCTCTTGTGAGATATACGAAACCTTTATGAGGTTGGTGTTAGTTGGTCAAAGTTTAGTATCTGTTTGCAGATTTTTTATCTCCACGAGACCCCCCCCCCCACAAAAAAATAGTTTTACCAAATAATTGAGGATAGTTTTTCTTCACTTAAACAAATGGTGACCTGAACTCAATGTTGATTCAAAGAAACATAAGTGCTGATTTTGCAATTTAATTGTCAATTTGTGATAAACAACAGTTCACTTGAAGAGAGTATCACATCAAACAGAAAAAATTAACATAATTAATAAACACAGCATAAACTTAACAATTCTCAGGCATATCTAATTACCATATTGACGGTGGAACTACAAAAATGCAAATCTCAGTTGCCGTGTTTCAAAATCTCCACTCCTATTTTATTTTTTAGAAGGAGACCGGAACAAAATCATGGCTTGAAATTTTCACAAGTACCTGCTAACCCAATTATGTCTTGAGTCACGCATTCCAGCTTAACATCTTCTATGCTCAATTTTTCGATTTCAAAATTCTTCTTAAAGTAAAGAAAAATCACATAAGTTTTTTTAGAAATGATTTTAAGAAGAAGTTCATGAAGGAAATAAAGTATGGCAATAAGTCAGCGACTCTGCATCCCGAGATACGCATTTCTGTAGTTTCATCATATATACCAGACTTTGCCCTGCATTGCATTTCACAAAAAATAGAATTTTGCAAAGGAAATTGGAAGTTTTTGAGAGTAGATATTACTAAAAAACATCATGAAACTAGTACTTTAACTGTTACAGCTGATACTAATTATATCGGTAAAAGTGGTATTAACAACGTTATCCAGTCCAAGTTTTCGAACATTCACATCCACTCCGAGGAAAAATTAGTTTTAAAAAACATCTTGTCTATTCTCTTACAATGCTCGATCAGATTAGGAAAGCCACGGACAATTCCATTAAGCTGATTGTTTGGAAGTGGCGTTGTGATAATAGTGAAGATGTGGCCGAAAACTAGTGCATCTAATTCAGTGGGGCTGAAAAAAAAATGCAAAAAGCAATTTATTGTGACTTTAAGTGCTGACACTGATATAACAAAACGTAATTCGATGAATGAAGAGTGGAGGATCAAAGAAATTTTTGAACTTCATGAGGGAAGTAATCTATTTTCCGACTAGTTAGTGCAGCCATGATGGGAAAAGATGCTGTATGAAGAATCGAAAGTTTCCAAATGTCCTTTAGTAAATTGCTGTTATTTTGTAATTTCTGGAAAAGTTACGAATATTTTTGTTTGAACTTTTCAGATGAATTAATTTGCAGTTTAAATTGGTGTGACTGCAAAATTTCATTTGAAAATATTCATACCTTTTCGAAATATAAATACCGCATAGGGAAATGACTATGCACAGAATACCAGGAAATTTGGTGCCTGCTAAATTTCAATACTATTTCATACGTTTTTCCATGCTACTTCCTGACCATGATCAGCCTTTGAGATCGAACTCTCTATTTGACAATCTTGAGAAAAGCAGGGCTGAAAAGAGAATTTTTTTACATTTTTACACGCAATAGCAGACAGAATGTTGGAACGTCTTATTGGTGATTGAAGAGAGCTTTTGCTTCCTCTCAGGCTGGGAAGATAAGACTGACGAAATGAATCAAAGTCCACCAAATGATACTAGCGTGTGCTACACGGTCTCTATACATACAGCAACAGCCCCACATCTATATAAAATATATTTGTAAGAAGGCCAAAAAATTCACCTTTCAGCCATTATTTCACCACTTTTTGCGAGATTGGCACATAGAAAGTTTGATTTTAAAAGCTCATCGTGATCAAGTGGCAATAGGGGATATTATGAAAAATATTGAAAAAATTTAGCCGGCACCATACTTCTTGGTATTATGTGGTCCTTCTGCAACATTTGAACGCTCATACAGCCTTCTTCCTACGCACAAGCATTCCAAAATAGTTGACAAATTAAATCTCTGTTGATTACTACAGTATGAAAGGCAGGGATTAGGAATGCATTGATGGATTAATTTATAAGCCATTAGGGATAGAGGCGTGAGAAATTGCAGTGTAGAGGTTAATTCTTTGGATTTGGATACTCATCAAAATGCTTGGTCATGAATCGAGGAGAAAGTGAAAATAAAAAAAAATGGCAATTTTCAATAAAAACGAACAAATTCTTTCTGGAAATATTAAGTTAAGTAAACACAGTTTCGGGTTTCAAGTGGTAGAACAATTTTCTTCAATTAATTTCCTACTTCAACTTATTGGTGATTTTTGGAGGCTGAGTCGACGGAGATAGAAGATTCCTTCGCAGAACACTTCCTATCTGGATTGTTAGATGGTTCACTTTCAGAGCTCTCATCCAAATTCAGACAGACAGCATCAATGACTCGCATCAGCTCTTCTTGAGAGCACGTCAAAGAATTTTTTCTGTCTGTAATCCCATTTGACGATAGATTCAGACTTGGAGAACAAAGGACGGATGACTTTTCTGCTCCACTGCTACTGGCCTCTTTAGAGCGATCTAAAACTTCAGATGATGATTTCTTGTGAAGCGACATCACAGGGCAGATGGGTGTTTCTTCAACATGGTTCACAAAAGGCGAATCCAGATCTCTTGCCGCAGGCACAGTCTTTCCCTTCGAAGCGTCATTTGTAAGGGTAATCGAATCTTCTTCAGAGCTTGCTAAGCCTGAATTTGATTTACTTGCACTCTTTTCAGGATGCAGAGTGATATTTTCAAGGGGAGCTTTGGTGATAATACAAGCTCCCGGGATTATAAGTGTTTTCGGCAGGCATCTCATATCCAAATCTTCAGGGCAAACATTGGGAGAGCTTTCTATCACATTTTGGCAGGCAGGTGTATTTGATGAGCGAGAAACAACAGGAGTCGATCCTTCTTCATCACAACATTCTATACCTACACTTTCCTTTGAGTTAGCAGCATCATTTGGATTTAGAGAGCATGCAAAAAACGGGTTCATTTCATTGATGGTTTCATCCATAATTATCAAATTTGATTCAATTTTGCTGCTGCAATCCGATGAACCTGATAATGACTTTTTCAGGATTGACACATCAGAGACCAAGGATTTTTCCTCTAAACTTTGCCTTGCCACATCTTCAGAGAACACTAAGCAATTGTTCCTATCAAAGTCATGAAAACTGAATACTTTGGGTGAGCAACTGCTCACATATTCTTCTTTGACACAAGGAAAGTCTTCGTTACGGAGCCTTTCTAGTGATTTGTCGTCTTCAGTGGATTTACCGTACAGATTAGCATCTTCTACTTTAGTTTCTACTGGTATTTTTATGGAGGGTGAAATGACAGAGGTCGGGAGTTTGACATTAGAATAATTGGTACAAGGATTTTCAGCGAGCTCATTTCTTTCTGTGAATTCCCTATGATTGTGACAAACGGATATTTTTGATGAAGTATCGGTCAGCAGGACTGATCCATCCTCGCAATACGTTGAGTCAGATTCTTCGTTACCAACGCGGATGGCTTGTGAGTCGATCTCATTGGTGTGGGGCTCAGTGCATGTTTCTTGCACTGCTTGATTTATCACGCAAGTTTCGGATTCTGATTTGCGATTATCTGTTTTCTCAATGGTTCTAGGAACATCTTCCAAAAATCGATGCTGCGGATTGTCAAAGCAAGAATCTTCTTCATAAATACAGTTTTTGTCTTCTTGTTGTAATTCTGCTCCACTTGCTGAAAATTTCTTGGACGACTCTGACGATGCTTTTTTGAAAAAAGGGATGACAGGAGAAGAGGGTTTGTTTTCCATTTGGGTGATCAATGTATCGAAGTTTTTCGAGTTAATAGAGTTGCTATTTTTGCTGAAATTTTGAGGAACTGATGCATAGTGATTCAATGGGACTGGGTTTTCTCTCAAACATACTGCATCTGAACTTTTTCCTTGAACAATTTTCTTCCTCGACCTGATCAAATTTAGTCCCTGCTTAGAGTTTGAATCCATTTCTTCTACGTAAGATTTTCTTATGCTTACAATCTTCTCAGACAATTCTGGTGACGGTCGAATATGTGCATCATTAAATCCTTCTGAAGCACATTCATGGCTAGAATTCATCGGTAAAAGTCTTAATACTCCACTGAAAATTGCGTCTGAGTCACAGTCATAGAGAGCTTCAACTTCTGTTGATTCGTCTCTCATCAGCGTACTCACAAAGATGGAACTCAAACTAGGACTTTTAGAGACATTGTGGCATTCGAATGTTCTTTCCTCTTTTAAATAATTACAAGGCGTATCAGTACTTTCTTTTTTTTCTCGTTCTCTTTGAGCAAATAATTGAGTCTCAGACTTTATTTTGCAACAATTAGTTTCATTGATGGTTTTTATGATATCTTTTGAAGCTTGTGGTTGAGGCTCATTGTGGCATGAATTTTTCTCAAAGGTATGGTTTTCATTTCGCCTTAGTGTTTCTGAAAGCGAATTTTTTGAGCATACTTTTACTATGTCATGTATAGATTTTTTTGATCCTGTGGATTTCTCAGGCTCCTTCTCTTGAGCTGTAATTATAAAGTTGGAGCAATCGTGTGAAGATTTAAGCGCTATTTGCTCCTTGTTTTGGCTTCCAACAAAGCTCTTATCACTTGTTTCATTCTGGACAACAGATCGTAAAATACCTTGAAACACATTCGAGTTTGCGTCTGACTTGGGTTTTAATGTAGAGAACGAAAGACTACCAATTTCAGCTTGTCTTGAGGGAGTAAGGCAAAAATGTCGATTTTTCTCTTGCTTTGTGTTACTAAACTTTGAATGTAAAATTTTTGGGCTTTCAACTCTGGGACTTTTCGAAGGCATTTCTTTTGCCTTTGGACAATTTTGGTGGGCTGCAGAGGTATATCTATCATTATCGTAAATTTTTGACAAAACTTTTGAAGTCCGCAAATGCATCGAAACAGGAATGTGTGTTACTCTGGTAGCTTTTACATCTTTGCAACCTTCATCCCTCGCCTTTTTTAAGAAAACACTATCCGAGCTTCTGACACTATTTAAATTGTAGTCCATTTTAGTTTCAAAGGGTTTCCTGGCATCATTTATGTCAGAGGAAACTTTCATTTGGAGCGAGTTAGAACTACCTCTGAAGTCTCGACAACAGACGTTACCTGAATTTCCCTGTATGTTTGTGAGTTGTGGTTCTTCTTCATCTTGATATTCAACTTCATTTCTTCTTGGTACAATCTGCAAACTTGGTTTACCTCGGCCAATCCCTGCGGTACTTGATGAGTCTGAATCCTTCCTCATTTGCACTGGACCAAAGAGAAAGTCATCACTTCTAATATCACTTGGTGTCCCAGTGTTACAAATTTTTTTCTCTGCAGTATCTGAATCACTTGAAACTTCACTGACACATACACATGTTCTCTCATGTAAGTTTGACTTTTCTTCTGATCTCAACTCAAACTCATCAATGTCAGTCTTATTGAACATTCCGGAAATGAGCTTGGTCTCAGATGATGGAATGCAAGTTTTTGAGGCTCCGGCCACTCTGGTCTTGAATTTAAATTCGCACAGTTGAGCAGTAGGATATGATTTTTCGGATAAATGACTGAGGTTATCTGGAATTGAGAATGTTTTATCGCGTTTCCATTTGAACTTGCCATAATCTACTTCTTGTGCTTTCACTTCTAACGGACTATTTCTCTCATACTCTAAGTCAGCAGACATCAAGGATAAGTTTCTAGGGCTAGTGACGCATTTATCACTTTGCGTATCATTTTCACGATCATTTTGTACATCTGTTATCTCAACAGAATTAGAGGCCCTTTTTGCAAGTTTAACAACACACTTGTTATTTTGTTCATATTTTTTCATTGTTTTGTGCTCATCACTTTCATCGAGTTGTTTTTGTGTTTGAATGTGACAAATACTTTTAAAACTTTTGGCACAGGCACTGTTATAGTAACTGGCACTGATTAATGTTTCAGATTTTCCATTACTTTTGCACTCCAAGGGATGAATTATTTCTACTTCTTTGTTGATCACAGCACCATCATAATTATTTGAAAAAATTATGCCATTATCAGTACACCTTACATGATTTGGAGCTGGAAGAATTTTGGCTGAAGGTCTTTTTATTTGTCCACAGGTAAAAAATTGCGTACTTACTTTTCCATGGATTTTACAAACTCCAGGAGCGCAGCTGTCTTCTTCAACTGAATCAGCGCAACTTTCAAGAGACTTGGTGGCAGATTCTCCAAAAGTTACAGAACTTTTGCGACTTCCCATCCTGTCAGAAACAGTTTCTGGGGATGCTGGGAAACTTTGACAGTTATTTATGTACTTGGCAACTGTTTCTGGGGGAATAGTTGCGCCTATGAAGCTTTTCATTGAGTTTTTATCCGAACAACGGTCAACTGATGAATTTTTACATTTTTCAACACAGTTATCTACTTGTTCAGTGCAAGCTGTTAAACATTGACAACTCTCAATTGACCTGGTGACAATTTTCGGGAAAATCGTTGAATCTGTTGAGCTCTTTGTGAACACAGTAACAGTTTCCACTGCAGTTGGTAAACTTAAGCAGCTTTCAATAGACTTGGCAACAATTTCTGTGCTAGTTGGTAGACTTTTACAGCTTCGGACAGATCCATCTTCAGTTCCTGTGACAGTTGGCGAACTTTCAAAGCTTCCAATGAGCTGACCAGCGGTTTCTGTGGAAATTGGTAAACTTTTACAACTTCCAACGTACTTATTGAGAGTTTCTGTGGAAGTTGACACATTTATGGAGTTTTCCTTGGTTTTTGTGTGAGTAAGTAAACTTTTGTTGTCGTTTTCAACACGGGAAAGACTGCTTCTATTGGTTGTGCTGCCCACATGTGTGGCATCCATTACTGAATCATAGGTACCAGACAATTGTGGATGGCTCGGCAATTCGGGTGAATCGATCGGAGAAAAAGTCCTTCTTTCAGTTGCATAGTATATTCTTCCAGACTCTTTTAGTATGGTGCTGCAATATAAAGACCGACTTCCATTTCTATGATGACTTATAACCTGTTTACTGTTGCAAAAATCTTGTTCAGAGTTACTACAGTCTTTATTTTCTTCCAAACGTAGGTTGATTGGTTTCAATTTTGAGTCTGACAACTTGGAATTATACTCTGACCAGCAGGGAGTTTCAAATTTGGCGGATTCTGAGTTTTCGCTTGAAAAACAAGGATTAGCAGAGCTTTGATAATCTGGACACCTAATGGCTACAATGACACCTTTGCTACTGCTGGATGATCGACCATCTTCTGGCTCAAATGCTTCTTTGAGTAGGGAGGAGCACAAGCTACTGGAAATTTTCAAAATGGGACTGAAGATACTGAATGAACTACTTTCGGTAACTCTAAGACAATTTTCCACGATAGCACTATGGTGAATCAATTTTGGGTATTTTAAGATGGTCTGAGCAAGCAGGTTTCCGATTTTAAAATGGGGCCAGGAGAGAATGGTTGTTACGTGTGCAAAGAGCAGACAGTCTAGTTCGGTGGGTCTAAAATAAAGGAAAGGAGGAGGATTAGGTTCAGAAAGGAAGGAGAGAAAAATAAGGATCTTAAAGCTAGGATATGTTGGAATAAGGAGAGGAGAGGTTCAAAGAGAGGCTAAATATTATTTTACGATTTTTTTTGTTGGAAATATTAAACTATTTTTGCTATCATTCTCTCGAAACATGTAGATCCAGCCTTAAAAACTAGAAATGAAACACATTCAATTTAAGCAGCGCCTTAAGTTGAAATGAAAAATTCAATTAATTAATAAAAGCTCAGAGTAGTTGCCGGCAAAATGGTGAAAAACAAATTACTTTCAATTTTGATACATAGCCTGGTTGGCCGCCGGGTTTTCACTCATTTTGTACCTAAAAAACTCATTTGCAGGGATTTTTTCCTGCCTAGATATTTTTCACAGATCTGGAACTTAACATAACTATATTTTGTTTGTTCATGATAAATATTCCATATGACCATTTTTATCATGTTCAGAAGCTTGTAACTTACTTTTGTCATACAATTCAAATTTCTGTATTATTATTTCTGTCCGGGGATGTAAAGGATGCCTCATCTTGTGGTCTGTTGATGGGGCCAAGAGTGAGTTGACCTCAGATCATAAGGTAATTTACAAACTTTTTGTATGACTTATTTTCTCTCTTCATTTCAAAAAAGTATAAAAATCACACATTTTTCCATGAAATTTAACATGTTTCTGCATGGTACATTTGAAATATGACCGTGAGGCAAAAATGCTAGATTACAAGGAACAGTTTACCTTTAGGAACTTTTTGCACCTATGCTTTCGTCAACGTATATTCTTCTCAGAAAAGAATGGACTTCAAATTATTTTGAAAACTGAAGCATGTTCAACCTGTTTAAAGGGTATTCAATGACAACTTCAACATTTTTCAGTTGATAAAAACAAATCAATGGGATAACAGGGCTAAACCTTACCCAGATTTGAAGAAGAATTCTCGGTCACCTAATCGATCAGACAAGGACTGACAGCATAAGTCCACATCGTCCAACACCTGGAAAGAAATCACTAAAGTAGAGTCGATGCCAAACAAGTTAAGCACTTTTAGACAGCAACAGAAGATCGTCTAACGTCATTTTAGCATGAAAAGTAAATGCAAGAATTAAGATGGTAGATCTTCTGTCGCAGTCTAATGCATACTAATAAAGTTGCCACGTGCATTGACTAACTTAATACGAATTGCAGTGCCAAGTAGGGTCTTTGTAGAGCTCTAAGACTACCTGAGAGACGAAGAGGAGGTGAGAGAAAATTGTTTGATATTTAGTGGCTTACTTGATTGTCCATGATTGTTTAATTTAAATAACTTCTTAAAATTTTGTTTATTTTTTTTTTTTTTTTTACAATTTGAGTACATAAAGATTATTAATTTAGCTCAAAGTAAGAGTCAAATGCGGTTATGGATAGTAAAACTAATTGTTACATTTGTAAATAAAAATTCAAATAAAAATATGGTAGCTTTCAATCACTTCATTTCAAGTGTGCTAGTTAAGCACATGAAGAAACAAACCAAACAACTAGCAGCGATTCAGAGATTCAATAGGAACAATTATTCCCTGACATCTCTATATTTAGCTATCCTCTTGGAACTCATTCAGGTAGCGGAATGCTTTCTCTTGGCAGAATTTGTTCAAAAATGCACGGGGATGGTTATATTAGAAGACAGTTTTAATGATAGTGGGCGGGCATTGAGAAGTTGTACAGCAGAGAAATTTATCGATGATTTTTTGGTTAATCGGTGATTGTCTTCCATTTATTACCTTAATAACGTTTGTGTGCTCGATTTTTTTAAATTTATTTCCCCTTACAAACTTATCACAGGAATATGGGAGCCCTGCCCTGTGGGCATGGTAAATACAAAAAATCGCCAAAGTTTCTTTACTGCAATTCGACCCTGCAACAAATCCCATGAAAACTGTATGGACAAGGCCTAAGGAAAACGAAATTTAAAGCAGATATTCCTAGGGTTGGCTGTTAATACTTTAATTCCCTTGAATTTTTTTAAATTAAAATTTAACTTACAGCTTCTTGTTCTGTTTTTCCGCCAAGTGCCTTCATTCGCTCTATCGTTGCAGACCTCTTCTTCCATACCAGGATGTGATTTAGTGGAAAAGGGTGAATGGAGCCAAAACGCTTCTTCGTAACTTTAGAGTAAGTCTCAGGATCGCACCAAGTAATATAATTCTGTTCATTGAAAAAGAAGGAGCCAGTTATCATCATGGTATCAACAATATAAGTTAGTTTTTAAAGTTGATTTCACACTGCCTTCATTTCATTACCTTAACATTTTAATCTATAAATTGTCAAAAATAAAGGTTACAGAATTTAAGTCATCACACGAGTAAGAATTAATTTTTAATGATAAAGTAGCTAAACTGTCGAGGTGAACTTGTTTCAAAACTTTGCGTGCCTTTTTCTCTAAAATACGTTTTCGTTTGCAAACTTTGGAATTCCCCGGAAAAGTCATTTTTGGAATTTTGCAGTGTTTTTTCAGTAAATGGTTCAGAATGGACCACTAGACAAGGTACGAATTTAAGCATTCTAATACATGTTTTTTAACCAAAATTTCACGTAGAACACGATGCGCACAACAAAAATTACCGAAATCAACCCCTTACGAAGATATTTAATGATTCCTGATGCGTGAATTCAAACCAGCAGCTCAATAAAACTCAATGCTCTACGTGATTCACATCGCGCGTTGAACATTATCGTGACAGTCTCTGCGATATGAAAACCTGGCAACCACAATTTTGACGCTTTGGCGCAGCTATAGCAAATTGCTTATAATTTGAACAATACATGGTGAGAAATGAACGGTGCTCGATTGAGAGGCTTGCTTTAACTGTTGTAGTGCGCGATTTGACTCACGTATAGCTTTGAGTTTCTTGTGAGCGGGCAGTTCAAAATCCGCGTGACCAATGTGAAATAAAAAGGTTAATATCTTCGTCAGGAGTTAGTTTCAGTAATTTTCGTTGCGCAAATCGTGTTCTACTTGAAATTCTGATTAAGAAACATGTATCAGAATGCTTGAATTCGTGCCTTGTCTAGTGGTCCATTGACCCCATACCGCGAAAATATAGATAATGCGATTTTTATTTTTATCACTTTAAGTCGCCTTTTCCTTTTGTGCATCACAAATTTTCCATCTGTTACTCATTTAAGCGAAAAGGGTTTGTGAGAACAGAGAGATGATTGAAAAGTCATAGGATTACGGACCTGTGACTTATTTGCATGAAAACAGATAGTTTTCTGTTTTATTAGGGATAATACTAAAATTTCATTTGGGGTGAAATCAATTCACTATTAGATTCGATGATTCAAAAATCTTGATAGTACAATATAGAGGTACAGTACTGAGGGAAAACCTTCATAGTTAAATAAAATCTAATTTTTCTCCTTCAGTCGGTCAAATTTCTCTATGTTTGTCACGAGAGATCACTTGTAGGACAAGCAGCATTGCTGGGTAAATCTGGGAATGATGTGAATGCAGAAAAAATGTGACATCACATATTTTGAAAAGCATGGATATTGGTGCAAGTGAAACAGACGAGCCTTCAGTCATTATGATCCCCAGTCAATATAGAAAAATATGTATACATAAAGCCACCATACCATATACGAGGAGGAATCCAAAAAAAACGGAATTTTCCTGTAACTTCGCAACGATGGAAAATATTCGGATTCCATTGCTAAGAGGTGTAACTAGGAGCTATGAAGAGTCACTAGGCCAAATTTCAACGTTGTAGCATATTTTCTTTCATTTTGGTGAGACTTGGTTTAAGGGGTTGTTTGGCAAGTTCGTCGTTTTTGAAGAAGGGTCAATTTCAGTAACAACACTTAGCGCTCAAGATTTTCTCACTTACTAAATAAAAACACAACTTTCTCAGTAAACCATTTGAAATTCTGCTTCTGGAGGACAAACCTCATCAAAAACTTAGTATAAGTTCGGTTTTTTGCTTTAAAAAAGATGCTGTATCGCCCGAAACCCCTGTATGGCTCCAAACTGCCATCACCATTTGGATAGAACCAATGCGAGTAATAAAAAAATTGCATTTTTGTGAATGAGGTTGGTTATAGATAATTTAATTTACTAGCAGATATCACTTGAATGTAATGCAGAAATATTCAAAACATTGCTGTGAAAAATTTGGGCCTAAAACGCGTTGTTGCCGAATTGACCTCCCATTTAGCGTTCTAACCGGTGACTGCCGCTGGGCGTCCAGCCGAAGTTCAAACAATAAATCACACTCTAAAACAAAGAAAAACATGATTCACTTATTTCATGAATGAAACATGTTCCCTGCAAGATTTACTCCAAAAATTGACAGAGTTAGTTGCGCATTGCCCGTGAAAATCACCCATCTTCAAAAACGACGAACTCGCCAGACAACCCCTTAAACTAAGTCTCCCCAAAGTTAAAGAAAATGTGCTACGACGTTAAAATTTGGCCTGGTTACTCTTCATAGCTTTTAGTTACACTCTTTAGCGGTAGAACCCGGATATTTTCCACCATTGCCAAGTTACAGCAAAATTCCGATTTTTTTTGGGTTCCTCCTTGTATTGTATGATTATCAGCTCAGAGTCATGGCTACACCAATCATATAGTTCATGTCATAGTTAGTTCATATATCTACATAGAGTATTTGACTAACTGCGAAGGTAGACTCATCCAAGACCTAAAAATCTACTTCTCAATTTTGGGAGCTTTTGAGGAGGGAGAACTACTGGAGATGCAAAGGGAACTTTGAAAAAATTTTGAGGAATTTTGAGAGTTGTTCTCAGACAGAAGTAAGTGTAGAGATACTTATCCATTATTAAACAATCTACCTCTCAACTTTAAGATCTTGTGGAAGTCTGTAGATATATTAAGAAGATATGGGATAATAGCAAAAAAAAAAGAAGCTTCGCAAAAGTTTTGAGGAATTTGAAAGTTGATTTCAGATAAAACAAATGGTTTTGCCAAGTTTCATGGAATGAAGAAGTTTCAGCAGGATAAGTTCGTCGCTTATCTCATTTTCTTGCAGGAACTTCATTAGAAGAGATGGTATGCTCATGCATTAGAAACTCTCAGGATAAAACATTTGAAAATTGACTATATGATTAAGGCAATCATCCAGTTCATGAAAACTTGCAGAATGGAATTCACTATTCAGTTGGTAAGTCACAAATCAACTTAATTTGAAGAAGAGTGGTAGGCCTAGGCCAATGTCATGGTGTACCTACTTCTGCGTTTCCAAAAACTGTGTTAATGAGTGACATGTAGGCTCTCATGTCGGACTTCTCCGCATCAGTTAGATTACTAGTGAGAGATATGTTCTGCAACATACAAGACAAAGGACATTAGACATAGGAAGAGGACCAGAGAAAGTTTAAGTCAGAAAGAGCCCAATGATGAAATAAAACTTTAAGTAATTACATAATGAGCAATTTCCTGAGTTTGAAAACAAGGGCAGTGGCAGGCACCAGTCAATTTATGATTCTAAGTAAGCAATTATAAAATAAAGCGGTCCTTTCTGGTTTGTTATTAGAGGGCGCTATTTCCTTGGTGTTGATGATTAGACAATACAAGCACTGTTGAGCTGTTCTGCCTCACAGAAAATACTTCCCTGCTGCACAACATTACCCTGTTGATCAGTTTTTCAGACTCGGAGCTCAACTACATGGCTAAGATTGACAGAAACTCAGTAGTGGCAGCTACATTTAAACATTCAGCAATCGATGCAACCAACAGGATGGTGAAATAATGCTGGTTCTCCATTATTCTAGGGAGGAAACAAAAGGTGGGAAAAATCAAGACGTTCTTCACGTACAGTTTCAACCCTTTACAAGCGTCTATTTTTTCCTTATTTCTTTGAGTTTAAAGAAAAAATGCTTGAAATTAATAGAAATTATAAGCACATGATTAATTAATATCAAGCTGTTTTTCTTACAAGAAAGATGTGTGATGATCAGATTGTTTGTAATTTAGGTTAAGTTTTCTTAAGTCTTATCTTGGGCAAACTTAATTGCCTACAACTAATAAAACCTGCCTGCAGATTAGGTTTTGAAAAATGTAGAGTAGAAAACAAAAAATTACAGCCTGAATACTGTAAGCAACAAATTGATATAATACTGCTGGGTCTACACTGCTCTCAAGGGGAAACCAAAGTCAAACAAATAGACAATGGACCACTAGACAAGGTGCAAATTTCAGCATTCTGATACACATTTCTTCACCAAAATTTCACATAAAACACGATGCGCACAACGAAAATTACTGAAATTAACTCCTTCCGGAGATGTTGAATGATTTTTGGTGCGTGAATTGAAACCACCCGCTCATGAAACTCAATGCTCTACGTGATTCACATCGCGCGCTAAACGTTATCAGGAACATCTCTGCGATAAAAAAAATCTGGCAACCTCAATCTTGACGCTTTGGCTCAGCTATAGCAAATTACTTATAGCTTGAAAAACACAAGGTGGGAAAAGAAGATTGCTCGATTCAGAAGCTTGCTGAAACCGTGGTGGTGCGCGATTTGACTCACATAGAGCTTTGAGTTTCATTGTGAGCGGGCAGTTCAAATTCCTCATAACCAATGGATTATAAAAATGTTAATATCTCCGTTAGAAGTTGGTTTCAGTAATTTTCGTTACGCGAATCGTGTTCTACATGAAATTCTGATCAGGAAACATGTATCAGAATGCTTAAATTCGTACCTTGTCTACTGGTCCATTAGACATGGATGTTAAAAAATAATTCTGATGTTTCAGAGCAAAACTCAGGAGGGGAGAGCGTTCAGGACAAGCGAGTGCATTGCTTGCTGCGGCCGGTTGATGGGCTTTGATAAGAGCCAAACCAATGCCAGTCTATAAGCAGGAACAGAGCAAGATATTTTCAGTGCACCTGCATGGGCTGAATTATCTCCTCCTTCAGTTTTGCAACAAAACGAGTTGGAGTTCTTTGTTGAACTTCTAATTGTATTTTTCCATATTTACCCGCTTCTTTTTCTCCTTTTAATAGTGCGACTCAGCACTATTCTACCATCCAAATACTTACAGACGATATTCCAGCCATAATTTTGTGTTTGAACTCCATAATAGCTTGGGTATCATTATTACTTGATATTGATTGACAATGAAGAGCACACTAAAATTTCATATAAAATCCCACTTGAAGGCTTAAAATAAGAGTAAATGCTGCCATACAAACCTTATTTTGGACAAATGCAACTATAGGTTCCAATTCTGCGACAAGATACTGACCAACCTTGATGAACGGCACGCGACCTAAAATGATGAATTACTTCAATTAGTTATTTCTCCATGGTTTTTGAACTTGATTGATATTGAAAGATTTTACAAAGATTTAGATTGAAAGTTGGAACTTTGACATACCACTGATCGTATGCAAATGCTTTCCTGAATGACAATACAGAATTGACAGATTCTTGCAAGTTGCAAGTGGATTTAGGAAAATTCCTCTTATACTTGTTTACGTCTGGAAAATAAAAAAAACCAGTTCTGCACTGTCAGACATTAACACTGAATTTTCTTAAACATGTGGATGAAATTTTTAGGTACCTGTTGGAGACATTTCCGCTGCATTAGCCTTGTATACGGTTTCGTATTTAAGATTTGCCATTTGAAGAAAAGCTTGCACTGCCAGACAATTGGCGGAATCAGGCATGAGAATTTGCTCGGTCTCATAAGGTTGGAATAACTTGGCATCATTTGGCCACTCATTGTCTCCTAAATCAATTCAAAAACATTATGTGTAACAAAATAACATAAAAGTTTAAAAAATAGGAATGTAAAAATTACTTATTCATGATGATAGTTCTGGCCAACAAATGAGGCTTGAGAAAACGTTATTAGCAACTTTATAATACTGATGTAGGTTGGATGAAAGGTTAGAGATGTGGTATAATATGGAGCACTATGTTGAGAGAAGAGATATCATTAATTTGCTGTCCAAATGGTAGAACTGAGAGGGAAGTCTACCTTCGTCTTCTGGTAAAAAAAAACTTCTGCCATAATTGGACTACATTTTGCAATTTGGACCTATAGATTCTAGCCCGGTTTAAAAACAACGTATGTGCCATTAGTTTCCCTATGCACATAATTGTTTTTCCAGTAGAGCCAGAATTTATAGTTCCAAATTGCAAAATGCAGTCCAATTCTGCCTCTCCTTGATGGGTCTCTAATTTTGAAAATTTACCTGAGTTGTACTGAGAAAAGTTAATAATAAATGGGGTTTGACATTGTAAAAATAGTTTGGATAAAGCTGAAAATAATTAAAAAATAAAATATCAAGGAAGAGGTAAATTCACCAGCAAGAGAGGAGTAGAGCAGTATATATCTAAGAATGAAGGTGTCGTCAGCTAAGCTGGCAGTTGTTCACATTCCGTTTGCAAACAACTGTAATGCAGGCATCCAACAGCAATCGAGGATTGACCACACTCACTGTCGTGGTGCGGCCAATCCTTCATCACTCTCGGATGATTGCATCATGATCGCTTATTGCAAGCAAGAAGATAACAACTGCCAACTTAATTGACGACACTTTCGGTACGTTTCAGGGACTGAAGATTCTTTGTTTCATGCAGAAACGGTTTGCAGAACTTCCAGCCTTGCATTGTTTTATAGCTTTTCCCTGTGCGCAGATGAAGTAAGTTTTGACTCAGCTATAGGTAATTTATTGCACCAAAGTTCCAAGAGCTCTGCGCGTGTGGACAAGGCCTAAGCAATGATTAAAAAACCTTGTATGTACCCTCAATTTATTGAATCTAAGTTGTACTTTGAGAAATTTTATAGTTACCTCCTATTTCTATTTGAATACTATCTAGAAGCACATTCGATGAAACCATTCTGATTAGAGGAACACAAAATGAGAGGAAGTGTTCAAGGATAGCTGAGGAAGAAATATTATCACTCCACCTAGACCATCACCCACGCTGTACCTCCACGATGAAATGAGAATTTGAAAATTTCAATAATTTCAACAATTTATTAAGAAAATGATCGATGTGTGGGTAACCTCAAAATAAAATGACAACACCACTACAGAGTCGCTCCGCTCTATTGCAATATTCGCCAGCCAATGGGAGATCTCAAATTTTTAATATGCAGCCAATGAGAGCACTGAAAATTCTATTGTGTTTATTTACATTGTTCTTATCAATCTAGCTAGCTTCCGTTTGTCCTGTTTTTATCAGGAAAATTCAGTTTCATTGCCTTGCTTTAATTCATCACATTGAATCCTTTAAGATGAATTGGCTAATGTATAGAGGGTGTCGGAAATTCATCTAAGGCCAAGAGTCCGTTAGTCGCACGTCATAAAAGTTATCACGGTGAGTAGTTTCTCTTGATGCGACATATTGGTGATGTAACACGCCTCTGCTCTTCACTGCAGCATTTAATACTTACTTTTTTTCACTAGCATGTAAGGACCTTACCATTCAGTTTAACAAAACTTCAATGCGGCTGTTGCTGTAGAGCTTTTTTTGACTTTCTCTAGAACTCTCTTACTTATCCAAGCACCCGTGGAGGTAGGTCAGGACCAGCCAGAACATAAGATGGCACCTGTCTGCAATGCAGATTTTCACTAGACTAGCACCCCGCGCAAACACTCAGTCACATACAATCAATTCCTGTATTAAAGAACTGATTAACATCGCTGCCAACAGACCCATGGAATGATCTCATTTCATGTTATTTCACTGCTGCAGCGGCACCTTAATCCCCCCCTCTCCCACCATCTGGATCAAGATTTGGGAATTAAAATCCACCCTCCACAAATTGCTGATTAGTCCTCCTTCCTCCAGTCACTCCAAGTTGTTGCTGTAAACACAGCATGAGAAGCAGAAAGTCACATTAGTCAGGATCTATGAGATATAGATCTGTGCGCCACAGAGAAAAGAAAGGCGAGATGTTTGCATCTTGGATTTTTTTGTGTAATTCTGGATTTTGCTGGCCAGGTTGTACTGACCTATGTCACGGGATAAACAATCCTCAAGATGCAAGCACCTCCTTTTTTTTCTCCATGCCTGTGCACAACATAAAGAATTGCAACGAAAGCTTTTTTCAAGAATTGTGAATACCTATATCTTGCTTAAAAGTTTATTTTCAGATGTTCCGTGGTGAGATTAGTATTCTCTGTAAAATTTGGAAGAATAATGCATCGCATACCTATTGCTTTAATTTACGACTCGTTTTGTGACCAATTTGATCCTTTAAGAGAACGGTATTGAATGCAAAGTTTTTTCCTGAGAATAAGGATCCTGCACCCATTTCTCTGAATTTTGCAATTTTTTGGTTTAAAGTGAGTCTTTATGCCCATGTGAAGGAAATATCATTCCTTTTTTTGGTTATAAATTAAAAATTTTTGTAAAATTAAAAAATGTTGTAAAATTAAAATTTTTTGTAAAATTAAAAATTTTCGTATAATTAAAATTTTTTGTAAAATTAAACTTTTTGTAAAATTAAAAATTTTACTTAATCGATGCGATATATGGCACGCCAGTTCAACCACTTCAGAACCATTGATGAATCATCTTAGGCCTTCTTTTTTTTCTGCAATATTTTCTTGCCTCTTCATATCTAAGTAATTGTTTGTCTTTTTCTCTGCAGACTCCTGTCTAATGTGTTTAAGATTCTGCCTCATGGATTCTTGCTCCAGCAGAGATTCCAGCGTGAAGGACCTAGAGATTGCCCAAGAACTGATAGAAAATGAAGAAAATGGAAATGATTCCACGGATGCTGCCATACGTGCCAAGAATGATCTATTGTGGAGCATATCTAATCCTGTCAGTATTATTGTTCTTCCAGCTATTCTGATATGTGGATGGCTAAGTTTCAAAATTTTTATTTCCACTTCAACGTTTAAACATATCCAATTTTGTTTTATTTTTATTTTTTTTTTTTTTTTTGAGAGAAAGTAAAAAATATATAACACAGTCAGGCAAGGTATCATTAGGTTGGGGGAAAAAATGAGATAGTCCACCCTGTAAGTAGGTAACTGATCATAAAATTTTGTTTTTAATTAATAAGAAAGAAAATAAAATAAGTGACTAATAAGTCAGAACCAGCTCAATAGGCTAAACTGGCACATGTTCTTGGATCCATCTGCCCAGAGCTCTGTTTGGCAGGTTGTGACTAACATTTCTTCGGATAGTTCAAGCCAACATAATGGTACTCAAACTCTAACCTACTTATGATTGCCGATTTATCATCTTTTTTCAGAAGTGTTTTGCTTCATAGGTTATAAGCTTACAAATATCCTTGAAAGGTAACTTATTGATTAGAAAAACATTAAACTGCGGATAGAGCTCATCTGAGAGGTACAGAATCGGTAGTTTTAGAATGACTTTTACTGCATTTCATCATAAAACTTTAATCGGATTCAAAATACTTTCTCCTGCAGCTCAGTAGATAGCTAAGGACAGTTTCAAGTAGTTTTAAATATACCATTCATACCTATTCAATAGTGACATAGTGTCTCAGATTTGTTAAGGATTAGATAGCCGATTTTAATTTCTACATCATAACGCTTACATTTGACTTCCACAATAGACTACCGTCTTTCACAAGATAGAGATTTTTCCACTGAACTACTTCCGAACTGCAGTAAAAAAGAGTTTCTTGATGTTAAGTTGATTGCTTCTTTCTTCTTGACCCCAATCAGTTGAAATTGCATATGGACGTGTTTCTGCCAAACGGAACCATGTGCATTAAGATATCGTCCTAATGCACATAGTTCCGTTTGGCAGAAATACATCCATATTACTTACTGGTTATGCATCTAAACCATACTTCCATGTAATAGAGGTGTGCTTTAGATCATACATTCAAAAAAATGTCATGTTGCTCCTTGCGCCAACTGTAATTTAACTACTAAATATCATAAACCAATTGCTTCTTCTGCCTAGGATCTCCCGTTTGCTCGACTGATGTCTGCTCAGACAAATTTTTCGGTCCTCTATGAAGGGCAAGTTTTGCAGCCATCTACTGGGTAAGTTTTTTTGAATATGTAAGCGTGGTTATGCCATTCCATATTGTTCTAACATTTGCACACAGACGCAGTAAAGTTTTAATGTTACAAAATTGTCTTTGACTATGAGTGTTCCGACTCTGGAGTATCTTATCAAAGAAGGTTTCTTGATGAATCAATTGCTCAGCTGAAAACTAGTGGTGGAAAACTCAATTTGTGGGAATTCGGCCTCTTTTGGAAATTATTGATTTGATTACAGTCGAAAATTTGTGAAAATAGTGTTTGCAAGTACCATGAATTTTGTCTTCCTATCACCTGTATGAACCATAATACTTAAAGTTGTTCCAATGCATTTTTAACACATCAACTCCCACAGACTATCGGAAGTATTCTATTGTTGATGACTCCTAAAAGTCATATATTTAGACTGATCCTATCATTTTCAATTTTTGCAGCTTCACAATCAATTTTAGTTGTTACTCGTCGTGCAAAAATGTACCCAATATCATCCTCCACCTTAACCCAAGATGTGGTCAAAATTATGTTGCACGCAATACCAGAATTGATGGAAGTTGGGGAGAAGAGGAATCTGTCTCTGGCCGGCGTTTCCCTTTTCAACCAGGAGGCACCTTTTTCCTGGAAGTATTCTTTGCAGATAAAGAATTTCTTGTAAGTGTCAAAGTAGTGCTAAAGAGGATTCCTTTATAAACAAGGAATATCGTTATAAATATGTATAAAGTCGTGCAATTATATACGTTGTAAAGTTTTTTCAATTAGTTTTCCAAACTCCAGTACAAGGTATTGCACCAATCATCTATAGAAAGAATATCAACGGTGAAACTACCAGACCATGTATCTTGCTTGCGGTGTTTATAAATCTCCGCTCCCATTTTATTTTTGTGAAAGAGAACAAATCAATATTATTCCTTGAAGTTTTCACAGATTTTTATTCACTCAGCGAGAAAAAAAATCATGGAAGTTTTCAAGAATTGTCGTAGAGTGGTTTTCCATGAAAAAAATACAGCATGGCAGGAAATCTGCAGCGTCGCAAACCAAGATACGTTCTCTGGTAGTTTCATCGTCGATACCATAGATGTCACAACCCTTATTTAATTCATTTATCTCAACAAGTTCTGCTCTTAGCATTCTTTTTTCACTCCCTGTAACAGTCCTCTTCTTTTTTTCCAAAATTCCCCCCCCTCACCCTCACCCGCCTCTTATCATTCACTCACTAAATAACGCACTCAAGAATTTTGCTTTGATTACCACTTCTCTAGAAAAATTCGATATTGGATGTATAATCTTGGAAAGATTGAACTAAAATGAAAGAATACAGAGGGAGAATTCTAGATTCTATAGAATTAAACGTTCATCCACAAAATGTAGTTTAAGAATCTACAAAACATATCTAAGCTCAGGTTAAAAGTTTTAAATCATTACCTGTCTACTGCCTGCGCTCTAGGCAAATGTTGGTAAAATCCATGCCATGTAAATTCACTGTTTTTGAGTCAGAGACAAACAATCTGCTATCTTGATTCACGTATTTAGTCTCATTACCAAACTGAAGACTGCATAAGTGCATATATTTGGTTGCACTCCTCACTGTTCAATATTTTTTTACCCTTTCTTCTTCATAGTATATTGACCCCCTCCCCCCCTCCAAAAAAAATTAGCTTTGCTTTTTTTTTCTTTGCCATGAAAGAATCATACAATCTGAATTTTGTCATTTTTAGGTGTTTTAGATAAACTGTTTGATAACTAGATGTCAGTTTTTGCATAGATTTTTACTAAGTTTCGAACATAGAAGACTGAAAACCAATGTTACTTCCCAACTAGTTATGCTGCCCATTGTAAAAGCGATTTTATGCATCAAATTCTTGTTCTCAACTAAGGAAAAGTTGAAAATTTTCCAGGATAGGACCCCTGGATCCACCTCTTACTGAGGGCTTACAGAGGTCCAGAACCGCCAATACAATGAACATTTCAACAATTTTTAACGTTTTTTATACTAAATCCAAATTAACAGTCAGTGCGACTGAAGTGAGCATTCAAACACAACTCTGACTTTTGTAGTCGTGCATTTTTATTTTCTCTCTCTCTTTCTTTCTTTCTCTCTCTCTTAGTTTCGTCAGATATTTTAGGGCTCTTCTCTTTTTAGTATCAATCAGTTTTTAATTATTTTTAAGAAATTAGTGTGGACTTTTTCTGTTAGATCGCAGTCAATGGTTTCCATTTCTGTTCATACCGCTATCGAGAGCCTATTTCACGCATCAAATGGATGGAAATTTTCGGTGGAGTTAAAATGAGTCGTATTGAAACTGTCCGCTCTAAAAGTTATCCCTACATCGCTCCTGCAAATTATCTTCTAAAAATTTTCAAATTGACTCCAGTCTCCACAGTTGACCTCAATTTGAATGATCAGAAAAATTTGGTAAGTTTTCCTTTTTTAAAATTGTATTTTAGCAGAACACTGCCATGGCTTTTTTTAAATTTTTTAACTCTCGTAGATTTTATGTATCTAGAATCTTAGATGAAGCCAAGGCAATGTATGGCGTCAACAGCCTGTGGCTACGATCCAAAATGAAATTGGAAAAATAAAAGTTTTTAAAATAGCAAAAAGTAGGTCTTGATCCGTAGATGCTCCATTTTGGACGGATAATGAGATTTATTTCAACACTTCCGCCAGTTTAAGAGGGTGAGCCCCGTCCATTTGGTGGAATTTTCAAATGATGTAGGTGTGACCTCACTGAGAAAAGCATCATAGTATGCAAATAAGGGGGATTCCAGCCCTCCAAATATCGTATTTTGGACTAATTTCACAATTCGCCATGATCTTTACTTAACACAAGAAAGGAATGGTGGATTCGGTCAATTTGGCTCTTAAGCTACAGCGGCCTTTGATGTTCACACTTTTGTCATGGTTATTTCTCCAGCTGAGTTTCTCTTCTGATCCCTAGGAGCCACCTATCATGGCAGAACTGACCGAGAGTTTTCGACCTGGCTACACCTTAAGAATATCTGGGAAAGTAAAATTATTACCTCATGGGTAAGTTAACCCTCTTACATCTGATTTATCTTGGTTCTCTTTCAAGTGCAAGCAGTAAAATTCATTCTATATCAAGACAGCGCTGGACTCCTTAACTGAAAAGAATGCTACGAAGTCCCTCTATGTTTGTTGTCCTTTGCATCCGATTCTGTGTCATCAAAGCAAACACTTTTTATCCACTTTTACCAGGACAGGTAAATAGAAGGGAAAAATATCACTGAATACATTTTATGAAGTAAGTATGAGAATTACTTAGGCATGAAGCAGTGGCGTGGCATGCTTTGCGACATATCGATTGATCTGCCCTTTAAACCCATGAAAAAGGATCGATAAACAGAATATTAGGAGGTGGTAATGTAAATACCGTTTTATTAAATATAGACAAAAAGGTGTTCATGACAAACACTTTAATAATCGATTCCTCACCGTAGCTTCAAATTGGGAAACGTCAAAAATTGATTATTCACGCCTTGCCACCGGTATGAACTTAGGTCGATGGCATTCCTTATTTTTTGATAAAACCAAAAAGAATCTAAGAAGCGTATTTCTGTGGGAGTCATGTTTAAAGTGGAAATGAGTAGGTACCTAGTGTGGTTGCTTAGCCCAAAAATGCAGTGAGATACACGGTCTCCGGTTAGCAATGTGATTTTGATTTCAAAATGACCAGTGAACCTTCCTGATTCAGGAACTGTCAAGAGGAAACTAATCCCACCCTGTCCTCTGCCCTTCTTAGCCGCTGTCTGGAAAAACGATAAAGAACATCAGTTTTCCTTGAACACCTGTCTTTAGAACAATAATAGATATCAAAAAAATTTCTCAGTAAAAAATGCCTAATTTTCAAAGGCGAGAGGGATCAGCTATTAGCTTATCAGGCTATTATGTTGCTCTTGTTGCATATCGACAGTGAAACTTCCAAATGATGTATTTCGATTTGCAACGTTACAAACTTCCTGTCATACTCTATTTTTTAAGTGGAAAACTACTCAATGTTAGTTCTTGAAAACTTTTGATTTTTCTTCCCTGTGTGAAGCAAATTCTGAAAAACTTCAACAATCGATGTTAATTTTTTATCCCTCAAAAAAATAAAATGGGAATGGATTTTTAAACACTGCGATCTAGATATGTGTTCTGGTAGTTTCTCCATTGATATTCTATGAGAGCACTCACGAGCATCATTGTTCCATTTTTTGCAAGCTGAAATTTTTAAAGATCAATGCTCATTTCAGATTTCTTGTTTTTTCAATGGAGGTTATAAATATTTTTTTTCTGCATCTGTTATCTGCTTGCTGAGCAGACTCCAAATACTGTATCTAGGGTCAATACTTTGTTGAAATTTTGTCTCACTCTTTTTGTTCTATACTTAGTTTTGTCTAACTTTTGCCCCAGGTTCAGTATAAATTTCCAGAATGGGAAATCATATTGGCCTCGTCCTCTTATAAATCTTCATATCAATGCCCGATTCAACTATTCTGAGAAAATGGAGCATGCCGTTGTTCTCAACTCATGGCTTCACGAAACATGGGGTCAAGAACAAATTCCTGGTTTCTGCCCATTCTCCCCCGGTGAAAAATTCATTCTCAACATATTTTGTGCCAAGGACGCCTTTGAGATAATTGTGAATAATGATTTATTAGCTGTATATAAGTATCGGGCTGTTTTAGGCTTAATTGACACGATTTACATATCAGGCGATATCATGATAGATGAAATCCGCTCTTCGTTAGAAATACCGCAGCCAAACATCCCAACTATATCATGATGATGAATTGCGATTATTTTATTACATGCTTAGGGAGAGTAATTTTCATTCGTTGTTCATGAAGGAGTGCAATAAGTTTTCTCTCGAAGAAAATCAAATTTTTTTAGTCCTCTTTGTTTGTTTGTTTATTTGTTTGTTAGTTTCATTTTAATTAATTTTGTTTTATTTAATTCTAATTCAAAGTTCTCCTGTGTTCAAATTACATCCCTGTCTTGTCAACTTGTTTTTACATATTGAGATCAAAGTGGTCTTTAAGTGGGCCTGAAGCTAAAATGTTTCAAGGCTCTTGCTATTTTCTTTCAGTTCTCAGCCACTTGTCATCATCGTTAATCTTACATTTTCATTTAGACGATTCATAAACTGCTTTAATATAAAAAAGAATTCTCCATTCAATGTGAATTCCTTTCACCCAAGGATTTTTTTGCTCGAGAATTTGCAATTACCTGGGTTTTTTGTTCGATTTTTGTATCTCTATTAATGAAGGCTTGCATCAATCATGAGCATATTTTTTTTATCTTTACACGTACCTGTTTACTTACACCTTCGAAGTTCTCAGGTCAATTTGTAACAGAAATTCCTCACCGAAAATTTTTCAAGGGTCATCTTTTATAAAAATAACCAATCTCTTCTCTCAGAAACTAGAATCAATTTCTACGGCATTTCACAAGAGAAATATAGATTTCAGTAGATCGTTTAAGTCCTTTTCTTTTTCAAATTTTTGATGAAATAAGTATATTTTTCTAAAGAGCATGCATTTTCCTTATTTTCAGATAAATATCCATCACATCCTAGTAATTTGCTTGACTTTTCCGTTCTATTTCTTGCCTGTTCTTTCATTTGAATGCGTAAGTAAAAAAAAAGATGATGGTGATCTTGTCTAGTACATCTGCTAGTGCATGGTATTAAATGTTGAAAAGAATAAAATTTAGTGAGTGAGAAAGGAATAATAGCTTCGGAAAGTGCAAATGTTTTAGCCATGTCATAGAAAAAAAAAAGAAGGTGTTTGCATCCTGAGAATTGTGTACCCTGTGACGTAGGTTGACCCGGTTTTTGCCGGGTCAGTAAAATCCGGAATTCGAAGTATGAAAAGTGGACCATTACGTCCAATTTTTTTGCTTAAATCAACTCATGATATAATTTCAAACACTACTTTATGTAGAATGCATTTTTCCCATAAACTACACCATTTCCAAGAAAATCGATGATAAAAGTCGCTGTACCGACGTGAGTCATTAAAAAAATTCCAAGATGCCCGAAACGCAAACACCTTTTTTTTTCTGTGTAGCCATGTACCAAAAAAGCCTCATTTTGTGTCAGTCTTTTTACACAATTTTCTTCTGATCTCCAAATCACTATAAGGAAGCCTGATTAAATACAAATTGTTTTTATGTAATGAAATATATACGTCATAACTTCCTAACTTTATTATAAGTCCTCTTTTTGATAATTTGCCCTTATAAATTCTGAAAGTTCATAAATTTTTTCATTGACTAAGGCACTGCACTATTAGTTAGAACACTGTAGATGATGGAGACACCAAAAATGGTTAAATACATTGTAATCGCAGTGCTACATTTGATCATTTGACCGTGAACATTCAATAAATCCCTCCTCATTAGATAACACTTTGCTTGAGCCTTCAAAGAGAGTTGATCATTTTCACGCTATGTTGAACAAGATGTGGGATATCAAGAATAGACAATCTTCATTATCAATTCTGCTTATAAAACTCTGCTGCTTTAGCCTTCGATGCTTGAAGTAAATTCCCGTTTCCCGATTCTCTTCTGGCTACAATCATCATACAATTCTGTTGATGGTTCAGGAAGTTTGATAGCCGTCAAATAATAGAGAATAGAATCTTATGGTTTTCGGTATTCCATAAAGACTCTGACTCACAGACCTAAGTCACATTTAGATCGTATTTTACTGAAGAGAACCAACGCAATTAATTTTAGTGTCGTAAAAATTGTGCCTCTTTGTCTGTACGTGAAGCGATTCCCAGAACAGCAAATACATTTAAGTATGCTGGTTTCTGTCTTTCAACCAAATCCTGTTAATTTTGAAGTAAAAGTATCGTATGTTTTACACTTGTATACGTATTTAGTATTTCTTCAAAGCAACGAAGAAGTTGCACTATTTGAAAACACTGTAAACTTGTTGGTCCCCTTCTGCAAAATGCGATCCATTTGATATTGTAAAAAATTAATCTTGGGATAGAAGCCCCTATCTGGTCATTTTCATGCAGTTGATACATGTCTGCTCTCGATCTCCTTTTGTGAATAACATAACTTGTCACAAAACACGAGCAATTAATTTCCATCTCAAAATAAAGACTCCTATTACATAAGTGCATTGTTGAAGTAAACAGAATCGGCCCATTGCCATACAGCTCATGTCAGTCACCTCTTAAGCCGTAATCAATCAAGTCGTAATTAAGCCCTTAGTTTTAACTCAACAAATATTTCCTGTAATCGGTAGTTCAGCCCTCTTCAACTGTTCTGGAGGAGAGTATTTTTACCTACTTCAAAGTAATGAAGTAAGCAACACAACCTAAGTTTTGTATAACTTGTTGTTTTAATTTGAATGGGTTAATGGATGAATGATTACATTTGTGATATTTTCCATTCTTATTGTTTTATTTTTTTTTCGCAACATTCTTTTTTATGATTGCTTGTTTTTACAATGCTGTATGTCTTTAATGTATTTATAGTTTTGTCTTATACTTTTTGTATCACAGAATTATCAGCCCTCCAGAGGTTTATGAAAGTAATCACTAGGTATTAGGTACCAAGTAATTAATAAGTTTTTGCCATCCACTTTAAATGTCACTGTTGAAGTGAGACGTTCAGGAAATTTTGCCATGCACATTGTAAAGCTTTTTGGGAAACATAAAAATGATAGAATCAGACAAAATGGGGCTTGAAAGGAGGAATCAAATATTTTATTTTTATGAAAAAACCTGAGTGGGGTAAAATGAATAGATTTTTGGTTTTTCATGCGGAATGTTATTCAACACTGACAATAACATTCGGCCAAGGTTTTTTATCATAATGTGGATCATGAGTTATATATGAGTGTTTAAAATGAGTCATCTTTGAAACTGGCAACAGTACCAGTGGAGTTTAGCAGCATATTTCTTTAATTCACAATTTATGGTTCTCTAACTTGGAATTGCTTTCAAAGGGTCCATAATCAGAGTTTCTGAGTGTTCGAACTGTTTTTTGCATCGAATAATGCAGATTTAACGCCTTTAAGATACTGCACAGTTACCTCACTCTCTCTCTCTACCTCAAGTCCCATTTTGCCTGACTTTATTGTTAGTGATGAGTCGCGAACTACTCCTGATATACGAGACAGAAAGCTCAGACCTTGCAGTTAAGGTAGAATTTTGGTATTACACTAGAGAATAACTTTGATAGGTATAACGCCTGTCATGTCAAGGTGCTGTACAATAATGTGTCAAATGTGATTTGAGTTATGAGCCAATTTCTTCCGTAAGATACTATGCAAAGTTACTCGAATTGAACACGCTACATTGCTCATTGATGAAACCAACTCAATTTTACACTCATATCTGGCTCAATGGATCCTGCGGAAACTCTTCCCTTTTTTTGAAATCACATGGGTCAATAGAATTATAATTTTAACTATTCACGTTTACTCCAAGATCATCAGTATTTATGATACAGTGTTCTCTCAGTTTCATTTTGAACTCAATTAAATTCGAAACTTTCCAGTGATATTAGGTACCAAAAAAATCTTTATAGTATTTTAAGTTAATCTGTGGGTAAAGTCTGTTTCTAGTCCCATTTTTAGTTTTTGGCGCCAAATGCATTTATTTCAAATCAATTTTGAATATTGAAGATTAAGTACCTATCTTTTTCTCTCATTTCTTCCTGTGTTATCCATGACTGATAAAAATTAAATACTATTACTGACTGAGATAATAATCATTCGAAAACAAGGAAAAAAGCGACTCTGATTTGAATTCAGAATGGAATGCCCACTATTTTGTATTAAAGCGCATATTTTCGTAGTTAGCTTATACTTAGCTTATTTAGTTAAGTTTTCATTTTGAATTTGTAGTATGATTTACAGTACGATTAAATTTTGATGTGTCTGCACAAACATACGTACTTTCGGAGTGTAAAATTAAGTTAACAGTCGCTCTGATTTTTTTCACATCAGGATCTTTTAATAAAAACTTTACAGTCCAGTAATTTTGATGGAACGAAGAAGAGATGGAGCAAAGAACATCAGCTATCTTTTATTTTGTTCTCAGCGGATTGAAGTCATAACATACTTGGTGCATATCATGTTCTAAAAAAAAATTTAATAAGGGAACTTGTGTTGTAGTACTCAATTTTGTACCTTCTTTAGTGGTCCATTGAAGGATGGATCCCCTTTCATTCACAGTATGAGGACAAAATAAAAGATAGCCTTTAAATTTCTGGAGATAAGTAAGATTTCTCTTTCTCCTATCAATTCCTGAAGTGGATTAGAAACCTTTCCAGGTATATTGCTAATCAAAACATGTTTTTGAACTTGCACGAATAGTATTCTATAAAACTTATTCATCAACGCCTATAATATATTACAATTTTCATACTTGATATCGCGAAATGCTATCCTTTAAGTTAAATGATGAGCTCTCACGTCTAAAATAATGTGCAGGTGGACGAAGGAGAGGGTAGTCAATGATTGATTGATTAGAGCTACTTGTTTGGAATTGCCTCGACTCTGAGGGATGGAATATCAATGTGATGATCCATCCACTGACACCATGGAGTTTCATTGAAATGAGTGGAAGGATTGAGAAATTCGAAAGGAAGTAAATCAGCTCTTTCCTTTGTAATAAGTTTTATGAAATTTGGAACTTTAAGGAATGGATAGTTTATGTATACAGACATGCCTTTTGTAAAAGGTATAGTATGAAAATTTTGCTAATGCATTGTTTTTTCTATCCAATCTGCATAGAAAAATTTCTTTTTCTTTAAATAAAAAAAAGAACTCAATTTAGTCGATCATTTAACTATCGTTTCTTAACCTCTATGTATTATGATGCACCTGAGGAAAAGGGGACTTGACCTAAGTTGCCAAATTTTTCATGAGAAGGACAAAACGTGTTTTGGTCAAAATTATTGATTTCTAGTCCCTAATTTCGATCAATTTGTGCTTGTCTCGAGGTCATGTATTTAAAATTTTAAGTCATAATGTACACTTTCAACAATTATGCAAGCATTTAAAGTGAAGGGGGTCAAAACCAGCAATGATGTGAGGAGTCCATCTCAATTTGGCTAAGCGGCTGTTATCAAATGATTGGACGATAGCAAGATTATGTTTTATTCATGAACATGAATATTGAAGTACAGTAGAGATCATTAGACACAACTGAGGTGATTTTACGAGCAGGGATTCATTTTAAACGATACAATAGCCAAATTCTCTGGGTAAACTTGTTTCAAAACTTCAACTGCTTAAATTCTGAAAGCACGTTTTTTCGTTCTCTCATTTTGAAATGCTTGGAAAAAGTCAATTTTTAGAATTTTGTCGTGTTTTTGAAGAAAAATGATTCAGAACTGACCCTGTAATGGAAAAATATAGTCATCTCAAATTTAATTTTTTTCAACTGAAGTATCCTTTTCCCTCAGATGCATTACAATTTTTTGTTTTACCTATCTTGATCACAAGGAGCACAATACAAATGGACCTCCATAATAAATGATGGCTGAATTAGATGATTCCATAGAAAATTTACGGAACAGAGGGGCATCTCACAAACCTGTGGTACTATCATACTAAAATGAAATACGCAAGCCTGGAGATGTTGTCAAAGTGTTCTACAGGATAAGAACAAAAAACTAGTGCATAAAAGAAACTTTAAAAACCAAAACTTAAAGCTTTCAAACAATTATGCGAACAAAGAACATTCTTTCACGAGCTATTTGATTGACTTCATCATATTTACATTAGGATTTAATATCATTATTTTATCTTATTCTGTTCGGCTAAAAGACATAGGTATGAATCTGAGAGGGATTTCTTCTTTTTGTATAAAAAAAAAAGACTGATTTTTAGGAAAAATATCTCAGCTTTAATTTCAATCTTATTAAAGTATGTCTAACAATCAACAATGATACAAAAATAGACACAAAAAAAATCTATACAAGCGTATGGTTTCCTTCAGACTTGGTTCTGAAATAGAGGGAACCAGAAATGAAAGAAAAATCAAACATAATTGAAAAGAAAAATCTGAAGAGTCAAGAATTGAATATGAGGAGAAATCCTACTTGGATCTTTAAATTTTTCTGGAAACGCAGGGTCACTATTTTTCGGAGAGATCAAAAACATACATAAGTCATCTGTTTTATCAAGAATATTAACCCTACAAAAAATTAGAATACATGTTTCATTCAGAATCTGAGGAGGAAGATGAGGAATAAGAATCCTCGATAGGCGGTCTATTTGAGACTTCATTTTTCACTTCGTCAAATTCTTCAGGCCAACAGTTGGCGGTCCGTAAATACTTTATGTAATCTTTTGTCAAAACCTTACTGATTTCACCTTTGACTTTGTTGCCCTCCTTGATAGGATCAACAATGACAAAGTCACCATTTTTTATCCATACGTTCCTCCGAAACTTTGAAGGCATTGATATCAGGAATTTTGTTTTGTCAGGGAGTTCGGCTTCGTGTAGGTAGTTCCCTTTGCCACTGAGGATTTTAACAATTTTTTGTTCTGCCGTCGGCTCGGTCATTTCGGAATTGAGAACTTCCTTGAACACATTTTTCTTTTTAGTCGCTGATGTCATTTTGAGTCTGCAGAAAAAAGTGAAATAATAATGATGAACAAAAGAGGTTTTACAAAACTACTCGAGAAATCATCGAGTCATGCAAAATTCAATACATGGATAAAAAGAAGGGACATGAGGAGTCATCATGTATTTCGAGTTGAGAGAACATTGTGCTTATCAACTGCACTTGCAAAAAAAATTGACAAAATAAACAGAATGTAGTATGTAATTGAAGATACATGATCGTTTGAAAGAAGACGAATGTGACTTAAAAATAAAATTTTTCATGTTATTGAAAAGAGAGAAATTTGGGCTGAGAGAACGAATGGAATAATGAGAAAAAACACCAAGGATACAGGGACATACACTTGGAGATCTGACAGTTTCAAGAAGTTCATGTACCGGATCAAACAAATTTTTTTGTGAAAAAAATAAAACTAAGGAACACGCATTGTTTTTTTTAGAATTCTTCCAGCAATGAAAGTACGTGATGATGTAGGAGTTCATAATGATGGTGCTATGACAAAAAATTCAATGGAACCATTTGAAAAAAATTAAATTTAAATGATGTTCTTTAACTTCGAAAAACAAATCGATTACAGAGCATTAATTTTGGAAGACAATAAATGAAGCATGTAGTCTGCATGTACTATCGCCAACTTTGCTGATGAGTAAACAAGTCATTAATCTTGTGGCTATTTACAAAAGTAAGTATTTGCACCAAAACAATGCCTAGTAAAGTTAACTTCTGTAAAAGTTAATAAACAAAATACGATTGATAAAATGTTACTTAATGTTACGTATTACATGATCGGTCCTTAGCTTCAGTTAGTTTTTTCCTTGTTTACATAAATTAGCGGGCATTGGGCGGAAGAAGCTCAAGTACCTGTTTCCTCCAAAAAAATACACATTACGTTCAGATCATTCTAAAATCAGTTGAGCAATGAACTCAGGAAACTACCTGCTTATAGTACAACATCTTCTGCGAGTCATGCATTAATCTTGCATAATAAATCTAAAACCTACATAATAAATGGATAAGGGCACAAAATGAAAAGAACAATGTAGAAAGACGATTGGGCTTTAAAAAATCTGCAATACAAAGACTTTGTATAGACTAGAAAACAAACTCTTAATTAGAGCAAATTTAAGGAAAACAGTACGGTCATTTCAGATTTTTTTTGGATGGTTTGAGGGTACCTACAGAGCCACCGGCTTTTTGGATAGTTTCATGAATATTTAAGGACTCTCCGAGGGGGATACTGTAACCTTTGCTAAGGCCATATGGATTAGATGGTGTGATGCAATCTTGGTTAGACTCTTTGCGTAAAACAGTGTCTACTTCCACAGAACTGAAAAATGCAACGGACTGTGGTAAATCGATCATTCCTAATTTTTGGACGCAGAATGCTCTCACTAACAAATTGGTGACATGTAGCGCTAAAGCTGTTTGATATCTCTGCTCTGAAGGGACGATGTAACGAACTTCATCATGGAAACTTATGCAAAACCTTACATTTGAGTCTACAAGCCATTGCATACACACCAACATCAAGTGAAGGAAGTCTACAGCACCACTTTGGACAACCCAATTGATTCGTGTTGGCAGAAATCGGTCATCAACATGATTCTTTGGTTCTAGCGCACGGCTAAGCCGACAGCCAAGGAAAGGTGTTTTGGGCTCAGGTTGCGAAGCAATCTTTTCTAAGCAGTTGAACATGGCTGATTCACTGCCACCTGACCAAGTGGGTGGACCAAAAAGCTCGCTCATACTTTTATTATAAACTCTGCATATGTTAAGGGCATCTAGTTTGGAAAACTCTCTGGTTTTGAATTCAGGCAAACAATCAGTTTTCAGAGGGTAAAGACGTCGACCTTTGGTAAGAGAAAACATCTTAGAGGCTTTGGCTTTTGCCTCAGTTTTCGTCATGCCAGGGTTAAATTGCCTTAGAAGGTGCTCTGCAAATGGCTGGCCCGCACCATAAATCCTGGCGTAGTTAATTACTTTCGCATGACTGCGAGAAATACCAATTGCTTTTGCGGTCACACTATGCATGTCACTTGCGTCAGCTTTTTGACCACTCAGAGTCATCCACCCAAAAGGAGTTGAGCCATGTTCTTTAGCAAAATAAGCATCTCCAATGGCTGAGGCGATCCATAGTTCTTGCGAATCAACATCCGCCCCCACAATATGGTAACCAGGTGGTGCTTGGATCATGGATCTTAATTCAGAGCCAATCCGATCGTCCATGACATTTGAAGCTGTCATCCATGTTCTCTCAACAGCTCTGCGGGTCAGAGTGCCACACACGATGACTTGAGGGATTATGGCACCAAGTTCATCACTAGGCAAACGCATAGAGCGTGGAATGTCTTTGTCATTCAGCCAAACTGCCAACTGACCTTCAATTCGATCTCTGTTGTTTCTCCAATAAGACAGCATTCTACTGATTTCAATTATGCGTTCAGCTTCTGTGCCCTCTCCTGATAACCCGCTTTCTGAAAATTTGGTGATAAAATCTTTTGCGAGAGGATTACCGACATTTAAATGATTACCATTTTTGTGAGGAAGCTTAATGAAACCACAACCAGTGCCTATTAAATCTTTGCAACAAAAACATTCTGTAGCAGTTTCATCCTTTGTCTTGTTTTTCTTCTCAGCTTTTTTGTTCTTTTTTTGGCACACATACCTGACTAAATTGTTTTGAACTTTTTCATGAATGTCCGTTTTTGATTCAGTGACTTTCACAGTTTTTTCAGCACAGTTACAAAATGAAGCATCTGCTGCACTAGAACAAAGTTTGACGAGTTTTCCCAACGGAAAGAGATTTTCATCGGGTACAACTATTTCAGTTTTGTGTGGAACTAGCTGCCCCCAACCCTGACCCCGAATGTGATGAATTGGCAATGATTTCCACTTCAATGATAACAATTTAGGTGCGACTTGCATGCCGGTGCCAATTAATCTTGGCCCAGGCGCCCAATCAGGAGTGTCAGGCGACGGACATAAATTACGGTACCAGTTTGGATATCCTGCTAAATAGGGCAGCTTTTTTGGCAACCGGTCCCTAGTTTTATACAAAGGCGAGAATTTTTCAAACAGGTATTTTCTTCTCTCCAGAATAAAATCAGTCTCACCATCCAGTTCATAAATTTCGTCGTCTGGCTCAATACAGCTTGGATTCTGATCAATCAAAGCAGGCTCAGGTGCACTTGCCTCTTTTTCGTCAGCATCTTCGTCAGTTTTTTTCGCCTTTTTAGACTTCCTAGTGGGTTTACCTTCACCGCATTCTTTACTTCCTTCCTCTTCACTTTTCTTCTTCTTGGGTTCTTTCTTAAATTTAACATCTTTACATTCCCAATCTTGATCCCACAGCCATAAATTTTCTTTGTATTCTTCATTATGGAGTAAATGACACGCCTCGTCCGCCCTTCGGGAAAGCAGAAACTTTGACTCAATGTTCAAATCATCGAATGTCTGGTTGCACTCACTGATGTATTTATTCCAGTTACTATTTATAGGTAAGTACGCTAAGCCCAACTCCAACATACCAGCCAACGTGACTGGGTGCGGAAACCGGGAGAAAAACAAGGGTAACAGTTTCACCAGAACATTATGTGTCGCTTTGACATCTGAGGCACAGTAAGACATAAGGGATTGGAAATTATCTTTAACATCAGTCAGGGATCCATTGATGAAGAGGTTTCTCTCATCTTTCGATAGCTCTGAGCCACAGTACAGCTTATGAACTTGACTCAGACTGTTCAGTGAACTAAATTTACTCCACTCTTCATCCTGTGATGAGCCAGACTTTAGCTGATTCTTCTGATAGCTTGTCACTCCACTGACAGAGACATGCATTGACATGGTGTCCATGAATCGCATTCCTGTCTTTTTCAGCCAGTACTGCTCTTTGACACGTGCTCGGTCGTAGTTGACATTGTGACCTACAACAATTTTTGGTCTGGAAAGTGCCTCATTTAACTCATACACTTTCATTTTTGGAGCGCTTTCTAAGGGGATTAAAACGTCAGTGGAATAACCTTGACTAAGGTTACTTGAGCACTTGATGAGTTGTGTACTGCACCAGCTGTACCAGGCACTGTTACTGACTGCAGTTGCAATTGTTGGTGCTTCTCCTTCTTTGCAACTAACTTCAACGTCAAAAACAAAAGCATCTTCTAAAGGATGATGGACTGGCTCCGGTTCTTTGCCTGCCACGTAACGCATCCATCCTTCCTTCAAAACCCACTCTTTAGGGGTATCTGGTATTGAAACGATAAGCTGTTCCAATAGTAATTTGTACGGTGCGCTTTGTCGTTCTCCGATTATCTGAAAGTGCTCAGCAATGTCTTTCCCTTCTAAAGGGGGTAACTTCAAATCTACATCCTGTTCAGAATGCAACATAGAAGGGAGACCAAATTTATTGAGCGTTGAAAGTATCTTTTGAATGGGCACTGTAGGTTCAGGTTTAGGATCACACCCAAATAGTTGCTGATAAAGAGGTTTCGATAACATCTGAATATTGAGTTCATTAACACGGAAATTTTTATCAACCAGAGTTTGATCACTATTTTTTGAGTCGCTGATTTTGAGGGAGAATGAACCAACTTCACTTTTTGTGCGATTACATGCTGGAGCAGTTTGTTTCCGACTTTTATCATTATTTTGCAGTAAGTTCTTGGGAACTGCTCTTTGCACTGATTTTGGCTTCAGTGTACTTTCAGAAGCCTCTTTCGACACATACATTGCTTTATTGCTGCTGAAAAATCGGATCCGTTTGATTTCCAATGGTTTTGAGACAGTCCACTTAGAGCTGATCATCGTGGCTTGATAGATGTCCAGACAAAGGAGAGAAGCTTTACTGCATCAAGATTGATAGGAGGAAAGATAGAACTCCCTGGTCATCCTCTTGACATCTGTGAAAGAAAAACAAAAAACTGTATTAAACTACAGTCAAAATAAGTATAAGAGGAAATAACACAAGTGTTTGATTGTAGTTTATGGTAATTCATTTTTCAATCACAGGAATCAACAGTCGACACTCAGGTCTAAGTACTAATTACAATTCCAGGGTAAAAGGGCACGGAAGCTCAATTAAAGTTGCCAGTCAAAAACTTTTATGATTATACTGCATATTTTTTCGATCAAAATAATTAACTTTGGTGTCTCACTCTAGGTAATAAAATTCGCCAAGGCATCTGTGCCATTTTGCACGCACTTCCCATTACTCTTGTGGAACAATACTGTGCATTGACAGGTTTTTTAACGTAAGGCTATTAAAGTATCATTCCTTTTACTTTTCTGCAACGATTCCAGATTTGACCAACATTGTATTATGTTTCCTTGCTGCTGTGTTTGACAATGTTCTGAAATTGTAACGTTGAATTATGACAATAAAATTATCCATTAACGACAGTCCAGGTGGGCAAATGCCAATGCAACTATTCTCATCTCGATTAAACTACTCAGTCATAAGCCAAATTTTCATTCAAGATTAAGATTTAACCAAATTGCCTCAGTCAAATCATTACCTATTCAACAAGTCACATTCTGATTTAACTGGATATTGGCTTTTAACTATGCTAGAGCCCATATCAGATAACCTGTCCCAATATAACACGTTCAGCAAAACAGGACAAGTTATCTGGGACAGACTCTACACCCTTTGGGTCCATGGTAATGAATTCAGATTACCTACTCATCTAGCTTTTGCTTTCACAGTGAACTTAATTCAGAGCTCTAAAGAATAGAAAAACTGATATTTGTTCTATACAAAACCAATTCATACAATCATTAATAATAAAATTTACTGATTGATCATTGCTTGCTAAGTGTAGTTAATACATTTAGGTGGTTAGTGTACACTTTTAATGCGTATCTTCTGACAAGAGTTACGAAATATGGCCTCAACACTCAGTGAAAAAAGAAAGAAGACCCTGGCCCTGACTCTTCCAATACCTCTTCAATGCTGGTTGAATTTGAATCTAGAAAGAGCACATAAACACAAACTTCCATTGGAGGCAAAACTTTAAGTCTAAATACATGGAAAAGTTCTACCGATTAAGAACTTTTACAAGCCAGGTTTAATCACTTTAGCATCATTTTTTTAAGCAAACTGAGAGATACTCTTCTTGAATAGGATCATATCCTGCCTAATTATATTGAGATGAATACAAACATTGCAATACCTTTCAAACGAAAGTTTTCAACATGCATCTCTCAATTCAAATGGCAAGAGGCATATCCAATTCACGCAGAGACGCTGAAATAAATGAAGCTTGAACTGGGGAAAGAAGAGAAGAGACATAAGTCACATCAGTCTGAATGCATAAATCATCAGTTGGCCCATTAGTTAACATGTAAATATCTGTTGAATGGTGCAATTTTAGGATGTAACTTTTGTCTCTTCTCTTCTTTCCCAAGTTCTAGAGCTCACGCATCGTATGTTGAGACAAACGTCAATCTCCAATTAGCTCTGAATTCGCACCACGCAACGAGTTAATACATGTAATCAGATGGCACCACTGGTGGATGGTGACATAAACAATACTTTGACGTTTGTCTCAACATACAATACGCGAACTCTAGGGACAGCAAAATTTGGCCGTACACACTGAATCTACAACTGACATTAAGTGATAGGCTGGTTGAGTATACACTGCGTTAGATTGGATTTTATATGTAGCGGCAAGATCTCAGCGTGGTCTCAATTCTAATTTACATTTCAGTGATGTTGCGTCAACCTGAGACGAAGTCAAGCATGACAAGTAGTTTCTTCGGCTCTTTTAAGCAAGTATGACAAACCCATGGGGTAAAAACCTCACCCAAGATTCTTGATGAGAATTCTGATCTGAAACTTCAAAATCATTTAGTTCTCATGACACACTAAACATTGTGATGCCACCTTGTGATGGCTGTTTGCCTGCCACATTCAACTTCCCTTTCCGAATAAGAAAATTGCTCCAGGAATACACTTACCGTGAATGGCTCCCAAATTTTTCTAGTCTCCAGGAAGTTCTTTATTCACATTCAGCATTAGAAAATTAACACATGACACAAAAGTATTTAAATTAAAGGTAAAACATTTACCTCGTGGTTTACGCAACAAAGACATTATAACCTATAGACAGTGCGTTCCCCTATCTCGCCGTGCTCGCGCGCGGTCACCGTTTTCTCGGTCGCTCCATGATGGACTGAGCGGGGGGTAGAACGTGTTTGGGGCTCCAGTACGCTGCCGCTGCCTTACGGAGAATGCGTGTTTCGCGTTGGTTTTTCGCTTGTAACTATTCAGTTTTTCGACTTTAACTAAAATAGAACCGACTTACGTGAAAGAGCGTGAAATTTTCTATCCGCTAGAATTAAAAAAAACGTAAAGAAAAAATTCCTTTGACCGAAAATATGGGTTCTAAAAAAAGCCGCGGCAAAAATTCTTGCGATCAGCGACCTTTTTTCTCTTTTTCCTTTGGAACCGTCGATATTGGAGGAAAATGTCTATAGACCTTTTTAAAGGGCGTAAAATTTCCTATCAGCTCATTAAAAAAAAACAACAAAACAAAAATAACTGTGGGCAAAAAAATGGGTTTTAAACAAAGCCGCGGCAAAAATTCTTACGATCAGCGACCCTTTTTCTCAATTTTCTATTGAACCGTCGAAATTGGAGGAAAATGTCTATAGACCTTTTTAAAGGGCGTAAAATTTCCTATCAGCTCATTAAAAAAAAACAACAAAACAAAAATAACTGCGGGCAAAAAAATGGGTTTTAAACAAAGCCGCGGCAAAAATTCTTACGATCAGCGACCCTTTTTCTCAATTTTCTATTGAACCGTCGAAATTGGAGGAAAATGTCTATAGACCTTTTTAAAGGGCGTAAAATTTCCTATCAGCTCATTAAAAAAAAATAACAAAACAAAAATAACTGCGGGCAAAAAAATGGGTTTTAAACAAAGCCGCGGCAAAAATTCTTACGATCAGCGACCTTTTTTCTCGATTTTCTTTTGAACCGTCGAAATTAGAGGAAAATGTCTATAGACCTTTTTAAAGGGCGTAAAATTTTGCATCCGTGTAGACCATTAGTTTCAGGAAACCTTTAATACCAGTTTCACCCTCGATATACTAAAAGCTGTTTTGTTAATCGTTATTGTTTTTTCCAATTAGTTCTGAACTTGTTTCAAGCGTTTGAAATTCTTGATTTGCCATTTTGTGTTGCCTTTGGCTGCAGGAACGGAAGTAAGTGCGAGTTCATATTTTATTTAAGACTTTCGTGGTCGCGCCTGAAGGTTATTATTTTCATTATATGAAAAACACTGCAAAATCAGCTCATGAAGCACTCTCGGGCGAAGCAATAAAAAAATTTCCAGAAAAATCGAGTCGAGATTGGGTCCAGTTGGGAGGTCCATGAATTACCTGAAACATAAAGAAACATTTTTGTTGATTTTACTAACTCCTAAGCGGAGAAGGGAGAGGAGAGTGGAAAATAAAAAATATTCAGGAAGGAAATTGATCACATGATGCAAGTTTAATAGTTCAATTCATAGGTGCAATATAAATCATTCAAGAACAGCACAAAAAAAGTTAAACATTACAAAACCAGCATATCATGAAGGGAAAAAGAAGGAGGAAAAATGAATTACCACTGCATTTGCATGCTGCATGGAGGTGAGGGTAATGAAATTGACACAAAACACCGAGAAACATATTACAAAACCAAAAAAGGTGGGGAAGAAAAACAAAATGATTAGGTACTCTTCACATTCACATGTCAGTTTACAGTACATAGAGGTGCGATTAGTGAAATTAACAGGCATGTAAGGACTCAGATAGATTTAGGGCACAAAGAATGGTTGTTGTAGGGAAGAATTAAGCGAGTGTGGCACTTTCTTGATACTTTAGTAATTGCCAAGAAATTTTACAGTCAAAAGTGGTTAAATAATTCAAGAAAATACGTTATTAAGTATAAAATAGAGCGGCAAAAGATGAAGCAAGTAGAGCATAGATGCTGCAAAAAACAAGAATTCCAATAATTTAATATTTGCAGAGAAAATTTCACCGTTTCTGCTAAAAGAGCAATTATTTGCCAGATTGAAGGATCAATTTATTGAATAAATGCCTCTTGGATAAATGTGTCGGAACGGCCCTATTCATCATGAAGTGAATCCTAATTAGCATATACTTCATCACAATGCTTTTCATCAGGAAAAATTTATGATTGTGAAGGGGTTCTTGATCAAGAATATGAGTGTCAAGAGAATGAAACAGAGTGGACATTTTGTCGTTATCCGTCACTAAATTCATTACTTTGTTTGTGAGCTCTTCTGCAGAAGACTTGTTCAGTGACTTTGGAGTACACCCTCCAGGATAGGTACATCGAATTACTTTTTCACTCAAGCTGGTTAAGTACAAAACATGATCAGAAGCATAAATTAAACCTCCGCGGTCTTTGATAGACGTAAGCATGAAATTGGACCTATCAGATTTCTCAGTTAGAGCATTCTTACATGCAACACATGCAATGGTTTTTTTCAGTTGCCTAACAATGGATCCAGATATGTACGTGACAACGTTTTCAACGAAAAAGGTGAAATGGTATTTGCTTTCGCCAGTAAATAATTCCATGTAGGATTTCAATTCTGGGTCTGATAGTACTCCATCACTCTCGATGCTATCACTGAACTCAATGGCATCTGCATCTTCTTCCTGTAATAGAAAATCGATGGAGGGATCTCTAGCAGAGGAGATATTGAGAGCTTTTACAGGATTACTAGAACTGATGGTAAGAATTTTTATCTCTTCGAGAGGAATGCAGTTCCCAGACCTTGACGGTTGTAGTTCCATGAAGATTAAATTTTTCTTATATGCAGTTTGCAACTGTCGAGAGGTGGGATTATTGTTCCAGCCTAAGTGCATTCGGAGTAGGCCGAAAAATATCTCGATGTGATCTTGCGAAAATTTATAAGTTGGCAAAAAGCTTAAAATTTTATTCACGCCAGTGCAGAACAATTTGAACAGAGCGATCAGACTCTCTATATCTATCACGAAACCTAAAAACCCGGTTTTCCGCTTGCTTCTCAAAATCCGCAGCCCTTTTTCTTCCTGGGAAATTTTCAAACTTTTTATGTAATCCTTACTTTCATTGAGGACCTTCTGAACATTTTCAAAATTTTTTTCATTTAGTGCTTTTTTGAAGCCAGGCTGAAGCAAATTTTTGGAATTATATACATCAGTTAGTGTATCGAAAGTTCTTAAAAACTTGATGGTCGCCGCAGCATCTTTAAATTTTTCAAAATTAGAATCTTTCAAAAATTGCAGTGCATCCGCGGCAGAACTACTGAGGAGCTGAACAGCTAATCGAACATTCATCTTCTTTCGATTGAAATAAATGTGTTGGTCAGAAATTTTATTCCCCAACCGTGCACCGACTATATTTTGAAGTTTGTTGAGCTCAAACAGATATTCCCATTTAATAGCCCCGAGTTCCGGATCAAAAATAATTTTCTTGTCCCCAAGCGTGTTTCGGACTAATTTCAACATATGGAGAGGATCTAAAATTGCAAAAATTTTTTCACCAGTGACAGGGTGCTTAAAATAGGTCTTCAGTTCTTTCAGATTATCAAAATTACAACCGAGAATTTTGAACATTGTAAAATTACACGAGGGTCCATCGCACGTAAGAGTAATTACCTTAATGGTGAGGGCAACATTTTCGTCTGTATTATTTCCTACTTTAACATCACTTAAAAGAGCAAGGCACTGTGTGACCAAGTTTGCTTTTTGCTCACCACTAACACCACTTGTGAGGAAGTAGCCGAGAGGTATCTTCCAAGCTGCGTTTACGCAAACAAGTAGTAATACTAGCGCTTCACTTGCTAGATCAGAACAATCAGAGCTGGGCCCAGCACCAAAATCAACATATCCAAATGACCTGCGGCCATCAGTCTCTAGTTTTTTTCTAATAGCCATCTCATCAAGCACCAGACAAGCAACAAGAGATTTTTTTTCAGCCTCTAGTTTGAGGTTTAAGGCACGGAAAGATTCAGTGGTAAATCCAGGTGAGCCATCCACAGACTTGTACCATGAATAGATAGTTTTTGGATGCGGTAAAGTGCAATTAAATACCTTCCTAACATATCTGTAACCCCTTGGTGACAAATAATTTAAAGTAAGAGCAAAAGCTCTAATCTCTTCTCCATATTTTTTTTTAAGAGTGGTCTTTTTTGCTTTACTCAGCTGCCTCTCCAATAACTCACAGTTGGGCCCTGCCATTGACTTTAATAATTCTAAATCCTCGTCAGAGGCAAAACGCTGTTTCTTCATGACATCTAACATTCGCGATAATTTAAACACCTTTTTTTCTTTTCTAGCTGTTTGCTTCCTTAAAGTATTTAATTTACGATTTTTCCTCTGTAAAAGCAACATTAACCTTTTCTTGCGAGGAGTTTCAGAAATCTCAGTTGGACACGAAGTTGTGCTGTCCAGCATGTCTTTAATCAACTTTTCTCGTTTCTTGTCTGTCACACGACCTGGTGCATCATACTTTGTCTTTGTTGATTCGAAGTATGAATAGTGGTCATGATGGACCTTGGTGGGAGTGTCCAGAACAAGAGCAGGATGTAAGATGGGACTGATTTCTATGTAGTTTTCAGGGAAATCAAGTATAATGTTTTTTGGAGAAATGGACACAGGGGGAGAAAAGGACACAGGGGGAGAAATGGACACAGGAGGAGAAATAGCAGCAGAAGTTGATGCACATGTGGCAGGGTTGTCAACAGTGATTAAATTGTGAGGAGAAACAGGATTTGAATGTGGTTGGTTATCGAAGGATTCAGGACTACAATTTGGTGGAGAGGCAGGCGTTGCAGAAGAAATGGATGGTACATCTGTACAAGGAGGTGGAAGTTGAAGTGATGGTTCAACATCGCATGCTATTAACTTTTCGTTGACAGTTGGAAAAAGATTCCTCACAGTAGGAGGTTTCCTCAAGGGTTTAGACTGAAAAAGACCAGTGGGAATTAGTTAAATGATATGAAAATTTATGCAAGATTTTAAGTACAGATATCACAAGAGTGATAGCAATAAGAGAAGCATTTTCAAATCTCAGTTTTGAAACAGACAAAAAAAAGGGATGATTTAGGATTAAAATGTTATAAAACACCTTTAAGCACCAAGCACACATACACAAAATTACACCAAAAGTACAGATAGAAAAAAACTCTCATGCATAAATAGTATAGGTAGGTTACTCACATCTTTTTGAAGGTGTTTAGGGAAAGCTGGGAAAACTGAGGGGATAGCATTCCTCTTGATTTTTCTAAGGCCCTCCTTTGTATAATAAAAATCAGAAGCATTGAAATGAGAGGAGCAGACCCTAGCATCCGCATCAGTTGCAGGATTGTAGTTAGCTCGTCTCAAGGCCTGAAGCCAGGCACTACGCTGAGGTTCTTTACCAGGAATCCTGCGGAGAGAAAATAATATGAGTCTGATGAACTGGATTCATGACAGGTATGAATTCATAGAAATATGATTGAATGCAAATAATATAATGTTTCATGCACATATTCAGAGCTCTGCACCTGCTGAAAATAAACTTTAGAGACCATAGAAGTGTTATCATTATCAACGTTATCAACATCATCTGCAGGCTGATTATTTACTTTCATAGATCTCGGCTATAGATCTGCAAATCTCATCTATCGCGCATCTATGATCAAACTATTTGTGATTCTACACTGTGATTCTATCCGATGGATGAGCGATAGATCAGCAGAATTGGAATACAGTGTTGAACGATTGCTTTGAAATGAAAATAATCGTTCTAACCAATCAGACACCTTGATTCACCGAGTGAAGAAGAAGAAGCGCGTAGGAAACCTAACCTCCAAATAGATCATTTATCGTGTTTTACTCAACTCCGTCTTATCAGCTACCGTGGCGCAGTGGATAGCGGCGTCGATATTCAGTCGCGACCAATCCGAGCGATGGTGGGTTCGAATCCCGCCGCGGCAATACCAGTCGGCCAATCAGAAGCACAGTTTTAATAGATGTCACCGCATCTACTGCCTTAGGGCCGGGGGATCCGCATCTATCAGTGGATCTATAGCTGGATCTATTGAAATAAGTTCTGAATCGCTCGGAATCTCTGTCTCATAGATCCGCAGCCCGCATCCATCAAGGTCAATAGATGAGGGAAGTAAATAATCAGCCTGCTGAGGTTACCTGTTTGAAAGTTTGGTCACATCTTTGACATCAATCCAGGCAGAATCTCAGTCATTTAAATTTTCCTGGAAATCAGGCTCGAAATTCAAACCATTAAAAAGACAAAATACTCATAAAATATTTTTGTATTTACCTGTGAAATGATGTTTTGGAATCAGCATTGGAAGAAGAGGTAGTTGAGGTTGATCGGGTCTCAGTTCTGCACTTGGTTCTATTTGTGCACCCGAACGCCGCACAAAAAGGCATTTCAAACAACAAATTTATAACTACATAACATTAAAAAAACAATAACGATTAAAAAAAGAACGATTTCACCACGAAACCCGAGAAATTTTCCGTCTTGCTCAATGCAACTCAATGTTGAGATAACGGCGTGTTGACAGTGACGGGAGCCCCGATGCAAATTCGGAGGTTACAGCGCGTCATCGATGGATGACTGTTGCCGCATGCGAATTCGGAAAAAGTGGTGACCGCGCGTTCCGGATACCCACTGTCTATAGGTTATAATGTCTTTGTTACGCAACGGAATGTGTTTTATTTGTTTTGTTTATATTCTTTGATGGTGGAGGTGGAAGTCATGGCCTAACCCCTTCTAAAAATTATAATCGTAACAGCCAATGAGAGTTGTTAACCACAAACTAAGAGCCAATCATAGTGACGATCTGTTGAATGACGTAACCACTTCCACTGCTATCAACCAATCAGGCCAAGTTCATTATACGTCCCTGACTTCTTTCGGTTTGTGATTGACTCGTGACTTGAGTGTGTACACAGCCGGAGTATTATTTTCGTGAAAGCTTAAATCTTACAATAGTCTTACTTATATCAATCACATGTCAAACCTAAAGTAGTTTATTCACATAATTTAAAATGTTGGTTTTATTTGAAACCCCAGCCGGCTACGCCATTTTCAAGGTAAGAGTTTTCCGTTTCACTAGCATGTAGAACCCTAACCTTACTTACCAACGCCTATGCGGAACACGTGCCAGAACGCATTGTGCCGAAGTATCATTTCCTCTAAAACCTCTATATTATAACTGAGGATGGCATATTTTACCCATCTAAGTTTCATTTCATCGCTCACTACTGTTGGGACGATTGCTAGTCCTTCTTGTTTTACGTGTACATCATACGCCCTACCTTGAGGATTGCCGGAGCCCTTGACTGTTTGGGTAACCGTCACAGATCCCCAATTTAGTGATTACTTCACTTCTACTCCCAAACCCCAAAACCAAGTTAACTGCACAGCTGCTGCATAACGAAGCAGTATGTGGCTTACTTGAAAGTAAACTGAAACGATTGCGTCTCCTCTGAATTCTACTGGCAGTCCTATACCCAACTTGATTACTGCTCCAAGAAACCTTAGACTGGTTTCACCTCTGATTAAATTGAATGAAAATAAATTGAGGGTATTAGATGGCTGTATTCTCCATCTTGTTACTAATCCCAATTCAGTGTACCAAGAGCGGAGACATAGCATGTTGATAGCAAGTATTGTTTGTGTCACCAATCAGTGGTGCTACTTGCCTGCATGTTTAGTGGGTGCTAATTCAGAGCTAATCAGAGTTTGATATTTGTCTCAACATGCAATCTCTCTGCGCTACTCATTATCCGCACCTTTTTTTTTTTTTACTACTTCAAGTAGCCCACAAGGGCTAATCCTGCGCTTCAGTCCTGTCCCCCCTCTGTTGCTAACAACCAGTCCCAGGCAACCATTGTTTGAGACCATCCAACTCGGGTCACCTGGCCAAGATTCGAACCCGGGACCTCCCGATCATAGAGCTAGTGCTACAACCACTACACCATAGGAAGCCGACACCGCCGTACACTTTATGTACAGGGCCAGCACAGGAGCACTGCTGATTATCAAGATTGCGTAGCCATGATTTTACAGATTTTTTTAAGTAACAAAAATTTCTCGAGTCTTGCTTTGTTTTCTCTCTGCAAATTTGTTTCATCATTTTTTTTCCTCTTCACAGCTTCTGAATGAGAAGAAACTCTCTAAAACTGAAGATTTGTATGAAGATTTTGAAACTCCTGAGAAAGCCAGTAGCATGTAAGTATAATATTTACCAAAGTACCACTTCCGTTTTACACAAGCTAGAGTTCGTCCACAGTGTAACAAAATTTATGAAAAATAAACATGTGAAATATTTAATGAAATTTCAATGATAAATTAATGACTTTGACAAATGTACCTTAAATCCAGGATAATCAGCTCACACTAAATAATTATCAAAACGCTGCTAAAATTGTTTAGAGGCATTATTCCACTCGTTTATATCACTAATGCTTTCCATGCAAAAATAAGTGTAAACAATTTTGAGTCAGGTAATGAAATAAAGGATTTTTTGTTTACTTAGTGCAGGTTGCATATCCTGCATCTAAAATGAAGGTATCATATTTTTCAAAAATATCATAGCTCACTGAAATTTCCGATCTTTCTTGAGTCTTTCATATCATGTCACCCCTGCTCACTTAATGTAAATACAAGTAAATCTCTTGATAAGCTTGGAATTAGCTCAATTTAACTAGTTAATACATTCAATCATACCAACAGTGATTAAAACAAGATTGGGTTCCAGTCTCATCATATAATGAGGGAACTCTGAATAACTTCTCCAGGCTCCGGAATTGTACTGTTACTAATGGGCCTGTTGCAAACTTTTGCTAGAGCAGAATGAAGAGTTGTTTCCTATAGATAATGCCTCAAAAATCACGATGAGCGCATCGGCAAAGTCTGAAATGCACTCATAACTTCACAATCTGCGTAAGAAATTTGCGTTATTTTGAGCTTCCCGCTTCAAAAACGATACTACTGCACAGGTGAACATTTTGTTAGAGGAGTCGCTCCATCGTCGGCAATATTCATCATGGCCGACGCTTGCGCAGTTCCTCGCGTAATTCGAGGAGAGTTCAAGGTCAATTAAGGCGGGCGAGGAAAATATGAACGTAAACACGCCGATTGTTATATGGTTTAATCCTGTTCAAGTGTTATCTCGTCCCATCACACGTGTTTTGGCAGACTGGCGTCGGCCATGATGAGTATTGTCGCCAATGGAACGACTCCTCTAACAAAATGTTCACCTGTACCGTAGTATCGTTTTCGAAGCGGGAAGCTCAAAAAACCGCAAATTTCTTACGCAGATTGTGAAGTTATGAGTGCATTTCAGACTTTGCCGATGCGCTCATCGTGATTTTTGAGGCATTATCTGTAGGAAACAACTCTTAGTTTTGCTCTAGCAAAAGTTTGCAACAAGCCCATTATGATTTTTCATTCTTTCTCCAAAATTCCAGAAATCTGGTCTGACCTTCATTCTTGGGAAGGCCTTGTATAACCATTTTCATGACTCAATTTGACCTGAATAACTGTATCTACTGCAGATGGTAAAACCATCCTATTAAATTATGTTTCTACCAAATCCAGTTCTCCAGTTGGGCCCTCTCATTTAGAATTGTATTTTTTTTTTTCAGAGTAAAATTGAAACACTTTCGAAAATTCACTGATACAGCTGAAGCATTAGCCGCAACAACTGCTGCTGTTGAAGGCAAATTATGCAAAACTTTAAAGAAGGTTTGTATTCTGTCCTCTATTTCATTTTTATGTAGCTACTAAATCAATCAAAGGCAGTTGTTTCTTTACGCAGAGCTGAAAAAATATTTGTATTAATATTAACAAGACCTCTTATTTTGTTGCTGTATTCATTACTTAGAGCCTGCTTCAGATTACTTTTCCATTCTAGTTGTATGAAATTCCATAACCTGCCCATACAGCAAAAGAGTAAAAGTAATCTGAAACAGACTCTAGCAATCTTTGTATCCTTACCTCCCATAAAGCCCTGAAATTTTTCCTCTCTGCATCTTGTGGGTTTATGTTAGTTTCTTAAGTTATTGTTTTTTAATAACAACCTTGGTATGAAAATTATTTTTTATATTTGGTTTAATCACTTGCAGGTACTGAAGAAAGTTGTGTGTCCAGACTTGAAAGAGCAGTTATTAGTCGCAGATGCAAAATTGGGAAATGCTATCAAAGACAAGTTTAGCATCAGCTGCGTATCAAACAACAATGTGCAGGAACTGATTAGGTGCATCCGATCTCAAACTGAGAGTCTGTTATCAGGATTGACACAGAAAGAATTCACAGCCATGGCTCTTGGTTTAGCTCACAGGTAATTGTTCTGATCTTTTGTTTCTAACATTAACGGTCAATTTTTGTCGCAAGAAAGAGGAAAATGCACTACAGTGAATCAAAGAATTATTTATTTCTTTATTTTTGCTCAACTAGATTAATTTTAAGTGTTACTCATTTTCAAGAGAGCCTATTGGCAGGAAGCCACAATCTGAAAATTGTCAATACAATCATTATATGGTCAAGGTATACCAAAACATGAGTGAATGTGTTACAGGCAAAATTTTTGTCTCTTACTAGTTGAATTTTTCATCAGGGTGTAGAATCTTTGCAGCTATCCATTTTCATGTGCCTGTCTGCCAGCTTTTCAAATTTTTCTCATCGGCTTTCAAAAAATTCACTCAGACTTCAAAAGTGAGATCCTTTTCCTCCTTATCCCCTTTGATTTTCGACTTTTGACCCTTGAAAGTTGTCCCTCTTTTCATATTTTTAGAGCCTCTCCACATGTTCTTTCACCCCACAGGCTTGTGATCGGGCATTTTCTGCATGCTTATTTTCATCCCGCTCAATTTACTCCTCTGTATTTTACAGTTTATCCCGGTACAAGTTGAAATTCAGTCCAGACAAAGTAGATACCATGATTGTTCAAGCTGTTGGTCTCTTAGATGATCTGGACAAGGAGCTAAATAATTACATAATGAGATGTCGAGAATGGTATGGCTGGCACTTCCCTGAGCTTGGAAAAATTATTACAGATAATATTGCATTTGTTAAAGCAATCAAAGTAATCGGTAAGTCACTGTAGTCAACTTAATTTTAGCATAATGGTGATGTAAATTGGGACTTCTTAATAAATATCAACAAATTGACATAAGAAATTTTGAAATAAAGAAGAAGAAATGCATTCATATCCATTTTTGTTAAGGAATAGTAAGGTTGAGTATAGATGATTTATTGGTACACACAGCAACATTTTCAGTCAACATAAAAAGCGAGAGAAACTAACAATAAGATTCATCCGACAAATTTCTGCTTGCATCAATAATTTTTACATTATTGTGAGCTTTTAATCGCCTTTTTAATTTCTATTTCTTAATTTGAGATACTCTAGTGCTTCAATTCGTACCTAATTTTTTCATGAGCAGAGTACAGGAGTACACTGTACCGTTTTTCAGAAGATGGAATGCAGTGTATAAAAAATATTCTGGTAGGTCACAATTTATTTTTTTTGACTTGGAGTAATTTGCACACTTGGAAGAAGACATACATGATACATCCTTACATTTGTTGAAGCTCAATTTAAGTACTATTATACGCAAAAATAACCTTCTGTGCCACCATACGTCATTCTTGTGCGTTTGTCATTTGCTTTCTTATTTTTATTGTTCTATATTTCCCTTCCAGGAACTAGAGAAAACACAGCAAACACTGATCTCTCTGATATTCTACCTGAGGATGTTGAAGAAAAAGTGAAAGAAGCTGCTGAAATCTCAATGGGTACAGAAATTTCAGAAGATGATATCCTCAACATTCAAAATTTATGCGATCAGGTGCGTTACAAAAAACAAAATTAAATTGAAAAAATCTACTCATGAATTCATGCAAAGAATTGTTTTGGCATGTATTGTGAAACTCTCTCAGATTCATTGATTAGGAATTGATTGTTAAGGTGATTCGTCAAGCTCAAAAGAAGTGGTCGAACTGGCATGCGATATATCGCATCTTTTAGGTCAAGAATCTCGGCAGATTTTGAATTTTCAGCAAAAAAAAGGACGATAGCCCCTGCGCATGAGCCTAAAGAATCATTTTAAACCCAAAAATCTGCAAAATTCAGAGAAATGAAAGCAGGATAGTGTTTGGAAGAAAACCTCGCATTCGATTCAGCTATCGATTTCTGTATCGAATGCGAGGTTTTTTTCCAAACACTATCCTGCTTTCATTTCTCTGAATTCTGCAGATTTTTGGGTTTAGAATGATTCTTTAGGCTCATGCGCAGGGGCTATCGTCCTTTTTTTTGCTGAAAATTCAAAATCTGCCGAAATTTTTTACCTAAAAGATGCGATATATCGCATGCCAGTTCGACCACGTCACTTGAGCTTGACAAATCACCTTAAAATTTCTTTGTATATGGAAGTTTTTATCATCCGATAATAAAAGGCAAAATTAGAGTACACAAATTTGATTAGTTAATAAAGATCAAATGTGGATCCCAACTGGGATTTTGTTGCCTTACTCATAGTCAAACGTGTCTGATTCATTCCGAATGCGAGACTAAACTTGATACTTTTTTTTTTTATCAATGCTAAATTCTGTATACCACTGAGTGATTATTTAAGTGATTACTGACCATTTATTGAGTAATTATTATTTTTTTGAGTAGTTACATATCTCCATATTTCAAGGAAAAAGTAGCAATCACTTTGTCCCCTCTCATCAATTTGAAATTTTTGAACACCTATCAGCAGGGGTGCAGAAAAAGCCAGATCGTGCGCCTGCCCAGGCGCGTAGAAAACCTCAAAAATGTGGAAGGAGGGAACATTTTAAGGGGCCAAGAGTTGAAAATCAAAGGGGAAAGGAAGAAAAACGTCATTTTTTTAAGATTATTGGAAAATTTTGCGGAAAACTGATGGGAAAAATGCGAAAAGCCCGCTGGCAGGTGCGTGAAAACGTGGAAGCACAGAAGATTCTCTACCCCTGCTTATCAGAGAATGTATCAGTTTTGTAATTTAAAATGGCAAGAAATGGTAACGCTCAGTGATTGAAAATGAGCACTGCAGGCTTAATGTGTCCAGTACTGCACCTTAATCAACTATTCTTCATAATTTAATTTCCAGTCCTCATCTTGTATTTTCCTTCAGATCATTGAAATTTCCTCCTATCGGAACCAACTGTACGAGTACTTGCAATCTCGTATGATGGCTATCGCCCCAAACCTTACAGTTTTAATGGGTGAACTGATAGGAGCCAGACTTATCTCCCAAGCAGGTTCCCTTGTGAATCTTGCCAAACATCCAGCTTCAACACTCCAACTTCTCGGTGCTGAAAAAGCTCTTTTTAGGGCTTTGAAAATGAAGAGGGAGACCCCCAAGTATGGGTTAATCTACCATGCAACTCTCATTGGTCAAGCCAGCACCAAGAATAAGGGAAAGGTAAGCTTTTGAATTTGGTACTCGAGATAAACGAAGGAAAGAGACTGTGAATATTTTGACAAGTATGTTCACGGTCTTAATGACAAAACGAAAGTGCTGTTGAAGGTGCCATAATGACAAGGCTAGATTATGGAGGAATCTATCATAAGTCTGTTTTTAAACATGGTTGCGGAGTCATTTCTCTTTTTAGATCTGCTTCTCACACACCTCTGATGAAAAATACCCAATTCCCAGATAAAATTGTTTGTGTTTCTTTTCACATTTTTGATGCTATGCACAGAAAAATGGCTCATTGATGTAATATCAGCAAGAATGTGTGCGCGTAGTACCTCAAAAGTGAGAACATTTTTAAGTTTAACAATTAGTCGGAAACAGTCAACAGTTCTTGTAATTCCACGCCACTTGAATTGTCTAGTTGCGTCGCAAATCATAATGCTAAATGAGAGTATTTTATCGATTTCTTGCACAATTAATCTCTAACCCTCAAGTCAAGGATGTTCCAACTACCTTTGTAACTGTTTCCCTTGGTGTGCTGCAATTGTATCTAACATAATGATAGTTGTCAGGAACACAAAGGAAGTCAGGCAAAACCGGACCAACTATTTTTTTTATTGTTTAATTTAATGGGTCTAGCTGATAAGGCAATTAGAGCAGCTCATAAGACACATCAATAACTGCTATTTTTAACTTATGTCAATTTGTGCTCATAAACCAGTCCTGACATTCATTGGTATACAGGGATGATCAGAATAGTAGCTGATGAGTAGCATAAAACTAAGCATCCCTTCTGTATCTTTTCAGATGGCGCGTATGTTGGCGGCCAAAGCGGCACTAGCGACCAGAGTTGATGCCCTGGGTGAGGATATCAATGTTGATCTTGGTGGTGAGCATCGTAGCAAATTAGAAGCAAGGCTCCGGTTATTAGAGGAAGGAAATCTTCGGCGCATCAGTGGCTCAGCCAAAGCCAAGACCAAGTTTGAAAAATACCATGTCAAGAGGTAAAAAACTAATTTTTCTCTACCGATATTGCTACTTGGAAACAAAAATAAGTGTCAAGAAATCTGGGATAGCTAAAAGGCAGATTAATGAGTGAATACTAACTGTATCAGTTCGCATCTATTCTCTTTTATCCCTCCTTTCCACTCAATGAGAAAAGAATGTTGCAACTTGAGCAATATACAGAAATTTTTACTTTTCTTTAGTTCAATGAGTCTGGCGCTAGAGATACAGCCAATTGAATAGAGTTTCTGTAGTTAAAATCTCACGATAATCCGGCTAGGCACATAAAAAAGGCCAGAACATATTCCTTAGCAAGCAATGTGGGTGGTTTTAAAGACGCTCTCAAATTTACCACATTTCCATACAGTTTTTCTTTGTGGGCTGCTCTCAGTCTCTCCGAGAGAGAGACTGTAGAAAATCTAACTGTATATAAACAATCTCAAGAACTATTTTAAACTTTTTTAATGTCAGATTTCAATTAATTTTTAGTTTTTGTTTTTACAAAGTAGACAGAAGAAGGGACGCTTGAAAATATTGCAATCATACCCTAGCAAAAATCGGCGAAATGATATATTCATTCTAGTTAGGTTTTCCTACCGCTTTGTCTCGGCAAACCTGGACGTTGGCGATGAAGAAAAAATGCCTGCGGACACAGGAAATTTTAAAAAGCGTGTTACAAACTATAGATATTTTCTGCCAAGGGAAACTTTTGTTTAAAGACTTTTGTGATGTGCCCATTGTTATTTTTGTGCAATTTTATCTGAAGGAAGTCTATTCTCTTGCCTGTATCCCTTGCATGCAACAGACCTATTCATTTTAATTAGAAACAGAAACAGTAATGAAATATTTTTACAGAAATTCAACCGAGGTACATTGAAATTTGTATGCTAAGATCTCTAGGGGTGTAGTGCGATAAAAGTGGTATAAAAGCACCAGTCAGTTTATTACTCCAGAAAAAGAGTTGTAAGAACTTTTTTGTTATTTCTGAAACTTATCTCTTTTCTTCATTTTTGTTCTCAGCGAAATTAAGGAATATCCAAGCACATCCGATTCGACCATACCAGAAAAGAAAAAAAGGAAACATTCCCAAGCATTTGCAGAAGAAGAAACTGAGGACGTGAAGCCCAAAATAAAGAAAGAAAAGAACTAGGCATTTGACATATTTTTAGAATTTGATTTTTAATTTTTATAAATCCTGTTGGACTATGTTGTCTCTGAAACATAAACAATCAATGTTGTGTATGAATGTAAATATATTAAGTCTCCAATAAATGGAGTTTTTTCACTGACAGCTGTTTCTCCCACTCATGTTTTTTTTTCTCCTCTCACACTTGCTATATCCTCAATATTTCATCCAGAACTTTTTAAAAAACTGTCTGGACCATGTCAGCATTCTTGCAGAGAACTTGATAGATCCTGTGATGAGACAATTTTAGGGAGCCATTTAAAATAGCTCCAAAGCTCTACTCTACCGCAAATGTTCTTGAAGGTACGAATAAAATAGAATGAAAAAATTAAGGCCTCAATTTTTATATACCGTCAAACGGGGCTACTTGGGACGATTTTAGCACAAAAAAGCTTCTCCAAAACGAACCATACATTATTTTGCCAAACTTTTTTGTGCTAAAGGTAGTTCGTTGGTACGCATATCGAATTTTAAAGGAAAAAAAAATTTATGCCCCCCCCTTATATTTTTTTTTTTCGATTTTCGACTGTCCCAAGTTACCCCGATACTCGGGGTAACTTGGGACACGAATGAAAATCAAGTGTTTGGCCCATGTTAGGCTCTTTTAGGGCAACATGGGACAGTAAACTGAATTTTTAAAAAAGTAAATTGAACATTTATCTATAAAATAATACAATTTTGGTAAATTTGAACAAGTCTTTTAAAGAATTAAGTAGGAAACAAAAATGGCATGACAGCCTTGAGGAACTTAAAGCTAATATTGAGGTCAAAACGTTTCAAAGTTATCAACTAAGAGGCACCTATGGCAGTTTGAGTAGGTAGGTACCAACCTTTAGTAGGTAAGTAAAGGTATGCATTAAGAAAAGTATTCTTTCAAAAAATTGCGAACATGTCTGTTAAGGGTTGATTTCGGAATTCCAAATTTTGTTGACGTCTTACCCTCTTACGCAGAGAAGCACCCTTTCGAATTGCTTTGACAGCTTTCTTCGATGAGTTCTGTGAGAAGTCTCTGTATGCCCAAGAGCCTGGTTTTCTTTTGTACGTCCGGACCATGTTTCTTGTAAAATTACGAAATACCTGTCATAAACAGTTCAGTACCTACTTAACTGATAAAAACCTGAATATAACCCAGGAAATCTCTTATCTCAAAAGCACTGCCAATAGGTCCTCCCTCTTAGTCTGTAATGCAAGGTAGAATTGGAAAACATGGAAACGATATCACTAAAAAGGAGAAAATAGGGTGTCCCATGTTACCCAGCGATTCCTAGTTTTTTGGTTTTTTGGAAATTTTGGGGATGAAAACGAAAATTTTTGTAAAACTGAAGCAGACCCCATCAACAGAGGCACATTTGTGACTTACTCACATATAAGAAGTTTGCATGTGGTGGAAAGGTACTGAGATCCCCAGGAAAGTATAACGGTGTTCAAATATGACGAAAAAATATTAAAGAGACAAATATTTTTTTTTAAATACTTATTTGGGTTTCAAAATTCTTCTTGGTTGTTCAGCCATGCCGCAGTAATGTAGAATGAGGTTATGGCATCAGAAGAACAAAAAAAACATTACAGTGCTACCACACACAACAACGCGAAAATTCCCTCGAGTGTCCCATGTTAGCCTGTAGTCCCAAGTAGCCCCGTTTGACGGTAATTTAAACCAACATATGGTTCACTCTTAGCTTCTTGTTCCTCTGCTGTCGCCAAAAATATTATTGAAATTTTCTTTCATTGCTGGAAAGAGGAGCTTTTTGCATGAGAAAACTTTGCAATATATTGATGGCAGGTTTCTTTTCTTTTTTAATTTTGCTGTCTTTCTCACCATCTGAGATTGTTATTTAGTGTGCCTACTAAAGACAAGCATACATAACATCTATTGGATGTATTTATACTAAAAGGAACTGTATGCATCAGGTTTTGCATGCAACATAATTTCTTTCAGTATGAATACATCCATTTGCGTAGCTTGTGGCTTTCAGTGCCCACAAAGCTGTTGGCCAGTCAAAACTCCAAAATTAATTATTCATAGGAACTTCATTACCCTGCCTCAAAACTTAAAATTCATAACTCAGTCTTCAGTGCCAATGATGTTAAAAATATCTGTTTTTTTCTCCTTGAAATGTGAGCCACTTGCACAGATTAAAAACTGTCCTCTCTGCCTCTTACGCCTGATTTCTTGAAAGCGGTGCTTCCACCAATTTCATAAGGCAAGCCTTTTGATCGATTTCGACGGTGTAAATCGGCAATCACGTAACTCGGTTTGTGACGTTGCAGACTTCCTGTCATACTTTATTTTTTAAACGGAAAACTACTCAACTGCAATTCTTTAAAACTGCCGTAATTTTTCTGTGCAAAGAAAATTCTGCAAAAACTTCAAGGAATGATGTAAATTTGTTCTCCGCCTTTAAAAAAATAACATAGAGGCTGAGATTTTCAGACACCGCAAACAAGCTATGTGATTGCCAACTTACACTGTCGATTTGCATACTTTTGCAGGCTGATAAAATTGAATCTATTTTATACAATAAATTCGATTTTTGTCAAGTTTAGTTCAACTAAAGGAGTTGAAAAATTGCAGAGTAATTGGACCATGAAAGAATTTCTGGTTCTGATATTTAAATTTTTTTGCTAGAGGGTGGTGAGAGAATATACTGGACAGCGTTTAGCAGGAAAGAACCGAGCCACATCATTCATTGTCAAAAACGCGAGCAATTTCATTTTTTTACAAGAGAACGTTTGTGCGGACTCCTTTGAAAATTTTAAGGTATTTGCCTCGTTCAACGCAGAAAATTCACTGAAATCCGCACAACTTTTTCATGTAAAAAATTAAATTTGGCAATATCGAATGTAGCTTGGTTCCTTTCTGCCAGATAACGCGGTCCACTATGTGGCACCTATGTATTCAAGAGAAAAACTTTTTTTCAATTAAAATAACGTAAGTAAACCAAAAATTAATTTGTCCATTTCTCGCACTATCAACTGCTCCTATTTTTTTACTATATATGAATTATACATATGACTTTTGAGCAATACTTTCACCAAGAAATAGATAATTGGGGTCGGCGCGCATATCAGCAGTTTCCTTCACATCCAAAATATCACGCAGCTTCCGTTTCCGGCGCTCTACGTGGCGCTCGTTGTCTCACATTCCTCCTGAAAGCTCTGCAACCCGCAACATCCAGTTTAATTTCGACTATCACAGTGTGAAGGCATTTATTCCCGTCAGGTAATGGTGATTTTTGTCTTATGACAAGATAAAAGTCAAAAATACTCAAAATGCCAGCTCCAGTCTTCAAGAATGGGATCGTGAAGGAGGTAATTTGCTTTCTCTTCCGCATTTTCGGTTTAAAATAGTGATAACGAAGTAGTCGGCCTTCTTAACCTAACTTTCGGAGCTGACATGCTGTATCTCATCGAACCCCTTCTATCAATAATTTTTAGAGTTACTTAAGTACTTCAATTCCAATCGGCGCAAATTTTAGCTTGTTAGGATTAAGCGTTTGAGGTTTTAGTGCTTGTGCGACTGAGACATGATAGCGGACAATGCCTTGCAGAACTTTCTCCCTAACCCACTTTTACTCGGTCAAGCCAAACTCGCTCACTCAATCATGAAACTCCCTTATTTTTGAAACTACTCTTTAGTGTGAGGCTCTTCATGATTTATTCAGAGCCAGTACCTTTCATTTTACTATCAGATACTGTGTTTTCTTGCTCTAAATCAGCTGAAGTCTCGCACGCCGTACAATCTGGAAGCTGCAATGTGGCAATTGACCGTAAAGAGTCATGAATGTACGAAACAGAGATAGCTCCAGCATCACCTTTTGCTCACTTTGACTCTTAGAGATTTGTTATTAGTAACACTCTACCATTTGGATGCTGTAGGAGAGGCTTGAAAATCCTTGTAAAATTTTATGATAAGTTGCATAGCATCAGCATTCTTCTACTCCTACATGTCTCTTCTTCAATGTTTTTTAACTTGATAAAGGAATTTGTTGAGCTCCCTTGCCAAGTTTTCTATCTTTTGTATGACTTGATGAGAAATTTGTTCGCCGCATTGACCCCTGGTTTTCAAATTTTGATGGAACTTGGATCTTGGTCTGGTTTATTGAGGATCACTGAACTCCATTATTCTAGGCAGTACTTGATCGTACGTAACCTTTGTAGTTCAAAGGCTACAATGATTCGGTGGCATGAGGTGAAATCTTACTTCTCACTTGCACCTTACCTTGCTGCCCCTTGAAACTACAGGGGCAATGAAAACAGCTTTGGCAAGCTGTTGCTTATCATCACTCTTGGGCTCTGAGGGCACAGCGGGCCTATTATTGAAATTTAAACCAGCCCGATAAGACATCGAATTGCGATATATTGCATGGTTAAGATAGGGCTATGTCTTGTCGTGTCGGGCTGACATAGTTTCAATAATCGCCCCGCTGGGCAGCTGGTGACTTCCAAGTAAGAAACAAGATTTTACCGCACACCACTGCCATGATAAGCATGCCTTATAAGACTGCTGGCGGAGAGACCCTCTCTCATAATAATAGCCCTCTAGCAGATACTTAAATATTTGCCTATTAATGATATCAAGTTAACATCTCCTATTCACTCCCTGAATTATCTGCTTCATGCAGCCACAGTACTTGACAGCATCAGTTGCGCAGTGTAAAGAATGCACATGAGATTTCGCTGCTCCATGTTGAAGTTTTCCTATAAAGGGATAAAATTCACACTTTCTACTAGGTAAAGGCGTGCAACCCCCTGTTTTCCTCCTGTGAATCATGAATAATTTTTATGATAGGAACACAAGGAAGCTCTTATTATTCTACACCAAAATACTTGGAATTTTAACATTCGAAATTATGCTGATAATTGTAGAGAATGTCTTCTGGTCAAAATTTAATCATTAACTATTTTTCAGGTACGATCCGGGTCATCAGTAGTTATCTACCGACCAGGAACCAAAGACTCACCTGAACTGATTGTTAACCTGGTTTTTGAAGATGTCAATGCTCCTAGATTGGGGAAGATAAGCAAGTATGTCTCTTATTTTTCAAATCCTCTAACTTCTCTTCCATTATCATACGGTTTCATCAATCTCAGCTGTACTCACATAACCAAGACTAATTGATAATGTAATCACTACAATCAAACTTCAAAATATTAGATAATCTGCCAGGAAACTTGATTCATCTACGTGCTACATGAACCAGTGGAGCCCACATGATTGTAGACAAACAAATAAAATGCAAATTTTGCAGATATAACTTTAGAAAACTAAAGCATACAAAAAAAGGAGCCAGTTTTACTGGTGAGGAAGAACTCAAGCCAAGAAATCCATAAGTACTTTTTCAAATCATAATGGAGCTCACCAACAATGAAAAGACAACAAAAAATGTTGGTTCAACATTTGGACAGAATATAAGTTAAACAACAAACACCTGTTTAATCATTGCATCAAAGTGAAAGTATTAAAGCACCTATTTCGGGTTAATGCATGTAAGTATTTTTTCCAACTCTCTCTCAATCAAAGCTCAAGGGTTGATATTATTCTGAAGAATATTTTCTTCACTATGTTTCAGTGACGGTGAGGTGGTTAAAGATGAGCCGTACGCATGGGACGCCAGGGAGTATTTGCGGAAACTTTTAATTCGCAAACCTGTTTCATTCACTATGAAAGATGATTCGCATGGAACCATTTACTACCCTGATAAAGGTAAGTTGTGACCATTGCGTCGGTTGATGTAGGAGAGAAATTCTTGGTACCATTGCTGTAAAATTATAGCTGTAAGAAAATTGATAATTATTTTCTTTCTTCAAAATAGTAGGACTTCATTTTTATGGATGCTCATCGCAAAGTGAGATTGGCTGGATCTAAAACCTACCACTTTCGATGAGACTGCAGCGTTAGTCTCTCTTAGCCTCAACTTTTTCTATATATCAGTATGCATAGTTAGAAATGTCCTCGCTCATTCTTCATTTTAAGAGTAAATAAACTTTCAGTGGCCTGATTATTGAAATCTATATCAGAACGTCAAGACATTGAAATGTCTTGTCTTTTCTTCCCGACAAAGCCAGGTAAAGTTTCAACCATCAGACTGATGGATCAGGCACTAAATCTATAGAGACGTCTATCAGCTTCCTTAGGCGGAGTGCTTGTAGCACTGGCTCTATTATCAGGAAATACCAGGTTCGATTCCCGGCCAGACAAAGTGAGTTTGATGGTCTCAAACATCGGTTGTTTGGGCTGATTGCTGATCAAGGTCCCAGTCTTGTTGGCGAATTTACTTATGGCTGAAAGTACTACAAGAATGTTAACTTTGTTATTCGTTCGCTGATTAATGGTTTATACCGCCGAGAAACTAATGATGGCTAAAACCTGCTGTAAAAAAAGCTCAACTTGCGTACAGTTTGAATTTATAATTATAATTTTTCCAACTTAAAGTAGAAGTATGGAATGAGATGTATGGTCGATTGGAAACCAACAAGGTTTGGGTTTAGGGACTAAAAGGGATGGAACTCCAACTATAAGTGCGAGAAATCCTTTCTAGGGTACCTAATTGTTTTGTCATGCCTAAAATTCTGCTTCGATTGATTTTTTCTGATTTTGATTGCAGAAAAAAGTGTGACTGAGCTCATGGTGGCTGAAGGTCTCCTGGAAGTACGAGGCCCAAAACCACAAAATGAAAAACTTCTCCAGTTGCAAGAAGAAGCGAAAGCAGCAAAAAAAGGAAAATGGTCCAACGACTCTGTTGTGGTACGCCCTGGTTTTTGCTCGCCAATTATATTCTGATTTTGCTTTTATTTTTTTCTTCAATTGTTCACTTATAGATTGAAGCATTTGAAGTTGTTCAAAAAAAATTCTATTATTCGTACTGAAGCAAGTTAATTGAAAGAAGGAACTTCTCTAATGCCCTATTGCTGAGCTTCAGGAGTCAGAAATCCATAGTCATCTGTCTAGGATGCTGAAATACATCAATGAATATTTTTAACTTCCTACTCGCCCGAGCTTTTATACAAACTTTTTGACACCCTTGTAAGCTAGTGGTTGCCTCTTTTATTTCCCTTCTTGTCAGGCCGAGCTCAGGCTGCAGGGCCGTAAATAACATAGAAAGTATCGTTGCATACCTCAAAAAACCCCATAGATCATAACCTCAAAGAACGGTACAGAAAAGGTGTATTTTGTTTGCTGCAACAATTGTTTCCTGTTATTGATTTTGTGTTATTTGCGTCACTTTTTTACAACCAATGGGAGCAATCTTAGCTAGAAGTGAGGTTAGAAATCTTGTTAACAAATGTACACAACAGTCGTAACAAGCTCCGAGGACGTTCCGTATGTTTCGAAACAATGTTCCAAAAACTGTCAAATTGTGCAAAATAAATAAACAAATAAAAATAGGCCTTGCCCCTTCACATAAAAAACATCCGAACAAAATACTGTTGTTACGAGATGTTCTGAGTTGTTTCGTTGAATAAAATACAACTAAAATTGGAGGGTTTTTCAAAGGCAGGAACACGTTTTCCATGAAAGGCTTCTTTTCCCTTGTTTGGGAAGTGAAAAGTCATAGAAGATAGTAGATTTACCAGTTTTTTTTTTTTTTTTTTTTGGCCTTGCGGCAGCTCTCTGGCCCTCTGGCATTTCCTTTCTTGGAACTTTGCCGGAACTTTCAATGGGTACTTAAGGATATGTGAGGAGGATTAGTTGTATCTGACTCAAAAAATCATTTTCCTGTAGTAAAGCAAATACATATCATTAAAAGTTGAAGTTGGATCATTTTTGAACGAATGAATTCAATTTTCTACCATTTCATTACAATGTTTACCGTTGAGTCAAATTTTTGTTTATGATTTAAATTAAACACAATTTAATGTTTTTTCATGTACTTTCATAGTTTTAACGTTATTTTAATTCTGATTTTGTAGAAACACATCCGTCCTCTAAAGATCATCGATAACCCTGAAAAATTTTTGAAGGATAACAAAAACAAACCCATCAAGGCAGTAATTGAGCATGTCCAAAGTGGCTCAGTTATTAAGGTGACATTGCTGCCAGAATTTTACTCAACTATTGTTTACATCTCAGGAATAAAGGTATGAAACTTTTGCCCTGTAGTTTTAAATTAAAAAACCATTTTCAATTGTAAGAAAGACCCAGATATCTTGTGCTGTACCCGCTTTTACCCTTCATCTTGAATTTTTTGCAAGGGACATCAATTTGGAAAAGTCGATTTTTATCATCCAATGATGCTCGATGTAAAATTAAAAATTTTAGTAATGTTCACTTCCAATTATGAAAAGCAGTTTGTCTCTTATGACTTTGATATGATAGCTGAGGGCAAACACATGCTTGTTTTTTTTTGTGTGTGTTTCTTTGAAGGAGTGGTCCATGTGTTCCTTTTTTTGTAATTTTTTTTCTTCAACTTAGAGACTGCTTTGAATTCAAGCTTTACTTGTGGCAGCTTTGATTACTTTTGAAACAACGCACATGAAAAGTATTGTTCCGACTACTTTGACTGTGGTCTACTCACTGAGACAGTCGCAATAATCTCTAGTATAGTCTAGAACCTTGCAGGTGGAGCATTTTGTAGATCCAAATGAACCAATTGTAGATCCTGGTCCCTTTGGACTAGGGTGGCAGTCAGCAGGGTCAGTCATTTTTAACATTTTACTTTGTAATATGACAATGTCAAATGCATTCCCCTATTTTTAAGTTTTTTTGTTTATTTGTTCTCTGCCAAATCAGTGTCCCAACATGCGCCAAGGTGAAAAGTGGGCCAACGAAGCGAAACAATTTGTGGAGTTCAGATTGTTCCAGAAAGATATTGAAATATTCTTCGAGTACACCTACAATAATCTGTTGTACGGATCAATCAAACATCCCGTAAGTGCAATTAACAAATATGGGTGCCGTTTTATGAGCAAATAATAAAACTGTAGTAGAAAGAAGGCTGCACAATATACGAGCATAAGACAAATCTACAGCCTTGATACTTAAGTGCCAGGGGTGCCATTTAAGGAGGGGGAAGGCTGGGCAGTTGCCGTCCTCAAGGGGAGAATCTAAGCAAGGAAGAAAGAAAGAAAAAAACCTCACTTTTTTGCCCAGTCGTGCAATGAGCTGAAATGGCGCTCCTGTTATGTGCCGCAAATTATCAGAGCACTTAGAGTTGAAAAATTCAAATGGAAGCAAGAGCGAACCTTACATTACCTGGTTGTCTAATAGGGTGGAGCGTTTTTGGGCTTTTTTTTAATTTTGAAAATGGACATAGTACAGTAGTTGTGAAATGGTCTAAAAGTAACGCCTGAATTTTCCTGAATTTTTTCGTCAACGTTTAGGCCTCCCGGATTGACGTTGACGTCAAAATTAGCGGAAAATCCGGGTTTTTTGACGATAACTTGGCAACAATGGCAAATACGACAAAAATGCATAGAATCAGAGTTGTTGGAAATTTAATTTCCAACAAATCACTTTCTTATAGTTTTTTCTGTAAGTGCAACCCTTTTAGTGTAAAATTCGAAAACCCGTATTTTTCCGGAAATTTGGCACAAATTCTCGTTTAGTCCGGGAGAAATACGGTAGAAATACGGGAGAAAGAGGGCTTACTCGGAACAAATTGCGTGATACAAGAATACCATCATCGGGTTGGCCTGAATAACACAAAACATACAAAATGTTTTCCACGGCTCCACCGCGGACCACCACTTAAAATTCCTAAAATTCAAAAAGGCGGCCGTGTTTAGATTATCAAGCATCAAGGTAATTAAAATGTGCATCTCGTGTGGTATGAGGTGTCGTTTCCTATGTCTTTTTAGTCGTAAATTTCAAGTATAGTGTTAAAAAAAGCCCCTGGTCAAACGGGGTGCATCAAATCCAGGACGGCGGCCAACTTTGAACGGCAGGAGGGTATATTTGTCCCATATGCCCTCACATTCCCCCCTGATAGTTCGTCCTAGTACCACTTCTTCGCGTAATAAGTCAAGTGAGGCATTAGTTCCTTAAAGAATATCGACGGCGAAATTCCCAAACCAGGTATCTCATCTGCAATATTTTAAAATTCCAAGAATTCTGCAACAACGCAAACCGATACATGCTTTGGTTGATTCATCGTAATTTTGGTCGTAGATTTCCAGTGTGACGTGATGAATACCACCTGGTTAATCGGGCTACATAAAACTCAAAGAAGACTGATAAGTTTGAAGGGTGGGAGGACTTAAGCAAGTTAAATAATGACGCAATGAGTGAAGTGAAGTATTATTCCCTGTGTAATTTTGGTAAAATGTGAAGTAAAAAATTAAGTGGAAAATGAATGGTCAAACAGGGTGTCTCAAATCCACAATGACTGCCTGTAAAAGGCAGTAGTGTTAACCAGAGGTGTAGGTATAATGCTGGAAGGCAATATCTGAACGGTGTTTGCGTGCAACATAGTTTCTTTTACTATAACGTCTTATTTTAAAATATGTCTTATTATACATCTTCGAAAATAAGGTACCGATTTCCGTGTAAGTAATATCCGCGTTTAAAATCCTTTTATTCCCCCCGAGAACCAAGACTCTTTTTATTCGAAATGTGAATAAAGCAAATTAGGTCACGTGAGAATCATGGCGAAAAAAAAGAAAAAATCAATTTTCTCTAAAATCAAAAGTTGACGACACCACTCTTCAATAAATATACTGAGAAACATCATCCGGTGGTATGAATCATCAATGTTTTCATTTTTTCATTCTTTTTCTTAGTAATAGGTAACTCAATTGCATGTAAATATCGCTTATTCAGCAGTCTCTCTTTGAATTGTACATTTATTTTGTAGTGTCGTTTTATTGATTCTTCATATGGAGATAGTCACCATCCTCGATTTCAGCTCTTATTGAGGAGTAATATTAATTGTGAACATTTAAGAAAACTTTTTGATTTATTTCAAAGATTTTTTAATATCACTTTTTGAAATTTTCTGTTCTGTCATTCACATTTAGAAGTCATCCACTTATCCCATAATCGGGAGACCCCGCACGATTATGGGGCATTTTCTGTTGTAAATTTAAAATTTACGAACAAAATTATCTAAATTCACCGCAAACATTGTGGCATCTTAAACCCTAGTAACCTGCGGATTCGGTCTGGATTGCCAGTTTTACGCCTACTGACCAGGTGTCATTCATCGGATCATGAGGATCTTATGAAAGACAATTTAATTTTGAACCTCTAATCAAAATGCTAAACCAATATTATCCAGAGATCGTTACCTTTCTTTCAATATAAAATGTAATACACTAATCAAACTTTATAAGCTACTCTCCCGCCGTTCAAAGTTGGCCGCCGTCCTGGATTTGATGCACCCCGTTCGACCAGGGGCTTTTTTTAACACTATACTTGAAATTTACGACTAAAAAGACATAGGAAACGACACCTCATACCACACGAGATGCACATTTTAATTACCTTGATGCTTGATAATCTAAACACGGCCGCCTTTTTGAATTTTAGGAATTTTAAGTGGTGGTCCGCGGTGGAGCCGTGGAAAACATTTTGTATGTTTTGTGTTATTCAGGCCAACCCGATGATGGTATTCTTGTATCACGCAATTTGTTCCGAGTAAGCCCTCTTTCTCCCGTATTTCTACCGTATTTCTCCCGGACTAAACGAGAATTTGTGCCAAATTTCCGGAAAAATACGGGTTTTCGAATTTTACACTAAAAGGGTTGCACTTACAGAAAAAACTATAAGAAAGTGATTTGTTGGAAATTAAATTTCCAACAACTCTGATTCTATGCATTTTTGTCGTATTTGCCATTGTTGCCAAGTTATCGTCAAAAAACCCGGATTTTCCGCTAATTTTGACGTCAACGTCAATCCGGGAGGCCTAAACGTTGACGAAAAAATTCAGGAAAATTCAGGCGTTACTTTTAGACCATTTCACAACTACTGTACTATGTCCATTTTCAAAATTAAAAAAAAGCCCAAAAACGCTCCACCCTATTGTCTAATCAGCCGATTTCTGCCAGCTTTCGATGATCATGAGTTTAGATGATACTTGCAAGAAGCATATCCTGCAGGTGTTTTGTCTATTCAAAGTGACTACTCCTAGGTAAACCAGAATACCTTAATCTACCACTAACCTATTTACACTATTTACAATAAATAGAGTTCATATATTAAGTAACAATGCACTTTTTAAGCATTTTAAAAATGAGGGTCATTCATATAAAGTTGCGAGCAAAGCAAGCCTCCTGATCCCGACATTGGATGACTGGCCAAGAGCGAGACTTGGAAATCAGGCAAAAATCCACCATCTGAGAATCTCTAAATAGGTCGGTAGTCACCAGTATTACATGGATGGTTCATGGAATTGTTTGATAGTGGTTGTTCATCTGAAGTCCACAGTGTCCGCAAAAGCCGAGTGCCGTAACGTTTTATCTAGATGGTCAGACTTTAATCAAGTGCTCTGATTACCTGTAGAAAATATGCAGTTTAAGTTGCTTTTTTATGGCTCAATTGCTTTCTTTTTTTCTTTCTTTTTCCCCCCTTCAACTAGCCCACAGGGGCTAATTCCATAACCATTTAAAATAATGTTTGATAAATTAGTTAGCGTTTAGATCTCTGAAGTTGGTTCTTTAGTTTTCATGATTTGGTGATAACCAGTTTTTTAAATCAGGAAACTTAGTTGGGAAGAGTTTGCGCTCACTTTAGGATTTGCTCTTGAGTTCTCTGTAAACTTTTTACATTTCCGGTGCTTCTTTTTATCTTATAGGCTGGTAACATTGCTGAAGAGCTTCTGAAAGAAGGTCTCGCAAGTTGTGATGATATGACAATCATCCATGCTCACTCAGGTGTAAGGCTACGTTCTGCAGAAAAGCTGGCCAAGCAAAACAAGTTACGGAAATGGGAAAACTGGGAATCATCTGCCCCTCAGGTCAGTAAATATATTTCTCCTTTTTATTTTATATACAAATATTTAAATTACATTTTGGTCATCTTCTCTGCAAAAGTGATAAATTCACCGGGGATTTTTAAACTTTTATGGAATTTGAGATAATCAAGCCAGTCTCTCTCCGAAGGTTACACCTTATACAGTGAAAGCCTTTTGAGTTGGGCACTCCAAAAGTCGTGATTCCAATACGGATCAAATGTTTGCATTACCTCCATCCCTTTTCCCATCAAACTATGTTAAAAAAACTTCTGCTAAAGTAGGAATCGTACAAGTCAAAAAATGCTGAGATAGTACAATTTTTTATTCCCCATCGATTATTATTATTGTTTTCTCTCGCTCCAAGTTAAACAGGACCTTGAGGTAGAAACCTCGTGGGATGGGGGCGCCACAAGTCAAATTGTGGTAAAAATTTAAAAAATTTTGTTCCGTTACTCTCTTGCGGTGATCTTTTTAGATGAGACGCGTTTCTGAGCTCAAAGCTTCATCATCAGTTGGCAGCGAACTAAAGCTGTCTTCCTTTTTCTTTCCAATGTATGCGTTGCTATCCAACTGTTGCCATGTCTCACTGTATTTGAAGAGCATGTTATTAGTGCGCGCCAAATCCGTATTAAAGTTATTTGTCCTGTGTATATAAATATTTTCCAGTCATCTAGTTCCCCTGGGAAGGCGAAACGCGTATCATTGGAACAGATCACTGCAAGTGAGTGACGGAACAAAAATCTTTTAAATTTTTATCTTGAGGTGCCAAGTTGCGAAGGAAATAAAGAATGAGAGAGAAACGTAGACAATCGGAACATTGTCTGAAGCAGAGTTGCCAACTCTATCGGAGCGAGTAAGAATATTCTGGGTGGTTACTGAGAAAATTGCACTCATTATGCACATACTCATTGACATAGCAGACGTTTTATTCTAGCTCAATTCCTCTTACCTGCCCCTTTGGTAACATTGTTTTCTCTTTGACTTTGTACTCTTCATTTGATCCTTTTTCCTCCCCCAACTCCCCCAATTCTTCTAGAGAAAACAGTGCGTAATTTATTTCTATATCATTATCGGGAGGGTAACCCTTGAAATCAATATTGTTCTCTCTTTAACTGTCAAATTTTACAAAAAGAGACCTTTCCAGAAACTGCCCCCAGGGTCAGATTCCTTAATTTGAAATCAATAAGATGGATAAGCTGCACTATTTTGGGGCAGTATAACCTTAAAAGCTTTTACTATACTGAATGATGCCTTTAAGAAGTAAGTAACCTTTCAAAAATGTATTGATCGTCTTTTACAGATCAATGAGCAAGATAAAGAATTTACTGCCATAGTCAACGAAATATCTTGGGATTGTCTAATGGTCAAGTTGAAGGACGGAAGTTACCGCAAGGTCCACTTTTCAAGCATACGGTTTAAACGAGGAACGTAAGTGTACATTATCATCTTTAAGGGTGAAATAATTTGTCAGATTTTTTATGCAGCTTGCAAGACTAACAATTTGTCAGTCAATACTCAAGAGACAAAACTTTTTAGAGTTAAACTTACTTAGTTAAGTATATACAGTTTAAATTTAGTAGTTGTTTTGTATTTCAATGCTAAAATGCACCCCAGTTCGGTGGAGTCGTTTCTTTTTCTTAACGGTGAATCTCACAAAGGGTATAACTATCAAAATTTTAGATGTATTTTTTGATTTATCCCCAACCTTGTTTGTTGGAATTTCATAGCAAGGAGAAGTTGACATTTTTCTTTCAATAAAATTTTGTCTGATCAGATCTTTAAGACCAAAACCCGACCAACGCGGCTGCGCAAATTCTGTTGGAGCCTCGTAAAATTGGACTTAGCATAATTTTCTTTTATTTTCTCAGGGAGCCTGATAACAAGACCCCAGCTGCCCCAGGAGCAAGGAGACAAGACTTCTTCCTTGATGACCACACAAGATACGATATCTTTGATTATTTGCGTCGAAAACTTATTGGGAAAGAAGTTCAGTGCACCGTCGACTACATCCAACCTGGTCTTGAAGGCCGACCAGAAAGACAGTGCTGCACAATAATTGCAGGTGGAGTGTAAGTATAACATTATCGTGCTTTCCTTAGAAATGTAAACTGTACAAGAGTTAACCTATCCTCCACCCTCTTCTCATCTCTCAATTACAAAATGCTTTTATCAGAGTTTCCGGCGGTTCCTAAAACCTCCAAAGTCGGGGCTTAATGTACAAACGGCTTGTAAATTTGCAAGTAGCACATTGGCTCAGCAAAGTCAGCCATTTGAGAGAGCGCAAACAACTTCCCAGTGCCTATTTTCTTAATTTCCAATCTTTTACAGTGAAGATTTCGTTCCTTAGTTTAGTGGAAGTCCGATTAATTGAACCACAAAAAATCAAAATGAAGATTTTGATGAAAAGATCAAAGAAAGTCAGGGAATTCAAAAATTTTGAGGTTGGCAAAAAGCAAAAGAAGTCCCGGAAAGTCAGGTAGTAGGATAATGAAGAAATTATAGAGACCCTGGCATATCATCATGAAACTCAACTTACTCGTCACTACTATTCTCTCTCCTATTCACATGATAGCAAATCATCTTCATTTAATATTACATGAAAGAGTGACAAATTGAATGTAATGTACTCTATGCAGATTGTACATAAATATGTTAACATAAGGGGGCACTATATATCTACATGCATCCCAAAGGTCATAATTTTCCAATTTCTCTCACTTATTTATCTCATTTGATATCATTTCTTTTTTTTTTATTACAGGAACATCGCAAAAGCTCTAGTTTCAAAAGGCCTGGCCTCAGTAGTATACAGTAAAGATGATGAAAGTCGATCTCCCTTCTTCGATGAACTGAAGCGCGCTGAAATGAAAGCCACAAAAGATAAAGAAAAGGACAAGGACAGTAAAAGTGGGCTGCGGCCAGCCCGTAATTATTGCGGGGTGAGTTACATGTTCATACTGGAACTTATTAATTTCCTTAAAAGTTTGAAAAAATCAACACCAGTTTCGCAAGGAGATTGAAGGTGCTATAACCATTATACCTGTTTGAGTTTGAAATGGTTGAATTCAAATGATGAAAAATTTTTCTCAATAGATTCCCGTAAGAGCAGGAGTATTCACAACAAGAGAAAAATCAACCTTGCACCCTCCTCTTAATCTCAGCTTTTATTTTTGTCTTACAGAATGCCCAAAAAACGAAGAGCCTGCTTACAAGTTTACAGAGGACCAACACCGTTGAAGGAGTAGTCATGTTTGTTTCAAGTGGTGCACGCTTCCGCGTTTATTTAACGAAAGAATCTGCAACTGTTAACTTTGTTCTAGCAGGTATGCAATACTAATTCTCTCCTTTTCTAATATTCATAACTAATTTTTACTTTCCTCAAACAAGACTTTTTTCAAGTGTTTTCTTTTATTGAGAGATTTTATACCTCGTTTAAGAGACTTTTAGGTCAGGGGAAGCTCAATCCCTGCTTGGTATTCAAAAATTTTTGTATTGCTCAGTCTTTCCATTCTTAACTCCCTCAAAATCGTCTATTTTTTCCTGAGGAATAAGAGGAATAGTAGGAAAAACCAGAGGTAAGTAAAGAGATAGGAAGAGAGTAAATGTCAGGAGAAAAGAGAATAATAAACCAAAAAAGGCCAAAGATATGAAAACAAAACTATCAAAATTTAGCTAAAATTTGATAATTAGTCAAGTCTAATGTTTGCAACATGTTGCAGCCAATCCTCCGGACCTTGGGCTATTCTTATTGATTTTGCTGAAGGAAAGTCTGAATGTGAAGAATCATTTCTTTTTGCCGAATAATGTCGATGGAGGGGGGGGGGAATTTTGAAGAGAGTTTAGTCAAAATTCTTTATTTTTAGAGGAAATTTCAAAATTGTACCTATTTTTAACTGCTCGCTTTTGCTTTTCATAGGGGTCTCATGTCCAAGAGCTAGGAGCACCGCTCCAGGAAACGAATCTCCTGGGGAGCCATTTGGAGATGAAGCATTGCAGTTTGTGAAAGACAAAATCATGCAACGGGAGGTAAGAATAAAGAGCTAAGTCCTATCATTTATTGCATATTGGAGCAGTCAGGGAATTTTGTGAGTCGCTTGTCAGCTTAGCAACCTCAGCTGAGGCCATTTAAGAGAGAGCTAACAACTGCAGAGTACCTTTTGCCTTAATTTGAATCGCTAAGAGTCAAGATTTTGTCCATAGTCCTGCAACAGTTCTATATTAAAAGGAAAAAAATCTAACAGGAGGTTTTGATTGAAGGTTAGAGAAAGTCAGGGAAAATCAGGATATCTGGATATTGTGGAGTTGGAGAAAAGCAAAAAAAAACTTTCAGGAAAGTTAGAAAATCGGTGAATGAAGATATGTATTTTGGAAACCCCTGTGTTTTATGACCCATAGAACACAAGGTTTACATTATTTTAATGAGTCTTATTTTGACCAAAATAAGACTTATTTCCTCTAAAAAGTTTGTCCGAAAGTGCCTCTAGTCAGAGCTATGCTTCTACAGTCGGGCAGTTGAACTCTGGGACACCCCATACATTGTACCTTTGAAAGTTAGATGCATATAATTTTTTAATTCCCCAACAAAATCAGTAATTTTTAGAGTTGGGCCGGGTATCCGGATCCGGCCGGATAATCGCGCTATCCGGTTTTTGGACCCGCCGAATAGTGCTTTTTTGGCCCTGAATATTTAGATAAATTTTTGGTGATATTCTTTCTTTTTTCTTCCCTACCAATACAATTTTCTGTATTTTTTCCTGAAACTTTTGACTTTTTTTTCTTCTCCTTCAATACAGCTTTCAGTCATGGTAATTGTTCGACCTTTATTACCGGAATAACGCACATGTTCTGCTAATTGACGCGATCGCAACGTAAATTCCTTAAGTCCGCGACCCGCGTGTTTCACTTTCATAGATGCAGGTGGAAAAGAGAATAACAAACAACAACGCCACCAACATATGCATAATTCCCCGTTTTTAGTCGGTGCAAAACTCCGCATTCATCGTAGTGTCGCAGCCTCGCAGCACGTTGTTTGTTTCGGTAATATCGAAACGAAGGCCAATTAAGTTTGTGATCGGTTGAAACATCCATTTCTCTCGTTCATTTAGAGATTCTCATCAACAGAAATTGACCGAATAATTTTCCGTCAAGACAGGCTTTAATTTGCTGTGACTTTGGATTGGCATGCGGCGGCGGTGCTTTCAAAAGTGTCAGATTGGCAGCGCTGTTTTCCACTTTTGTTTTGTTTACATTTCTGACTTCTGATAACATCCTCCTACTGAACATATGAACACAGCTGCGAAAAGCTAGAAACTGCCTTGCTATATTTATGACACATATTATTTGTCAACCATGATTTTTGTACTATTTCAATTGTGACACTAGAAATAAGGAAAGAAATTCAAGGCCCGAATTTTGTTAGCTACGACCGATCGTGAGTCGAGTAAAGGTAAACTTAACCTCAAAAATCGCGACATTTTTCGCGCGAAAAAGCACTATCTGGATCCGGTACTATCCGGATCCGGCCGGATACTTTTTAGAATTATCCGGAATCCGGATCCGGCCGGATACAAAAAACCGATATCCGGTTCCGGTGACGCGAAAATTCCATTTCGGCCCAACTGTAGTGAATATTTTGTTTTTTTTTCTCCTTTTTTCGTAAGGTAAATATACCCAAAATGTTCTATCCAATCTGCAGGCTGATTATTTACTTTCATAGATCTCGGCTGTAGATCTGCAAATCTCATCTATCGCGCATCTATGATCAAACTATTTGTGATTCTACACTGTGATTCTATCCGATGGATGAGCAATAGATCAGCAGAATTGGAATACAGTGTTGAACGATTGCTTTGAGATGAAAATAATCGTTCTAACCAATCAGACACCTTGATTCACCGAGTGAAGAAGAAGAAGCGCGTAGGAAACCTAACCTCCAAATAGATCATTTATCGTGTTTTACCAGAGACAAGAGACCCTCCACTGGCCTCCTAGCGACAGGTGGAAGATTTTACTTTCGGGGATTCAACAGTTCCTTATGGACAATTATTAGGGAGCAACAGTCATTACCTCAATTTCGGCTGTTGACCTACCTACATGGTCAATGATGAGCTTCGGGTGACGTCATGAGCCAAACAAGTTTCGCAAACTTCGGCTATTTTCAACTTGTTTGCAAAACGAAACTGCCAACACGAAGTTAAACATCAACCATGTAGGTAAGTCAACAGTAGAATGCTGAAGTCCCGAAAGTAAAAGCTTCCACAATGGCCAAGATACTAGTGGAGGGTCTCTTGTCTCTGTGTTTTACTCAACTCCGTCTTATCAGCTACCGTGGCGCAGTGGATAGCGGCGTCGATATTCAGTCGCTACCAATCCGAGCGATGGTGGGTTCGAATCCCGCCGCGGCAGTACCAATCGGCCAATCAGAAGAACAGTTTTAATAGATGTCACCGCATCTACTGCCTTAGGGCCGGGGGATCCGCATCTATCAGTGGATCTATAGCTGGATCTATTGAAATTAGTTCTGAATCGCTCGGAATCTCTGTCTCATAGATCCGCAGCACGCATCCATCAAGGTCAATAGATGAGGGAAGTAAATAATCAGCCTGCTGAGAGCAAAGCAATAATCATCAGTATTAGGAGTTAGAGTTACTCCGACGGAAAGATTCTCTTTCCGATGTGCATCAAATAGTAGCGATTGACTACACCAAGTGAATGATGACATATTCATTCCAAAAATCAGTTGAATTAACTTTCAATTATATTTGAATACTGGACAATTTAAAAAAAAAAAAAAAAAAAAAAAAAAAAAAAAAAAAAAAAAAAAAAAAAAAAAAAAAATGAAAATCATTTCTCCCAGGTCCCAAATCTTCACTACTAATCTACTGCCAACCAGAATTTTAAGTTTGTCTGTATGTTCATCCATGGAAATTGGTTTTTATTATCATGTAATTGGTTTTTGATCAATAGGTTGAGCTTGAAGCAGAAAATGTGGATAAATTCGGCAACATTATTGGATGGGTCTTCATCAACAAAGAAAATCTGGCGGAAAGCTTGGTCGAAGAAGGCTTTGCAGATGTTCATGACTCAGCCTTTAAATCTCAATACTTCCACAGACTTGATGCAGCCAAGAAAATTGCTATGGATAAAAAACTGAGAGTAAGGACCATTAGATTTAATATATTCTGCTCCTATTCTATTCAATGGTGCCGTATTTTTGACGGTTCATAAAAAATGGGGAAAAGTTCATATTTAGAATGAGAAGGTTAATGAGTTTTTTTTTGCTTTTAGTCATGCGGCAAAGCCGTATAGACTCTAGTTTTCTAATTTGTATGCGCTATACTTTTAAAATATTCAAGATGAAGGGAAAATTTTGATGTTGATGGTTTCCAGCCTTTAAAGTGCTTAAAATTATTGTTCTCAGTTTAGAATAAGCAACTTCTTCTTTTACTATGTTTTCTTTGTTATTGATCTCAATTTCAGTTTTCTCAATATTGCTATTCACTGGACTATAACCTCAAACTCTGAAAAATGTGTATATATTTGAATTTTTTTTTTTTTTTTTTGATCCATTGAACTCATTCATAATGATTAAGTCAGTGCAAATATTTTTGTGAATTTTAAATAATTAACCCTAATGGCTGTGCTTTCCACAAAGCTTGGGCGCAATACATGGAGGAATATATCTACCGTCAATTTTTAATTGAACTCACAAGTTTATTTTATATCCTGTAGACTGATATAGTTTGTATTTTTTCCTTTAGCTGTTGCAATTCTTTTACTTACAATTTGTTTTAAGGAAAACAATCTCTTCATCAATCATCACAATGAACAAATGCACCTGAAAAACCAAAGCAACTCTTTAAAAGTAAATTTTTGCTGAAAAGATGGCTGTTTTTTTTTCAGCGATGGGAGAACTACGTGGAGAAAGATCATGAAGAAACACCTAAAGAGGAGCCGACTGTACAGGTTGAGCGGAAAGTAGACTATCAAACAGTCTGCGTGGTGGAAACAACTCCTGAGCTTCAATTCTATGCATTGAAAGCTGACCAGGAGGCAGTATTAGAAGCTTTCAACAAAAAAATGAACCAGGACCTGGGTAACTCCGCCTCCGTCCCAGAAAGCTATAAACCGAAAAAGGGTAAGATAACACTCTAGAGTTGCTGATAGTAGAAAGTATATCGACGGTGTAAGTCGGCAATCACATTACTCATTTACGGTATCCTAAAATCTCCACCTCTATGTTATTTTGTTAAAGGAGAACAAATTGACATCATTCCTTGAAGTTTTTGCAGAATTTTCATCGCACTGCGAGGAAAAATCACAGCAGTTTTATAGAGTTGCTGTTGAGTAGTTTCCCGTTTAAAAAATAAAGTATGACAGGAAGTCTGCGACGTCGCAAACCGAGTTATGTGATTGCCGACTTACACCGTCGATATCTATGAAAATATAAATTTGTCCATAATCTCAAAGATTTTCAGCTAATCATATCCTGAGTCTTTGTGTTTTTTTTATTCATGGAGAAAAAATCATGAAAGCGTATTGTCGCAGTACTTTAAGAACTCCTTCTTTCTAGATGCAAATAGCAAGGTAGCTATGCAGGCAGTGTTCGAAACTCACAAGCGCCAACGCGCCAAATGCGCCGAAAAAATCGGCGGTGACACCTAAAAATTGAAGGCTCTGCGCCAATGTGGCTCCTAAAAATTGCCCCCTAAAAATCTGAATTTTCATATTAGGTGATTATTCGAAATTTCGACGCATGGCACCGAATTGAACTCGCAGAAAGCGAGCAGTTGCGCCACGTTGAGCGCGCAATTTCGCCGCGGGGCGGCGGTGCTTTTGTCCTCCGCAAGTTACAGCTACTTACTAGCTCTGTTACGAATACATCTTGTGTCTAACTTTTCACTTAATGCGCCGTAATATTACATATAGGCAAAAAGTCAATTTGACCCCTAAAAAATCTTTAATGGCGCCTAAAAATCAGGCTTGATGCGCCACATGGCTCGTAAAATTCAAGGGTGAGTTTCGAACACTGTATGCAGCAGTAGTTATGTTACATGCATGCAAAAAGATAGGCATTTCGACTGAAGTTGGATGCACTATACCTACTCCTTTTTCCATATGTATCTTAAAAAGTTCTTGCCTCAAAACGTAATCGTCTATCCTTTGTGCAGGTGAATATGTAGCAGCCCGTTTTCCCCTGCGAAAAGGCGACTGGTACAGAGCCAAATTTGAAAAAATTTCCGGCAACAATGCTCAAATATTTTACATTGATTACGGAAACAGGACCACAGTCAACCTGCAGACGGAACGTTCCTCCCTGGCTCCTCTGCCCAGCGCCTACTCAAAAGAAGACCCATATGCAACGCTTTATGGAGTTGCCCTTACAAATTTGCCTCCAGTAAGTTTTTTTGACCATAGAGCAGACATTTTGTTTTCATTTGTTGAATCTGATAATCATGCTTTTTCTTAATCCTGGTAAAATTGATGAAGATAAGAGGCTTAATCTCCCTTTTTTTCTTGTTTTTAATACTTTAAAATTTCTCTCTGAAAGCTTTCAAACAAAGAATTACTGATCTAACCTCTACTTTTTTTCTTAAGTTTCTCCTCAAAGAAGAATTAAATTTAAAAAAATGAAACTGCAATCTAACTTAATAAAGTTTAAACAAGCAGATCACCAAGAGTACCAACCTATATGTTACGGAAAGTCCAAAGTAAACTGAGCTTCTCGAAATTTTTTCAGATTTTTTTGTAAGTAAACCCAAAATGGCAAAGAAACCTTGTTTTGAAAATGCCTACAATGGGATTTGTTCGAAACAATATTTTTGGTAGGCTGTGATGACATAGGCAGGTGGGAAAATGGCATTTGCTGATTCATTAAACTCAACTTTAAACATAGCTTTGCTACGTTATCTCCACTGTTACCTTTTGATTGGTTGGATTTTGATAAGCTTTTTCTCCCTATAGAAATCAGTTCTTGAACATTTTAGTGAACTTTTTGGCTTTTTCACAAAACTTAGTTTGAATTTTTATGCAACAACCATCAAAACTTCCTTTTGTTGGTCCTGTTTTACTTAAACTGCTGAAATTAACTGACCAATACAGTGACATTCATATGAAATAATATATTCCAAGTAAGATATCGTGTTTCAATTTAATGAAATTGATCGAAATCATTTTTTGCTGTAATTTAGGCTGATTATGTCGAAGATGCTCTGAGTGCATTCAATCAAGCTCTTACGCAGAGTCCAATCCAAATAAACATTGAATACTATGACAATGGTGTTCCGTTTGTAACGATAAAGGATGCAAAAGGGGAGGATCCAATCAAAGCACTGATATCCGAGGGTTTCCTCCGTGTGAAGAAGAACCGCTCGAAAAAACTGGAACCAATCGTAAGTATATTAATTATTAGTTAATGTATTACTAGTAATTTTAATTATTAGACAGCTTTTCTGATGAGAAATCGTCAGTTTTCCTTTACGTTATTCATTTCTAACTGCAGAAACTGTATCTCAATCACAACGTTTATAAATCTCTGATTATGTTTTACTTTTCCAAGGCTGTCTAATAAAAATTTTCCTTGTAGTTTTGTATGATTTTTTTTGGAAGTAGTGAAGAAAATTAACTGAAACTTTAAATAGAATTATTTTTCTCAAAAAATAAAGTATGAACAGAAAGTTTGGGTCCCATCGTATTTTTTCCCACCGAATTGCTTAAGATTTTTAATAAACATAAGCAGTAAACCAGGGCAATCAAGTCTGACATACCTATTCTAATGTTGAATCGTGAATGAATTGTGGCAACATTTCTTTTATTGGAATTTGTCATCTTGCCAGTACAAATCTTTGTCTCCTGTACGAAGAAACGCATCTTAATTGTGCTGTTTCAGTATTTGTACAAAGTTTTATTTTCTCATGGAAAAGCTGTTGCTAAAAATTCTAAAATCTGGAACCACGGCTAAAGTCCAAGCAGGTTCTGCTCAGCTTTATGTTTTTGTTTTTTTTTCCATGTTGACCTTGTGTGGATTTTTTGTACGTTAATTTATATGTATTAAGTATTTTGAGCAGTATTGCCGTAACTTATTCAATTATTTTGAGTTCCTAAAATGTTGTAGTATCGTTTGTTCTGAATTTTTTCTCCTGTTTTATAAATTCTTAGTCCACAAAGTTCTTAAATGCTTTTTGAATTTGTTTGCAGATCAAAGAATATTTTGAAGCTCAAGACAAGGCTAAAAAAGCTCACAAAGAGTCTTGGGAATATGGAGACAACACTGAAGATGACGCTGAGGAATTCGGGATGGGTAAGAAGTAGTCAAGATCACCAGCTTGTTCCACCATTCCGGGCACACTTCTCAAAATTATGGGAAGAACTGTCAAGTTGTCATTGACGACCGTGCAGCATTATCCTGATTCGTTTTTGAAAACGTGAAGACACGTTGCTGTTTCTCGGGGGAGGGGGGGTTTCGTTCTCTCAAAATATTTTGTTACTCATCGAATCCTTTTTTTCCATCATTAAACCGTGCAGCTCTTTTTAAAGCTTATCTCATTTAAATCATTGTATCTGTATCATTCATTTTTTATCTCTGTTTCATCTCAAATTGTTTTCAGTTGTTGAAAAGTCTAAAAATTGAAATAAATAAAATTTTCAGGCTATGGTCACCTTCAGCCCCCTACAATTTGCGAGTATGAAGTTGTGTCATTCTTTCTGTATGTGATTAATCGAAAATCTACCAAATTGTATAGTTTTTAAGAATACCCTTCGGTATTGGCAATTCTCATCCTCAATGATTGGCGTGAGGATTTTCAACCACTGAAGTTTTATCTTACAGCATGGACTGTTGCTCTTTCCTAATTTACTTTTTACATGAGTGTATTCTTTAATCATAAGATCTTCTAATCGCCTTTATAAGTTTTTTATAGTGTAAGGAATCATCGTGAAATTTAATTTATTTCAGTTTCAAGACCTTTAGCTTCCTTTTATAGGAAGTTGTCCTCCAAGCTTTACCTTCCACTTCCTGTTTAATCATAAGTTTTATCTCAGCCCCCAAAAAGGTTTATTTAAGATCTACTTAAATAACTTGATAGTAATTTTTTAGTACGGCCAAAGATATGGATTAATTTTCATAAAAATCGCTCTTGCTACCAATCATTGAATCCTGAATTTTTTTTAATCCTGCTCAACCTAAGATGCATCTATCATCAATGAACTTATAAAGTTTCATTTAGGCTGTGTTATATTTATGAGGCCAAGGTGCATTTAAGTAAATAAATAGAAAAAAACTTCATTTAAGTGACTGTTAATGTATTATTTTCTTGTTGCACCAAGAAGTGACAAGTAATTCCAACTTTCAAAAGTTGTTGTTAATTGAAGGGTCAGTTGTAGAAGATGGTCAATTAACAATTAGGAATGATTGGTGTATACGTTGAGGCTCAAATGAATATCAAAATCTTTCATGATCTCTCAAGCTTTTCAATTTTATTAATGCCTACTGGACATTCCTCTTCAATTTTGCAATTGAATGCGCACAGAGTATCAGCTCATCAGTCATAATTTCGTCTGACTTGCAATCTGCGGCTGAAAACAGTCTCTAAAATCATGCACGAATGAAGAAACAGTGCCGGTATATGGTCCATTGTTCCCATGAAAATCAGGCTTTCTTTTTCTACAAGGTGTCAAACATGGATGTTTGGCAATGTTCCAACAGAAAAAGTGTAGCCTTTTCAGAATAACAGTCCATTAGGGAGCTCAAATCGTCAACCTTTGTGCTCACTTTAATTTTTAAACAATTGTCAGCTTTTCTGAGGAAAGGGATTTCGTGGCAAAACTCTATAGTCCATACTTGTTGTTAACTTCTCTCTCTGCTTGGCCCTTCAAATACATAATTATTTTTACTCTTTCAGTGCAGCAGAGCAGAAAAGCTTGTAACAGATTGCAATCGGACATTATCATGTATTCTCATTTTTATTAATGCTCATTACCTCCCTCATTTCATTTATTTTTTTACTGCTTAGCTGTTCGAAATCATCTATTTTTTTTACCCTCCCTTTTTTCTCTATCAAACCAGTTGTTTCTTATCATGAAAATTTGTTACTTATTTATATTGAGAAATTGAGAGAATTTTTGATGAATATCTATCGTAAACTTGTAAAAAAAAGACGAATAGTGTTTAGTCTGTACATTAATCAGGGTATGAAGTGTTAGCCTGCTTTGATCTAATTTTTTACTCTTCCCTCTGTAATGTTATATCAGTGTTTGTCAGTTACATTTAAGCGACAAAAATTGTTGAATTATTCTTAAGTACCGGTTTGTGTTTGCATTTTTCAAGTATGCATAAACAAAGGATTTTTAAAGTAAAGAACTATTTTTATTTGAATTCCCCTGTCAAAAGTACGAACATCCACAAGATAGTTGGAATATTAATACACGCAATGAATCATACATTTTGTTCTGATCACCTATCAATGGGTCAGTTGCGCTGGTCATAGAATCTTGTTTTGATGATTTAAAAAATGATGAGGTATGTTCAAGCGCCTAGTTCCTACTCCCAAATTAATAGATATCGCCCCTGAACGTTACTGTCCAACATTTTCACAAAACGTCCTGCACAGGATGTAGAACAATCAGTAATAATTCAAAAGAGCAAAGTTTGCCAGTTTTCTTTAGAAAAATTAAATTGTAACTGAAACTGTCATGCCACAAATCGAGAAACAAGTTTCGCAACTGTCACCATTGTTTCGCTCGTTTTGCCATGAAAAATTGATCTGAAGATTCACTCAAGTGTAGCTTGAACTACCTACCTGAACCTACTGAAAAGGGCACAATATATTCTTGGGTGCTCTATTGCCAATTTGGATCAGGGCTGCTCCAACTTTTGCCTAACTCAATTCATAAATTCTCAATGCACGTTTTAGAAAAAAAAAAAGGGAATATGATGAGTTAAAAAAAAAACCTGATAAATTAATTCAAGAAACATTTGATGGGGGCAAAAAATTGTGTAGCCGGAGGCTGATTTTCTGTGGAATGCATGTATAAGAAAGGCAAAATTTACGCACTCTTAGCAATGCCAAACAAGCAAGCAAGATAGCCAACTCTTTTTCCAAAAAGTCAACTATTTCATGTGGTGTTGCACTTTCACGAGCAGACGAGACCTTTCTTTGAAAACTTTCCACCAAAACTGTTGATCAGTTTCAACTTGAAAGAATAAATTTTACGAGCGAGAATTCTGGGACAGCATAAAGTGAAACAATTACATTTTTCTCTTCTTTATTTTCGTTCGTAACACAGAGCCTACTTCTCACATGGATGCATTTTATGGTGCTCGAACTTCATATTAAAAATAACGTCTCTGACCCTCATGAACACGATGAAGTAGGTTCTCTTTTTCATTATTATAACCTTACTTATTTCACGTGCATTTCTGCAGTTCAAAGTGGGGTGCTTGTAGTAAAGGAATAGCCATTTTCAATTTTAAGGTTGATGACATCATTCATGTATGTCCTATCCTTGTCTCTCTACCGTTGCTGAGGATTACTAACTCTCTCTTTTTGTCAGTTATATGTGATGACGTAAGTTTATGGCTGCCGCAGGTGCCATCAAACGGCATCCGGGCATCTTTCTTCTTTCGTTCCACATTGTTTTGTTTCGTGTTCGTGGGTCTGTCACGGTCTGTTATTGATAATGTGATTCTTTCTTATCTGATCAAGATCAATCCAATTCAATTTTATTCTAATAATAATGAGTTAGTGTTTCTAACCCAAATTAATCAGTGATTTATATACAAGTCTCTTGTTAGCGTTTTCTTTTATTACTAATTAATAACAACATATAACGTTAAGGAAATAACTTACTTGCATTGAAATTTGAATGAATTCATCGGCGATTCCTCCATAAGGTGCTTTGTTGCCAGCAGAGTAAAATTTAGGACAGCCGGGTACAGCTCATTTTGAATCAGTACAATGATTTCCAAACATATTTACCAGTCAGTTTTGAAAGTTCAGACTAGAACAGAACTTGCTGAACTGTTGTACCAAAATGTTATGCACAATGAAGGAGGTTAGTACTTTTATCTAATACGAGATTCATTAAGTACCCCAATTACTTACTAAGTACATTAATTTTAAACCAGAAACCCTTTTCACACCATATAGAGTCCTCGCCAAACAAGTTTACGCTCTTGTAGACTGCAGCAGACCTATGTCTTGTCTGACGTCACTTTCTTATGGAAAGTAAATGCAAGATTTACGATGGCAGATCTTCTGTCGTAGTGTGAAAGTGCGTCAACCTAATTGGTGCAGACTCCACCAGCACCCTGATTGTTGAAACTTTAACTGGCTATGTCAGCAAGATAAAAGAAGACATAGCCCTATTTGCACCGTGTAATATATCGATTTTCGATTCTTGTCATACCGACATAAATTTCAACAATCAGGCTGAGGGCAACTTATTTGACCAATGCCTCCAACCTCTCACTGTAAAACAAACCCATTTTTTGTCCATGGCAAGGAGACCAGTGGACCTTCCTGTCAGATGAGAGTAAGGAAATATGTGTCGCCTATCCATAATTTTCTCAAGTGGTTCTTTATGCAGTTTCTAAACTAATCTAAAGCCCAATTCACAATATCAAACTTTTCATCCGACATAATTGAAAAATAATTTGGATGGAAAGTTGTACAAAAAGCTGTATGTGATGTCACATTCGAGTTTTCGTTCAATTTTTTATCAAATTGTTGTTTGCACACTATCTAGCTTCTTATTGCGACAAGTTGCATTCCTTCAAGAGTTAAATTAAAAGGTTGATAGTGTGAATTGGTCTTTATACTTCAACCCTGCACTAATTATTTACCAGCACTATGGTGACAGGTGTTCAAATCCATCAACCCAGAGTCACCTTAATCTGGAAATTTGGAAATTAAACCTGGGTCTGCACAGTTATAAAGCAACATGACAGCGGCACTGAAGAAATATCTATCTTGGTTTGCAACACTGAATACTTCCTCGTAATTTATTTTCTAAATTGAAAATTTTCAATGTTATCTCTATAAAACTCAATATTCTATGATTTTTCTTTCCTGTATAGCATCATATGCTTCTAATATTTTTCAGGTGTCATTGCCATAAACAAACCATACGGACTGAGGAATGGGACGGGCTTTGATGATCCTCTTGATACCAAGTTTAAGACTGTCAATCGTTTCAACTTTAGCCTCACAGAAGTCTTACCTTTACTTGCTAGCATGCTAAATGTTCCAAACTTGACTGTAGCTAGAAGCCCTGAAAAGTAAGTGTCTTCCAAAATAATAGGTATCTTTAAGCATCAATTGCATAGAGACAGCAAACTATATGATGGTATGATAGAACAAGTTTTGTTAACGGCAGAGATTGATTCGAAAGTTAATCCAAAGTTGGCTGAACTACTCAAAATCCAATTGGCATAGTACGTGAATATAATAACAAACTTATCAAAAATAGATGACTACAGTAAAGGCGTTTAAGTGGGTAGTGCTTTTTTTTAAAAAAATTAGCAGCATCTATCCGTTTTTCTGTCTTTCAAGGCATCATGTCACAATCTGTCAAATAATTTTCAAGGCAAAAAAAAGGGGGAGTTTCTGGAATGCTCTTATCAAGGTGCCAGGTATTTTAATTTCATCTTTAAATGTTCTGTAAATTTAGTTTGGCGTGTACTTACCTTTGCTCTGTTAGTCTTGTCATCTTCTCCTGCATCAAATTAACTAATTAAGAATGGTGGCTTAAACCTCAGTTATTAAGTATGAAGTCTCAATAAGTTGCATCTTGCTTGCTAAGAATGATACACAGCACCCTGTCAACACAATTATCCAATTAATTACAAAGGTAAAAGAATTAAAGAGTTTTCAAAAATCAAGTAATTTTATACTTATTGTTAGTTAAAACACTATTCCTTTGTTCATAAATTAATCATCTTTAACATTACTCCACTGCTAATTGCATGTTTTTGTTTTTTTTTATAAGGTTTGCCAGTGGTTTGACCCTTCTGAATGTTGATAATGAAGCTGGAATCAAAATTAGTAAAGCAGTGAAGCATCCAACTTCTCCTGCTGTTTACAGCTATCAAGCTGTGTGTCATGGTGTCCCTCTACTTTCCTCAAACAGTGGTGAACGATTAGGTCTCACTACCAATGAAAGTGACCTATCTGTAAGTTGTTTATTCATGTATCGGTTGGGCACAGGGTGCTGCATGAAAGATTAGTCATTTCTATAGAATTATTCACAAAATTTTAAGATGCTGTGAAATTTTGTCATCCTTTGGTTTAGCAGATCAATGAGCCAGTGCGCTGGTCACAAAATCATGTTTTGATGCTTGATTCTTGTAGATTAGCTAAATATAATAAGATCTGCCCAAACCGCAACTTTCTACGTTCAATATTAACCGAGAAATAGCCCTTTGAAAAGTCAGGTTTTTGACATCATCCTTTTTAGCAGTGACACCCTTGGTTTCTTTCTCTTTTGTTCAATCATGGATACAGGAGACATAACGCGAAACCTCAATGAACTAAACATAAACAAACACAAGAAACAGATGGATCTGCGCTTTGAGGATCTTCTTATCAGGAGACAACAGCCTCGCCGTGAAGAGATTAAGCGGTCCGTCAGTTCACCCCAGTTTGTTTATGTTCAATGCCATTGAAGTTTCGCGTTGTGTCTCTTGCATCACTGATCGAACAAAAGAGGAAGAAACCAAGGGTGTCACTGCCACGGTGAAAACCTGACTTTTCAAAGTGCGATATCTGGGTTAATATTTAATGTAGAAAGTTGCGGTTTGGACAGATCTTATTATTTTTAGCTAATCTACAAGAATCAAGCATCAAAACACGATTCTGTGATGAGCGCAACTGACCTAATAACCTAATAATTTTTGAAAGGGCCTAAGCTCCATGCAAAATCCAAATTTCAAACAAAACAGGAAAAAGTATGCCATCCGGTTTGGATTTATTCTTTTGAGGCCAAGTTTGGGCAGGTATTCTTCTGACACATGCATTTTTTTACGGTGTCTGAAAATCTCCGCCTCTCTGTTATTTACATAAAGGAGAAAAAATTGACATCATTCCTTGAAGTTTATGCAGAATTTTCTTTGCTTAGAGAAGAAAAATCACGGCAGTTTTAAAGAATTGCCGTTGAGTAGTTTTCCGTCTAAAAAATAAAGTATGACAGGAAGTCTGCAACGTCGCAAACCGAGTTATGTGATTGCCGACTTACACCGTCGATATGTTGTATGGCATAGTTTTCCTCATTTTCCTTAGAACTTCGATTTTGGTGCTTGGGCCCTAATTAAAAATATTGGTTTCATTGCTTTTTTGTAATAATAGTCTACCTGTTTCAAATCCTTTTTTTTCACTTTTCTAGAGCACAAAAATAGATGTTTTCCATGTGCCGTCAGTTTGGTTTTAAGCCCTCTCAATGATCTGTTAAGAAGGGAATTAAAATGCCATTTGAGGTAGAAAGAAGATACTCAATTAAGCATTAGAACTTAGTCTCTCTCAACCTGTCAATTTTGTCATCAGTTCTAAACAGGGTTCTGCCTTTTGCAGGCGCTATGAGCCTATAAATCGGGCTTTGGAGCCTAAAAATTTGGGAGGCCAGGCCATGGTGGTGCATAGAAATGTTGATGCACCCTGTGGATTTTTTAAAATTCGCAATCACGAAATAGCAGCAGCACTTTCAACGCACCGTTTGCAGCGCCGCAACGCAGCCCCAAAACAGGATACAAACAATGCGCAAAACAGCATGGTGTATGCAAAAAAAATTTCTAATCCTACAAATTGGGCTTTTGGGCCAAGGTGGTCCCTAAAATTTTAGGAGAATAGTAGATTACCGCTCCTGAAGGAGAGGAATAGGAAAAGGAACTTTAAAAGTTAAATCCATTAGTGTGACTGTGTTTTAAACCATAACATTTCTGTTATTTTTTCAGTTTAACTTTTGCTAATTCTTTTCTGTCACTCTTATCATGTTAATCATCATTACAGGTAAAACTTTCAACAGATCAATCTGCAAACAAAATAAAAACGAAAAAAATGAAACAGATTTATTATAAATACAAAGTCCTAAATACAAATCCAGACCTGAACGCAAGCCTTGTAGAAGTATCAACAAATCGGATTTTATGGTACTATGTTCCATTATATTTAGCTACGAGGCTGCTCACTCCTGTCATAGGCGATCAGATTCATGGGAATTCAGTGAAGTATTTATTCGGGAAACCAGTTCACCTACCTACGTTTAATGTCACTGGGTTCAACCCTCAGGTAAAAAATTCAATATTTTCTATATTTTAATCACAAATTAAGTTGTAAATGAGTTGTTAATGTAAGAACAACATACTTCCAAACTTTCGTTTTTAATATTTGGCTGATTTCTGTCATTCAAAGATAAATTGAAAACTTTTCCATTACCAAGCAAAATAAGAACTCTCGCATGTATCTCTTAAATAATTTAAGTAGAATGTTCTGCTGAAAATTTCTCGAATTCTGATAGAGGCAAAACTCAAGAAAAGAGAAAACATATTTGCAGCACTTCTGAGCTTTTTGGAGAACAATTCTAACGGATCATTTACTTATCATATCAAATGTTTTAGAAAAGCATGCAACTTTAAGTGTGATGTTCTTGCCTTTATCTTCTCCGAAGAACTTGCTCAGAGAGGTCGGATTTATCAGTGTTAGATCTGTCAGAATTACCTCTGTTTAGTTCAGGGTACCAGTGGGCATTTGGGTATAAAGAAATTTAAATGGGATGTTTTCATTTAAAGTATCTTAGAAAGAGGTCGATAATGTCAGTGACTATGGACTTTTTTTCATCGGTTTTCTTGAAAATAGTATAGTTTGTAAAGAAAGTCACATTTCATAAACTGTTTTTAATTATATTTTACACTGAGTCTTGCCTCAACAACAGACGTTATAATTCGTTTTCCAGACTTCGACTTTCAGATTTTGCAGAAATATTGATACCATAGAAAAATCAGAAATCGCCAACACCTCCTTTTTTACTCTATAACCAGTGAATATCACCCACACACTGTTATTTATATGATATTATTGCAGTCCAATATTTTAATTTCGGAGTGTGTTTAAAGTGGTTTTTCTGGAGACTTGACTATGAAGAAAAGTCAGTGTCACATGAAGTCAAAACATGTTATCCTAAAGTAACCATTTTCTGTCTCCAAACTTTCAATTCCTCTTTTGTCATCAGTTTTTTGATACTTCAGGTCGTGGTGGTACTCTGCTCAAAATTAATCTATTTAATAGTGGCAACTATTACTCAGATCATTTTTCCGTAAGACAAAGATGATTTTTCATTGTCAAGAAAACTGACGATTTCTAATTCTTTGCCCCAAAACAATGTTTCTTTTACTTAAAATTTATTGATAATTTTGTATTTACATATTGATATTTAAAGGCAGTTTTACTATCTCAGTACTTTGAGCAAGTACTATCATGTCCAAAATGGTGTCACACTTATAATTCTATTTCCCATTTTCTTATTTCAGAAATTGCCGGAAGACATTTGTAAGAGGTTGGAGGTTGATGAAACTGATAGCCTGCTAATTCCGAATCACCTTCATTTGTCGTCTGTAACGTTATATCATTTTTCTAGAAAAGAACCAAAACATCTTACAATACATGCACCTCCTCCACCTCACTTTCAATGGACCTGCTCTCAGCTTAAGTTGTGGAATGAACCAGAAAATCTTCTACCAGTTGAGGTAGCTTTTTAAGCCCTTTCTCTCTCCCTGGATCTGGAGACATATGTATAGGATTTCAGACAGTCCACAAGAGCGCAGTTTGGACGAATTAGTTCCATGAACTGGGGAGCTCAAGTAAAAAAGTTTTGGCTGAATTATAGTAAGTTTCTGGAACAAATTCGCCCATAGTTCCGCTAATGTGCTCGTGTGGACAAGGCCTTCAAGAGCTCAAATAGCTTTTTTTGACTGAAAAGTGGAGATTTAAAGTTTCATTTGTAAAAAGAAAGGTTTCTATTTGCCTAAAGCTTGCAACATTATACAGGGTTCTTCAAAAGTCACGCACCACTGGCCATGAGGGGGGTGGCCTTTTGAAATTTTTGAGTTTCCCCCCCTTCCCCCGAGGGGATCAAAAACTGAAAAGTACGTAAAAAAGTCTCCCCCTTGATATGAGGAAAAACGTCATAAACTGCAAGTCGATATCATAATTAGAACTTAAGTTATGGCCAGTGGTGAATGACTTTTGAATAACCCTGTATGAGGAAACCACTCTTGGTTTCAACCACCTTAAATTCAATGCAACACGGCCACCGTAAAATCCACATCATGTACAAGCAATTTCATTAAAAACCACAACAAAAAAATGTTTAAATTTTAGTAAGTCATTGTGAATTAAGAAAGAAAACCTTGTTCATTTAATTTTGTTTCATTAGAAGATGTTTGTTTTTTAATACCATTAGGGAACTACACAAGTTGAAATTCTTTAAAAAAATTATTTAAAAAACACAAAGATAAAACACACTCACTTGCGTAAAATTGTATAAAATAACCGGGACGCGTTTCGGGAGCTTAGCTCCCATCCTCAGCCGCGACTGAAGGTGTTTGTTTACCTCGCAGCTCATTCCGCCAATTTGCCGGGTTGTCATGTTTGTCGATAAATTTGAACAACACATTCGTGGCGCCCGACTCGTCAAAATTGAAATTGTTGTTCCGCTTTTTGTAAATGAAAATATTCTCCCATACATCTAACAGTTTTTGCTCCTTTACTTCCTTGAGGAGCCTGGGTTCAAAATTAATATTGTGTCCTGTGGACCAAAAATGGTGTGCCACCGCCGAGCGTGTGATTTCTCTGTTTTTCATATTCCTCACATGCTCTTGGCCCCTGATTTTCAATGATCTTTTCGTTTGGCCCACGTAACATTTGTGGCAAGTGTTACAGTTGATTTCATATATCCCAGGTTTTGCAGAGTCATCTTTTTCTGTTGTTTCTATTTTCTTGCTAAATCTGTTCATTAAATTGTGATTGTTTGTGAAGCTTAGCTCAATGTCCAATTTTTGAAAAACTTTTTTGAATTTTGGACCCCATTTGGGATGGAAAGTAAATTTTCTATACCTTTTATCTTTGGTTTCTCCTTTCAAAGTCGTCAAGTTGTTCATCCTCACTTTCCTTTTCACCTTGTTTATGACTTGCCTGATTTCCTCCTCCTGGAAATGATTTTTCTTAGCAATACTGATGATGTTGTTTTCTTCTCTCTTTCTGTTCTCATCACTGAGAGGAATTTTCATCATACGGTATGCCATGCTCCTAAACGCTGCTGTTTTATGAACTTTAGGGTTGTGTGCATTACCTTTGATATAATTCCCTGTATCAGTAGGTTTTCTGTAAATGTCGAACTCGATCTTATTATTTGATCTATCCAATAAAAGGTCAAGAAACGGTAATTTTTGGTCTTTTTCTTCTTCTATTGTGAATTCAATAGATTCCTCGAGGTGGTTTAAATACTCTAAAGCCAAGGTTTGCTGCCCTTTCTTTATTTTGGATAGTACATCATCAACGTACCTACGCCATAACAAAAACATATCTGGCCGAAAAACTATCCTCTCGATTTCCAAGTTACTCATAAACAAGTCCGACAAAAATGGTGAGATCGGGTTCCCCATGAATAGGCCACTTACTTGTCTGTACATTTTGTTGTTAAATCTGAACGCTGTTTGACTGGTACAAATTTCTGTCAATCTTAAAAACTCTTTTACTTTTTGCTTCATTAAACCACTATTTTTTAACCACTTGCTCAACAGCTGAAGTGCTTTATCCACTGGCACACTGGGAAATAACGATTTCACGTCAAACGACACCAACACCTCATCATCTTGCACCTCCTCATTCTCCAGGGTTTTCGCTAGCTCAATCGAGTTTTTCACACTCCTTGTTTCATATGCTTCCAATGCCTTAAATCTGTTCAATAACCATTTGGATAATTTATAGAACGGGCAATCCCTGCAATTGATGATGGGCCTAATATCTTTACCCGGTTTGTGAAGTTTTGGTAGACCATACATGTAAGGAAACTGCTTGTTATCACTAGTCAAGTACTTAGCTTCATTCACTGTCATCACTGTAGTACTTTTTAACGCTTAGATAAAGAAGATTATATAGAAAGATGTGAAAATGCCCTAAAAACTAGTTTATTTGAAGAAGTTAAAAAAGATCCAATACGGACTTACGAAAAGGAAGTTCGAGAGGCGTTAAAAAGTACTACAGTGATGACAGTGAATGAAGCTAAGTACTTGACTAGTGATAACAAGCAGTTTCCTTACATGTATGGTCTACCAAAACTTCACAAACCGGGTAAAGATATTAGGCCCATCATCAATTGCAGGGATTGCCCGTTCTATAAATTATCCAAATGGTTATTGAACAGATTTAAGGCATTGGAAGCATATGAAACAAGGAGTGTGAAAAACTCGATTGAGCTAGCGAAAACCCTGGAGAATGAGGAGGTGCAAGATGATGAGGTGTTGGTGTCGTTTGACGTGAAATCGTTATTTCCCAGTGTGCCAGTGGATAAAGCACTTCAGCTGTTGAGCAAGTGGTTAAAAAATAGTGGTTTAATGAAGCAAAAAGTAAAAGAGTTTTTAAGATTGACAGAAATTTGTACCAGTCAAACAGCGTTCAGATTTAACAACAAAATGTACAGACAAGTAAGTGGCCTATTCATGGGGAACCCGATCTCACCATTTTTGTCGGACTTGTTTATGAGTAACTTGGAAATCGAGAGGATAGTTTTTCGGCCAGATATGTTTTTGTTATGGCGTAGGTACGTTGATGATGTACTATCCAAAATAAAGAAAGGGCAGCAAACCTTGGCTTTAGAGTATTTAAACCACCTCGAGGAATCTATTGAATTCACAATAGAAGAAGAAAAAGACCAAAAATTACCGTTTCTTGACCTTTTATTGGATAGATCAAATAATAAGATCGAGTTCGACATTTACAGAAAACCTACTGATACAGGGAATTATATCAAAGGTAATGCACACAACCCTAAAGTTCATAAAACAGCAGCGTTTAGGAGCATGGCATACCGTATGATGAAAATTCCTCTCAGTGATGAGAACAGAAAGAGAGAAGAAAACAACATCATCAGTATTGCTAAGAAAAATCATTTCCAGGAGGAGGAAATCAGGCAAGTCATAAACAAGGTGAAAAGGAAAGTGAGGATGAACAACTTGACGACTTTGAAAGGAGAAACCAAAGATAAAAGGTATAGAAAATTTACTTTCCATCCCAAATGGGGTCCAAAATTCAAAAAAGTTTTTCAAAAATTGGACATTGAGCTAAGCTTCACAAACAATCACAATTTAATGAACAGATTTAGCAAGAAAATAGAAACAACAGAAAAAGATGACTCTGCAAAACCTGGGATATATGAAATCAACTGTAACACTTGCCACAAATGTTACGTGGGCCAAACGAAAAGATCATTGAAAATCAGGGGCCAAGAGCATGTGAGGAATATGAAAAACAGAGAAATCACACGCTCGGCGGTGGCACACCATTTTTGGTCCACAGGACACAATATTAATTTTGAACCCAGGCTCCTCAAGGAAGTAAAGGAGCAAAAACTGTTAGATGTATGGGAGAATATTTTCATTTACAAAAAGCGGAACAACAATTTCAATTTTGACGAGTCGGGCGCCACGAATGTGTTGTTCAAATTTATCGACAAACATGACAACCCGGCAAATTGGCGGAATGAGCTGCGAGGTAAACAAACACCTTCAGTCGCGGCTGAGGATGGGAGCTAAGCTCCCGAAACGCGTCCCGGTTATTTTATACAATTTTACGCAAGTGAGTGTGTTTTATCTTTGTGTTTTTTAAATAATTTTTTTAAAGATGTTTGTTTGTTTGTTTGTTGGAATTTAGTTTTGAAAATAAAAAACTACTGAGAAAAAAACTGATAGAGGTTTTCTGTTTTTTACATCCTACATAGATTAGATATTTTACTCTTCACACTTGTGATACTGTAATGTAAGACCAATGTACTAAATGAAAATGGTTCAGTGCACATTAGTTAAACAGCCTCGAGTCTTCAGTATTTTAGCGGAAAAGTAGCAGTGAATATTTTTTGGAGCAGAGAAATCCTGACTTAAACTTCTACATGATTTATCATTGTTTGTGCTGAAACTTTTCCCCAACCTTCTTTAGGTTCTTGAAAATACTTAAGCTTTGAAGATATACAGTCAAAAATCTGAGATGGAAAGAAGAAAGAACAATAGATAAATCTTTCCAATAATTTAATTTTTTTTCAAACTTTAAACAACAATGAAAATTAGAGAAACTTATTTACAGAACATTTTTGCTACCAGTGGGGCCCTTGAATTGGCTATTGATTAATGTGTTGATCAACACATTGCTGTGGTTATTTCATTAAAATGTTGATGCCAGTGTGAAGTGCCCACTCTGCAGTGATTTCATATAAAAAAGTACGTAAGTAAGCCTTAAAATAAGGGGAAAAGTATGTGTGGGAGATGCATCCATCCCTAATGAATCGAATGGAGCATGAACTATTCTCCCCAGCACATATTTCCTACATCTTAAAGTTTAAGAACCTCAATCTTTACAAGAAGACACAACAGAATGTCAAATTCATGAGTACTGATAATATTTCTTCTTTTTGGGAGTTAGTCTAAACGAAACTTAATTTTAGTTATTAATTGATCAATAGCTAATAGAAGGGTAAATACCACCTTAATAAAGCAAATTTTACCAATAAAAACACAGATTTTGTCTCCCAAAATGACTGGTCACTAATTTGTGATTTGTGGCGGTACATTTGTAATGAGAAAGTTCTCAGTCTAACAACAACTTCCTGTTCCAACTTCAAAGCAGGAAAAGTTTTCCTACATCCACCAACACAGAAATTGACAGATTCCATTGGTTGATGCACAGCAATGTATATAGGAGATCTAACAAAGAATAATGTATGTTCTTAGAAACGGAACAGCGTACACAAAATCTGTGTTCGCAAGGTAAATAAAAGTAGCATTTATTTAAAGACAAGATATTTTTGGAACACAGAAAAATAGTTTACAGAGAAATAAAATATCTAGAGCTTGAGCAAAAAATTTCTCAATCGCCCAAATATTGTAAGAGCCAATTTAAAAACCTGACTTTGGTCCACTAGTCACTGATTTAACATTGCTCATTCAAAATCTTTCAGGCTTAAGTTACAGAGCGGACAACTGTCTCTTTCATCAAAATCGAAAGCAGCATTATCATTTATTGCTCCTTATCATTCCGATCACTAATCATTCATCACTGTTAAATTGAGAGAAGATCTCAATTATTCATTATAGAGCAACAGTTACACTACTGTTGCAGAGAAAAATGTTTCTTTATTAGCAGATCCACAAGTCAAAAATAGAACCTTGCACGCATTATGAGGGCTCAAAGGCTCCCGGTACATTTTGATGAAATGTTTCTAGGTTGACAAAAAGTTCATCACTAGCATAAAGCCAAAAAATTAGGCAATTCCACCGAGTAGGAGCTGAGCTATTCGCGATTGAACACACCAACTCATATGTCTCCTGACATGTTAGAAAATAGTCAATATGTTCAATCGCAAATATCTCCGCTCCTGTTCTTGAATCTCCTAATTTTTTGGCTTTAAGCTAATTATGAACTTAACGTCAACTTATTAAAGGTTTATCAAAAAGTACTGGGGGCTGTTGAGCCCCCATTATGTGAGCAGGGTTCTTTCTAGGATTCATTTCCTTCATTAACCGGTTGGATCACATTATCTTCTTAATGGAACTCCTTCGTTAGTCAGAGATTCGCGACTTCGGCACTAAGTACTATTTCTTGTAAGAAATATTGCTAGAAGCAATAGTGTCACTGATTTTCTTTAAAACGAACTCCATAAAAGCATTCTAAGTTGAGACCGGGATGGCAGGGAGTCCCCCACACTTCGCTAAGAGTACACTTCAATGTCTGGTAAAACTCTCTGAGTAGCTTGGAGAGCCCCTCCATTATGGCTTCAGCTTAAAGCTTCTTTTGAGCTCGGTAGTTCATTTCAAAGATGAGCAGTGGTACCATCATGTTTTTTTGCAAAATTATAGAAAAGAGAAAGTACTTAATTCGAAAATCCTTGACATACGCAAAAACTCCATTGGGCTGAAAATCACTTAATCCAAACTAATGATAACATTATTAGATTTCTCTTCAGCTCTATTATAACCTGTTGTTTACCTATACATTTGAACAATCAGCCAGCAGGTCAAGAACGTAAAAGATAGATGATGACAACTTAAAACTTAAGGTATTGCTGAGGTCATAAACTTAACGTAAGAACCGCTCAGGGAGATGAAAAAAATTATCATTAGATTCCTTAAGGTAGGTAAGTAACTGTGAATTAACAGTTCAAAATGAAATTAACCCAGTGCCATGCCATTTTTACCTTTTACCTGTGATAAAATTGAGGAGGGTTCTTGGAGAAGGGCACATAAAACAAGAGCAAGTTCATTTCACCCATCTGTCTTACATGGACAAGCAGGTAGCAATAGGATCAGTTATACTGACGTTTGTCCTGACAGCCACAGCTTGGAGAAACAATCACACTTGGACCATTATGGGGTTTCCTTTCAGAACCCTCCTCAATTCTGTTTTGCCAAAACCCACAACTTTACAATACTTAGAATGCTGGGATTCAAAACTAGCGAACTCCCATGACATTCTAAAAGGATATGAGTAGAATATTTAGGGAAAAAAAGGGGGGAAAAACTGCTGGTAAAATCTAAAAAGAGTGATTGAATCAACTGCAGTTTGCAAAGTTGTAATATGAGATAATAGAAAAAGAACAGAATTTCGCATGCCTATCCCAGAGTAAACCTTCCAACATGTCCTACCAAACAACACTATATGGCACAAAACCTTTTTTTGGTTGATGGCACCACTTTGGAGAAGCTGAGTGAGATTAATAGCTTCTCCTGTCTCTGCACACAACAGTAGAGCTGTTATATTGATGCCCATGTTATATAATTGCCCAGGCTCCTACTACTGACTACTATGGACAAGCTTGCTGGTTGAGGCATGGCATTGGGTTATGGACAGTTAAAAATTCTAATATAAAAGAGATATGGTGTGACATAGCATACGCAAAAGCAATCGAAAGCCCTAGTTTGTAGGGTAAGACAACTTTGGAGGTCCCGTATAGTCTTAACAATTAAAAACAGGAACATTAACCGCCTCTTTGTTTGTCCAGAGGTTAGTTCCTCCCAGCTACTGTCATTGAGCTGCTTTGGCAATCATTTCAGGTAACGAGGACGATGTTTCAATGATCAGAGATGAGGGAAAATTCTCCATCCCTGATGTGCTCACTGCAATCCCTTGAAGGAGGTGGTGATTATCCATCAATTTTCTGAAAAATATTGAAAGCATTGAATGAATGCATGAGCAAATTGAGAAATCTCGAGGAACCATAGTGGTCATCATGATATCATGGCAAAGAGCGGAAACTTGCTGTATGAAGCCAATGTTGTCATTACAATGCTGCTGTGATCGTGAGCGTATTTCCGTTGATGATCGGTCGAGCCAAAAAGCCGCGACAATGGCGCCGAGATCATAATCGGATTTGTAAACAGACTTTCGAAATTGATGCTAGTCGGGTGTCATCATCTTCATCAGGTCATTTCTAAACCCTACTTTTCGTAGGATTATATTTTGGCTCCAACGTTTGCAAGGATTCCACCTCCTATCTATCTGGTGAGTCCCGATGTTGTTCCGAAAAATTATGATAGTGTCAAAACAAAATACGAAACCGCTTGATCCACCCATTTAGATTCGACCGATCATCAACGAAAATACGCTTAATAAAGAATGCTAGGAGAGGCTCGAAATGTGGCCCAATTTCATTTGTTAAAACATAAATATTCTGGGACACTTGTAAATAATTGTCCAACAATTTTTTGAAGAATTTCATTCGCCATTGGATCAAAAATATTTGAAAATTTTGAGGAGACATATCCAAAACTTCCGACAAAAATTAAAAAATATTTTATCGCAGAAAATTCAGTAACTTCTAATTATTCTAATATCATTTTTCTTAACTCGCCAGAGTGCAAGGTTGCCACGGAGAGGAATAAAATAGGAACATTTCATTTGGGTTTCAATCGGAAAGAAGTGTTGCTTTCAGCACTGACACCAATTTCAGAGTGTATCTATGAAACAAGCAACAGGAGTAACTCCAAATGATTAACAATAACACTCTCAGCAATTTTTGAGGAGCTTCAAACACTTTATTTTGCCTTTGCTCAAAAATAACTCACAAGCAATGGAGATAACTGCTTCTCCTACAATGTATCTTTTAAACTGAATTTTCACCTTTGTGCAGGGTTCTCAGCCACCTAAAAGACCTCAGGAGAAGGAAAGGTCAAGACATCTTTAAGAACCTAGTTGAAAAAAAATATGGCATCTCTCAAAAAATTATTGAAATCATCTTGTATTTTGATAAAGAGATCCTTCTTGACACATACTTCAGTGTAAAAGGGAAGTCTTGAACTGAATTCTACCCCTGAAATTTTGTCTCTCAGACGAAAGAACTCCATAATAACACCATCCTAACCATACAGCATCTCCACTCGAAAATTACATTTTTACTAAGAAACAGAGGGCTATTTTGAACTAAGTCTTTTGCTGATTTTCTTCCTGACAACGTGCAAAAATAAAAAAAAATTTAACAGGCAATCACCGGCGTAAGCTTGTCAAAATTAAATTTTTTAGTCAAATTTGCAACCGTGCAAATTTGTAGATTTTCATGCTTTGGTCTTGGGAGCGATGAATCATTATATCTATTTTGATGTTTGAAATGGTAGGCAGGATAAATTTCTTCATCAATTCTTGCCTGCTGATGCAAAGTTAATGAGAGGAATGGTGACAATTCACTTACTCCGCTTTAACTTCTACACCCGTATTATTTTGATTATTGTGGTTAGGTGGATGAGGTTCGATTTTCAGGGGTTTCATCTGATGCTGATGCTGCTGTTGCTGTTGGTTTTGTTGCTGTTGAAGTTGTTGTTGCTGCTGCTGCATTTGTCGTTTGACAGAGCCTGAATGAAATCTGCCACCCTCACCACGAATCCTGTTCATTGCATGCTTGTGCCTGGATTCGTGCAGATATTTCTGAAAAGGAGCAGTTGCGATTTTTAAAAGTGACTAGTAAATGTCATGACACATAGATTCTCGCTGGACCATTGATTTCAAACATTTCAACAAAATGACAATTCCAAACTTTTTATGGTTTTGTGAAACTTTATTCCTTTCCGGATAAAAATTCTTGGCTTTTCTTAGCTCGTATTCCTTAGAAATTGACTTTGGGCAATAGGGTAGGGTAAATTTGTCCCCCCTACTCCTCCCAGCAAAATCCTCAGAATCTCTATCAAATAACTGCTCATTCTTTGACTAGGCTGCCAACGGTATCAGTCAAGAATTGTCATTTATTGCTTTTCGTCATCTTAGGAGGATTTTGTGGAAATTGAAATTTTCTAAAGACAAGAAACCAGGTATATGTCAGTCTTGGTCAGAATCGATTGGTTTAAATTCTAACAGTTACTGAACAGACACTTTTGCAATTACTACAGTCTTCAGATTATACTTATGTATCGGGGCCACGCCAATTTGTATGCGTAATCAGTAATTACAGATGATAAAAAAAAAAAAATACCAACAGAAAAATACCAAAATTACAAAATATCATACAAATATGCTGGTCTCTTTATTAGTTTGGTTTTTGTTTTAATGAGCATTTTTCCGCAGAAAATTTCTCAAGGTTTGGTCTTATCTTAGAAATATTCCTCAAGATTCTGACTTTTTATAGAATTATAGCTGGATTTGACTTGCCCAATTGATCCGCTGACCATTTTTATGCAGCGCACTGGACTTCAAAATGGTTATTGTGAGTTACATTATCTCAATGTTCCTGTTAGACGAAACACTTAACCATGCCTGGCGAAGCAGCAAATATAAAAATAAAAATAAAGGTAATTAAAGAAGTAGATGTTTAACCATTATGTTGCCATTTTTTTATTTATTGCATCTCTGAGGCCTTACGGCATATGCCATCATCAGAGGGTCCACACACCAACTACAAAGAGAGAAACAAATAAGCCAAGCAGATACATGATAACAGCAAACCAGTGCCAAAAATGGCAGCATAATGATTAGAGATCTACTTCTTTTTATTATTAGAGGAAAGGTTGTTCATAAAAGATAAGATGATCAGAGCCATGCGTGTCAGGAGTCATAGTAAAAGGAGGCAAGTAGCCTTGACAATACGTTTTGAAAAAAGGATTTTTTTAACAACGTAGGGTATTGTATGGAGAGTAATTCCAACATTCTGTAGATCCATTGTCAAAATCCAAACTAAATCAAAGAGAAAAGTCATTGCGGGGTATAGGGGTTTAATGCTAAGTGTAAATGAGTTACGTATGCATTAGGAATCAAGGGACATTTACAGAAACTTACCTGTCTACTTTTAGGGATTTTCCCTTCAGCTTCCAGTTTAGCGCGAGCTTGCCTCCTCTTCAAAATACGTTTGTACTGCTTAGCATTGACATACAAAGGTTCTTCTTCTAAAAATTCTGCGCCCGGCATGGGCACTCTTTGGAACTGAGGTACATTGGTTGCAGCATTTGGGTTTACCATCTGAATAAAAAAAGTTAGATTTTAAATGAGAATGCACGAGAAAAAGAATGAGAATATTCAGAAAGTATAGATTAAAAAAAAAGGAGAATATTTTTTCCACTGACGTAAGTAGAGAGAAACTCAACAGAAAGGTTTGAATTTCGTAAGAGGAAAAAGCCTGGATAAAATTGTCTTACTTTCAAAGGTCATAATAGGCATATTAAAAAACACCTTGAAGGCATCATAGGTACTCTACGTTACCTAAATCTGACCTTCAAGTAGTGTTAAAGTGGATGAATTGACACATTCGTAGTCTTTCCATCCACAGGGGTACAAAAAATTCTCTGACACATGAACCCTAGCTTGCACGTATACATGAGTGATCCACTATTGTCCATAATTTTTCAATAATACCTGACATTATTTTCTTATAAATACAAAAAATAACAGAAATAATAGAACATTTATTAAATAGGTTGTTTGGACCCCCCAAAAATTAGAGATCAGTGCCTTGATCTTGATCAGTTTTTGATATGTTCAATTCTACTACCCTACTAAGAAAACCGGTCTTATAAAAAAGACCATTTAAATTTGAGTAGAGTTAAAAAAAAGGCTGAGTAGGGCCATGGTATTAATAAAACTACGGGGACCTAAAATAAAACATCTTAAACTCGCAAAGGGCAATAGAAGAGAGAGTATTGCTGATCACCAAAAGACTGCTTTCTTCTGATATATCGGTTTCCATTTTTTTTCCCTTATAAAAACGACATATTAAAACAAACCAAAAAAATACTCTATCCTTTCTTGCATAAATGTGCAAAATAAACTTCCCCTTTGACTGTCTCTTAACAGATATCTGCTCTTTTGCATGAGAACAAGTAGTTCTTATTTGTAATATCCAAAAGATACTTGCTTTGTACTAATAATCTACTGCATTTTACTGTCAGGGTTATGCAACAACACTCTTGTCATCTTGCAGATTTAGGTTCATGTTTAAAGGTACTTAGGCTGAAAAAAAATTACACTGTATTACCATGACTATATTTTGCTGTGCATTGGCTGCTGTAGCAGTTGCTGTCGACGTACTCGGGGCTGCAGCTTGCGTGGCAGTTGCAACTTGAACAATGTTTCCATTTATGTTCAATACTACACGAAAAATAAAAACCAATTAGTAATGATGATAAGAATGAATTAGAATCCATCCAAAGATTTTTAAGGATTGATTGATGATTGCCTTGAGAACAAGATAAAACAGAAGATGCAGATTCTCAACAATTCAAGAGTTCATGTCCTCTTTAAAGTTGGAGAAACTTCTTCTTCATTCAGGTTAGACTTTCTTACTCCTTTGACTGTGCAAATCTAGTTGCCAGCAACAGAGAAAAACTGCCTCTGGACGCAGGAGATTTGAGAGAGCGTGTTACAAAATACACAGCTTGCGCACTAAGGAGAGAAAACTCGGACTTCTTTTATGTGCATCATGATTTTTACGTGATTTTACCTTTACAGTTTCTTCGCTAAGCTCTATCTCTTTCATGCAACAGACCCATTCAACTGACTGGATGTGATGGATTACTCCCCCTTCCCCCAAGTGAAGCAGTTAAGTGTATGTTCGTCAAAATATGTTACGTTTGAGAATTTTGAAACTTACAGGTTGGCTGAACTTGGCTTTGGACAGTGGCGGTGTTGTCTGCCACTTGAACTGCTGGCTGGTAGATAAAAGTTTGGCCATCTGGCGTTTGAATTAACTGTGCTTGAGCTGGCTGCTGGATCACTATTTGACCACCAGTGCTCTGTGTCGAGAAAACAAAGAATTTATAAAATCTTAAAGTGACTTTTAGATTTCATTATAGAATTTAAAAATGTCCTTCAATACAGATGAGTATGCTGGATAGGCTAGTTTTAAATATTTCTTCAAAAATTATGAGGTTCTCCCAAGAATTGCTGTAAACTTTCGTAGCTAATTTGTTGGGACAGAAAAAATAGATGAATGATGTAACAAGAATCATTTTTAAAAATGTTACAAAGTTAAGCATTTAAGTTTGATAATAGAAAAAAATTTGAATTGAGGACAAATTATTGCTACTGATTAACCACCAGACAATTGGTGGCCAATAATTACAGAGCAAAGTGATTCCTTGAGTTAAAAACTCCTCACTGAGCAGTTCATCATCATTGGAGTATCAGAATTTAGGTGTGATGAGCAACTGTACATAAAATTACCCTTTTTAAGCATCATGAATTTAGAAGTGACGGCAGTGGCGCTACCCTGGAAACTACCACCAGACTGTCATTTGAATTGTGACATCTTGTTCGAGAGGTTTTTTCTGTGGTGTTGAGATAATGTTAACACATTTTGAAAGAAAGGATCTCGGTGAGTGCTGGAATGGGGAAACCTGGCAGCTGAACTTGTCCATTTTGGAAAGTCTAGCTGATATCCTGCTGCTGATCAACAGAACTCAGTGGTGCTGCCATGTATTCTTCACAACGGATTCCACCGCCATATTGATCAAGACGCGTGAATTTAAAAGCAATCAGCGCATGGTTCAAACCCCGCTTTCAGCAACCCTAATTTTTTGCTCTTTCGAGTGAACTTTTTTGAATAAATAAAGCGGGGAAAAAATAGGGAGCCAAGTTTGCTAAAAAACTTGGCTCCCTATTTTTTTTCCCACTTTACCTACTTTCAAATGAACTAATAGAGGAAAGACTAAACTGACCCATTGCATGTAACTCTGGCCACATAACAGACATGGTCATGATTCGCACAAAATTTGTCTATTCAATCTCTCTCTGTTTGGGCTCCAGTACAACCCTGATTTTTTGAAAAAACACTATCACATGAATCCTGGTCTGATTACTTTTTTCCTTCTCAATGAAAAAAGACAGTATAATGAGGTATTGATTAAATACATTTTTTTAACTGAATTAAACAATTCCATACCTGCAAGGCTGGGACAGGTAGAACCTGTAGCTGTGCGCCAAGCTGCACACCTTGATTTGCCTGGGGAATATTCTGTAAGAGTAATTGCTGACCATTTGGTCCTTGAATTATTTGGCCGCCTTGAACAACCTACATCAAAAAATTAAACATTAAGATCAATAGATTAATAATGTGAATACTTAAAATACATAAAAATAACTCAAAATAATGTTCTTATACCTAGTCTACAACATGGAAAGTGGCTCCTGAGGGGCAGTATCAGGTGAGCGGCTAGATCTAAATAATGTCTAAGAGAAGATTGGCTTCCATGAGCTCCGTTTCTTTGAAAGTGCCAGCACCTCTGTGTCAACCGTTGAACAGTATCATGAGCCACTTGCTAACTCCACCTCGCATCCGTAACTTTTTGTGTTGTAGAATACTGAATGAGGTTTTTATTCAAGACATAGGTGTTCTTTCTTACATTAATAAAATGTGCCTATCTAGCAAAGATTAGATTGAATATATGGTTATTATTTGAGAATTCAAATTGCAAAAGTAGGAGGTGAAAGAAAATGTGAGTAATAAATGTACCTGAACTTGTTGTCCCACATTGGCTGATATTGCCTGCATGACCATTTGATTATCTGTCATTTTTAAAGACTGAAAAAATATTAGAAGAGCAGAATTAATAGAGAGTTTGTGAAGAAGAAAAATTCATTTGTATCATTTGTTGAAGGCTCTGATTTTCCTCTTTGCCATCAATTACTTAATGAACCTTCATCAGTTGAGTAAAGTGTCCAAAATGAGATAGGTATTGCTTTTATTACAGTTTCTCAAACTTTCCTGAAAAATTTGAGAACATAGTCTCTTTTTAAAACTGGTGATTTAAATTTTCAGGCAGTCTGTGCCAGATCATTTGAATGTACTTAGGAGCCAATCATCGATTAACTCACTTACCGAAGGTTTAATAAAATACTAAGAACAGAAAATGAAAAAAAATTGTGCATCCAGGTTGATTTCAAAATATTTTAATATGATGTTTCTTACAATCTCCTGAGTAAAGTGAGCTTTCAGAATAGAACTTCCTGAGTGTCAATCACAAGAAAACCGCATCAGAGACACGCATTATACAGCAGATTTACTTGCAATTTCCAAGTGGGAAAAAGTGGGTGATTCAGGGGTAAGCTCCTCTTTTCTCATCGTCAACCAGGAAGATGGAGCGGCACATCAACTCAGTTCAAAACAAAAGGCTCCAAATCTTCCATTCAGCGACAGTGCCAGATGTGAAATAGCATATATCAAATCTTCGAAAAATGCCATTTCAGATCTGCTTTTGTCATGTACTAACGTACGGAGGCAGTGTTGTTTTTTGGTAACCAAAAGTGAACAGCTGCCATCTTGCACCACTTAAGTACGTAAGTTCTATCACTGATATGATATGAATGTACTCTCCTCTGCCTCTCCCAAGCAGCAATTTCCTTGGAACTTGGACTGGGAGATCCCCTTCAAACCAGGAGTTGTATGAATGCATACTCTTAGAATTCAGATTCTACTAGAAAAGGAAAAGTATTTATAGGACTCAAGGGATTGCACAAAATTTCTTTTTGCAATGTGTCTTAAATCTGCATTCTGTAACATCCATCAAGAGTTGCGGATTGTAAATGAAAGTATAAAACTAACTAAAATTTTAATGTTAAGAACCTTTAAAACAGGGATCCACTGTATCTGATGAATTCAAAGTAAATGATAGGTGCGTTGTCGAAGTAAACTTTCCGTTTGCGTTCAGCTGCTCAACGCTAACGGATATCACGTGTCTTTTGACTTACCCGTTCGGAAACGCGTTGTCAGTCGTCTCTGTTGACTAAAAACTGTTGTGTTTTGAGTGTGACACTGCGTGCACAATTATATTTAGAGGCTAGCTCAACGCTCTTAACTACCTCCTGAGACCGATGACTTGTTGACTTCCGTTGGGTAAACATTCGAGGACATCGGGCGATCCAAACGGAGTTGAACAACGCCGAGCGTTTGGAATCGGGTAATTCCGTTGCCCAACGGTCCCCAACAGTCTACTTCTACAACGCAGCTCACGCAACCGGTGGCTAAGAATTAGTAACATGACATACCAACTGAGACGCTGATGCTGTATTTCTCTCTTTTCGACCAAACAATATTGGTTACGGAAATGAGATACTGCGCCTGGGTACTTCTCCCACGTTGCAATTTTGTATTCAAACCTTGTGGATACTTCTTTTCTACATTCTTTAGGATGCATTGCGATGCATTACGGAAAATGATGAAAATGAAGTTAGAGTACGAATTGAGCAAGTTATTTACCTGGAAATCTGTTATCAGATTTTACCGATCCTGAACTGATGACTGAGAGTTGGTCTGGATGATGAAAGGAATTCACAGCAGATCATCAAGGGGGAGATTCGAGATCATGAAGCGATATATTTGTGCGGATAGGGTGAATAACGAACGAATAAAGAGGCATCTTGAAAGTTCGTCTTGTAGGGTGAATGTGTATAGAACTGTAGAGTGTTTGACTTTGACCACGTAACGCTTCCGTGCAGTTCGCGGAAGGGAATAAAAACTTAGTTCTATAAGTTTACGAGAGACTTAGAGGAGGAAAACTGTAATTTTCTAGAGGTTTTTATCAAAACACATTCAATGATAACAACGTTGTTTTCCGCACAGTGAACGAGAGAATCTTGCAACTGCAACTTTACTCCAGACGGCGGACACAACGGAAAAATGGCTTCCACGAAATTGCCTTTAGACGCCAAGCAGCGCCGTCAAGGGCATTAAAATTGTCTTCTGAGAAATAAACACAAGTCACAGAATCCCGGTGGACGAAAATTCCAAAATCAATCGAATTTTGCGGGTTAAAAATGGAGAGATGACCACTGGTAGAGACGAATTAATTTTGTGGACTTACATTGGATAATTTGACGGGTACACTAATTCAATGATTGGTTGGAGTTCCATCGCCAATGGGACGCGAATCTTGACTCCATTCGCGGTTGAGTAGCCTCTGGGAAGAGCGGTAGTGTCGAGATCTAACGCTGATTGGTTCCGCCATCTTAACTATGCGTTATCACAGAAAATCGGGTGATAAGATAGTAAACAAGAAGGATTTTCTGAGAAAATTTTGGGAAATATCTCGGTCAAATCATGGTCAATGGCTGGGAGAAAGGATTCTACAGACATTTCCGCCGTAAAATGTAACTTTTACCTTTTTTCCGGTTAACGTTGCAATGCAGAAAGGCAAAGGGGAAGAATTTTTTTTTTGCGTTGATGACGTCACACTGTACATCTGGTACATCTGATTACTTTCCGCATTGTTATTGTTGTCGTTTTGTTAATTCTCGGCGTTGCCGTTCTTTCACAATTCACTGTCCCAAGAAATCGAAACCACGTGTTTTCGGCTGTAAATTCAGAATAATTATTCGTGTTATTTGATTCTTCTTTCCTCCATTTCCAAATTGGATCCTTCCCATAAGCCAGCAATTTCTTGTAAGTTTTATCCGTTATATCATATTTATTCCTTTAATTCCCCTGGAACTCGCATGGTGCAGAACAACACAAACATCACCGTCCGAACCTCTTGTTCCTGTATAAACACCCCATTTTTAAGGAATCTGTTCGTTCAGCGTTTTTTAGAGGCACCCAAAACCTCCCGCATCATTTTAACGATAAATTCTTCATGCCCCAAGACCCCATTAGAGAGAACAGAGAATTTGAAACTGAATGCTAGGTTACGGCAAAGTACGATGAGCCTATATGAAATCTCATTGTGGATAATCAACAAGTCTTTAAAGAAGGGTTAATAAAGGCAGGAATGATTCTCATAGCATCTGTAGTTGTGAAAAAAGTCGAAGATTTGATTGCTTAACTGGCGAACGCCTCAAAATACGTGTAAGATTTTAACCTCTAAAATTTATCCTGTGGAGCCACCAGAGACGTCATTTGGAACTGCTCCGCACTTTTGTCGTGGCTTGAATGAACCAAAGAATTCATTTTAACATTCAATAATTTGATCTGTAGTGGTCTGCTTTGTTGTAATCTGGTTCTTGTCTTGGTCTAGCTCAAATGCCAGTTGTTGTGAGGTGGTGACTTTACTGATATTTCAACTTCCGCCCAGTGACATGTAGAATTTCTAGATGAAGTTGAGAGTATCGAAACCTGGGAGTGAAGTGAATTCATAGTGGTTCCATAGTGACTGTTGATGCCAATACATGATAAAATTTAAGACTTAACATTAGTAAAAGCCACACAATCATTTTTGCTTATTGCGTTACTGTGTGGTGCCTTCAATCAATTGGACGGAGTTAAACAGAAAGGAACCAAGCCACATCGGGATCGAACCGAGCAAAAGAGCTTTAAAGTTTGGCTCCTGCATAAGACTCAATGTAAAAGATAAACTTTGAGTTCAATTTCTGCAAAATTTGCTCCAACAAAAACTTTGAATTTTTGGCGATAGATAGTAGAGCAGTGGTTGAGTTCAAAACCACTCATAACTCAATTTTTTCCAAAATGTGGGTTGGTTCCTTTCTGCTTAACTCAGTCCAATTGGAAGTGCATCTTCACTCATAGTCGCAAATGCTCTGTCTCCGGAAGTTACTAAGGCTGCGTTGGTGAGTTGGCAAAAATTACTCCTCAGAACAAATTATATTCAAAGGAATTCTGACATGGCACCAAAATCACTTCTTAGCTGTCTTTTTGCACAGATCTCCTGAGACTAGTTTGTAACAACTGGCATTGAAGCCGGGAGGCGGCTGCTGTTTTAGGTCTTGATGCATACGAGACCTGGGGACTACTTGTCAAGAATTGATATCAGCAGTATGACCATGTTGTTGCCACTTTAACGTATAGCATGAATGATTCTTGTAAGTCCAGCAGCTGCCATTTTATTCTTCAAGTACCTCAGATAAAGGAATAATGTAAAAATACGCCTCATGTGAGTGAAGTAGAGACACAATCGACACATCCATTTGAGTATGAAGGCACAAGTGGTACTAGTAAAAGTGCATAACGATCAATACCAAAAATTTTAAAGGACAATGGACAGTGGATGGTCTTAGATCACCACTCCATTTTAGTCAACTTAATTTTACTTCAGTTGTCTTAACTAACAGCTCCTATTTTTTTCATGATTGCAGTTAACGTGCAATGGTTATGTTGAAGGTTGAAAAAAATCATGCAGACATGACTCCTACTCCAAAAAAGAAAGACAAGTAAGTGTTTCATGAAAAAAATTTCTTAAGGTAATGCTCATTTTGAATCTTGATTTTAAAGTTGTTTTTCCCCCTTGAAAAAGTCTCCAGAAGTAGATGAAGATGCCTCTCAAAAAACGCTCTCAAAATTGTCAAAACTTGCTTCATTTCCAACAAGTTAAGCTTAATCAGGGCTTTTTTGAAAGCTAATGAGTTACTCTATGAGACTACAAGTAGTAGCTCATTAGATCCATCTGTTCACTGGTACCTAGTTAAATTGAGTGCAGTTTTTTTTTTTTTTGGATGAACCGTGTATGTTTCCTGAATTTAATAATTTAGAACAATCAAAATTCACAAGAATTACTTGTTTTATTGAGAAGTAAGTAGCTCATGTAAGTTCTAATTTTAGATTTGAAAAGTAGGCATCAGCTAAAAATGTGTGCTTGTTTTTTCTTGTCCTTTAGGAAGTTGAAACTAGTGGGAAATGACTCAACACCAAAGGTTGCAAAAGCTGCCAATGGTGAAGGCCTTCAAAAGAACTCCGTTTCATCAGCTGTAAAGCCCAAGAAAAGTAAAGAGAGCGCTCCTGCCTCTCCGACCAAGTCAGCTAACGATGGAGGCGCCTCACCGTCAAAGAAAAAGAATATTAATAAAGGAAAAGAATTTGGAAAATACGGCAAAAGAAATGAGATGAAATCCAAGGATGATGTTTTTGGGAAGATGGTCAAAGAGGAGGCTGTGAAAGAACATTTATCGCCAATGTTTTTGAAAAAGTTAGAAAAATGCACCGCTCGGCTGCCGCTTGGAGGAAAAAGATTTGTTGTAAGTATTTTGCTTTTTTCATTCTCTGCAGCATTTTGTTTCTCAAAATCATCTGCTGTGTTGTAGCATGAAAGTAATTCCCCTGTTTTTGCCATGTGTTTAAAAAGTGTATCTACAAATGGAAAAACTATCTTCACTCTAACTCTTAATAAATTCATTAAGGAAAATAGTATTTTCTGAGCTTTCTTGAACTACGTAGGTAAAAAATCTCTCATCAAATATTCTGCAAAAAATTTCCAATATAAGAGCCATTCCAGGATCAGGCTAAAACCTCTGTGAAAGATAGTGTAATGGCCAGCATTTCAGAATTGTGCATACTGAGTGAATTTGTTTGGCGAAATGGTTCTTCTTGGTAATTAATGTTCCATAGTCCAAGTTTTGGGAAGTGGTGCGCAAAGTGTGGAGTCACGTGAACGGCCTAGTCTATTTTTTATAGTTAACAGGCTGCTGCACTTTTCATCGCATATGCAGCCTTTCTTGAATGCATCCTGTTGAGTAATATTCCTTGTTTGTCCTCAAATCTAGTACTGGTTGGTGCATGATGTCAAATACAAAATTAAATTCCTTCCTGTCATCGAAGAGGTGTTCAAACTGATCAAGGACATGAAAGTTCTACCGCTTCCAGCTAATGGTCAACCTCCAAAAACTGCTTCGCAAAAGAAGAAGGAAAAACGCCTGAAGAGGAAACAGAAACTGAAAGAAGCAGCCGGCATTACAGGTTCAAAGAAAGAAAATGTAAAATCGGGTGACTCTCCTGCAGCAGCTATCACTACTCCAGAAAGACCAGAAAAGCGTAAAATTAATGAAGTCAGCGAAACAAGTGCTGTTATAGGGTCAGTTGAGAGTGCTAAGAAGAAAAAAATTAAGACTGAAAAAGTCAGTGTCAAGTTGGAACCATCCTCGGATGGTGAAGCAGCTAACAATTCTTTTACCGCTGCAAATAACGACAGTCCAAAAGAGAAGAAGAAGAAGAGAAAAAGCCTTGCCAAACAGTCAGCTTGAGACCGAATTAAAGTGACCATTGGATTCTAAGACTGGAGCAGTTTTGCATACGCTTTTCTTGAGAAATTTTGGGTTTTAAGACACTGGATTTAAAGCGAACAAGGAAGAAGTTTAATTTCCTCTGTGAAGTCGTAACTGAATTTTATTTTCTGTTGTTCTTTTTAACTGGAACTTTCGCTGTCTCTCGGGAGTAGAAATGGACTATGAGTAATATTACTGCTTCCAAAATGACTTCAGGTCAGAATGCAGTTCTTCCATTTTTCTCGAACAGCTAATCTTGAAATTTTGCCAAGAGCCTGATCTGATTACGAATAGCTTATCTGCTCAGATGAAATTCTTAAGTGTAAAAAGTTCAACTAAAGGTATTTTGAAAATGTGAAAGAACATGCTTTCTTAAAAAGTCATTCATATTAGTTGAACCCTTAACCATTCTAAGTGTTTTCTCTCACTTAAGTGTTAAAAACTACTAAATAAGAATGCTCAGTAAGTACTCGGGTACTTAGCATGTCATAGTTCAAGCCATTCCGCTGAGAGTCAGAGACCTCATGGAAAGTGCAACTTTCGGGTGTTTTTTCTAAGACCAATCTAGACAGGTCAGTTACCTACTGCACATCTTTTTGAAATTCACTCCCTAGCCTGGCCCTCAGTGGTTGCATCCATTAAAAGTGCATTGCATTTAATCTTTCTGCTGCAATGTGTAATAGGGTCCCAAAACTTGTCCCCCGGGAATGACTGACCTGTGTGGATTGGTCTTAATCCTTTAAATTCTCCCCCTCCCTCCATTATCAGCTCACTGAAAAAGTGAAAAATTATCATTTTACATTACGGAAAATGAAGAAATGTCATCTTACATTGGCTCAAACTGATTTTTACTGTCTTCAATCTATTAAGCTTGACTGAATATCGAATTTTCCATATTAAAGACAAAGAAAAGTTATTTTCCGAAGAAAAGTTTAACTTTTTTAGGGGAACCCTCCCCCCGTTAAATTTCCTTATTTTGCCTTTATTGTAAATTATGTATTCACCATCATGATGATAACTTGTTACAGCTGGTTGTTTCAGCCATGAGTAGGGGCAAAGTAATTCCAGTTCTTGACTATACGTACGATTGAGCATCTTTTTGTTGACATTGTTATCTTGTCTGAAGAAACCTGTCGGTTAAATTGTGATCCCACAGCTTTTAAGTTAAAATAATTTGATTTTTAATTATTAAAATTTTACCATCCCATTACTTTTTGTACATGTTTTGTTCTTTAAATTAGTTTTTCTTTCCTTGCTTTCTGATTTTCCTCATTCACTTTCTGATCACCAAGATGAGTAAAAGAAAAGAAGAGCTTAACGCCTTGCAAGTGCTGACAAGGAAGACAAAGCAAACAGCTACTCGACAGAAAGGCCTTCCTGTGTATCTCCTCCCTCTCATGAAATATCAGGAGCATGTGCAACATTTTCAAATGTAGCATTTATTTGCATGAACAGTAATGCCATTGGATTGTAAAGGAGCATCAGCGAATCAAGAAAAAAAAAGTAGAAAAAGGTTCTGGAGTGTTTTAAAACTAAAAGAGCGGCAGCGTATATGTAGGTATTATAAAGGGTTTGTGCATCCACTTGGATTGATTTATAACAAGATCACTGCTCACTTAAAGCGTTGAGTTAAAGCACAAAGTGATTATAAGTTGATGACTTGTCAGGAACTTCTTTAAAAACAGGGAAAGATTGGGTTAACACTTACAGTTAATTTGAAAGACTTCACTTCTTTCCGTTTGTTTCATTTTGTTTGCTTAAGACCTGTTTTGCACTCCAAAGTCGTCCAAAACACGTCTTAAGAATTTGTATCCAGAGACGTCATCAGGTACACATGAGAAAGACTGGAAGCAGAATACAAAGAAATACGGCGCAGGCTAAATTTTGAAATTATTTGGTACGATGTTCCTCTTGGCCTCCTAAGCACAGTCAGCTTTCAAAATCTAATCCTTTATTTGTCAATCTGGTAGGAGAGGAGTTGAGAAGTAAATATTTCTGCATCTTTATATGCCATTTATAGTCAAGGCTGTGCAAAATTTGATTAGCAATCGAGAAGATGTTCTTTTCCCTTGCAGGCCAGGAAGATTAGAGAGACAGAAGGAATAAAACTCCTTCAAATGATAATAGTGTCCACACAGAAATAGAACAGCTCCCCATCCTTATCAGAACATGCGTGTAGGAATGCTGGACTTTTCAGTTTAGCATTTTTAAACATTGACACATAAAAAATTGAGACTTTAAAACCTCATCATATTCAGGAGGTCATAAGAATCATCATAACGAATACTACCAAGGTTTTGCCAATGTTTAATTTCTTGGCATCCCATCCGCTGCTAGTGTTTGGTACATTGTCACTTTTTCTCAGATACTCTTGGTAGAAAATTGAATTTAAGCACCCTGCACACTTTTAAGTCTCTTCAACAAAATGCACAATTTCTCAAACATTTACGATATAAAAATTGTACCTTCTAACTTGAAATGTGAAAATGATGTGCAAGGTATAGAACTTCTACCAACTTAATGTCTCCACAAGACTAATGACATAGAAACTCAAAATTGACATCCATCAAACATTTATTTTTCAGATGTAAGTAAAAACAAATATTAAAAACAAAAAAGAAGAGTAACATCTCTGTACGCACAAAGATAAAAATTTGATTAACAAAGTTACAACCTACATAATTACTTTTAAGTACTGAGGTCCAACAAGATACCAAAATTAAAATATTGTTACAAATCAATTGGATTCTTGATAGCAGCTGTTACCTAAGTGTTAATTAAACTTAGATAGAGCGTTACATAAACGTAACTTCATAAAATTGTCAGCAAGATTAACTTAGTTTACCTAAAATCAAAGGAATCAAAAAAATAGGAGTAAAACGATAAAAATCTTGTGTATGGCACCAACTACCAATTGGCAGTCCTGTGAGCATCTCTTCAAGCTTGCTCTAAAAATGAATACGACTCAATTATTCTGGGGACACAACTTCAAAACTTTCATTCTTCATTTGGTTTCAGTTTCAAACTATAGGACCAATATTCGTGACATGATTTCTCCCTTTGTTTTTCAGAAAATTGCATCCCCTACTATTAATGTAGTGAGATGAGGAGCTCTACAATAATGCTTTAACTTAGAGGTAGGAAAGAGATCATACATCTTACCTGAATATAGTTTCTGACAGAATGAAAGTTAACAGTCTTAATCTCTCATCTAAGAGCTAATTGTGAGCAACTTCGCATTACTGATATCATGTAACATTTAACACCAAAGTGGTGTTGAGTACAATATTTTTTCAAAGCAAAGAGAGCCTCATATGTTGATGACTCCTGATGAAAAACAATAGGCTCGGGTAAATTTAATCACCTTACCACTACTGTTTGGTAAAATTTAGCATAGCGCTTCTCCAGATCTTTCACAAATTCATTTTTGAGAATTTTTAAACAGTTCCTATAGTGAGCTGAGCTTCGGAACTTGGCGATGTCAAAGCTGGGTGCATGGGGCATGTGAATGATAAATGCATTAGGGAGAACAATAAACTCAAATCCTTGTGCTTCAAGCTCCATGATGTGCGATACTTTGTTCCAGCCAAATCCAACAAAACGTGTGTCATATTCTGGAATGTCTTTGCGAACCACTATGTATGGCTCATAATCTGGCTCCCATTGTACCTGAAAAATTTAATTGATGTTAGTTATCATCATTTTGCAATAAAATTTTCAGCGACATTTTCTTTTATTTTGTGAAAAAAATATTTACACACATATATCAGCTACACATATATTCATAAAGGGCCTTGCTATGCCAAACCATGTAAGACTGAAAGAAAAAGGAGTAATTTGAAAAGTTTGCTTAATCACAGATAGGTCATGGATGGATGAAGGAGTTAAAATTCATTACTGTGACCCAATGGCTCAATTTTAGAGAGAAATACCTTTCCAAGCTTAAAAAATTTTTGCATGACTTTTCTCACTGAAAAGGCAAATGTCTGAAGAGGCTTCAATTTGAAGTTGTAAAAAAACTGTTTTTCGTGTTTCTGAAACTTACAGTGTTGTGAGAAGGAATGACCCATGATATAAACCACTTCAAATCTAATGCGACATGATGGACGCTGTGCATTTTAAATCACAAACTAACGATTTCAATTTTTAAAAAAAAAACAAATATTAACTTCAGACAGCATGATCGTTAGAACTAAGATGGCCACTGCCTTCAGTTTTATTCTCTGCATTTAAATTTATAAAATAATTACTGCCCTCTCTTGCGTTATGGGCTTTGCAAGATTCAGGAGTTCTCTTGCTTAATGTTAGGTGATTTCTTGTGCAGTTGGCAAAAGCTACATCACAAATAAAACTGAAGCGGAGAGTGAGATATACCAACTTTAGTCTTAGAACTTACCTTGTATGGTGTAGTCGCTATTTTCCATTTGGCATAATTTGTAGGCGCATGGCCTTTAGTCCATACATGGTAACGGAATGTGAAGAGGGATCCCATATCCAGCATGCTCAAAAGTTCTGCTTTGCTCTGTGGAAACGTGATTCGGTACCTCTGAGTTTCAAACGCAGGAACAACTAAAGCCTGTGAGACAGATTTTAGAGGTTGAAAACTTAATGATATAAACAGGGATAGGGAATTGCTCCGATAAGTAAAAAACAGCTGCACAGAATTTCATTCATTAGAGCATTGATATTAGGAGATGACTTTACCAGTGACTTGGTGTGAAATACAATTGAACAGCATTAACAAGAATCAATCTGACTACATTGGATGTTGCCTAATTTCTTCGTATTTTTATTTTTTCATGAAAGATTTACCTGACTAATGATCTGTCTCAGAATTTCGTAAATAAATTATCTCCATGCAATGGAAAATTCACAAAAAGTTTCGAGGTGATATCGTCACCTTCCAGGCAAAGTATCACAAGCGCCATGCGACGTTTAAAAATTTCCGCCGCCATTATATTTTTTTACAGAGAAATTGTTCAACGAACCTGTCCGAAAATTACACCGAATTTTCTTTGTGCTGCCGATAAAATTTAGTGAAATTTTCGAACAGATTCAACCAACAATTTCTCAGTAAAAAAATAAAATGGCGGCGGAAATTTTTAAACGTCGCATGGCGCTTGTGATACTTTGCCTGGAAGGTGACGATATATTGCCTGGTATTACTGTACAAATAAACATGGGTAGGAATTAGGCAACAAGAATTGCTGACTCTGGTTTAATTTGTTTAATTTTTGAATTCTGTGCTAAATAATAGTTCTACAATTTAAATGTTCTCAGTCAGTAAAAAATAGATTATTCATTGGAATCACAATCCATAGGCAAGATTTTATTTGTTAGAAGCGTAAAGATTTCTCCTCCCATTCTCAGGCACGATTTCCTCAGTGCAAAATTTTCACTCCAAAATAGAATTTTGTAAAAGCTGATGTGTTTGTCCATGAAATCTGGATGATATTTACCTTTTTGCCTCCATTAACATCTAAAACTTGCAGAGATCTTCGGATGTATGAGTACAGATTGAACATAGGCAGGAAATCAATGTCCGTCAAGAATACATAAGGAGTGTTAACTTGACGTAAAGCAACGTTCCGTAAGAAATTCACAGGATAGAAATTCTGAGAGAAAAGAAACAAACAAGGTAGTTAATCAATTTAAATCTTTTTAAATCCTGATTTTTTTCTGTTTAAAAAAAAAGGGTTTTTACCAATAATTGCTTTTAGGTTGGGTATTTAACCAGTAAATTTAAAGATTAACTGATAGAACATAAAATGGACCACTAGACAAGGTCTGAACTAGAAAAGATTGCCGCAAGTTTTCTCTTTAAAATCTTATGCAAAGAAAAATTCTCAATGCAGGAACTTAGGAAACCAACTTCTGAACAAGATATTAACCAGTGTTTTCAACTCCGATCAAATGAAAGTTTGATTACGATTATGATGTCATTTATATTTTTGCCATTTAACAAATGTTAATTATAAACTCTTATGTCTTGTTAAGGAGTTGCTTTCCAGATTTCCTGCTGAGTGATTCGCTTTCCGTGTGAAATTTGGAGGAGAAAACAAGCTGCTGAAGCTGCGTGGTGGTTTAATTCGTAGGTACCATGTCCGAAGACCCGTTTTCATTGATACAGATATTTTCCTGGTCCCATAAATCGTTTATAAATTTTAGTTTCCAGAGGAAATAGTCACGGAGAAAAAGAAGAAGAAAATAAAAAGGAAAATATCTACACCTTATGCTAGGTTGCCCTAAGTTAGAATTCTTGAATTTATGTGTACTGTTCAAGTACTATTAAGGACACTGTCCAGTAGATTTAAACATATAATCATCAAAATGTAATTCACTTACACCCTCTTTATAGACAATGTGGTAGCCAATATTTTTTCTGCGGTTTAAAAACTCCGAATTTAGGGCATAGCTCAAAAACTGCTGCGCTTCAGCATCAGACATATAGAATGTGAGGCTAATTGGTCCATCCCAATGCTTGCAGAGAGTCTCAAGCATCTGGAGTCGGTCCATGGATAGCTGCGCAACTAGAGTAACATCATAACCATCTGGAGTCGGCTCATAATCATAGTCCAATAAATACAAATGAGTCCTGTAGTTGTTGATGCATGCACGTCGAAATTCGTAACAAACATCCTCTTCGTTCAGTTTGCTCAGTTCTTCATCTTTGCGCGTTGTTTTTGTGAGATTACATCCAAATAATTCTTGACGAAGCAGGTTACCTGAAATAGGAATACGAGGCACAAACTTAAATTTCCATATCTATCTTATTTTTCTAAGCTGTCGACAAAATTAAAATTGAAAATAATTTGGATTGCATGGACTGTGGATTAGATGGATAAAACAAGAGTAGAATTGGTCTAATAATAAGTCGACAAGCGACCAGAGATGCAGAAAGTACATGGCCCTCTCATTTTAAACCCCCTTTCCTCGAGAAAATTTTGAATTGATTATATTATTGATTAAGCTCATTAAAATTTCTAGGTAAGAGATTGAAAAACTTCTCACATTAAAATGGATTTCTTGGCAGTTTTACTCTTAATAAGTCTAGATTTCTTGTATAAAATTCAGAAACTGTAAAGGCACAAACCATCGTATTCAAGGAACGTCAAATAGAGGTTGCGGAAGAACTCAATATGCTTGTTCTTGACCTTCAGCTTCTTTGGTGAATTCCAGTGGATGATCTTGATGTGTGTCACTTCTGTATAGCACAGTTCACTACGTGTGTTATCACTTAGTTGAACGTTCCACTGGCATGGGAGCGTAAAAACTAAATATGGATGCTGCTTTATGATTGCATTGAATATATCCTGATCAGCTGTTGGGAAAGAAACGAATTACATATCTTAAGGCATCAAAATTATGAAGCAATGAAACATGTTTCCCAGAAAGGTTCTTGCTTTAAGGGATTCTACAATGAATTTATAAATGAATTCCTCCTATTCTTAGACTGCGGCAGAACGGCAATCATCTGATTTTCAGTGAATTCATTTGAATTTTTCATAGAGGTTATTTATAATAGGTTTGCCACAGTGAGGAAGTACTAGGAAAGGAATAACCAGGAAATGTCAGAAAATGTTCAAAAGTCAGGAAAGACTTGGTAATGAGAAGGAAAATTATGAGAGTGTAAAGGAAAAAGTCTTGAGTCACCTTTACTTGCTTTGAGAAATGCATTTGATGTTTTGAACAACAGATCTTGCATGAAAACGATTTCAAATTATGTCTTTTTAACCATCTGGCATATTCTCAAGTGTCAAAGAATTTTAACAGAATATGACAGCAAAATCGTGGGAGCATCAGGGAATTTTGTTTTCTAAATCTGCAGCAACTCTGTTTTAAAGATAGAATAACCCATAGGTAGCGGTTGCTGGATAACTTGTTCAATTAATACCATAATGAGGTTAGAGGTAAAAAAGCACCCATAAAAACAGAGACATAAATGGATTGCATATAGCAAAAGGGAGCCAACGTGATTACAGAGCTGTATAAATCTTGTACCTTCACCTCAATTTTAAAAAAAGTCTAAAATAGCAAATAGTTTTTGTCAGTCTACCAAAATATTGTCAATTTTGAAGGAATAAAATAATAGTGATTTCATGATTACACAAATATTTATAATTTATAAAAGCAAAGAAGTAACACGATTTTGAAACACTGTAATCATGTTGGCTCCCTTTGCTAAATGTGATCCTAATGTGGCAGGTAAAGGGTTGGATGTTTGGTTTGACTAATTTTTTTACTGAGGATAATGCTGTTGATGTTACAATCATCTCATTATGGCAGCTGCAATGAAGACACATTTAAATAATGATTGAATGGGTTAACCTTTTTTTACTGAATGTCTAAACATGAAATTTAAATTACCTAGACTAGTTAAGTAATGCGTGATAAGGTCTTTTTCTGCAATGCTTCGCCACAGCTGAGCCCAGTTTAAGGACCGAAGTTTATCCAAATGGAGGAGAATGACTCCTGTATTGAAACCTCTGCTTAATGCTGGCCATGGTCGGTGTTTTTTCCAAAGTTTACCCAAGTACCAGTCACTTTGATTTTCAACAAGACCTAAGGCCTGCAACATGTATAAAGCATTAAAACATTTGATCAAGAACCATGGGGGATTTGAAAATCAAACAAAGAGGAAGGGGCACAGGAAAGTAAAACTTTGAGATTTTTCTACATCTTGAGAGAAAACTGAATTTTTTTTCCTCCACCGGAAAAAAGAAAAAAAGTATGATAATTTTTTTCCCCTAGAGAGGTTTTTGGTCATGCAAGCTATTCCTAGAAACTTCAAAATGCTCCAAAACTCGGTCAAATGGGACTGTTGCTCAATTTTTTTTTAATTCATTTTCAGAGAGTACTTACAAAATCAGAGTGCCTGCATTTTACTGTTTTTCATTTAATCAAATTTTAGCCAAGGAAAAGACTTTTGAAATAGCCAAAAATCGAACCCCGCTTCAAACGAAAAGATATTGCGCCAACGGATTTCTTGACATCACAGGAGGAATTGATGGCTGTGTATTCTTTTACCCTGCTCTCATTTTTTCACTCTTTGGTAGCAGTTGTAATGAGAAGCTTTGTATCATGACCATGCTCGCAATTTTATTGTTGCTCAAAGAGAATAATTCTGTTGTTTTTTTTAAAAAATAAAATAATTTGTTCGGGATTTGAATCTTATGGTTGCCATACTGCACAGAATTTAAGTTGGCTGAAACTAAGGGTGATCGCTTCGTATGATGACACAAGCTTCAGACAGATGCGTAACGCTCTTGTTGAAACTTCAACATCAAGTCTCTTCTTTTTCAGCCAAAAGAGCAGTTCCGAGCTTCTCAATGCTCAGAAACGCATTTCTTGCTGAAATTTTCTTCAGAGATACCGAATTTCAAGTCCATTTGAGGATCTTTCAACAGCCCTATTGCATATGGCATGCTTTCAAGAATTTAAAGATATGATGCGTTAAGAATTGTATTTGCTCAAATACCTCGGGAATCAAAATGTCATTTTTCCACTTCGTTTTCTTCATCTTTTCAATTAACCTTTTGTAATTTTACTTTGTAATATACAAAAAAATCCAATTTCGTAATTTTGTTTGTCTAGCTATCCTTTCTAGGTGTAGCTTTAAGACCAAGTTGCTTATAAGTAAAGCGCTGTGTGTACGAAGGGCACTTTTCACTTTCAGTGTCTCAGAGCCTCCGCTAGCAGTTCATTCATCACGAGAAAAGCAAATGCATATATTTTGATGAACCGTTTACTGAACATTCTTCATGATTTGTTGATTAATTCCAGAAAAATCACCCATCAATTTCCTCTGTAAAATTTAAATTAGCAGTGAAGATTCTCTAACATTGTAACTAAAAAGTGCTCTTCCTGCAACCAACAACTCAACTGATTCCAAATCTCTGGGATTTTATAAAGAGTTTCTATTTTTGCCATGCTTCTGTTTGGACGGAATATTTTGTCATTTAGTTCGTTGTCACTTGGAGCAAGATGGTTACTTGAAACCTGTGATATCCATGCGAAGTTAAATTGAAAAAGAAGAGAAAAGAAAAGTTCTCTAAAACTTGAAGAGGCTTCATTATGCAGGTTTACAGCTCCTCAGAAAATACAGAAAGCATAAAACAAGCTACCAGAACCTCCTCAGTCAGACCACTCAAGAACTTGATACTTTTTGTATCAAAAATACCTCATGTACTTACTTGGTTCCTTAAATGGATGGTAAATAAATATTATCCGAACAAAATACCTGCTTATGTTTTAGGTTGGCAAACATTCGCCACAGTTCAGCAATGTCCGTCGCAAAGGTAACATCTGTGTCCAGGACAATAACCTTTTCCAGACTACGAGGCAGAATTTTCGGAAGAGTTAGTTTCAGCAAACCATACACACCAGAGTAGTGTTTATTAGGGATCCATGATACATCTCCCACAACGCTGTCAGCAGGATAGAAGTTCATCTCGACTATTTTTGATAGGAAAGAAATATTAAAATTGGTGGTTAAAAGGCGAAGTAGCTGCACTATTTTTTATTTAGCAATGATACACATTAAGCCTTGTCAACATTAGACAACATTAAATAAGCCTTGAAGAATGATCAATTTTTTTATACCACAAAGAACCCTGCACAGACCTTATGGGAAATGGCTCTCACTACAATCTAATGGAACTTGGATTTGTTGCTCAGCTGGTCATTCTGATCAAAAGTCCTCATAGGCCACAAGAGATCCAACGAGCGGTTTTCGAGCTATTCGCCATTTAATGTGCGTAAACTGAGGTGTCGCTGGCCTGACCATAGTGCGTCCAGCGAAACCTCAATTTACGCAAATAAAACGGCGAATATCTCGAAAACCGCTTGTGGGATCTCTTACGGCCTATGAGGACTTTTGATCAGAATGACTGGCTGAGCAACATATCTAAGTTCCATTAGATTGTGGAGAGAACCATTTCCCATAAGGTCTGTGCAGGGTTCTTTTTCTTTTTTTCATCACTTATAATGGACATCAGGTTCAGGACAGGAGATTTGGTTCCATTCAAAGTAAAAGCTTTCTCAAAATTATTCAGATGACCGCAATTTTTGGAGACAATAAAAAAAGAAAAAATTCAAATAGATACCCATTGAAACTTTGAGAACAAGCCCCAGCAAGTGGAATCTGAATGAACAGTACCATTATTCCGTTCAGGCTCAAGATTTTAACCCTCTAAAAATGATGGGAGTAGTAAAAAAAAAAAAAAAAAAAAA